TTGGGGATTTTGGAAGGCTATGTGAGTTGGTTTTAATTGCGACCCTCAATTAGAAAATTAAACTAAAATTGACACCGGTTATAGTTTATTTAACAATGGAAGCCATGGCAGATGGCACTAATGTATTAAATGCCATGTGGAGGGGCAAGTGTTGGGAGCTGCCTTATCTTTGCTCAAGTGCTTTAGCTTTTAATGCCTTTTTTTAAAGGTGATTGGAAAACCCAAAAATATTTCTCCACTCTCTTTCCAAACGCGTATTAATCTCCGTGTGACATTTTCTTTTTCTATTGACCAACTTTAGGAATACCGTCCAATTATGAATTGGAAGTCTTGGAGATGCATACGTATATAAATGGAACATGAATTATTTACCTAAGAAAAAGGAAGATACATTATTTACCTAAGGGAAAGGAATATCTCTTTCTATCTCATCACAATTAGGTAGCGGGAGTTTCAATTGGATATAGGTTAACACGTAGAATTTAGCCAACGAGATCTAATCCAATTGAAAAAGACTTTGACTTGCAAACTAGTGTGGTCTTATGTTTGAACTCTAATGACACTTTAGTAGCGTGTGTGAAAAAACCTCATTCCACTTTCCTAACTTTGGAAAGAAGAAGAAGTTGATGTTGATTATGATCTAACCTCAGTCCTCCTCTTCATATTGGAGAGTTTTCCTTAATATGATTCTTGTTTGTTTAAAATCGCAATTATATTGTTGGATGGACAAATTTTCCACTTTAAAACTGACAAGCATATCAAATTGCAATCATTTAATGCTGGAAATGTGCCACATGCCCAAAGACAACAGACGCTAGCATTCTGCAATAACTTATTTCTACATTTTTTACCCACGTCTATAACCATTATAGAAAAGTTGATATATATCCAAATTTTCATTGAGAAGTTGGGTTTAATCATCAGATGTGGCAACTTTGATACAAGTCCTTTGACTCTTGTGCCACATAGAATTACATTCATTTTTTAATATTTTATGATGTAATCTTTTTATTTTTATTTTTTTAAAGGGAGATTCACTATTATACTCAATATAGGGGCCCAAATTATAAAAATAACTCATATGAAATAGACTTTAGAAACACACCCGAAACCCATTTACAACATAACAAAAGAGCTTTTAACTTATTATAAATTACAAAACTGCCATCTATTTCTTAAAACAAGTCCAACCTCAAAATCTCATAAAAATATCCAAAACACTCAATTGGGCATTAAAGTAATTTAATAATTAATATTAAATTCAATAAGGCCAGCTGTCATTTTTTGGGTTTGTTTATAGAAATTCAATTGTGTAAGGTTTATTTATAATATTAGTGATAAGAATGGGTATATCACTAAATATCTCTTTTTTAAAATAATTTTTTGTTCCAATGTTGCCCATTATGCCTTGAATAAGGTAATAGTAATTTATGTAAAACACCCAAAATGGGGGTTGAAATTATAAAAAAACCAAAGCACTATTTAAACATATAAACACACCCAAAACCCATCATTACACACACTTAAAACCCATTTATAAACACACCCAAAAAGTTGACTTTGGGGTTGATTTTGGGTGTGTTTCTATGTTTAAATAGTGATTGGGTTTTTTTATAAATACATGTCTAGAATTGGGTTTATTTATAACTTTGTATTTTAATTAGCCATTCATGACTTTGTCATTGAATAGAAAAGGAAAATATCGCAAACATATCCCATAGAGCATTTAAATAAAAACCTATCTCTCCTCATTGAATCAGTTTCCTACCCCAAGAGCTTTTCTCCCATTTCTTCTTCACATCAGTAGAGTTTATGAAGGGACAAAAGACAATTTGAAAAAATAAGCCTGCAATATACTTCCATAGCAAGTAGAGAATTATGGCAGAATATTCCTCAAATGATTCTTGGGGACCATTTTGATGTCAGATATGGAAAGTCTCTTGAAATTCATTTGTCTCTATGGTAGAGGTGTATGACATACTCTCGTAGATATATTATCCTATGGTGTAGGTATATTGTTCTATTGCCTATTGCATAGGTATATGTGTTTTTCATATTTTCGACAATGAATAATAGTATTTTACGTACCTTTTTTATAAATTTTTTTTATTTTATAGATAACATACCATTTTTATTTGTTTATTTTTGTATCTAACTTATAGGTAGTCTTCTAATTTATGTTCCTGATTTATAGGTAGTCTTTTAATTTATGTTCATGACTTATAGGTAACACGATTTATCACTAAATTTTTTCCATTGCTAATAATAATACTATTTACCTATATGTTAGGTACATAATTTCATGTGGGTGTTTGCCTGAATAATTAATATAATGTGTGGATCTTTATTTTTCATTGATTAAATTGTATTTTATCCATATATAGGAAAATGTTATGAAGGAAAGACTTCAAAATTTAAATTCAGAAATTAAATTACAAGGGAATAATGTATTAAATTTATATTTTCAATGTGCTTTCCTTATTTACTTCAAGGGTAAAATTGACACAGCAAAAAAAGTAATAAATGTTAAAGGACCTACATAAAAAACCAAAAATGTGTGATTAAATTCAATAACAGATAATCGTTTTGAACATAAATTTAAGAAGCCCTAACTATTAAGCAACTGTTCCCAGCACGGTAACACTAGGCATGGCAGGAAACATGTAATCAGAAGGACGGCAACGGGATTCTCCAACACATGAGAATTATGAGGAAGAGATGACCGTTGGATGGTGGGGACAGCAGGCATTACGTGATCCAACGGTTCGTTGATAGCCGGAGCATTTGGACATGCGAAGAAGTCCCGTCGTTGACTAAGAATCTGGTCTACCTTCCACGCGCACCAGGAGGGCGTGGTTCAGAACCAGCTGAAGATCCAAGGGCGGCTAGTCGTCTACCTGGCCAAGTAGTGAATGCGTACGTATTTATGTATTTTATTTATTTATTTGGTTGTATTTTTAATTTAATTTTTCTTTTTCTGGGTGTGATTGAATTTTCTTTTTGTATGAAAATGAAAATTCAGAGTACTTATTTATTTTTTGAGGAGCAGAAGACGACAAAAAGCGAACTGCGGAGGAAAGAGACGAAGTACCAAACGAGAAAAATTTATCCAAAGAAAATGTTGGCAATAAATAATCACAAGTTAAATTAAATGACACGTAGAACAATATTAGTTTATATGAGAGAGAGAGAGAGAGAGAGAGAGAGAGAGGAAGATGGGAAGGTGGTGAAAGGAGGGAGGTGAGGTGGTGGGGTGAGAAGAGATTGAATTGTGACTTTGTGAGTGCGTTTAATGCAAGGAAATCTGTCGTTTAAGGAAATGAAAGATGGAGCCCTTGCACCAAATAAGCCAAACCAAATGAGAGTAAGTTTTTGAGAGAGAGAGAGAGAGAGTGAGAGAGAGAGAGTCTGCTTTGTGGGTTTAAGGAAGAAGAAGACATGCACAATTCAGAGCTTACAACAAAACCCATTTCTTAATTCCAATCACTTCACCATATTATCCCAAAGGTGTCCCCTCTCTCACTACTCACTCACTCTTTTTGCTTAAATTTCATGCCTTTTTTCTTGACCTGGGCTTGTTTGATTTTTATTTCTTTCCTTTTAGTTTGTCTGAACTTCACTGGTAAATATATATTTTTTCTTTAAAAAGAATTTTGTTATTCAAAATTTTCTGCTTGGTAGCGAGCCTGTGGTTTGTTTGCATGTGGAGCTTAAGATGGTGAGGTTGGTTTTCTAGTGTTTTTTTGTTTTGTTTGAGATGATGGGTTTCTTATTTTGGGTATGACTTTTGTTTTGTTTTTGGTTTTGATAATTATTTTGGGTAAGACTTCAGAGTCATATGTTTTCCTGATTTGGGAGGAGTTTTTGTTCTTGGGCGCAATTGTCATTATTTTGTCCTTGTTTGGGATTTTAATTCTTGGTATTGCATGTTTAAAATGGTTTCCAATTTGAGAATGGGCTTTCTGATAAAGTATGGAGTTTTGTTGTGTGAGAGTTTATTCAACATTTTCAGCTCTGCCTTTTCCTTCTTTTGTGTTTTTTTTCATAATTCAATAATATGTTAAAATAAAAAAAAAAAAAAAAAAAAAAAAAAAATAAATTAATAATTCATTTGCTTTACACATTCTGATATTTAACAAAATTCATAGTTGATTACCTAATTTGGTTTCTTCTCAAAAAAAAAAATTTATGCTTGTCCTTTCCCCCTTGATATAGAAAACAGTAGCACTGTGTATATCTAGTCATTTGATTGGAGCTGTCTTCCATGCCTTTTAAGTACTTCAATGTTTTGTTGGTATTAGGATTGAGGGAAAGAAGGGTGTTTGCATGTGTTTTGGTTTCTGCATTTTATCAATATCCAAATTAGTACTATATATGGTTTAGAAATCATCACTACACCCAGTGACCGAGATTATAGCTTGGTCCTTGTATCGAATTCTAACTGATGGAAGGGATGGAGGTCTGCCTTGCTGATATGCAATGCTGAGGATAAGTTGATCTGAATCCTATTTGGTCCCAGATATGTTTGAATATCTTTTTATCATCCCCTATATAGTTTTCCCTCCACCTATGGTTCTTACTGGAGTTTTATATCCACCACTTAGGATCCCGTGTATGCGGCATGCCGTATAGTACTCTCGTATATCTGCAGCATCAACTCTTGTTGGTGTGCCCTTTTGGGTACAGTGGATGTGATTTATCTTCTGTTATGCATCATGTTTAGTATCAGTACCGTAGTTCACTCAAGTGATGTTATATTGTTCTGTCCTCTTAAATTGATTTCTTAATTTCGGTATTGCAATTTGCAGTGCATATGAAAAGTTAATTTACCAACGTTCTTTATGACTTGAATGTAGTAGCATTGTCGCAGTTTGCATTCCTGGTTGCTGATGAGTGGACAATTTAAGTAAAAGTTCAGGTTTTCCTCTTTTAACATATTTGAAGATCTATAAAGTTTCAACGCCACAATTTGTAGACAACCTGAATCATTGTTTTAGACAATGCAGAATTTGTATAAGCAAAACTCTGATATTGGTTCTGCACATTCGACATTTCCATTCATTGTTGGATCGTCATCATGGGAGAATTCTACTGAAACACATGTCCAACAGTCTACCTCCAAAAGTTTAATCTTCAAGATGGGCTTGCCTCTACAAAATTGTCATAACAGAAAGCAATCTGGAATTCACTTTCAAGATCAAGATTCGTCGTCAACTCAATCAACTGGTCAATCACATTCTGAAGTCGATAGTATGAAAGAAGGCAACCCATGTGGGGAAGGCATAGTTTCAGCACAATCGGGTTGGTTTATCTCTATGTTTTCGTTCCCTTAGTTTTCCTTTTACCTCCCTTCTTGTGGAAACTGGCTTCTCATTGATGCTTCTACGGATTTTTTGTTCCTTATATGTAGATATGTTCTGTATATATGGGGTTATTAGTGCTTTTTTTGTTTGTTTGACAAGAAACAGAATAATTGTGAAGAGATAATCGATTCTGCATTTATGTACCACTTGGAGTAATGTTCAGCAACAATGATCTGGAGATTAATATTATGCTCCTTATTCCATTTGCCAAAACTTGTATCAATGTGGTCTGAGTTGGCTTACTACTGTACTTATCAGAGAACTTTCCCCAATAAAGTAATGGGATCTTCACATTGATTTCCTTTGTTACGACGCATGAACAATATCTAATTTGGTTAGTCTTGTTCATGCAGGATATAATGAAAAACAAGGGAAGCCTGTTGGTGGTCACCTGAAATCACTCTCGTCAATGGCAAGTCAGGGCTTTGTCTTCCCGTCACAACTTGATTTTAGCCACCCAATGGTAAGTTGAGATTTGCTTGTGTTTTGTCTTGCTGAAAGCTGGGAATCTTAAACTTTTTCTGATTATATTCAGGGTCACATTCCATTCCACTATGCTGAACCATACTTTGGTAGCTTACTTGCTGCTGCTTGTGGGCCACAAGCTACGGTGAGTGCTTGAAAGTGAATACTAATAGAACCTCTTTTCTAATTTATGTGAGCTTGCTTTCATAGTATGTTGGGAACCTAAAAATTATGCTTTTCAATATTTTCCACATCAAATTATATCAATAGAGTTCAAATTATATTAGAACTTGAAAATTCCGAGTTACTAAATGAGGCTTTGTCATTTCCTTCAATGTGATTGCGCAAAATCTTGAACAATATATGGTGCCTTTGGCATTGAAGTATGTTTTGATGTTGTTAATAGAAGTAATCATGAAGGGCATGCCTTCACCCAGAAAGCACATATAATAGATTCTTTCAATTTGCAGGATTTTCAAAACATGAAAATCATTCTTGGAGGAAGTTTTAAATGGCTGTTTTTCCAATCATTCTGCAGATGCTACAACATTAGGTCCAGCTTTGAGGATGCATTAATTCAATCTTCTTCATTATGACAGTTGCAACGTCAATACTGTCAAAATTAGCATAAAAGGAAATTTTGGAATCTTATGTAGGACGGTGATCATGCATGTTGCACTTCAAACTGTTCATTCTCTTTTCACAGTGCTAAGGCTATATGCCTGTCTTCATTATCAACTCATCATAAGAATTTTCAAGGTTTAGACCCTAAATCTTTTTAGCCATGTAGCACCTTCCTAGGCATCTTTTCTTGCAAATTGTTTAAAGTCAATGTACAACAGATAGTTTGATATTCTTAAAGTAGGTTTGCTAATGTTTTTTTTGCCATCTTATAAATTTTGATTCTATTTTGCTTTGCATCTCCTTTGCTCTTATTCTTTTTCTCCTTTATTAATAATTATTTATAGTAATAAAGTTTCTTGCCTATTTATTAACCCTAGACCAGTTCTTTATGAAGTTCAACCTTCAAGGCATAGATGCAAAATGAGTGAGGAATCTTGAAGACCTATTATTGTTGGGATCAAAATACAAAAGTTTTATAAGATATTATATTATATCTCTTCTGTGGTTCTACCTTGTGGATTCTACAATTTAGTGGTTTTGATATAGATTCTGATTCTTTTGCCCTTTAATCGAACCATGACCTGAAGATTTATAAAAATAGACCACATCTGGTGGTTTTTGCATAAGAATGTGCCTCTTCTGTTTCCATTTTATGAGATATTCATCATTTAAATGTCTCCAGATTCATCATCCCCAGGTGATGGGGATTACTCCTGCTAGGGTTCCCTTGCCTCTTGATCTTACAGAAGATGAACCCATTTATGTAAATGCAAAACAGTATCGTGCAATCTTAAGGAGGAGACAATATCGTGCCAAGCTTGAAGCTCAGAACAAACTCGTCAAAATTCGTAAGGTATGTGAAGTGTTTTTTATTGATTTGTAAATGTCTCTGTGTGGTTTATGTTAGGGAGACTTGTACTTTTTTTGACGGACAAAAGCATTTTCTCTAAGAAAGTCCATTCTGAAATATGTGCAGCCCTATCTTCACGAATCTCGGCATGTTCATGCATTAAAGAGGGCTAGAGGATCTGGTGGGCGCTTTCTCAACATGAAGAAGGTCCAAGATTCCAAGCCTAATACCACAAACCATAGAGTGGATGTTTCAGGCTCAGCTCAGCTACATTTGACCAGAAATATGTCCGAATCCGAAGTTCATGAGCCTGACAACTATAGAGATGGTGCTTCCACTACTTCTTGCTCTGAAGTCACAAGCACTTCCAACAGTGATAATATCTTTCCACAGCAAGATTTCAGGTTCTCTGGCTACCCCTCTCACATTGGTGGGACCATGCAAGTTCCCTTTGTTGATGTGCGTGGTGGTGGGAACCAGCACCATATTTCCCTCCTCCGGTGAACAATCACCATAGCAGTCAGTGTTCAGTGTTCTGTTGGAGAATACGACTGCTATGTTCCCTCGGGAAGTCATCCTTGGCTCTGTTAGAGTTCCTATCTATTGTTCCTTCGGGAAGTCATCCTTGGCTCTGTTGAAGTTTCCTTTCGAATTCCCTCGGGAAGTCATCCTCAGCTCAGTTACGTTTCAAATTCCCTCGGGAAGTCATCCTCGGCTGAGTTACATTTCGAATTCCTTCGGAAAGTCATCCTCGGCTCTGTTGAAGTTTCCTTTTTCTAGTTGTTAACCTTTATATTTAGTTTTTGGGCAAAACACAAGCATTCCTGATGAACTATGGTTAACTGATACATGGTGACAAGAACATAATTACTCTTGGGTGTGATGAATAATCTGCGTATTTGTGCAGACAATTGACCTTGGATTTAAAAGTTTCTGTAAGTGATGAAAAATTATGTTTGTGCAGAAAACTAACCTTGGTTTTGAAAATTCTATTGATTGCTCAAAGTAAAAGTGCTAGTTCCGGATTTCCAAGCAAATAATGCCAAAAAGGAAATTATAAATAACAATTGATCTGGTTAATTATTTAAGGTTTCTTCATGGCTTTAAAATGAACCTTGATGATGCGCTCTAACAGAAAACAGTTCGTACATGCAACTAAATCCTACCTGCAAGGCTGCAAGTAGCAATATCATATAACTGCTAGGTGGTCAATCACATTCTTTCCATATGAATTACCAATTGCCTTCATTTATTAAGCGAATGACAACTGTTAGTCTTTTTCTTTAATTAAATTATTTCCACTCCCATTTTCTCCTACTCTTATTTTTAAGGGAGTTTCACTAAAACACCCAAAATGGGGGCTGAAATTATAAAAAAACCCAACACCCAAAACACTTTATAAACACACTCAAAACCCATCATTACACACACTCAAAACCCATTTATAAACACACCCAAAAAATATACAATTGTTGATTTTGGATGTGTTTCTATGTTTAAATAGTGCTTTGGTTTTTTTTATAAATACATGCCTAGGATTGGGTTTATTTATAAATTTGTATACTTTTAAAATTTAATCTTGTTATTACAGAAGTTTAACTTAATAGAAAGTTACTTTTAAAAAAAAAATCTCTATTTGCCATGGAAAACCATGTCACAGTGTCGTTCATGGATTAACCCCATAACCTAATTGCCAGATAGGGATAGATAATGGGTACTCATCAATAATATTATTTAGGCTTTTTATCACAAATGGTCCTTCATGTTTATGAAATTATCACGAATGGTCCTTGAGGTTTTTTTGTGACACTAATAGTCCTTAACGTTTGGGATTTTTATCACAAATGGTCCCTGCCGTTATAAATTCTGTTAAGTGTGACATTGAAGATAAGTGGAACCCACATGTCCAATCACATTGTGACATGTGGATAAAAAAATAATTAAATAATTTTTTATTTATTTCAAGTTTTCATTTTTGTGGGGAATTGGTAAATTGAAGGTCTGGCCTCCGATCTGAAAGCAGAGTTACCCAAGGAAGCTTTCTTTAGTCTGAAGGTCTGAGAAGTAATTGGAATAGCTGTTGCATTATTTATCCTCTCTGTGTTATCAATGTGCCTTACTTCACGTAAGAAATTAAGGAAAGCTAGGGACAAGATTCCCTTTAGTCAAATCCCAACCGTCTCAAAAGAAATTAAGGAAGTTAGCAAGTATCTGCAAGTGAATTTGCTCCTCGTGATGGAATTCTTCTCACCATTCATGACAAATCCAGTGACAAAGAAGCAGACAAGATCATGCTCCGTTTGGGTATGGGAAAATCAAAAAATGGAGAGAATAGCAGTCAGTCAGGTTCATTTAATCAATTAGAAAACGATGGTGGCCTGTACCAATCTGGATAAGAGGGGAGTTCCAGCACTGTTACAGTGTACAAGGCTTCTTCATCGTATCCAATAACTGCCCCGTCTCCTCTAGTTGGCCTGCCTGAATTCTCTCACTTGGGTTGGGGCCACTGGTTTACATTAAGGGACCTTGAGGTGGCAGTGGGAAAGAAAAAACAGAGGGAGAAGAAGAGGACAGGGAGAAGAGATGGAGAGCAAAGGGTGGAGAGCGAGGGCAGAGGGGGAGAGAGATGAAGTAAGGAAGGGGACGAAGAGTTCCAGAAAAAAAAACAATTGGAATTTTCATTAAAAAAATTATTTAATTATTTCTTATCCACATGTCACAATGTGATTGGACATGTGGGCTCCACTTATCTTCCACGTCACACTTAACGGAATTTATAATGACAGGGACCATTTGTGATAAAAAGTCAAAACGTTAAGGACTATTAGTGTCACAAAAAACCTCAAGGACCATTCGTGATAATTTCATAAACGTGAAGGACCATTTGTGATAAAAAGCCTATTATTTATACTATATTTGTTGAACTTGTTGACCACCTCTCTAATAGAGGCGGGCCCTATTAGTGTATATATGACAGAGAGAAGTGATTAGCAATATGGTCAGTAAATGGAGAAATTATAGAATGCTACGATAGTATAGCCACTCAATACTCATTAATAGTTGTTAATGGATCAAATTTTGATCCGAATCGAATTAAGAGAGAGTTTTATTTTGTTAAGTGATCAATTTTATTTTTTTGGTGGAAAAGATTGTTAAGTGATCATTGGTTATTAGCTGGTTCGGTAGTGTCTCAATTTTGTTAGGAGATTCAAATTTCAGCATGAGTTGTCCAAAAAAAAAGATAAAAGGTAAATATAGAACTATATAAGGATCTGAATGCAAATATCATGAGGGGACAAAAATTGAAATTAAAACAAACCCCAGGACCAAAATTGTAATTCCTCTTTTAACACCTTCGTATACTCTCCCTCTCTCTCATTGAGTTTTTGACTTGGTTTTCTCTGACACAGAGAAAGAGAGAGAGAGAGCAATGAAGGGAGCTGATGCCGCACTCTACAATCCTCGCACAGTCGAGGAGGTTTTCAGAGATTTTAAGGGCCGCAGAGCTGGCATGATCAAGGCTCTCACTTCTGGTCTTTTTCTCTGTCTTTTTCTTTTTTGCTTTTTTTCTTCATTTGTTACTATTTAGGTTTACTTTGGTTTTTGAGGAAGCCCAGAAAGGAATTTGGTGTTTTTTCACTGATTAGTGGGCTTATATTGATTTGAGATTTGGAAATTGGTCTTGTGTTTTGGTCGTCGTTTTGTTTCTTTGTTGAATTGAGTTTGAATTGGATATTTTCGCACTTACTGGTTTTAGCTTCTGGGTTTGGTTTCAGAGAAAATCTAGAAAGAAAAAGGACAGTAAATTATGAATATTAGCGGTTAATGTTGTTTTGGGTTCGGAATAACTTCCCAGTAGGAAATGGTAGGGAATTCACCCTTGTTCCCCTTCGGAATAGGGTTCGGCTCATTTCTCTTTTCTGTTTGGTTTCTGAGAAAACTAAAGAAAGGAAATGGTAGAAGATTGGTAAATTGTGTGCTTAAAGTTCATTTATGAATGGAATTATGCCCTTTGCTTTCATATTTATTCTGCGTTTTTGGTTTTTGAGCACGTTGAGGATTGTATAAAAAATTCTTTTGATTTTGGAATTCTAAGTTGTTTTATAGCTTTGGTGTTTGATTTTCAGATAAATTACATGAGAAGAGAAGCTAAAATGATACTTCATGTAGGGTTGTTATATTCGTTTCCGATTTGGAAGAAAATTTCTGACGAGTTTGTGTTTTACGTTTTGTTTTCTCACTAATTTAGTTTCACTACCATTTATTTAGTGTTGAATTCCATTATTACGTTGAAAATTCTTTTATGTCTTTGTTTTGGGAGTAAATAAAGGTATACCGAAGAAAATGTTTCTCAATTAGATGTTTTTCTTTGTTTTGGAATGGGGAAAAGTGGTTTTAATTGATTAATCTTTAGCTTCTGCAGGAAAGCCGAAAAAGGGGCCTGTCTATAATTGTTTTGTTGTTCATGAAATCTCTGTTTAGAGCAGATTGAGGAGCAGAAGGGAAATGATTTTATTTTTGTAGTGCTTTGGCCCCAATTTTTGTAAACTGAGAAAAGTCAATTATAGTGCTTTTTAGTTAGTGTGAAAATGGAAGGTTTCTAAACTGGAGTAGATATTTGTTCCTTAATTATTTGGAGGATAATTTGCCATTAGCTGTTTTAAAAAAGAAAAACTTAATATTGGGAATTTTGAGTTTGATTATATGTTACTCTTTTTCTCATGAATCAAGGAATGAATGAATATGTCCACTTATACTCTTTTTATTTTTGATTTAAAGAACCTCTATTTTGATGTGAAGGAAACTTAGGGATTCAAAATAGATAAATGTAAAGACCTAGATTTGAATATTGTTGTACTAGATTAACATATTGAGATCAGTTGAATGGAGAGTCATGACATAAGTAAATTGTATGTGTTTTAGTTTTTTGTCGTGCCACTTCAGTTTTATTTTTGAGGTGATTTTGAAAAGTTTGTTGGAGCTTTACTTGTTGCTGATGTTTTAGATTTTTGTTGCAGATGTTGAAAAGTTCTTTCAGATGTGCGATCCTGGTAAGTCCTGTATGTTTTATAAGTTTATTTCATAAATGTGGCTTCCACTTTTAGAATAGCTTGTGTGCTATGTATACATTATTCCTTTGGGGCTGTAAATGAGAGGTCTCTAACAAATTTGGAACTTAACTAGGTTGTCATTACATTCTTTCAGGAATCTAATATATTGGTCATCCACAATAGCTGTTTGCACTCTTGTGTTTTGAGCATGTTCAAGGTTCTATATAGGAGCCTCTGTTCAAATAAGTTAATGGAGATGCTTGTGATGTCACTTATCGACAAAAGACAAAAAGAAAAAAAAGAGAGGCTAAAAATGACCATAGCTTAGTAAGAATTTCTTTGGTCAATTATTTGTTTTTGAAAATTGCGATTAAATCATGGTGTTATTGAGTTCATTCTAAATGATGAAATAATCTATACTGGGAAACTTCTAAGTAATATGATTTTGAGAATTAAGAAGAAAAGCTAAATTGTCTTTTGTGCATGCTGTGTGTCCCAGGTTTGTCTAAATACAATGTTGCATGTATGCTTGTGTTGTGTTATGAATTATATAATTTTCTTTAGAGCTGTAGTCAAAGGAGAATAATCTATTTTTTGTTTAGTGATGTTGCATCCTGGACAAGGTTGTTATGAAGTCAAGATGACAATGATGATCATTGTTGTTATTATGATATAATGTCTGTGCATTATTGTTTTAATGAATTTAATGGTTTCTCAGAATCAATGATAATTATTTTCTTTGAATGGTTGAACCTTCATATAAATTCAAGGCCGCATAAAATCTTTTCAAAGCTTGATCTGTGATACTTTGATGTTCAGAGCTGTTTGACAATTAAAGCTGTATCTAATAGGGGTTTTCCCAGTTCTGGCAAAAAAAAAGGCGGTTTCCAGTCAGTTTCATTTTTTGGTGTTACTTCCTATTTGTGGCTATGTTTTTGCTGTCTGTTTCAATCAGTATTTATGAGCTATTTTCTTCTCACAGAGAAGGAGAATCTTTCCTTATATGGATATCCTAGTGAGCAATGGGAAGTCAACCTACCTGCTGAAGAAGTGCCTCCAGAACTGCCAGAGCCTGCACTTGGTATTAACTTTGCAAGAGATGGTATGCAAGAAAAAGACTGGCTATCTTTGGTTGCTGTTCATAGCGATGCATGGCTAGTTTCTGTTGCCTTCTACTTTGGTGCCAGATTTGGGTTTGATAAGGCTGACAGGTAAGTTGCAACCAATCTGTAGAGTTTATCTTGATCAGACGCTGCATGGTTGTCAGTAAAGTTCATTTTTTGTGTTCACCTTGGTAGATAAACATGAGGTTGTGGGCTTCTGTTAAATATATTGTTGTTTTTCTTTTGTTGCAGGAAGCGACTTTTTAATATGATTAATGAACTTCCAACAATATTTGAAGTTGTGACTGGTACTGCAAAAAAACAAGTAAAAGAGAAATCATCTTCAAATCATGGTAGCAACAAATCCAAGTCGAACTCCAAAGCGGTAAAATTACTTTCCATGCGTACTTTTGTTTCAAGAAAATTACATAAAATGGGTAAATCTTGGCAATGCAAAAGATTACATGGAATTTGCACATAATGGGTTCTATTGATATGTCACCTCAAATGAAAGAGGCATTGTCCCGCTATTGAAACGTAAAGATTCAATTTTTGGTGGTATTTTTTCATCATTAAAATCTGAATCTGTTTGTGACTCAGTGGAGTTACCAGGCACCCTGGATTTTAAATGAGTTCAATTCTAATATTTGATGGCAACAATTTGATTTACTTATTTTTGTCACAAAAAAGCAGCGAGGATCAGAATCTCAGGGAAGACATTCAGAAGTGGTGCAGCCAAAGGATGAAGATGAGGGCTTGGACGAAGAGGAGGAAGATGAACGTGAAGAGACATGCGGGGCATGTGGTGGAGGCGGACCATCCTCATTAGATGAACCCTGGATTTTTTGTGACTTCTGTGAAACATGGTTCCATATGAAGTGCGTGAAGATAACCCCCGCAAGAGCAAAACAGATTAAGCAGTACAAATGCCCTTCATGCAACAACAAGAGAGCTAGGCCTGATTAAAATTAAATACCCAATAGCTTGATAAATACTCTTATAAGTTTATTCTCTAAAATCTGATCTGTTTAAGACTATTTGTAACCTGCTTTTATAATTTGCTTCTAGGGGAGTTTACGTTTAGTGACAGATTTTCTTTTTTTCTTTCTAGTCCTATGAAACATTTGCGACTCTTTTCATATATCTATCCAAGTAATTCTTAGTATTAAACATCCTCCATTTTTTTTAATTGTCAATTAAAACTCCTTCATGAAAGGTGGACAATCTTGTTATCACACGGAATTTTAACTGAACAGTTATTTATTTATTTATCATTTATTATCTATGGTAAAAGGAACGAGGCATTATGTTACGGTTGTTTCTTTTCTTGAAGCATGTGATTCGGTAATGGCCTTGGATGTGGTTATTATTTCCGAGGGTCTTTTCCACCATGGTACTACTGATTCATGGTTATTATGACTCCGATTCCTGGTTAACTGAAATCATGCTTACCTCGATTTCTCATTACTCTGATTCATGCGTTACTCCGATTCCTGATTAGTAAATATGATTCACTTGATTAGTAAACATGCCCCAAGTGAATCGGCATATGACCTTGGATGTGGTTAATAGTTATCAAAAAAACCAAACCAATGGGGGGCTTAAAAATTCTTGCATACAACGGCTGTATTGAATCTAATTCTTGCAGTAAACTAAGCACATAACAAACATATGAGAAATTATTATGAGACCGAGCGTTCCATTCACCAGTTAGAGCATCTCCATTCAACAGGAGAAAAAGGGAAAGAGAAGGTTGGAATCACTCTTGCCATACAAAATTATGTTGAGTGCCCCACCTGACGTCAGCACACCAAGTGGTGTGCTGCAATCCTACACAGCTCTATGATGAATGGCTGAGATGGATTGGAATTCAAAATGGAAGGCCCATATTTAATGCAATTTGCATTGCACTTCCAATGGTCTGAAATATAGAAAAAAAATACCTGCTACATAGATATTTTTATGTTAGTTTGTAGGTAAAATCATATGTTCTCCAAATTAAATTTTTTTTTATGTCAATTTATTTGGAAAAATAAAATAAATCTAACACACAAAATTAATTTTAAAAAGTAAAAAAAAACAAAAAAATGAATTATCACAAACAAATTGAATATGCATAAAGTGGCTTTACACCCCCGAAAATACAATCTTCCATTGATGATGCTCTTACATAAGATGCCATAATTTTTTTTCATTATTAATATTTTTTTCATATTTTCTCTTATTGTTTGACCGAAACAATAAGAGATTTATCTTTTTGAAAAATTATTTGGCTCATTCAGTAGTATACAACAATGCTAATATGAGCCATGAGCAAGTGTGTTGTGTTGTGTCTCTTTTGTGCAGTTCATGTGTGCTTTTTCATGCTGACTTGTCGTTTCATGCTTTGATTTTTACCTTACAAAAAGATTATAACAGAAGATGGACCATATCACATGATGCGTTTGGGCATCAACCTTAAATTCATGCTTAACGTGTCGTGTAAACAATTCATGATACGACTTGTCATCAAAATTCATGCGACGCATCATTAAAATTTTATAATCAAATACCATTTTCTCATTACTGTCATTTTCTTATAATTTCCTAAATTTTGTTTTAAGCATATTTATAAAAATAAAAGCATTTATGAGCGTGCCCACAAAGTCAGAAACAGATCATCACCAGCATTCTAACTACAAATGATGGATGGATTGTGATATAAAACGACCACTTGCAAAAGTATAGATCTCCAAATGGATTATAAGAGCTTCACAAACCTCAGCAACTACTACAAAGTCCAGCACATGCGTTACATAATCATCCAAATCCGGATGCGCATACAAATATATTAATAATACAAAGTTTTTTTAAAAAAAAAACACAATAACCAAGTTTGTCCCATTGGAAAAAGATTCGTCAAATAAATTATTAATCACAATCATAGAATCGAGAATATATAAATATATAAATTTTAGGATGAAAAGACATGTTGGGTATGTGTTTGTTTTTTCGAGCCAAAATTAGGAAAGAGAGGGAGAAAAGTCACACACGGATATTAAAGGGGCTTGAACCAAGGACCACTTAAAAACACATCAAAGTCCTGGGTCGATCTAACTAACACTCATTTACACATTAGGGTGTTAACCCCACCATTTTATATTAAACTTATCCAAAACATATCACATCCAAACCAAATGCAATTGTTTGAGCTTTCCTCCACTAACTAGCATGTGATCCTTAATTACAAATATTATGAAAAAGAAAAAAGGAACAGAGTGGGTATGTGTCACACTATCACTAGTGGATGTGGTTGAGATTTAAAACCAATCCAATTAACATATCAAAAGCAGAGGACTTTGGGTAGAGTCTAAGTTACACTAGAGTCCAGAATTTTCAATCCAAGCAATCTTTGAAAAATCTAAAGCTTCTACATTAAATCTCATATATGTTACGTTACTGTATGTACAGTACTGCATAAACCAGAAGTTCAACTTCTGCATAAGATCTATATTGAAAATAACATATTTACGTCTGCATTGTATTACATTTGATCAACCAAGTGTGTGCAGGTTAATAGAAAGAAAGAACAAAAACAGAAACTTCTTGGTTGCAAATTGCAACGCAAGAAGAGAAAACAACAGAGACAACTTAACAGAAAATTAAACAGGAATAAACAAAGTATCTCCTCTACTGTTTGTTTATCATGTCAAAACCTCTTGGTTCTTTGTGGAAAGCCGTTTGAGAAACTCATAGGTGGTGATCATTGTGGTTGCAGAAATCGACATTGAAGCCCACCGCGGCCCCAATCCTCTGTAACAAGCTGTCCATCCACCTTCCTTAACCAGATTCCGAACAGTCTGTCCGATTGTTGGTCCACGCCGGCCATTGTCCTCCCCATCCAAAACTTGCAACCTTGTCTTAACTGTATCGAGGGGCATTGTGATTAGGGCTGACATGCCGCCCGCCATGGCTGCACTGACTCCCTGAACTGCCATTATTGTTTTCGAATCCGGTGTATATGTGGTAACCCCATCCTCATTGCTTTCATCACTTTTCTTACAAAAATGATACCCAACTCCACCCCAAACCATTCTTTGAGCAACAGAGTAAGATGCCCACCAAACTGCATTGGATGGTGCATATGTCAAAATAGATATCCCAAACCCTCTATACAATCCTCTTGGCCCATCCGTCTTAATAATTTTCCTGAATGCATCGATCCCATTAACATATTTACAATCAGATGCATTAGGAAATTTGGAACTTGATTTCACACCACCTTGCACCATGAGTCTCTGACTCACAACATCAACTGGAGTCCACACAATCTGTGCAGCCATTGCTGCACTCAACCCTGCAGCTGCATTGGCAATGGCGGCTGCCGTGGACTCTGAAATTCCTAACCTAATCGTGGCAGTTCCGACTTTACTCTTAGTGACCTCAAGCGCTGCCATGTACAGCGCCCGGGCAGGTATTGTACCCATCAAAGAAGTCCCAAATCCTCTGTACAATGCCCTAAAACCCTCGTGCCTAACCATTGAAATCGCAGTTTTGAGGCAAGAAACTTGGGATTGAGCTACTTGTTGCCGGGTTTTCAACACCACAACAGGGTAAAGAGTCGCCGATACACCCGAAAAAAGAGCTGCTCCAAGGAAGAAGAACTTGGATTTATCAAGCATTTGCCAATCAATTTCAGCGGGAATATGAATTTCTTGCGCCGATTCTTCCTCGGCAGTGCTCAAATTCATCTTAGCCACCTTCTCAACGACTCAAATTTTCCAACTTTGACACAATTCGATTGAACCCCAGACCCCAATTACCTCCAAATAACCTTTTAACCCCTCAAAACTTCACAAACTCCAATGTTCAAATCCAAAATCTCCTCCAGTCTCGCACCAGTTCTATCTACAAACCCTATCTGTACAAAATTTACAAATCGAAAAATAAAAACTACTTGCGCGGGCTGTACAGTATTGAAGCCTTAAAATATGATACAGATTTGATAAGTTCCATAATTAAAAGGGGTCGATATCAACGAATCAGCGTCTTTTTCCTCCTGTGGAACCAGGTCTTGGATCGGACAAGAACCGCACCGAATGCATCTAACATTTTAGATACAAGAACGAAGCGTATCGAAGAATCTTACCCGGAAAGAGATCATCGGTAGCCGGAGAAGCTCGCCGGGGCAAGCTAGGGTTCCGATGGACATCAAACAGAGAGAGAGAGACAGTGAGAGAAAGGAGAGAGAGGGGGGAGGGAAATGGTGGGTAATAATAATATGGCGTGTCTTATTTTAGGCGGAGGCTAAACAAGGAGGAACTGACACGTGTCGGTTATGGATTAGGGTGGTGGCGATTTATAGCTGTTTGCTTTGTTTTGTTTTGTTCGGTTGCAAACTTGCAGGTGGAGGCCGGTTGCCCGAGCGACAGTGGATGACGTGTCTGATCCTATCCATTTTGGAAAAAGAAAATAACTATTTAATGTACGTGGGTCCCTCACTCCCTACAAATTTCTTTGCTTATTACACTTTAGCAATTTGCTTCTAAATAAATCGTGTAATTATTCAACACGCCAAAACTAGATTTTGTTGCCAATAATAAAAAATCTAGTTTATCTTATCTTTTTACTTATTTTGTCTCATAATTTTGCATGATAAGAGAGGTGAAGATATTTATCAAGGAAAAAAGAAGAAGATGGAGATGGAGAGAACGTACATACGGATTAATCACGTAACTCATCAAGTGGTGAGAGAGATGAAAAACTGTGCACTACTGAATTAGACACTTCAGCTGATTGGGGTTGTTTTGGCAAAAGGGCTGTGGTTAAACCAAGATTGCCAGGCAAAACTCATACGAGTCATTGAAACCACAGTAACCTTCCTTTTATATTTCTGGGATTTAATGGCCTTTGATCCTGCCTTATATTCAATTCGGGGAGAAACCGTTTAACATGCGATGTGATTATGTTTTAGGGTATAACATTAATAAAATGTACATGTATTTGTAATATGGATTGTTAAAAACACTTGCCGAAGTCAGTGGGGTATAGCTCAGTTTTTAGGGAATTATAACCAAGTGCTTGACTGTTGAAAACAGCTGGTCACTTTGCCCATTATGAGACCAAGATAAGCATGAAATAATTCTATGGTCACTTACATTTGGTCAATTAGCATCCTCTGCTATGAATACGACAAGTTATCTCCTAATGCCATACTTTAGACACCTCTGCTATGAATTCGACAAGTTATCTCCTAATGCCATACTTTAGACAAGGAAGAAAAAACGTCGACAAAACCTGGCTGGTGAACATATCCTCCGCACAACAAAACAATAAAGAAGGATTTTTATTTATTTATTCTGCTTAGAAAAAGGACAAGAACGCAGAACTTGTAGATCTTCATTGATGAGGAGGATTGTAATTGTTTCCTGTACAAGTTTTTCCCTTTGTTGGGTGTTTCCCTATACAAGTTTCTATACTTGGGATAACAAATCTATGGTTTTGGCTACCAATAAGCATCGTCCTCATTCTCCAGTTAACCTGCTATGATTCTATGGAAAATGACCTTTAAGCCACTCAAGTATTTTTGCATGCCTGCTCAAACCACTGCAAACAGCAAGTTAAAGATTTCAGATAATAGAAAAGCAACAAGTTTTTATTTTATTTTCAAATTTTGGGGTCAAACAGAAGCGGGCATGCAAAATTTAAACCATTATGTGCTTACCTGTCTCAGTAAATCAGCAAGAGTCCTAGGAAGTGCTTCAATGTTCCTTAGTACAATGTAGAATGGGAAAGGAAAAGAGTCCATGTACTTCGAAAATTTAATATTCCCACCCTCGAAAGATGCTTCCTACAAAGACGCATTGCACGAAAGAAAATCCTGGAATTAGATATCCACTTTTCCAACAAAACAAAAAAGAGGAAATTTACAGATATATTATACTTTAAAAGAAAGGTAAGCAGCCAATTCATATAGTTCAAGTCCTTAATATACCTTAAAAAATCCTAGAGGGAAATTAACAGTTGCGTGATAGGTCAGGGAGTAAAATGGATGTTAACCCTAAAAAGAAAGTATGGAGAATTACCATGAGGTCCATTATGGACTCTTGTGGATTATCAAGAAGCAAAAATGCAACCATACGTTTCCTAGCTAAGGCATCCCTAACACACTGCTTCAAGTTCTCCTGCAAAGATGAACTTTAAATACAAAGAAAACAATAAAACTGAAGACAAGCAGCAACAACAGCCCCTTGGCCACTTAAAAAAGAAAAAGAAAGTTACTTTCTCATGGAAACGACCATCCGCAATAATCAAAACGAGCTGTTCTAGTGGGTTCCATCCAGAGGGAAGTCGTGCTCTTGCAACTGCTTCATCTAGCTTGTTGTTTAGATACTTCAAAAGATCAACAACTGGTTCATCAGCAATAGTATTCTCCTGCTTGAATGACAAACTCGAGATCATCTGCACAACAATCAGTAAGACACTTTAGATGCTATATACCATGGGACAGAATAACTACTGAATAGAAATATGAAAATAAGGATCTATGATGTTATTTATCTACTGATATTAAGGGCACTGACCTTGATTCCAGCCTCTCCAGTAAAAGGTTGATCGAAGTCATGTAGCAACCTTATGTTACCTTTCTTTCCAAAGCTTGCAACAGCCAGGTTGCCCATTTCTAGTTGGGACATTGCACGACATACCGTTACCAAAGCTTCAATAGCAACATCACCACAGCAGCTCTCAGACATACTACGGGAATCATCAACAGCAATGACAACTTGATAATCACGTTTGTTAGGACGGGTCCGTCTCAGCCATATTTTATCTTTCCGATAATGACTGGCCATGTATGGAATCACCTAAGAAATTTTACATCACAAGGAAAACTTATTAAAATATGTTTACAAAAATTGAAGTGGACACACTGGATTATCTTGCATCTTACCTTCTTCATGTTAATCCGCTTGCCTGTCTTATAATCCCCTTCAAGCTTGCTGGCTCGATTAGGCTCCATGACAAGACGTAATTGTTCAGCCAATTCCTGGGACAATCTTGTTGTGGTCTGCTCATATCTTCTCCAGAGAACAGTAGCATTGCCCACAACATCATCAGAAAATTCGCCAGCAACTTGTGCTTTTCCCATGTCACTGTCATTTACAGAAAGTTTACTGAGCTGATGCATGTCATCACTGAAGTAGGACGTCTGCACAGAAACTACATCCTCTACTATGCTTTTGGGATCACCATCATGACGGCTATGAATATCTTGATACTCATCGCCTGGCAATTTTTCTATACCAGAAAGATGCATCTGATCCTCTATCTTATCTTGGAGCATTGAAGCACGACTCCTGCTAGGCTGTGCTTCATATTTTTTATTCTCAATTTCCATGTCAACAAGGCCATCTTTATGTGTTGTACGATCATCTTCACCCGCATTGGACTTATTACCATCTACATTTCTGTCAATCTGTTCAGATGTTGCAGGTCCCAAAGCCTGAGCTGTCCCCTTTTCATACTCAGAAACGTATCCAAACTCATCTGCATTTTCATTCTTGATCTCATCTTGTGGCTCCACGTCACCTTCCTGAAGATCAACAGACACTTTAACTCTTTCCTCCCACTCCTTGAGTGCATCCCCAACACTACGGTAAGGGTTTGGTTTGCTTTTCCTCTCAGATGAAGATTCTTGCCTAGGAAGTTGACTTTTTGGTTGCTCAGCAACATTTTTACCATTATCTGATGCCTCAGAAATCATCATATCCAGCTCTGAGGTATTTGTGGAAGGTAAACCTCTCATAGGAGTAAGCTCATTATGAATATCATTGCTATTTGCCCAGTTTGATTCTGGTGCTACATCTCTTGGATCTGATGCCTTCAAGTCACTCTTAGGTTGTGTCGAAGGTTCTGTGTTGGGCACATCATCACGCATTGAGTCAGACTCTCCCAGTTCGAATACATCCTTACTTAATCCTGAATTTATGTCAGGATTATCTTCATGATCCTTACTTGCATCATCCCTTTCAGGAGTTGCATCCATTTGTTCTGTCTCTGTCTCTGCCTCTCCCATGGTTTCATCAGTTGAAAATGCATGTTCTTCTTCATGGTCTTCATTCTCCGCATGCTCATCATGCATTTCAGGATCATCCAACTCCATAGTTTCATCAGAATTTTGATTCAAATCATCGGGATTTAATCCTGTAGGATCTACAACTGCTTCTTGTTTGTCCAGGTTCATGTCCTCAACATTCTCGACATCATTGAGATCATCCTGGCTTCCAATCTCACCATTATCTTCATCAATTTCATTTAAATCAAGCTCTCCAGGCTCATTGGTGGCGGCAGCAGAGTCATCCTTGGCTCTAAGCTCCCTAGAACTTGCATCCCTATCGTTAACTGAATTCCCAGATTCATACTTCTCATTTGAATTATTGACATTTTCATCTTCATCCTTATTCCATACTTTCTCATCAACAGTTTCACCATCAACTCCTGTTTCTCCCATTGCAGATTCTAAATGCTCATCTGCATCATCTTCATTTGCATCATCTTCAGAGTCTTCACTGACACTAAATGTATCAGCTGCAAAATCCTCCTCCATCTCTATCCCTTTATCATTTTTACTTGGGACTTCACCTGAGGCATCTTGTTCTTCGCTAGCCTGCAGATACATGCAAAAGAAAATTTAGTGACACCTTGTGACAAATTGCCACATGATATAACGCATGATAAGTTGGTTGGAAATTTCCATGTGCTCAAATCAATACCTTCTCAGATATTCCAAGAAGTTGATCTTCATCGGTAATCTGATCACTGACATCATTCAGTCCAACACCATCTCCCATACCTGTTCCTTTTTTATCTTGAGATATATCACCAGTAGCATCATCCTCTTTGTCTTCAGAAGAAATCCCAGATCCCTTTGAATATAAAGCTAAAACGTTTGCAAGCTTATGAATTATTAAAGATACCTGCACATAAATATACATCAATGAAGACATAATGTTATACAAATTTCAAGAATCACTGACAAGAATAATTTAATTTCCTATACATAACCAAGTGAATGTTCAACACACTGAATATGAAACTGGCAACTTCTGTTCAATATTGCATAATTATAACAGCTGGAATGGGCTATAAGTTCCACCTCTGTATCTTATACATAATGGCATGCAAGTCTTGTTGCTCAGTTAAAATGGTCAGTAATAAATTTAGCCTTCATGGCAGAGTGGAGGCAGGAAGGCGAAGATGTCCGGAAGGGCAAAAGGACCGAGAGCGGCATGGTGGATTATTTCTGTTTGGAAGTAGCACTACTGGTAGTAAAGTGATGAAAAACTCACTTGGAGAAGAATTGGATTACCACGTCCATGTCAAATCTCAGTACAGAAAGAATGGTAAAGAGAAGGATCACAGAAAAAAAGAAAAGAGAATTCACAGACACACGGATATCCTTGAGACATAAGAATCACCAGAGAAAAGCTTTCAAACCCAATTTTCAGATAATGAAAATAAGGTTTGATGGGAATGGGGGCAACTGGATGAAACTTTAGTTCCTCATTCCCATTCCCTGCCCCACCAACCCATGAAAAGAAAAAGGAATGAGAGATGACAAAGATGCACCAATATACCCATGATTGAAATGGAGAGAAAACGACTTACAGTTTTGCACATAGCTAAAAGTTCTTTCATCAGAGCATGACCAAAGTTCAATAAGATGTCCAAACACCTACATAGATGTTTAAAATGTGCTTCAATTCTGAGTAAAAGACTCAGAGAATTTCCACCGCAATGATTCACCAGTTCTCCCTGAGCACAGAACAATAGCTAATTTATTGTGTATTCATACACAAGTGAAAAAAAAATATATATATATATATAAATATGACAAAACTCACAGCATAAAAGATTGTCCTCAGAAGCTTATTGCGTAAATCGTCCAAGCTCAGATTTTTCAAAAATGAGTCAAATACTTTTTCCCAGGACGTAATTTGCCCCAATTTGTCTGGATGAACATGGTCATTACTTGGTGAACCTAATTTTTGCATTGCCCCCATGATATGTTCAAATGTACTTCTTAGGGCTTCCCAAAATGCATTTTCGAGTTCACCAACTGACACATTTTTCTCATCCATCACTGAATTGAACTCCACTTCCATTGACCTCCCCTGGAAAATCCAGAAAGAAAAATATTCAACTTAAGTCAACCAAAAAGCCTAAAAACATTTGCCAAGAAATCTCCATCATATTTCAATAATACACTCCACGACAGCTACAGAATCATTTGCACACTACTACTAACAATATTAAAGTACAAAGCCAGAGATACCTTCTCAAGTATATCTACAAAATGACCGAGCAAAATATCTTCAACTGAGCTTTTATCCACATCTTTTGCATGGAAAACAAGAAGATGCTCCTCAAACTCCTTTAAAACCTCGAAGTTTTGAGACACCAATTGTTCCATGTCTTTTGAAATAAGAACGCATTTCGAGGAGCGAGCAAGAGTAACTATAGCTCTATCAGGACCAAGAAGGTAATTGTCCAATGATTCCTGTTATAGAGTCGGGCATAAATGTAGTGTGAGAGCTTACCTAATCCAGGGTAGAAACGTAGAACACACGAGGAACAAAAAACACAAACCTTAGATTTCTGTAGAACTGGAATAAATTTCTCGATGGAAGCAAGAAACTCATTTCCTTCATTCTTGACAGTTTGACAACCCTTTAAATGGGTATTATCAAATGTCTTTAGCAGCAACAATTCTTCATGCGAAGTGGCACACAAACTATCAAATAGTTGCTGCAACAACAAAAAAATTTCATCATTACCATTAACTGTGAGGAAAAGCCAGGTAATTCAAATAAAAAGTGAAATTCCAACGTTAAAAATTACCTTCTGCTGCCACATGTATTTGAAGGTGGCATGTTGCTTTTGACCAATAGAGCAATTGCCACTCTTATCCTCAGAATCAGTGGAATCCAAATTCTCCAAAGTAGAAATGCATTCCTTCAAGTCCCTCAACTGCTCTGCAAATTTATTGGCAGCTTTATGTTGATTTTTTTGTATTTTGATGAGCTGGTGAAGAAAAGGGTCCGGCCTGCCAATCTGCAAAGCATATAACATTAACACAAACTCTCAGTGGTCACGGCAAAATGACAAGATTCAGTTGACAAGTAAAGGTTGCTTCTGAAATCTAGCTATTATTAACCTGTTTGTGAGTAAAGAGCACAGATGCTATGCTACTGAAGTAGTATTCATTGGTGTTTTCCATTCAGTAACAAGATCTTGATAGGGCAAAGGAAGAGCAGCATCAGAATCTCCGTAGGGAAGTCTACTTTGTGTCAGCAGAAGATGCTGAACATCATATGATGGATGAACGAACCACCAAGATTTAACTTCATCCTATTAGAAGCCATTTGGTATAAGATCAGCAATTAGCTTAGATGTGATTGTAATTTGTATAGCTATAGAATTAACAATAGAACCATTGGATCTATTTTCAGGCGCTCATCCAACACTTATTTGTAGTCACTCAGTTGAGCACAGCTATATATGGTGATAATGAAGAATATGTTCTAAAGAAGAAGCATGTTCTTACCTCAGTAAATATGTCCCTCGACAACCCACTGCTTTTTAAAAGATTTAGAAGGTCAGAAAAAGCCCGCCTTTTCTTTTGACTCTTGCTTGCATCCTTCCACAGATCACAGCAATCCACAGCACCATCAAAGATATTTTGAAGTGTGTGCCACACAGCATGCCATTCGTCTGTGTATAGAGGATAAGCGGACAGAGAAGCTGAGCATTGCCTTAATATTCCTGCAACTTCTGAGCAAAGACTGTTGGCACCATTAGACTCTGAATATCCAAATTCAAGTGTTATATCACACCGTAACTTCTTCAGAGCAGCTTCTGCTTCTTTTATCCAACCAGTGTACCACATACACCTATATCAGATAGATCATGCCACAGTTTTTCATTTAGAACTCTTACGAAAGAATGAAGCAAAACGAAGATTTTTAGTGGATAAAGAGACTTACCTGTCTTCATCATTAAACACTGTCAAATCAAAAGGAGCATCCATCGTCCCTATTTTTCGGTTCACATCGTCCACGAAGAACTTTTGACCTTGTTGAGGTTGGGATTCAGCCCCTTTCACGATATGTTGGCCAAGGAAAACAATTACAGGTTGTTCCAGAACCACCTATATAAACAAGAACAGAGGCATATTATTACTTCCCCCAAGCAAATGTGGACAAAACACATCACTGACAACCATGCATGTTATAGTCACAACCAGGCATGCTATAGCCAAAAACTGTCTGTTCAGATACAAAGAAGAGAAATTACTTGAAAATGGTGGGATATTAAAATTTTAGAAACACAAATCTTGAGGAAAGCATCAGAGACAAAGGTTGTAACCTTGAACTGAAAGGTCAACCAAAAATATGATATTGGAATTTTATATCTTAAATATTCTCAAAATCAGAAGTTAGTTAACATTGTTGTGACCTTGAACTACACAAATAACCTATGTGGCCTCACCTATCAGATTCAGTGCCAAACCAATATATGTTGACTTGCACAGAATATATTAGGAAAGTATCAATATATGTAGCATTCAAGAACATCACCAGAATGACTAGTAGGCAGTCTGGATATTTATTTGATTGCTTTTTTTCTGATTTGTGAAATAAAATAGATACTACATTACTTACTGTGTACTTCTTTATAATTTTCCTCAGCTTCTGCCTTGTACTTGTGAAGTTTTCAATGGCACTCTCATGATGATCCCATTGACACAGTTTGAGTACTCTTTTGAGTTCCGTCTCAATATCTCTTCTAGAGGAATCCATGTGCGCCAAAATTCTAGAATGAAAGCATTGCAATATCTCAATGTTCGTGAACGGAAAAAACAGAGAGAAGAGGGGGGTTAGGGGGGAAGAAAAACAAAGCATTATGAGCTGACTGAACTCACGCTGGTAAGAATTGCGCGTAATATCCAAACGCATTGTACAAAATCTTCACATTTTCTTCTCACAACCACTGCATGAGTCGTTGAAAGTTAGTATCCCTTAACACACCCCAAAAAAAAAAATATATATATATATTTAAATGGAAACAATTACAGCTAAGAACTACATCATGTCACCGCCGTGTGGATGAAACCATTGTGAGGATTTTATGCCAGTAAGATTGAGCAGGAAAAAGTAGGAAAGATGTGCAAACTTTCTATTAAACTTTATTAAGTGGTTGGAATGTTCAAGTACATCATGGTTTTAAGATCATACCTTGAATAAACCTGTAGGCTTATACCAGTATTTATTTGGCCAAGGAAAGCAAAAAGAAGTTGAAGGCGTTTTCTAATTCACCAATGCTGGATGAATGAATGAACTCCTCCAAACTGCAAAGTTGTATTTGTGTCACAGAACTTTAAACACTAATAAACCACAAAGTTCCACATAAACCAGCACTAAATTTTATTCAAGAAAAAAGGTTTTTGAACATGCCTTTCGGTAGTAGATTTTTGGTATTCAACAACATCAGAAGAAAGCCTGTGTCGTAGAACTGAATAAAGAGAAAACCATAACTGCAATAAGACAATAACAGTAAGCACCACAGTTTATCATATGGAAGAAATGAACTAAAATATCAATGCATTAATCAATTATGCTAAGGGTGCTTTATTTGAACTCAGTTTTTTCATAAGTTAATCCATCATTCTATCTACACCCACCATTTTATATAGAAATCCCACATTCCATAAGTAAACTGTACCATCTTTCGAAAATAACGTCCTTGAAACCCAACCCAACTGACATATATATGCTTAACCACATCATATCCTTACATTCCCAAATCTGTTTGACATCAATGTTTAAAACTCAGACCCCACATTTCCACCGCCGAAAAACACCTCACAGCCAAGATCACTCACCGCCAAAGCACCATTCAAGTACTGTTCAACACTTAACCAATACCCATGTGTTTACTTTAAGTTCTGGGTCTTGAAAAGATGGTTAAAAAATTGAACTTTTCATCACTGTATTAGGCACTGGTTCATTGAACTCCAAGGAAGTTAGTCCCGCAGTAAGCCACCAAACACAAAGAAGGTCTGTTGGCAAACAATGAACAAACCGAGATGATTTTGATTTATGTTGTTTGGTTATTGACTATTCAAGGTTATATAGGGGATGCAGAACACCACGCGATTCCAGTTTTAGGAGGTACGAAAAATCTATGGTTGAACTCAAAAAAATTTATTTTATAGCCCATTTTTAGACTCCCAAACTACGATCTGGCATCTGAGCATCCATTTGTTAATAACTGATTAATGAGTGTAGGGTTTTTACTGGGAGGAATGATACAAGTTGCTGGGTGGGTATAGAGAGACATGAGAGGAGTTGTGTTTAGGGTTCTTATTAGGAGGAGACGAATGACAAGTGATGTAGGTGGGTATAAAGAGTATTTGTTTAAGTACTTTTTTTTATTAATGTCATTAGGCTTGTAATGGGAATTTATAATTCACCCAAGGGTTGGGTTTACTTATGAGAAGGTTGGGTCCACCCTGAAGCTAAAGGCATCCATCTTTCCTAACTAGAATGTGTATACTTCATAATTAAATCAATAGGTGATATGATGAAAACAGGAATTGAATAAGTCAGGTTTCTTCAATGTAGACTTTCTTTGCCTATTCTTCAATGTTATTGTTGTTAATTAAGTTTTGTGTTGTTTTTTCATTGTTGCTATTTCCCAATCCTACACATACAGTCTGAACTTTGAACACTGCCCCAATCAATCCAATTTGTATTGATAGTACAAATTTCACAAAGACAAATAACCTTGAGTTACCTTTTCAGCATTAATCTCATAACGATCTTGAACCTCATCAAGCAAGGCAGGCCAGGACTCCAACTCCATCCTTTGCCACAACAGCACAAGATCGCAAATAGGCTTCACTTGATCTATAAGAAGACATAGAAAAAGTAAGCAGAGAAAAATGCACCTACCCCACCACAAGAGAAAGGCTCGTTGAATGAGAACTCTTACCAGAGAAAGTGAAGCGCGACCCATTTTCTTGTAATAAACGGAGTTTGTTAATTAGAAACTGCAATCCCGACAGAGCCTTCGCAGGGGAAATAAAATAAATAGATGAATATTGGAGTCTTCACAATAAGATAACTTTTAACAACAAAAATTTGCATGCAAGTTTGTAGATGCATGTATTTTTGTGCCCATGCACACATACATGCGCGCTGCTAAAAGCTCCATGACAAGAAGCATGTGGAGAGCAACAATAAACCCAGATAAACAGTAAATTTATTTTTACGGACAACCAGTTTACCTTAGCTAGGGACGTGCTCAGGGGAATATTCAAAAGCATTTCAACTGAATCTAAGATTCTCTGAAGTTCATGATGTTCTTCGTACTCATTTAAAAGTGAATGAATTTGCTGCTTAAGAGCAGTAAGCAATTTCACCATTTCATACATCTTCGGAGCATTTGGGTCCTACAAAATAAGGATGGAAGTCAATTTAATAATATTATGCGATTAAAGATAAATTTTCATACTAGGGTGCGGGTGTTTCCAAACCTTGTAAATATTGTATTTACGGGCTGACGTGTCAGAAGAAACAAACTTCCACTCATGCTCCACGCAAATATGAAATAAATTCTCTGGTACAAGTAAAGCATCCAAACTGGAAAGAAATGAACCCCCTAAACCTGGACATAAAAGAATATAAACATACAAAAAGGGTATAGTAAAAAAGAATCCATCCAGAAAGGAGAATCTTCAAAAGAAAATTACCTCTGACCATCCCTACTCCAATTGTATGCGAATCAGTGAATGAAAGAATTCTGTCGAGATCATTGACATGGAAAGCACCCGGCTGAATGAAAAAGAAACAATATCTAAGGAAATATACAAGGTCCAAATACAAAAATAAATAATAAAAAAAAGTTAGGGATATAAAAAATATATAAAAATAATCCACATCTTCCCCCAAACACCTTCCAAAACTCTCCTATTTCTCTCCACATAACAAACCCCAAAATTTGGCAACACAGTACATCTTCCTAGTACCATGCCCATCTTTCACCATAGTAGAAAGGATCCAATAAAGGTTCCTCCTCTGTACCGTGTCATAGGTATCACACACCAAGTACACACAACTTAATTAGAAAACAAAGAATCAAACTGGTCCATATATGGCTCACCCAAAACAGGTATAGCTTAGGCTTTGAATTTACGAAGTTAATATTTGACTTCAATAGAGAATTTAACAGATAATGATGAGGCCATTACTCCAATGATAATCAATCAGTTGAAAGATTAAACATAGGGCTAACACTCCAGGAAAAATTAGGGTGAAACAGAAGTGGCTGAGAGCTTTTGCATAGAGCCACCCAAAAAAAGCCCTAGATGTCAGCAGTAAACATATGTTGTTGACCATTAAGTTTCACAAACAACTTACAGCTAGAACAAGATTATTTGACCCAAATAACTGATTGTGAGTCTTGACCACGTCCTTCACAATGGAATCCTCCATGAACTTCAATTCCCTCTCCAAATCTTCTTGTTCCTCTGGAGCTTCCTCCTGAATGAAAAAATTTCTTCATGATGAAAGCAGGAAAAAGTACAGAAGTATAAACTACACAGGAAGCAGAAGTATAAACTACACAGGAAGCATATGCATACATGAAATTTGCAACCAGAACACAGGAAAATGAACAAATCCATAAACTTTGTGCTAATAAAAGAAAAAAAACAGTACCCTCTCAATATGTTGATCTGCAGAAATAAATTCCTTCCAATCTAAAAAACTTTGATTTGCTAATGTCTTCCCAAGAGCCGATATATCAAGGTCAATGATACTCTCAAGTGTAAACGCACGAGGCTTAAACTTGAATTTCAAAGAAGCATAGTCCTGTTTGTTTTTAGATTGAATCTTCATACTCATCCAATGATCTGTAATCTCGCTATATGTCTTATCCAGGAGCTGATTCAGAACAAAAAAAATGTATTATCAGACGTCAATAACTCCAAAAATAAACTCCACTCATATGGTTTCAAAGACCATGGGAAAGAAACAGACCATAAAGGATGCATAATCCATCAGCCGCGCATTAGCAACAGAATGTGAAACACGGACAAGAATGTTTCGGTGCAGAGTAGTTTTAAGTTGTGTAACAGAGACCTGTAGCGAAACAGGTACGAGTCTTAGTCTTGATTATTATGCCAAAAACTGGAGTAAAATTTCTAGAATTAAACTGAGAAACTGCAACACTTGAGCGGGATTACCCTGCAGGGAATAAAATTTAAAAGACTATACCATTTTATTAGTCAGAACACCACTGGAAAAAGTGATCAACTTCTCGAGAAGACTTATATCCTCAGCATTGAAGATTGTTGGAATTTCTAAATTGTAGGGAAATTTGCTTGAGCCAGTGTTTAAGTTGACAGAAATGCTCTTGGAAGCAGATACTCGAGGGAATCTCATAAATGAACAAATAGACCCCTGCCACATTCTCCTAGTCAGCCATTTAAAGCAACAACACAGCACTAGAAAGCCCAAAAATCAAAGTACATTAAAAATATAAAGAAATACCATAATCATATTTGCATCGTCCAGCTCAACTTTAGTCAGGATCATTTTTTGCACGATACTTGCCAGAATCAGCCCCAAGCCCAATTTTATTTCATATAATGCAACCAGAACTGGTTGGACAATATCAGTGTACTCACGGTACTCATCTGATAATAGTTGTTCAATAAAACCGGTTGCCATTTTCTAAGATATACATAAGAAGCACATAACAAACAATTAGTAAGCCGAGAACAACACAAGATCTTTAAACAAGAATGAAAAGAATGATTATTATCAGCATCACATTACAAGTCAAGTAGAAGTATACCTGCCAGTTAGAGCCTTGGTCAAGAATCTGTTGTAAGTTAACGGCATCAACACTACCAACTAAAATTTCTGAGCATGTGATGTATTTGTAAAATGTATCAGACGTAACGTGTTGAAAAAACTCATCAGATGTAACACGTTCAAGAAACTCATCACATTCATGTTTTAAGCCCTTAAATTTCCGGTAGTCAGAGCGGAAGACGATCTAGGCACCAATGAGAATAAGTTATCATCAGAAAAAAGAAAAAAAGATAGCTAAAAGGAGAACCAGCTACTTGAACGGTATCCTATTCAGTCAAGCAAGTCAATAAAAGGTAACCAATGCATTCAAAAGAAGGCTGCACAAAACAAGCATTACAGGAGACAGCTGAAGTACAACAAGAAAGGCAACGGAGGATAGTAGCTAGAAAAAATCTTCAAAAGAAGTTATAAAAAGTTAAAAACAAACCTAACCATAGGAATGAACATAACATGAAACAACACGACCATCTAAACAAAGAAAGAACATAAACATGAAAGTGAGATCTTCCTCCATACAATTAAAACTAAAAAAATTAAAATTCTATAGCAAGCCTGCATTACAATTCTGTATAATAAAATCACATAATTACAAGAGGAGATGGACAAGTAGTCCACCCATACGAGATCCATTAAAACATAACACAAGTGCAGTCGCATACAGTTGGGTGAATTTCTCTAATGTGAACTCCTAAAATGCTTAGATCGGAATAAAAATCATATCAACTCCTCTATAAGCTCGATTAAGTAGAGGGACCGTGAGCAAAGTCAGATTTGAAGGGAGTTGACCTTTTTTTTTCTCTGATATTTGTTTAGAAGGGAGTTGTAATTTAATTTCAGGTAGGATACCCAGCACTGTGTCTTGGGGTTTTTTTTTCCTTTTCAAGTTGGCAGATATTTTCACATGGACTTCCGGTTGACCCTCACCCCTCACCAATGCAAAACCCCAAAGAGTGGCAGTCTTCTTGTATGCCCCACACCCAAAAAGACCTCAGCGAGCAAGAAATAGTGGTACAACAGCTAGTATGATTGGAAGGTTCACTTTTAGACATAAAGAAAACCCATGAACCCTGAACAATAAGTTCACCATTCATCTATTTCAACAGGCAACATTCGAATTGCAGTAAACTTCACTAATTATGCACAGCATAATTTTTGCACTGGAGAAGGTAACTACCAGAGTGACGCACTTCAGACAAAAAGTTACTCTACCAAAGTATACGAATTATCAAAATATAATGATCTAGTAACGGAACAAAAGTAAAATTGTTAAGACCTTTCTCTGCAGCCTTTTGTGCTCAGCTTCAAGCTTGTTCAATGCCTGAGCCCTTTTTTCATGAGAATATCTTGTAGAAATCTGCCCTGCCAAGTATTCGCATTTTTGCCGAACCTACCAGGAAAACAAAAATTCATTCAAGAGATATTCAGCTTTACTCTCCTTAAATCATCAAACAAAATTCATCTTGCAGTACAAAGAAGTTCAGAGTTCATTTGACATCAACCATAAATTGGCACATGCTTCATGCATGTTGATAAAGTACAGGGTAGAAAATTGAATGTTCAGGAACATATATTTATAACTAATATACAAACGTTAATAATGATTAGCACATTGCAAACCAAAGTTTCGAATGTTAAATATAATGATTTATTTAGTAGAATTGGCCCACAAATAAAACCCTCTTGTAGCATTGCGGTGGCTTCAAATCATTTTGATAATAGATTCTGAGAATTTTCACAGATTTTCCAACTACAGAGAGGGCTTATCTACATTCCATAGATTTCTCTTATTTGGGGTTTAACTGCTTCCGCCGCATTCTTTTAATAAGAAACACAAATCTTCCTTAAAAAATGAAACAGTACCACATAAGTGAACAAGAAGTCTGCTCGTACAAGAGAACTAAACACAAAATCTGAAGCAGCACCTAAGGGGAACACATCAATACAAAACCTGAATTGCTTCCACCACATTATATGTGCTGCTGCACACACATGCACACATAAGCACTATCTACAATTTTCTTCACAAGTGACAAACTTTCATTGGAAGAATACAAAAGATTAAAAAACACAAATATCTAGATGTGCATGCCAACCAATATGTGCTTGCACATACAAAGCAATTTGTAAGAAACAAAACAATTAGGTCCATGAACACACATATCTAGATGTATATGCCAACCAATATGTCAGCAAAGATAGCAACAATTGCAGTACATCTTCACATTAATTTTTGTAACGACAACAATGCGCGATATTGAGATTATTGAAAAGCATTACAAAAACTTGAATACTTTGAAACTAGTCACCAATAGAAGAATATATTCAAGGAAGAAACCTGAATTTCAAGTTTTAGCAAAGATATCTTCTCTGCTAACAGTGAATTCTTGCAATGGTATTTCATGGCTGGATCCATATCATCACCGCAGAGCAATAGTTTAAGACGTAATATCCCAAGCCGCAGCCAAGCACACCCATGATTAAATCCAGGCTCTGAAACGTCCAGTCAACATTTAAATAGTAAATAAAAAATTGGAAATAATTTATAAACCAATATATAGTCTACAAGGAAATAGAGAATTCTCATATTGAAAATGAATAAAATCGAAACCATATTCTGGATATGAGTGGATACATTCAGTATGAATTTTTTTTTAAAGTATTAGATTAGATTCCAACAGCATGAAACAGATAGGGTCACACGCCCCAAAAATGTATGCACAAAATAATTCATAAAGAAATTACCTTTAGATGTGCAATGAGGATAGAGGTTTTGAAGAAGTGGTTTGATAAACATATCCACCGAGTCTTTCAGCCCATGATGACTTGACTTCGAAACAAGAGATACCACAAGACCGCTTCCTTGCTGTCACAATAGCAAGGTACAATAGTGCAGTCAATATCTTATTATTTTTGGAAGATCATTGTGATCAGAAAATGTAAAAGAAATGGTATGATTAGACTATTATTTCTTCAGCACATATTGGGTAGCCATGCCAAGTAATCTGTCATCATCTCATGGTATACCACTTACAAACCACAATGTTTTATGACCCATTTCCAAGTAATGGCATTCTGAAAAGTAAATCATAACCTTACAGGAGAGGACTGACTATCAACAATATTCTGAATCTGACAAGTAACCCAACGTTATAATAGAGTGCCATGACCAATTTCCAAGAAGCACGTAATAGTTCAGCATATTATTCACTACTTAGACAACTTAAAACAACATACCTCTAAAACTGACTTGACTTTAGCGAATTGATCAGCATTAAAAGATTTCTCATGTGCATATATGATCTGCAAGCAGAGTATCATGTGAATAAATTTGTATTATACTTACCAAAAAACTTAGTCAACAACGCACATAAGTTACTCTACCTGCTGGAACAGAGAGCGAGCAGCGGAAAGTAGAAAAAAAGGTAAATTTGCTCCTGGCAGAGAGCCGCGCCAAAGATTACATGATGCAACTCTAAGCTTCAGAGAGCTCACAAAATAATCCTTGATGGCAGGTGTGCTTTGCCTAATTTGATGGAAAGAGAGAGAGAGGAACATCATACATGAAAGACACATCTATGGGGACCAGAAACATAGCAATCGACACAAAAAACATACATAAATGTAAAACCCTATTCAACAATAACATTAAATTGCACCAAATTCAAACTTTACACTAAATCATTTATATTTTTTTCTTTTCATAAGAAGAAATACCTTACGCCTATAAATGTTGCAGTTACTCTTTAGTAAGACTTCAAACTGACAAAATCTACAAGTTCTATGGAATGATGACCAAACCTTTGAACCAACATTAAGACCATAATTATAGATGATCATCAAGAAGAAATTCTACCAAGATCCATTACAACAGACCAGGTGCCAAGAAGAAAACATTCAGTACTCATCTATGTTTTTTATCTTCAACTTCTTAAATTTTTTAGAATCAGTAATACTTCGAAAAGAAACCAATGTCTTACAGTATCTGGAATACTGTTGCTGTTACCACCGGCTGAATCAGAACATCAGGTACTGGAATATCATAAACAGCAGTGCTTGAGAAGCTCTGTATGCAATTAGAGTAACATGAAAAAGGAAGTTCGTCAATGAAAACAAAATTTGAAATGGCAGAAAGTCCACAACACAAGATAAAAATAGATACCTTGACAGAAACAGGGCAATACATCCACAACGATTGATGCCACCTGAACCACATCTCAAGTACGAAGCTGGAAACTTTTTCATTGACTGCAACACAAGGAAAGACATAAGCATACTGATCTCCACACATCCAGTATCCATAGAATCTAACAGGTAGAAGAATTTAACAGAAAGTTTCATTGACCTGCATCAACTGAACTCCACACATCCAGTATCCACAGAATCTTTTGATGGGGAGAAAACATTTGAGGTGGTCTAGATGAATTGCTCAATGAGAATTTCAACGCATACTTCAGATGGCTAGATACTTTGGCTAAATCCTGTCATTCAAAGAAAAGTGAAAAATATAAATCAATTGTTCTTTTGGAAAGAAACATACTTTCATTAATAAGGAAAACAGCAGTACAATACAGGGAAAAAGATGTCTACTAAAATACAAAAAATAACAGTAACAAGCACCAAACAGTAAAACAATACAGGGAAAAAGACATCTACTGAAATACAACAAATAAAATAACAAGCATCAAACAGTAAAACAACAGAAATGAATAAGCCAAAGCACAGCTAAATGCCAATCACAAAAAAAACCATGAAAAAAAAGCCCACAACTCTGAAGAGAGTGATGACCAATTACAACCCACAAGTCACTTGTGACAAGTAGAACAACCCAGCTTGGGTCTCCCCAAACAACCTCTACCACTGTGAGAGAAAGTGATTCAACATTTTCACACATCAAGCAACAATGAAGTGAAAGGTACCAAAAAAATTGTCTCCTGTAAATCAAATATAAATTATTCTGTGGCCTTCCGAAAATGACCGAGAGGGTCCACAAGGAGTGAGAAGAATCGGCCATTGACATATAGTAAGATTTACATGAGAAGACTCCTAATGACTCTAACTTCCATAATCTTCTAACCAACCTAGATGGAACCAACAAAAATTCTATAAGAACTGTTAAATTTCAGAGATGGGCTAGTGGCCCACTACTAACAACACCGATATTGTCCCCAACTTAACCACCTACAAAGCCCAGTAGGTGTGGGGTTCTATCACAAAAGGCCTCGGTATTATTAATAGTAGAACCATTCATTATATTTTGTATATTATTTACTCAAGTTTCCAATGTGGGACTCATATTCTTCAACAAGAACCAACAACTATTTTTTACTCCCCCACCACTTGATCGTTTGGTTTCCTTCAAAATCAAAACCCAATATCCCAACTGAAGGAAAAGAAGGATTTGCACAAAAATCCCAATATCCCTAAACCCTTTGATCCATTTCGAATGCCAACCCGACCTCAAGAGACATCTTTGCCAGAATACTTGAAAATCCCACCCAATTGCATGCAACCTATATTGGTTAGATAAGTGACACCCAACCGAGATATCAAATGTTGGAACCTTAAGTCACAAAGATGGAACTCTAAGTCACCAAACCATTAACAAAAATTACCAAAGCAAAAAATTCAGCTGAGTGTTGGAAAATCAGTGATTTGTGAGCAAATTCCTCTTAAGCTCAGAATTATATCATATATAGTTCATGTAGATAAAATTCAGCAGATGTCAACTGTTTAGATGATCTTACCAGCTGTAATCTTTTACTAATGACCAGAATGAAAGATGTCATACATATAGTTTATGGTTATAGATTTCAGCAGAGTACAACAATTTAGATGGTCTTACCAGATGTAATCTTTTGTTATTGACCAGAATGACAGATGATAGTTCCTGAAGTAGCTTCATATCCAGGGCAAAGCTTGTACTATCCATCAAGGGAAATACGTCCTGCCAACAGCCGTACCCATATGCCTGACCTAATGCCACGATGCACAAAGAACAACAAAAAGATCCATTCGCTCCGCAAAAAATCTTGTTCGACCATGAAGTCTCCTCAATTTTGATTCTTTCCTTTACAAACAATTGCAAAAGCTTCTGCAGAAAATTTATATAACATATATATATGTATTTCATCAACATGTGATAGGAAGATTCAAAATGATGATTGTGAAAAACATAAAGGCATCCCACCTGATAAATGCGATCCAACTGTTGAACAACATGGTCCTCATCCTCGCAAGAATCCGATTTCCCAGTGATACATGATGACATGGAAACACCTACGTCAATTATAAATACCATAAGAATTTGTAACGATCCTCAAACCATTTCAAATGATAGAAATCAAAGAAGTATTTTAATATTCTACCTTCCAAGACAAAGGAGCGAAGATCAGAAACTACTCCAATCAGAGGATCATTCACTGTAACAGCCACCAAACAAAGACAGTGTTATATCAGCTTTAAAACAAAGTAACGGAAGAAACAGATAACGACAATATCCTACCATGGACAAATAATCCTGTTCTAGTTGGCCAAACCGACTCACAAAGTTCCAAAATCTGAAGCTGCTTTTCAAACAGTTTAGAAGAAGACGGCAAAATTGGGTGACCACCATGAACCCACAGCAAGGACTTCCCTGAGTGGAAGCGCGAAGAACTGTCCAGATTATTGCTCTCTTTCCGCAAACATTTCAAGACTTCTTCAAAGTAACAAGCTTCCTTTGACGCATAGCTGTCCTCATTATTCCACTCTTGATAAGTGAGCCTCAGTTGCTCGACGTACTTCACAGCACTGTGGAGAAACTCACTGGATATTTTGAACTTCTCATCTGATTCAATCACATCAACCAACCCTAATGAGAGCAGTGGTATCAGCTGCTTTTCAAATTCTACTTTGTGAAGAGATGCAAGGTCATGGCATCGAATGGACGTATATTCCCAAACAGGATGATCCATACTTAGTGCAATTGACTTTACAAAATAATCAAAGAACTGACAGAAAGGCTGTAATCGAGAATGAAACCAGCTGAACCACAGAAGGTACAGCTTGAGATCACTTTCAGTAGCCTGTTCAATGGCCCATTTGGCAGCAAACAATAGCTTTTTCTCAACCTTGGCCAATACCTTATCAACTTCAGTATTCTCAACGGAGATTAAAGTCAAAAAAGTGGAAGCCCTGTGAACCATAGTTTCATTTAACAACCCCATACCCCTCAAGTAAGTCACTACATAGCGACAAGCAGTTGAATCCAGGGACATATTGCACCTGCTCCTCGCGTGTTGAAATTTGTATGACGCATACTTAGCCCCCAGAAACTCAAGGTACATGCAATTAGTCTTCACAAGAGCTTGTTTCGAGTGCCACACGAGTTCCCGCAGCTTCAATGGTGTCGGCCATCCTCCAGGCAAACACAAAGATGGACGCAGTGACGAGTCAGATTCACACAATTCAGTTCCCGATAAATATGTGCATTTCACATGACTAATAACATTTCCTCCGACGGCCTCACCGAACGTACTAAGGTATATATGCTTCCAACTTGTTTGAAGGCTCCACAAAGGCTGGCTTCCGTTCATGAGAAGTTGTTTGAACAACTGAACCCAGCGAGCAAGCTCAAGATACGTGATGGAAACACCAAAACGTAATCCTTCTCCTCTAGCATATACATGTGATTTGGCCATAGAATGCACCAATTTAGCAAAGGGAACACCTGAGAGAACAAGAAATCTTTTCACATCATTTAGCTCAGTCTCCTCACAATTGTATCTGCTGCTCTCATCTAGTAGCCAATTTGGCTGCATCATAAATATTTCAACTCCTCTGTTCCTCATTGCTCGGGATACTTCACCATAACTAGGGTTAACAGTGAGGAACATCCGAAAATCAGGATGCGGTTGGATGACAACTGGTTTTCCGTCAACAACCCCACGCTCATTAATTGTAATTGATCCAGACGGCTCTACTAAAGAGTTGATCCTATCAAGTACCTAGATTCAACAATCAAATTAGAAACTAGGTGACACAATAAATAAACATGGGGCATATTAACTTCACTGGAAAGCAGCATGAGAACATGAATGTTAGAGGATAATAAAGGTCATAAGCATAGCAAAGTTTACATACCGTGGGATTACAACAATTCGCATTCTCTAGAACAATCCATTCTCCACGTTCTACAGCCTTTATCAATACTCCCGTAACCCATTCAAACTTTACTGAAAATGGTCCTTTCTCATAACCTTCTTGCAACTTGATGATTGTCCTCATAACTCTATCAAGTTCTTTGCTTGACCAAGATATGGATGGAACATTTTTTTCCACAACCAACATTAGATGTTCAACAATCTCCATTAACAAAGTAAGAGAATTGGAAAATTTCACTCTATCTTCCAAAAAATTAGAACTAAAACAAGAAATAGAATCACAATTTACGTTCGATACGAAAGAAAACCATCTTGTAATAAGACCCTTGCTATCATGTAAAAATGCCTCCTTCGAAAACTCCAATCGCAAACTGCAGCACTCCTTCACATAGGAGTCAACCTCAGCAACAACTGAGCGGAAGTTTCGGAAGGCATTATATTGCTCAAAGCATCCAAGTATTTCAGAAATATCAGTCCCAGATGAAAGATGTAATTCATTTAGTACGTTTCCAGTGAGCTGAGCCAGTAACCTGACCAATGAAGTCTTACCACAGGATGCTGGACCAATCAGGATACACATCCATTGATGCTCTACACATTGTGTGGTAGCTTCTAAGCTTTGACGAATTCCAGGCAAAATTTTAAGTGTGCTGCTAGGAAGTTTAGATGACTGGACACAATTCCTTCTTACGGCAGTATTTCCAACCATTAAGTATTCAGAATTGAGGTGAACTCGTGGATAAGGATTTATACATGGCTTTATCTCAAAAATCTGCTCATATAGCTGTAGGACTTTTCTTCGGTCTGATTCAGTACGCATCCGTTGAACATAGACGATGTCCAGGAAGCAATAATCTTCGGACTCAGAGGGTGCATCTAAATTGAAAACAAAATATTAGCAACCGGCATTATCCAACAATGCATTGTTCACAAGAATTAACAATGGAAAGAATAGAAAGAAAAAAAAAATTGTGGTTCAAACCTTGTATGATTTGACATGATCGAATAACATCTCGTAGATTAAACTCCCAAGGAGAACCTTCCAGAGCAAATTTGTGATACACCATAGTGTCTTCATACAACCGTTTATTAAACAAAATCAGTTTTGAAAGAAGAGGTATAGGAATCGATGGAAAAAAGTGAACTACAGATAAAATGATAGTCATCCTCAACCAACTCATCCACATACACCTGAAACAAAGAGAGAGATCAGATTTATACTGTCACCTGGTGCGATTCATAATAAACATCAGTTTCACACAATTCTAAAATTCCTACGACAATTAAACAAATACCTTAGTGAAACGGTTGAGAAAAGATTTTGGAAGGCCTTTTCTGCCACCACCTTGATAGGAAGGGTTTTGACAAGCAAATATTCTGAAGGATGAGGGACACTTAAAAGTATAACCCAGCTCTGGAATGAACACTTCAGCTCGATGATCCAGAATAGCATTCAAACCCTAAATGATTCAATTCTCCATTAATCATAATTGACATAAAAATAAAATAACTTACTAAAAAGTGCAGAAGCAACATATTATAAACAAGAAACTATCTGAATATAATTGCATAAAATAACAAACAGGGATCATGGAAATGCCTCCAATACAGATTGTGGAGCAAGATTAAGTTCATCAAGCAAAACCCAAGAGCCTTCTTTCAAAGCCTGCAAGAGTTAACACGTAAGACAAGAAAATGAGAGGAAGGTAAATTCAAGCCACAGGTAAAGACATTAAACTTTCAAGATAAGGTGTTTTAACCTGCAAAAGGATCCCATCGGACCAGGCAAACTTCATTCCTTCATCACTTTCAACCGGTAAATCAGAACCCAACAAGTCCATCATATCAGTCTGCAGCAGAATCATATGCACCATCCCCAGATAGCAAAAAAAAAAAAAAAAAAAAAAAGTGAGCAAACAATGCATATCTATATATATAAACATATATATGTGCTATATGAGAATAGGATAGCCCAAAAAAATTACTGACCTGCTCAGACAAGTTTATCCTGACAACATTGTGACCAGAAAACTTGCCCAATGCAACAATCAAACTAGTTTTCCCAACACCTGGACTACCTTCTAATAGAACTGGAATGCATAAAATCAATTAAGAATGTTAAAGAAGTAATTAGGATATAAAAACAAAAACAAAAACTCCGGACAAAGAAAACATTTGGAAGAATCACTTGTACTGAAAGGGACATACCAGGTTTGGGAAGCTGCATAGCTCGAAGTACCCGCAATACATTTCTCCTGGTGGTTGGTGCCAAAATCTCAAACCCTTCAGCATCAAAACTTACAGAACCTATAGCACACCATAGAAGAAGACAATATCTAAATTGAATACTAAACATCAAGGAAATTTAATGACAAACATTTAAGATTCAGTGCCATGAAACAGAGAGAGGGGAGAGAGAAGGAAAGAGTTCATACAATGCCTAAGAAAAACCTCTTCAAAACAATTAAGCAGAGGGAAAGCATGATGCATAATGTAGTTACCTTTTTCTATATAGAACGGATCCACACCAAAAATATTGTCACACTGCATGCTATCACTGCACGAATCACCTTCAGTTGTATCAGGATCGCCCCAACCATAATTTTGAATTCTTGCAAGTTTTGAGTACTCCAATTCAGTAACGTTTCCCTGTGTTACCAAATGTACGCAAGAATGGCTTTAGATTGACAACCAAACCACTCGAACTCATGTTTCACACTCAAAGCCAATATGTACAGGTGAAGCAAAAGATAACAGAATTGAAAGCGTATGCACTTGTGTGAGGAATCCAAGAAGATTACAAATAAGATAACAAATTCAAGTACTCAACAAACAAGGAACGGTATAAAGGAAACCAAACAGACCTTCAGTTGCTTTAAAAGGATTTTGAAGCATTCATTCCTCAGATCTATGACGTTCCCTTTTGAAATTTCACTCCCTAAACTCAGTCCATCAAGCAAAACAAGGAATGCCCCATGAAGGAATGCAGACTCAGATCCTAAGTTGTTTTCAGTCACATTAATAAAATCAATCCAAGACAGCAGATCTCTCACAGTAAGTGTTCTCCCTGGTTTTAGATTGTTGAACTGCTCCCAAAAATTCAGCAAAGGATCCAAAATGGATGAGAGCTTTGGGGAAGTTATCCTTGCAAGACCAATACTTTCAAGCTCACCTCTATCACCAATAGTGGGAACCCATATCTCTGTGAACCGATTACGAAGAGCGGGAGACAGTTCTTTCTTACCAAAATCACCACCAGGATTCATTGTCGCAAGCAAAAAGAATCTCTCGTGAGCCACAACTTTCTCCAGATCAGGACCTCCTTTCTCAGCTAAAGACAGTGTTCTCTCTGGCTCCAAGACACTGTTCAACCTCTCAAGTACACTATCATCAGCCAAGGAAATTTCATCCACCAGAAAGAGATCACCACTCCTCATTGCCTGAACAAGGGGCCCATCCAGCCATACAAACATTTTCTGCCACTCTTGGTGCATCTCAGAAAGCTTCAGCATTATCCCTTCCAAAGTCATCAGATTGTGCTTGGTGACATCAGGATTTAAAATCTGACCTTGTTTGTAATCTTTTATCATTTTGTTCAGATTGGACAATGTTGTAGAGGCTTGACCAATGTCCGAAGAGACGGTCTACAAAGAAAGAGATGCATGAGAAAGTTACAAATATAATACAAATAAAGCAACCCATATCTCCGCTTGACCTAAGTCATGAAGCATTGCCAACTATTGTTCAAAAATAAATAAATTGTTTTGTAGGAAAACAATGCATTGAACATTTGCAAATAAATGTAAAGGAGTTTTTAATAAGAAATATTAAAGTTCATAAAAACGTGAAAGTGCCTTAGAATTGCTCAATTTTTATCTTCAAAAATACACTACTCTTCAAACTGACTTTTGCTAAAACATATTTTACTTCAAATAAATATATAGATACAATGGGAGCTTCTGAAGAGGGATCCCTTTCAAGGGAAATGTAAGGGATAGCATCTGCAGACTTTAGATGTGATCCAAGAATCTGAACTACCTACATTTAAGATCTACACATTCTCCATACAAAACATCAGCCAAATTCGAAATCATTTAGCCATTTGATTATCATCATTTTTTTAAGTGTCAGAAAAATTTGTGTTCGTCTATTTGTTTATAACCAACTTGTTTCCGATTTAGGTTTTTTTTTTGCAAGGATGATCCTCATTTTTTTTCTTGGGAATCCCTTGTGGGGCCAACTTTGCATTCTAGTTCAATGAACCAAACCGTTTTAAAGTCTTTATTCAAAGATCATCCATGCAAAAAGTTAGCTAAACTAGAAATCATTGACATAAAATACATAGATGAACACCTTCAATAACCACTGAAATTTCATGATGATAATCAAATGGATAAACTTCCAATTTGATTGATCTTTCACAAGATAATCCTTGCAGTAAAATCAAAGAAATACACGGTTCGGATCATTTAACTAGAATGTGGAGTAGGCCCAACAAGGGATAACCCACTTCTAGCAGAAAAAAAAAGGGACCCCATACCTGAAGCTGCTATTTTATATGTATCTAAGCATTCTACACTCTAGAGTAAATCCCACAAAAATAAGAAAAGTAATCTCACGTGCTTGAGCCCATGAGTGGTAGTTTTTCAAAACGGAATAAGGAACAGAATTGAAAATATAGACAATTAAAATATTCTTACATAGTCCAGATGAACTGGTTAAAGGCCTCTGTCATCAACAATTCTTCAATTGTTCTTTTAAAATCTGATGTTAATCTCGATCTCTCCCGAATAGGATAAAACCCCTGTAATGCATTTCATTAACTATCATTCCAATCTTGAATGTTATCAAAATAAAACTAACATTCCAAAAACATTAAGCATCCGCAGAGTACCCAGTGGTAGGAATTAAAGCACAACTACAAATGCAATAAATAAATAAAACATAACCAACCCCAAGAAAATCAGAGGTTTCGGTGTACTGATGACAGTTCAGGATGTGCAATTTTGAACCCAAAAGAATACTCAGCAACTGACAGACGGTTGTCTTCCCAACCCCTGTTTCACCAACAAGAAGTACAGGTTCCCGCACTTTATAGCAACGCTCCACTAGGAAGTGCAATCTTCGCATACTTTTAGTCCAACTACCACCGAATTGAACAGAAATTAGTTTCAGTATTTAGAAAAATAATGAAAACTTACTAGCACCAAACCGAAACTACAGTCTAACCCATACTTTTGAAGACTCTTCGGAACTTCAGCACCATCAGGCAAGTTGGGAACAGGTTCCTATTAAAAGTACAAAAAAGAAGTCAGAACACATTCACAATAAACCAATTTGGTTGCTCATTTTCATGCACTGTAGAAAGTATTGGAAAGCAATCAGGTTCCCCCTGTCGTAATTGATAATTTTTTCCCCCAATTTCTGAATGAACTCCACCAATACAAAAGGAGACAAATCTATAAAGTTTACAGGACACAATTGACTAACTACATGGGAAATGAATACAGCACATATGTGGTATTCAAATAATCCTTCTACTAATAGATGACAACAACAAATCCAATAATTGTAAGTCTCCTTTTTTTTACTGAATACTGATTACTGAATCCATGTTGGCAAAATTTTATTACGCAGAAGAAATTTCCAGGCCATGCAACCCTAGCCCAACCAGAACACATGAGGAACCAAGAAAGCAAAAAAGCAGGATGTTCCACAGACACCCCAACGCAAGGAGGGGGGGAGAAAGAGAGAGAGAGATAACCTGAAAGTACAAGTTGTCTTCATCAAGTTTAACACGGAAATTTTTTTCCAAAACTTCTCGAACAACACATTTCTCGCCTTCATCCCGAAGCCTCTCTGCCAAAAGATAATAACCATCTCGGGCCAAATCCACATCAGAACCACCCCCAAGTTCTATGAAACGATCAGCCCACCGGAACAAGTCTCGCGGAGTAATGAACCCATGTTTCCCAGCAAAAACTTTGCTCATCTGCCTTTTCAATTGCAATTCCTTCATCACAATAATCATTTGCTTAGCCATCTTTTTAGAAATTCCAGGGCGCCGCTCTAATAAGATTGTACTCAACTCAGTTTCAGGAATTTCATCAACATGAATTTCTACAAAACGATTGCGGAAAGCTCGAGAAAGCATTTTACGCCCACCATAAAAACCAGGAGGATTCTGAGTGGCAAAAAGCATAAAATTTTCATCTGCATGAATAGTTTCCTGCAACTCAGGCACAAAAAGCTCCCTATTATCATCTAGTAATCGGTTTAATGCTTCCAGCACATCAGATGGAGCTAAGTTAAGCTCATCCAGAACTATCCAATACCCATTTCGTACAGCCTTCACCAGTACACCTTCATGGAAGACGAGCTTCCCAGAAGCATCCGTTATATAGGAACCAAGATATTCTTGCAAATCGGTATGTTCATGATTATTTATTCTTACAAATTCATGACCTGTTATTGCAGCAAGATGCTGAACAAGGCTAGTTTTGCCACTGGATGTAGGTCCCTGCAATAGAACAGGGTATTTCTTTATCCAAATAGCACGAGCCAAATTCCTGAGACGTTCCTCAACACTTTCAGTTACAGTATACTTTATAATGTTATCAGAGCTCCCATTAATAGTTGAGTCACTTAAGTACTTAAAATAAGGTACTTCCTTAGGAACTTTTCCACCTAACAAATACTTCAAGATTGTTTCTTCCATAACCAAAGCACTGCTTTTATCCAATAAAGTGAGAAAAAACATACAGAACCCATCGTATATTGCTTTTGGAAATCCAAATTCCAACTCTCTTTCAGCCTTTGTTGTATATTCTAGTGCACGGTAGAGAGACCTCAAACTATATTGTGGTTTTTGATTAGCTCCATCCTGCAGCTTTTCTTCAGATAGTTTCTTGGCAATTTTATAAAAGGACACAATGTTATATACTAATTGCAAATCTGATTTTCGGTCACCCAAAAATTGACCAACAAATAGTGTTAGATCTTCATCATCCAACACATCATCAACAAAATACTCTGTAAATCTGCTCCTCAAAGAGAAGGGCAAATCTCGCTTGCCAGCATCAGTTGCAGGATTCATACAAGCAAATAAACGGAAGCTGGGATGCCTATCTATATAATGAATATCCCCCCTTTCCGCTAAACAAAGTGATCCATGCTCCCCTTCAAGCACACTAATTACCCTCTGCAACGTCTCGGGAGGGGCCAAATTCACCTCATCAAGCAAAATCCACTCACCATTTCTCAGTGCAGTTACAAAAGCTCCTTCCACAAATGAAAATATCATTCCATGTGCACTGGCATTCTCTACTTTCAGTGTGAAATTTTCCCAGGCTTTGATTTGTTCCTCAACTGGAGCTTTCTTGCGCTTTTTTCCAGACTCTTCAACTAACGATCTTGCCTCTTCAACTTTCTGGAAAAACTTTTTAATACCAACCTCAAATCCCTTTAGTAACCTTTCCCAATCCTCCTTCTTAAGAGCATCTTCTAATTTCCCAATAAATTTAGGATTAAGCTGCATATAAGCATATAACAGCACAGGTTATTGCCACAATTTATAAATCCACAATCAAGCAAATAAAATTTGATATAAACAATACCTGCACATGAAATGATTTAGAGAATAGATCACAAAACTCATTATACAGCGGAAGGTAAATAAACTTTGCGTCCATGGGCTTATATCCCCCTAACAAGTCAGCAACATCACTTTGCTGACTTAAGTTCTGGAACAAAACAGAAATTAACATTAGATCAACCTTTAAAAGAGACACCCATAAATTAATTAGAACCCAGACAGTGAGAGTAAGAAAAAGAATAAGAGGCATAAGCAGTATTACCAATACTGTTAGCTTATGACCAAGCCTCATTGCCAGATCCTGTACAAGTGTAGTCTTTCCAGTCCCAGTTTCACCAACCAATAGAACAGGCTCATTCCACTTAACAGATGAAGCAATTCTTTCAAGCAAGTGAATCGAACTGCGAATCTCAACAAAAGGTTTCTTCTTGTAATCTTTCTTTCCACACTTCTGCAAGAGTAATGAATATCACTAAGTCTGTATTGAAGATATCTTACACTAAGACAACGTTAGAAGCCTTGACTCACAGCAGTATGAGTGCGAGGGAGGGAAACTCGTCCAACTCTTAAATTTGAGAGTAAATCCTGCAATATAGCTCCAATTATGAGAAATTCTTTATTCTACCTAACCAGGCACAAAGTTTGTTGCAATCTGAATTCTGAAATTAACTTAGACCTGGACTACAGGCTTATTAGGAGGATACAAGGTATCTGAAACAGTTGATGGCACATCCCACAACCTGGCGATGTATTGCATTAAAGTTAACCGGTTCTTCATAGACGTTGAGAAGGCTGCAAATATGTCAACCGCCTACGTTGCAACACAATGTTCCAAAATTTTAATACAGAAAGCTAGTCATCCAAAACTAAACAAACGATATGATAAAAGGAAGGCCATTGATTAAGACCTCCTGATAGATACAATCACGTGCATAAGGTGACAAATCATCTCCCTCAAAGCTAAAACCCAGGCTGTTATACGCTTGCACCATTTGAGGAGATCCCTGCCATCAAATGGAATAGAACAAATATTGAAATCCAAACAAACCAATATGAAATCCAGTAACTAACTTTACTTACCTTAAGGAGAATCTACTTGGGTAACTAACAGAAGCAGAATTTCCAGCTTGAAATCCACCAGTTTGATGTAATGTGGCAGAGTTAATGCTTTCAAATGTTTCTGGAAGCAGTAACTAGTTAGCATTCTGTAAAAATAATCGAATATATTCTTAATATGATGTATGAGTCATTACACACCTGTGAGTTTCACAGCAAGAGGCTCTAAACTTGGATACCACGCTTTCACTATGCTTTGCAAGTCCTCATTAGTTGAGGGTGAAACATACACTTTAAAAAAAATGGTAAGTGAATTCCCACCTGCCGCAAATAAATTCATTTGTAATATGTCCAGGAATTTATATATAATAGCACATTTGTTCCAATTTACAGATGAACTATCGACACTATTCCATCTATGACTACAATGGTTGACAGCATAAAAAAACTTGTATAAATCAATTCAATACGTTTTTTTATTGACTCCTACAATGATAGAATTGAAAATCTGCAGAATCCCAACCAATCCCCTAAGAAGCCAGAAATCTCTCCTGAAACTGGATATACTCTAGTTTCAAAGAAATTAACCAATGGCAACTGAGCCAAAGAAATAATGAACAGACAAACAAATGACATTATACAGTGCTATGTACAATCATTATGCCTAAGGACAAAGAGAAACCAGGAATGGCTCAATGGGGGGTCACAAACCTTCTGCAATGCAAGACGGATCAAGCTTAGAGGTTGAAATTGTGGAAAAAATTCGAAAACTTTCTGGCACCCTAATTTCCTGCACATATCCCAAAATGATTCAAGCACGTTTAAAAACTACAATAGAAATGCAAGTACACCAAAGATAGACAAAGAAAGCCCATACATGGCAGAGCAACAAAAATAATCATCAAAATTCAAAACAAAACAGGAAGGACACACCAGACACAATACAAATTGGAATTGAAAATCATGAATAGCTAGTTAACAAATAAAAACAGGAACATACCTTGCTGAAAAGCAAATAATAAAAGTAACTGTTTCCTTTGGTTTTATATTTTTTATTTTGGTGGGGGAATCACGAATTTCTAGGTTAATTCCGACCCATATAGATCTTAAAAGATAAGAAACTTCCAAACACAAAAAGATAGGAACTCATAATGTTAAAGGTTTTCTTCAAATTAAGATTCAAATTCAACCTCAACAATATGTAGGGAAATGGTACCTATTTACGATTTAGTCCAGTAAATTCCACAAACTACAGAGAACACAAGGGGGAAAGGTAATGGGCAGAAACTATTACCAACATCCAAAAAATAAAAAGGAAAGCTAGTCCATGCAATATGTCTGATGGTTTGTAACATTCTTGGAAGCTTTCTTAGCCAACCTGGGGTAGGTGTTTAAGCCTTATTATTGTGTTTCGTGGCAGCTAGAAAAGATTGGTTCAAATTAAATCGAGTCCTCAAAAGTGCTTATGGGTTATAAAAGCACTTTCTAGTGCTTCCTGGAGAAGCAGCTCTTCCATGTGCTTTTCAGAGCACCCCCTCCCAAATTCCCAATCATTGTTTGAAAACAACAGTAGATTTTTCCTTTTTTAAGTGGAGTCAACAACAGTAGCAAAAAAGCTCTTGAAAAAAAAGGTAGCAAAAAAGCATATCAGAGTACTCAAGTAGAAGTAAGATTGACGGATCAAAAAGTAAGCAGGAAAGCATATTTAAATATCTATTTCTAGGGTAAGGAGAATAACTAAGAACCGGTTACCTGTCCATGCCCAGTTGCAAATAGGTTTACACCCTCCAGCAAAGGTAATATAACAGAACGCACATCAGAGGGTGCTTTGTCAATATCCTCGAAAACAACCCAATACCCATTAGAAACAGCCTGCCACAAGGAGAAATTGGGGTTAAAGAGCATACGATAGTACATGTACATTTTCATTTGACAAAATGATTGCAAACCTGCGTAAGTGACCCTGGCTGCCATCTAAATTCACCAGGCTTTTCCGTACATACATAACTCCCAATTAATGTTCTACCATCAATTTGATCATCCATGTGAATTGATAGAACTGTGAAACAGAGAGAGAGGAGATATTAGTTGTATGAAAAGAACCAATGGAACAGCTAGGGAAAGTACTCAGAAAGCAAACGATATGTAAATACTTAAAAAATTCACTAAACTATTAGTAAAGCATGTTCACCACTCCCCCAGGACATATAAGGCCTATATAAGAATTTCTCTACAAGAGAAGATCAGTTTTCCCATAATGCTCTTCCACTACAAATACCTAACATTTGCAGCTGTTAAACGTTTTTACATAAAGCATTTATTTTCAGACCAAACATCGACGTACAATCTATCTGAATATGATGCCTAACGTTATTTTAATAGTGTAACAGTTAATCAAAATACAAAATTTCTTCATGGACTCTGTTTTCATTTGCTGCTTCATCCAGCACCTGTATTGTGCGATAGCAAGCCCAAGTCGTCATGCATGTACCCAAATTCTCAATTATCTCTATTCACTAAGAAAAAGTTCAAACAATGAGAAGAACCCAATCTTGTTCCATAAGCCAATAATTTCTATCATGTAAGTGGGAATATTAGGAAAAACAAACTTGAGGGGTATTATATTTCCAAAATGTAGCTGGACAGAAGAGTTAAGTTACTCTTTTTGATGGTTTTGTAAGGTGCAAGTCTCATGCATTAATCAATGGCAACCAGAATTTAAAGGGTTTCCCATGTCAATGAACTGAACAAGTTATAAAATAAAAAAACTAAAAATTCTGGATTCATCTAGTAATATGGACTACATTGGAAACCACCATAATATGGAAGTGCTCACACCTAAGGAAATACTCCTAAGATGAGAATTTCAAAGAAACCATGCATAAGCACAAAACTGTCGCTCATGTAAGGCACCACAACATGCACATTAGGTATGCATAATCACAGTACATTTTAAAAAATAAAAAATCAACACTACGTCCTACATGAATCTAAAGTTACGTCATATTGTTTGAACACACTGTCAATTTAATTATTTTACAGCAAGACTATGTCAATCTATTTTTTTGGCAAAACTGTCAATTTATTTTGAATCCAATATCAAATTGCATATGCCTCAAATGCAGGTAGTAAGAAACACTGTTTGCCAACCCTATATCCCACCCTATATTTGAAAGGTTAACAGTTTGTTGCAAGTATAAAGCACCAGAAACTAAAGAACACATGAGAGGAGAGATTTCAACTAGTATGAAGAACAATATATACCTTGATTTCCACTGTCCTGGGACAATTTGCTAATGAGAGCAGATTTCCCGCAGCCAGTGGGACCATACAGAAGAACAGGCCACTTTTCCTTCACAGCTGAGAGCATCATCTTAAAACTTTCCTTCACCACTGAAGTTACAACAAATGGATCGCCAGCTGATCTGTCATCCCTAAAGATACCAACAAAGTTAAGTGGCAACATAAGAAAACAAAAGAATAGTTGCTAATGCAGACAGGCAGAAGAGAAAACAGGTTGCTCCATATGAAGACACAGATTTCATCATGGAGAGAGAGAGAGAGGATAGTTCATAATTTTGGATAGTGATAATATACCATGTTCTTATAAAAAACAAAAGATAATATACCACGTAGCACACCTTTGACGCTTAGTTTGTGGCTCAATGTCAGAACATTGTGATGAAGACTGCAAACAGCTTTTCTGACAATAAACATTCCTTCCATCCAGGGACACTAAGCCCTTTAGTCTGGATGATTCAACATACCAGCCACCGCTCTCAAATGATACGTCCTGACAGAACTCCTCCCATCTGAAATAACAATATCAACATAAATATTGCCATAACTACCTTAGAAACTTTATATTTGTAATCCAGAAATAACTTTCTAAAAGGAGCAAACAAGACCAACCGTAATAAACATGAAAATGCGTCTTCATCTGTGATGCCCAAGTTTTCAGTTGCTTTACAACTTAACTTAAGAATGAGGGAAATTATCTGTAGCCCACACCATCTTATGTCTGCGATGACCTCCACAGTATCGGAAGTACTATCGTGCATGTCAAAATTTGCAGACTGCTCGACAAGGTCCAGGAAACATGACCAATTCTGAAGTTTAGAGAAAAAATCATATTTCACTAAGAGGAGGCGGTAGGACACCCCTACCACAAGCAATACACGCGTTCCAACCTACAAAAGCAAAAATATGACATAAAGCCAATTATCAATAAGGGGAACCAATAGAAAAATGTGGAACTCTAAACTCACAAATGCAAGGGGTCAACAAGAATCGAAATTCATTTTGATTTCACATAAGAACTCACAGCACTACCACTTCACTGACAACCATTTGAAGTTCAAGAGTAAACACTCACAAAACAAAATTCCAGCTCGTGAGAAAGCACAAGGCAAGGCTAGCAATTGCAGATAAAAAACAGAGACTGCATATTTCATATCCAAATAGAAAGTGACCAAAGTGTGTTGGGGTATGTTTTGAACCATTTGTTCGTGACATTACATCAAGTTTCAAGTTTCAACCACTAACTTTATTATGTGCTTTGTTTATTACCAATGAGAATAAGCTTCCGCTATTTCCTGCTTTCATTTAAACCTAAAGCAAATACTAAACACAAAAATAAAATAGTGGCCGAAACATAGCAAAACCAAAAAGGTAATGTGAGACTGTTAGTGTTTGTTAGATTTCAGTGAAAACAAATCAATTCTTGGGACAAGGAATGGTAAAACTACACCATTCGCCAATATATGAAGAAACTGTAAATCTAAATGAAGGCAAATCACTTTCTTTCTACTTGTTCAACTCCCTTAACAACAATCATTAAAAAAAGAAGTAACAAAAAAACACATATATGATTGATGCAATTAAGTATTCTAAATATATGCTGAATCTTTTTTTTTTCCTTTTTTTTGGGGGGAGGGGGTGGGAGTCGCTGGGGAGGGGAGAGGACGGGGAGGAGAGAGAGTTTCCATATTTACACAGATATGTGCTACAAAACTTACAAACCTCAACACAGAGATCAGACACTTTTGGTCCCATCAAAATGCGTTCAAATGGAGGTGGAGCAAATTCAAAGTAACCTACTATAGACCTGCCAAAAGGGGAAAAGGAAAGTCAAAAACAAACAATGATACAGCTTCTACAATTAAATTTCCAATTATCAACCACAGAGCGCATCTAACAGTATCTCCACTAGGTGAATCCTTACAGAGGGAAAATGATTTTCTTTAAAATAATATATATATATATATATATATATATAAACACTGCTCAAAAGCTTGTTCACGATATACCATTTAGAAAGGCACGTGAAGTAGAGCTAGTGACAGTATGAGTTTCCAACACAAGACAGAAGAAACTATAATGAACAATAAATTTTTTTAATTAATTATTCATGCTTTTGATCAAGAAAGACTTCAAGAGATTTTCTTTTTAGTTTCTTTCTTTCGTTCACACGGGAAGGCAGAGTGTTTTGGAGAACAGGGTCGACTTTTTATATTATCACTATCATCAGCTTCATCTTAGACTGCTGACAGAGGACACATTGCCAAATGAACAATCAGAACTTTATATTGCCAACTGCTGCGTGCTTCATTTATAAAGCTTGAGTATCAAAGAAAATAACTAGTGAAATAATCTCACTTCACTTGATCCTAGGATTCATTTGATATTTATAATATCTGAGTTAGTATACTTTAGTTTGTCTTCCATGACTATAACAAAAAACTGCAAACAAATTACTTACGAAACAGAAAAGATAAGAATGCAAAAACCTCAAAAGCAAGTAAACACGATAACAACACTACTCTGGAATGCAAAGTCTCCAAAATACCCTCAACTTTGTCTGTCTCTAGTAAGTCACCAGAACACTCATAAAGGGAGAAACAAAATTAATAAGGAGGAAAATAAAGTAATACAAATACACATTTAAACATTGGTTCATTAGGCTCTCTCATACACAATTACACACAACTCGAATATATAATACATATATATATACATATGAATACATACAAGACATATACATACACATATTATATATATGGAAATTTATATATCACCCTATTCACATAAAGAAATTAACCTACCCCCAAAAAAAGGTGCCAACTCAAGGGCGCGACAGAAGGCTAAACAAACAAGCTCGTGAAGATCCAGACCCCTCCCAGCTCCACTATAGAACTCAATCACATTTTCAACTTCATTTAAATCTCTATCTTTCCCAACTTCTACAACTCCCCTGTCAGAATTAGACCGCAAATTGGGCACAAGCCGAAGCAATTCGACAGCTCTGTCCACGATTTTCTGAGCTATTGGACGAAAACATCCCATCAAGGGAATAGTATAATTTGGATGCACAAACAACTCAACTAGAGCTTTCACCACTTCATCTTGAGTCAATGCATTTCCCTGCATAAACGCAAATAACCCAAGAAAAAAAAAAGTAAATTTAATAGGAACATTATTAAACCCTTCAATATCAATTTGTTGAAAAGATATTCCCAATTTTTTTATTAAAAAGAACTAAATCAATGCAAATCCTTAGTTTTCATGTCTTCTAATTTTGTAACACCTTAAAAATGAATATCTCTTACTGAATTTTTTCAACAACCAAATAAAGCTGGACAAAATGAGGGTGAACACGGTACCTTTTTCGTCAGCAAAACAAACTTTGGAGAAGATTGGAGCTTTGGACAACGGGCAAGAAACCTCTCCAGTGCAGATTCCAGGCTGAAGCTACCATCCATAGCCATTTGAAAACTCAAATATAACGATTAAAAACCTGTACTAGTAATATATATATTATATACGTTTGAAAATATATATTTTAGGTAATTTTAGTAACAAAAATTCTCAACACAGAAGCAATTCAACTTAGACGGACTGGTCCAACCTCTGTATATGTAACGCAAACCAAAATTTTATATATATATCGTTCAAAAATGAATTGCCAAAATTCTTTTCAAAACTCTAGGCTTTCAGGGCCCTTTTTGTTTTCAGTAGAAAATTGAATTTGACGAAAGGGATTCCCCAGAATTTGAAAATGCAAAACACTACACCAATTTTCCAGGAAACAGATAGAAATTAGGGTTTGACAAAGGATGTGCCCTAAAGCTCGAAGTTGGGGTTTTTTCGTTTACTGGTTTATCAGCCTCGGAGGTTTTAGCTCTGGTTTCAGGGTTTAGGGTTTTAAGGCGGAAAGGTTTTATATATAAGAACCAAATTCAGGGTTTTGAACTTTTGGAGGGCGCAGCGACACCGCCTTGGCAGGTGACCTTTTTACTGCGTGTCATTTTAATTTGGGTTAATTACATAAAAGTACCCAACCTTTGTGTGTCATTTCAAATTAGTATCCAACCTTTTAAATTTTTTACAATATACCGGATCACATGGAAAAAAAAAATAAATTGTATTCACGTTGTCCACCTCAGTTTTTTTTTTTTTTTTTTTTTTTTTTTTTCCACGTTGGAAGCAGCCACATCATCACTTAACGCCTTAATTGACAGTCTTACTAACAAAGAGACTAATTTGTATGTTTTTCATGAGTCTGGTATCTACGTCAAAAATTTGAAAGGTTAGACACTAGTTTGAAAGGACCCAAAAATATGGATACTTTTACGTAGTTAACCCTTTTAATTTCTATGAAGACAAATGAAATTTTTACATATTGTTGAATAAAAGTTAAATATTTTGTCAACAAAAAAAATTCTGTATGTAAATGATCAAGAATATTATGTAATGGCCAAATGTTTCATCGTTTATATACAAGTTTGTGGAATAATCTAGTTTTTTTGAAAATTAGCGATAAATAATATACATAGTTAAGGCCAGTTTGGTATTGCTCGGGAAATAATCGTTGTCAAATTTGATGTGAGAGAAATCAGTTGTGAAATAAAGCAATTTGACATTTGATAAACTTTTTGTCAAAATGGTGTTGGTACAATAATCAGTTTTGAGTGTTTAATACATTTTTGTGTCAAAGTGTTGTGACATATAATGACTAAAAATGACATTATGTTGAAATTGTTTTTATATTCAAGTTTTTGGTAAAAAGAAAAACACTTTCGCGTTCACTTATATATATTTTTTAAAATATATTTTCATCATACCCTAATATTATTTTAATCATAAAATAAATAAAGTATCAAGTAGTACATAACTCAATTTTCTAATTTCAATATAGAACCCAGTTGACCAACAATTTAGAAAGCAAAACAGAATTCAAGCTGCTAAAATTAATTTTATGGTTTAGTATCAATTTGAGTTGTAAGATAAACTCAAATCAATGAGAAGCTTTATCAACCCAGTTGAGAAGAATGAAATTGACAATAAAAATTAACCTAACATGTCTGTTACATGATTCTTATGGCGTCTAAAGAGTGCTTTCAAAGATCCAACAAGAAAAATTGAAGGAAGAACATGAGAAGAGTAGATATGGCCTGACGAAAGTGGAAGAGGAGTGAAGACGAACTATGGGAAGTAGAAGAATGAGGATAAAGAGACGCGATCGTGAAAACATATGAAGTTATTTTTGGAATTATGAAATTTTCATTAAATTATAGCGCCTCTCAAAACCGATTGCCGCATAATCAGAAAATGAAAGAATTTATGTACCAACTTTCCCTAATTGCTTTCTCTCACAACAATTATTCACAATAAGTGAATTTTTTTTCTTACCAAATATGATGGGCTTTCAACTTTTTTTTTAAATAATCACTTATGACGCCAAATAAGCAATGCCAAACATGCATTTAAAGGTGATTTTTCTTTTTAATAATTGAAGTTTGAAATTCCCCTGCTCAAAATAAGCAATTACATCATTTTCTAACAATGATGAGAGTGAAGATGGTTCCTCATCAATATAAACTTGAAAAATAACATGAATTAGCTACTTAGCAATCAGTGGCGGATCTAGGAATTTTTCAGGGAAGGGGCAATGTTAAAAGGCTAAAACATCCGAAAAAATAATAATAATAACCAAATAGCCTTACAATTTAAACAACACTAATATTATCCACAATTAAAATAAATAAGACTTTTACGTCTAAGCCTAATTGACTATAATCTATTTTCTATATAAATTAAATGCACAAAATTCATGTTACACAATTATTTACCAAAATTAATATCAAATATGAACAAAATGCATGTCAATTACACAATTAGTCTATCAAAATTCATATGAAATCATCCATTAATCTAACCAAAATCAATACCAATTAATCTAACCCAAAGTACATGTGATTTGGAGGTCACAAGATAAAAGTAGATGTGATTATGAGTTTGGGGTATTTTTCGGTGAATTTTTTGGAGAACATATGAATTTTTAATGAATTTCTAAATTTGGTTTAATTAAAATTTGACACATGGCGCCCTGATAGTAGACCACATTAAAAAGGAATGCAAGTTGAGAAGCACAGGATTCTAACTACAAACACAAGTCATCTTCTTCTTCGGCTGATTGTGTCTGCAACTTAAGTGAAATTTTTTCAAAATCTTCTAAAATCTATAACTTTGGTTGTGGAGGTCCAATTGATGAACCGTTTTCTCCTACGTGATCGTGAGATCGAGCTCAACAATCTAAGGTAAATATTCAGGGTCTCACACAGCAGCAACAAAACGGCATCTTTGAGGCTTTTAATCGAACACTTGGAGGGCACAAGCAAAGGGGCAAATTCCTGCATCTCCAACCCATTTTCCTGCGAGAGGAGGTGCACCTGCACCTCCTTGCGCCTCTGTGGCTCCGCCCCTGTTAGCAATGGACTGTGTATTTATGGATTTGTGCTTTGTGATATTTAGCTCATTATTACGGCCTCTTAAAACTAGTCTTCAACGAAAATATTATTAAAAAAAATAAACCACATAATGATAAACTTACAACGAAAACTGATACAATGTTTTTTTGGGTGACAAGGGGGCTAACGCCCAAACACAAAGATCATAATTTTGTTTGTAACAAAAAAAAAATCACAATTTTTTTTAATAATATTAAACAAATAATTCAACGGGAACATAAAACCAAAATAATTTGACCATCGTATTACTAATTATCCTTATATAAATATATTATTATATTAAATCATGGGTGGCTGGTGGCCCTTATTCACTATGAAAAGAATTAAAGTATTTAAAAATATAATTAGTAATTAAAATAATTAAATAAAGCTAAGATGTTACTTAATTATAAATATTAAACTAAATAAACTAATTAGTATTCGTTTGACATTGCTTATTTTGAGTTATAATCACTTTCTTTCACATTCTTGGATATCCATCCCGGTTTAGTAAAACAAACAAAAATTGCTTTTTGAAGGAAATCTCTGCACATACAACTGTGTGAAGAATCTGGCAGGTAGCTGCTTTCAATTTTCATTTTTACGGGAATCATATGTGGAATCGGTGTGGGTTAATCTATATATATAAAGCAAAAGGCAGAGAATAGTGAAACATTCAAAATGCCAAAAAATGCCCTTGGTTAATTCAAACATTAATAATTAAAATTATTAATTAAATGATGATAATATGGTAAATTCACATTTTTTCATATTAAAAAATTTTTAAATAAAAAAAATCAAATAATAGGTCATACTTTTATGGAACATAACTACCCATATTATATTTTATTCATTATGTACCAATTAGTTCCATAAAAGTATGCCTTATTATCTGATTTTGTTTTTAATTTTAATTTTTTAAGATTAAAAAATATGAATTTACCATATTATCCTCGTTTTATTAATAATTTCAATTCTTAATGTTTGAATTAACCAAGGACATTTTATGGTATTTTGAATGTTTCACAATTCTCTGTTTTTTGCTTTATATATTCTAAAAATAAAATAAAAAAGAAAAAAGAAAAAAGAAAATCAATTGACACATGCATGAGCATATGCCAAGAGGCTAGTGAATATTTATGCAATATATATACTATCCTTATGTCGTTTTACAATTTACGTCACATATCCCTTCATTCCATTCAGTCTTTAGTTCACCCATTCTCTCAATTTATTTTTTTCCTCTTCACTGATTCATCATTTCACTTTTTAAAATAATAAATATATAAATATCTTGGTGGTTTCTTATTAATTAGTAATTATATTTTAATTCGTATTTAAAATTTTAATTAATTTCATCAATTACTTAAGAAATAGTAACTAATTATTTGAAATTATTTTGTGAACTTTTTTATATAAAAATTAATTTGTTTAGTTTAATATTTATAATTAAATAATATCTTAGCTTTATTTAATTATTTTAATTAGTAATTATATTTTAAATAGTAATTTATTTAGTAAATAATTAATATTTTAATTAATTTCATAAGTTTTGTTTAGAACTCTTATTAGTCGAAAATAAAAAATAAGCCTAAATTGTAGCAATGGTTCATGGACTAAGATCAAACTTTATTTTTCATCCCTCATATTGCTAAATTGTTACGATGGTACTTTAATTATGCCTCCACTTTTAGAAATCGTCATTTCCGTAAGCTCAGTCAACTTTTCCGTTAAAAATGATGACATGGCATGAACAAGTCCTACTTGACATGGGCAAAAATGTCTTTTCACACAAAAATTTTAAAAATAAATCTCATCTCTCATATCTCTCTCTCTCTCGCCCAATTTTTTCTTCCCCCTCCCATTTCTTCTTTCCCCCTAATACACCTAGATTTCTTCTTCCCCCGACCACACTAATTTCTTCTCCCACCCAAAAACCCACATTAGACCCTAACAATTTCTACTTTAGATGTGGAATCTTGGCTCCAAGTCTCTCTCCCCTACACCCATCTATTCGATGAGATAACACACATCATACCCAAATCCTCCAACAAAACCAAACAACAAAAGGAAAAAAAAGATATATATATATATATATATATATAAAAAGCCTTAGTGGATAATTTTTTTTCTCTTTCCTGTAGTTGTTGGGGTTCTGGGTTCATGGGGGCGGGTGGTGGTCATGGGGAACGGGAGGGGGGGGGGAGAAGAAATCAGCGGGGAGGGAGGGAGAGAGAGTTTTTATTTTTATTTTTATTTTATACATTTTAATCGATTTAAAATTAATAAAAAGACAAATATGCCCTTATTTTAAACAAAAAAATTGACTGAGATAACAGAAATGACAATTTCTGAAAGTAAATACATAATTAAAGTACCATTGTAACAATTTAGCAATATAAGAAACAAAAAGTAAAATTTGGTATTAGTCTTCCTCCCAGATCTGCCCCCTCAGTCCCTGACCCAGGTATATAAAAACAAACCGTCCACCAAGCCCCACAGTAAGTCTCTCTCTCTCTCTCTCTCTCTCTCTCTCTCTCTCCAATCTCCACCATGGCATCTACCTCTCTCTTGCAATCTCCCAATCTCTTCCTCAAACCCCAAAACCCCAACCCCCAAACCAAGCCCCATTTCCCCACCACCACCATCAAATGCTCCTCCTCCTCCTCCACCCCCCCACCACAACCACTCGTTCCAAAGCCTCCTTCTCCTCCTCCTCCCTCCCACCACCCCCACCACAACATTCGCGACGAAGCTCGCCGCCACAACACAACCCACAACCACCATTTCTCCGCCCACTACGTCCCCTTCAACGCCGACCCTTCCTCTGCTGCCGCCGCCGACTCTGAGTCCTACTCCCTCGATGAGATCGTCTACCGATCCAACTCCGGCGGCCTCCTCGACGTCCAGCACGACATGGCCGCCCTCAAGAACTACGACGGCAAGTACTGGCGCGACCTCTTCGACTCCCGCGTCGGCAAGACTACCTGGCCCTACGGTTCCGGCGTCTGGAGCAAGAAGGAGTGGGTCTTACCCGAGATCGACAGCGACGATATCGTCTCCGCCTTCGAAGGTAACTCCAATCTCTTCTGGGCTGAGCGTTATGGCAAACAGTTTCTGGGCATGAACGATTTGTGGGTCAAGCACTGTGGGATTAGCCACACCGGAAGTTTTAAGGACTTGGGCATGACTGTTTTGGTAAGCCAGGTGAACCGGCTGAGGAAAATGAACCGCCCTGTGGTCGGCGTCGGCTGTGCCTCCACCGGAGACACATCTGCCGCCCTATCGGCCTATTGCGCCGCCGCTGGAATCCCCTCGATTGTATTTTTGCCGGCCAATCGGATTTCGCTGGCTCAGCTGGTTCAGCCGATTGCCAATGGGGCGTTTGTGTTAAGCATTGATACTGACTTTGATGGGTGTATGCAGTTGATTCGGGAAGTCACGTCGGAGCTGCCGATTTATTTGGCCAACTCTTTGAACAGTTTGAGATTAGAGGGTCAGAAAACCGCCGCTATAGAGATTTTGCAGCAGTTTGATTGGGAAGTGCCTGACTGGGTTATAGTTCCTGGGGGCAATTTGGGAAATATATATGCCTTCTATAAAGGGTTTCATATGTGCAAAGAGTTGGGGCTAGTTGATAGGATCCCTAGGCTTGTTTGTGCCCAAGCTGCAAATGCAAACCCATTGTACTTGCATTACAAGTCAGGGTGGGATCAAGAGTTCAAGCCTGTGAAGGCCAACACTACTTTTGCATCCGCCATCCAAATTGGTGACCCCGTTTCGATTGATAGAGCCGTGTATGCACTGAAGAACTCGAATGGGATTGTGGAGGAAGCCACTGAGGAGGAGCTGATGGATGCCATGGCTCAAGCTGACTCCACTGGCATGTTCATATGTCCTCACACTGGTGTGGCATTGACTGCATTGATTAAACTTCGGAACAAAGGGATCATAGGCGTGAACGACCGGACCGTGGTGGTGAGCACGGCTCATGGGTTGAAATTTACGCAGTCGAAGATCGAATATCATTCGAATGATATTAAGGATTTGGCTTGCCGGTTTGCTAACCCGCCAGTGCAAGTGAGGGCGGATTTCGGTTCCGTGATGGATGTTCTGAAGACGTATTTGTTGAGCAAGGCCCCGAAAACTTAGTTAGTTTTGTAAGGGGGCATTGTGTGTGTGTTCTGCTCAGGTGCTGCTTATGTGTACTGTTATGTTCTTGTTATTTGGTTTAAAATTAGGCATCTTCTATGTGTTTTTTGAGCAACTGTTTTAGTTTATAGCACTCAGGAATCAATTTGAATTTCATCAGTTTTCTTGATGGCGAGTTTCTTTAGCTCCCAAGTTTTTACCTTCATTCTCACTTGTTTCACTGTTGCATCACTTGCTTGGTTAATTGTTCGTAAGTAGGTGGAAGTTTCTGGTTTTCTTTTGTCCTATTTGCATTCTGGGTTTTAATTTAATATGATATGATATCTTATGGTTTGTAGTTAATAATGTAATATTCCTTTGATGCTTTTGCAATCTTTAATTTGTTCCCTTAAAGTCGTGGGGGCCCAAGTATTGCTCTTTTAATCGAGACCCTTGAAGAGATTCATCCATCTGTTGTCTCAATGAAGATATGGCCAAGTTTCTTGCCTTGATTGCTCTTGAACTTGATGTTCATGAAGTTTGCTTCACCAACTCTCATGGACAAGTAACTGATTCTGATCACTGACTTGATCTGATTCGATTTTGTTTATTGGGTTTTCTTTTAACTGACAGTTTTATATTCTTTACTTGTAGCAGTACCACCCAAGTGATGTTGTTTTGGATGGTAATGAAGAATTTCTTGTTTTGGTGTTTGATCAAGCACTTGGTGTTGGTGAAGGAGTTTTGGGGATTGGGTTTTCTGCAGTCCTTAATGCGCACTTGAAAGGCTTCTATAAATTGTAAGAAATATTGTAACATTTTGTAGGGAAATCATAAGTTGCAGTTGTGAAAAATTATTTTTCCAAAGGCAATGAAGTACTTTCAGGCGGGCTTTTTGTGGAAGAAGAAATCTGTAGGCTGTCAAGTTACACAAATTCTTCATCCTTACCTGTCTGTTTGGTTGCTAAGATAGAGACAGAATAAAAGAAAAACCTGAATTTAGAATTACCACTTGGCTAAACTTAAAACAAGTACAAGCTCCTGTAGTTTGGAAGGAAATAGGGGAAAAAATTTCATTTACCAAAGAAAGTGGGCATGGCTGCCTCTGAAAATAAACAACGTAAATTTACAATCCAAATTATACATAACTTTCTTTCTGTTCTCTGTTGTGCTAATTCTAACCTGGTTATGGTTTTAACCAGATACTTCTCAACGCCATACCCACTTCCCAAGCTTGATAATTCTAACCTGGTTGCGGTTCCTGAATTTTCTGGTGGGGCCATGGAGAATTATGGTTTGATCCCTTACCATGAAAATGAAATGCTTTATGATCATTTGCATTCCACAACAGCAAGGAAGCAAAGAGTATATTTTCAGCTTCGTTACACTTTTGCAGTCATACAATACTCTACATAAATCAGAACATTTGAAGGGGAAGTAGAGCTTTCTTTAGTTTCTCTTGTATAGTTTCTACTCTGAAAAGTCCAGTGATGTATGTTCTATTCTATACCCTTTTTCCTGAACGGAAAATATGGCCTCAATTTCTTCACCAAACTACTGGTGGCCTAGTCAAGGATGCACTGGAACGATCACATCCAATTGAGGTAAAGAACAACAAATACTATTGCTCATTGTGAAAACTGCTGAAACAATACTATTTCGCATAATTTCAGGTGGAGATGCACCCTGCTCGTTCAATTCTTGAGGTTTTCGGTGATATCAGCTACAAAAAGGGATCTGCTGTTATTCGAATGCTGCAGAGTTATCTCGAGGATGACATATTCCCAGTACAAAATTGATGTCCATAAATACCAATGAGTTTAATTTTTCATGCATCACCAACAACTTCAAGTTTTAATAGTGAATATTGTATGTGGAAATACTCTTCTTATAACCAAATGCACTGCTTGAAATTAGCCCCGGCACCTAGGAAATTTTCTGAAATGCCAGGTGCAATCTAATGCCCAGTACTGATAAATTCTCTCTCTCAAAATATAGACATAAACCCTTGAAAACTGCAATTAATGGTTTTTTTTATCTCATAAAGTGCCAATGTACATAGAGTTCTGAACTAAAAGGTCTGAATGGCAAAGACAAGTTATATTGTTTATTCTGAAGTCATTCTAGTTTGCTCTGTAATGAGTGAAAAATTATTAACATGGTTCAATTTATCTCTTTTAACTGTGCTGCTTCATATTAAATCAGAAATCGTTAAGTTCCTACATAAAATGATATTCTGGATAAATTTCTGTTGGTGATCATCAATGACACCAACTATTTTTGGTAGCATCACCTTTTGTGTTATATATGCAACAGGTTTGTTATGATGTCGTCAAAATATCAAGTGAGGCCATCCCAGATTCAGCAAATGATTTGAAACAATTTTTCCATCAATCTCCTTCTGTTTCCAGCAGAGTAAGAACAACTCTAATACAGTTTCGATATCGCAATACCTTCCTTGTTAAACTTATTGGTTATATACGTACCTGCATACGTGCTAAAATGAACAGTGTTTGTCCTTATGATGTATTCCAGTCTCTTTGAGGTCATGGTCGCCAGTAATGTTCCGGTTTATGTGGCTGATACTTCATTTAGGATCACCAAACAAAACTTTGATGCTACCGTACTTAAATGTCATATCTGAATTTTTTCATGCAGAAAACTAGGTTGGGATTCAATACCTGGAGAGGATCATTTCAGTGCACTTCTGAGAGCAGAAATCTTGCAGGCCTTGGTTATCTTTGGCCATGATCAAACCCTTGTTGGTAGCATTTGGGAGTGCTTCATGAAGAAGCATATAGTAGGTTCTTCTCAAGAAAGCGCTTTTATGACCCATAAGCACTTCTAAATTTTTCTGCCAAACACTATCAGAAACACTTTTGGTTGTCAAAAAGCGCTTTTAGCCCTTTCAAAAAGCGCTTATATGACCTAGAAGCATTTCTATATGTCAAACGATGTCAAAGTGCTTTTCGTTATCAAAAAACATTTTTAACCCTTCCAAAAGCACTCCCAAACATGCATTATTACATTTGCATACTTTTATTCTATTCCAATGATCCAAACAGGAAAAACCCCTCCCCACATAAGGATCAATATTTATGTACATGACAAAACCACACAAATGGTACGGCAAACAACAATTGATCCAAATAAATAAATAAAATAAATAAAAATTGGTACCAAATCTTGAATTCCATTCCCTTACAAATTATGACAATATGAAATCCCCAATTCCAGCACTCAACACAGACCCTCATTAGATGCATAATGCATTCCCATGATTAGTTAGTTTTGTAAGGGGGCCTTGTGCTCAAGTGCTGCTCATGTGTACTCTTATGTTCTTGTTATTTGGTTTAAAATTAGGCTCTTTTATCTGCTTTTTGTTTTTTTTTTTTTTTTTTTTTTTTTTTTTTTTTTTTTTGAGAGACCTTTCCTATTGAGAGGGACGATAGCATACTAAACTCACACACACAACACGGATGTTAGGATTCGAACCCAAGACCTTGTCTAAGGGAGTAAATACTCTAAACCACTACACTAGTGGATCCTTTGCTTTGAGCAACTGTTTTAGTTTATAGTACTCAGGGATCAATTCTGCAGCCGAATTTCTGGTTTTCTTTGTTGTCCTATTTGCTTTCTGGGTTTTAATTTAATGCGCACCCACATATGATATGATATCTTATGGTCCGGAGTTATTCCTTCGATGCTTTTGCAATCTTTAATTCGTTCCCTTGAAGTTGTGGGGCAACCCTTGAAGAGATTCATGCTAATGCCGAAATTGACAGATACAATGGTCCAAATTTCCCACTCTTGAAAATGACGGATATCTATACTAAAGAAATAAAAGGATAATATGTTAACTGTCTCGCATGTAGAATTGCCCGCTAGTGTGATGCATCTAATCATAGATTAAATATATTTTTTTAGTAGAAGTGATAGTCTAAATTGCTAAAAAAATTTTACCTAGCCAATAATATAATGAAATGTGGAAAAGTTATCTTACGTATCATTGTGTTATTGGTCGGAATAACAAAAAGTGATATCCCGTTGCATGAGAGTTTCTCTCCTCAACTACGGGAGAAAGGATCTATAGTCTACAAGTCAATACCCTTTTTCATCTAGACCATGATTTGCAAATAGATTAAATACTTGATTAAATCTAAAACCGTTTTCGCCCAACCAAAAGCTATTTTCTAATTTCCACTCTCTGCATGACATGATTATTAACGTCACTTTTTTTCCACCATTTATGTCAATGAACGACTTCTTGACAATCCCACAAACGGAAGTCTAAAAGACACAAACAAGATAGGATGCATAGGCATGTTGACTTTTTAAGCAAAAGCACAAGACTGAAGCATCAGCAGCTAACTGCCATTGCCGCCTGGTCACGCTAGAAGCAAAGAAACTTAGAAAGAATCTCTATATTCAATATAAAAACACTTTCTCATCTTTGTAGATCCCAGAGGAATAAATGGAGGATTCCAAAACTTGATTAGGAGACATAGATTCAAGCTTTGAGCGAGCGGTGGTTACAAACTTTTGTTCTGAAGTTTTTCTCCGAAATGGAGCAGAAACAAAGCATAGACCAATTCAAAGGCCGAGCTCGGCTACCAAATTTTGCAATCCCAAGGCGCTATGATCTTCATCTCAAGCTTGATCTCTCAGCATGCACGTACTCCGGCACCGTGCAGATTAACGTTAGCATTGTTGAAGAGACCAAGTTTCTTGTCTTGAATGCTCTTGAACTTGACGTTCATGAAGTTTGCTTCACCAACTCTCATGGACAAGTAACTGATTCTGATCACTGACTTGATCAGATTCAATTCTGTTTATTGGGTTTTCTTTTAACTGACAGTTTTATTCTTTACTTGTAGCAGTACCGCCCAAGTGATGTTGTTTTGGATGATGATGAAGAATTTCTTGTTTTGGTGTTTGATCAAGCACTTGGTGTTGGTGAAGGAGTTTTGGGAATTGGGTTTTCTGCGGTCCTTAATGCACACTTGAAAGGCTTCTATAAATGGTAAGAAAATTTGTATCATTTTGTAGGTAAATCATAAGTTGCAGTTGTGAAAAATTATTTTTCCAAAGGCAATGAAGTACTTTCAGGCGGGCTTTTCGTGGAAGAAGAAATCTGTAGGCTGTCAAGTTACACAAATGCTTCATCCTTACCTGTCTGTTTGGTTGCTAAGATAGAGACAGAATACAAGAAAAAACTGAATTTAGAATTACCACTTAGCTAAACTTAAAACAAATACAAGCTCCTGTAGTTCGGAAGGAAATAGAGGGAAAAAATTTCATTTACCAAAGAAAGTGGGCATTTAATTGTGTTTTATTTGCTTTTGTCCCTTGTAGTTTCTTTGCTACCAAATAAGGTTTTTAATGAAAGCATTTGACAATTTGCACAGCACTTACTTGGATGGAGGAGAGAAAAAGAATATGGCTGTCACTCAATTTGAACCTGTGGATGCAAGGCGATGCTTCCCATGTTGGGATGAACCTGCGCTCAAGGTATGCGTATTTGAGAAGTTCCCGTAATTGTTGAAACTCTTTTCAATGCAATCTCCGTGTTCATTTGCTAAAAAGCCCTGGGAAAGTTAAATCTTTTCTCCACCGCATTGGTCAAACGGTTGTATAAATGTGTTTTTGGTTGTCTAGATTTGCTTGAATCTGAGAGTTGCTCATTTCTGCTTTGACATTACTAGTACATTCTTGACAGGCCAACTTCAAGATTGCAGTAGATGTACCATCAGAGCTGACAGCTTTGTCCAATATGCCAATTATCAGTGAAAAGCTTGATGCAAATGTCAAGACTGTTTATTTTGAGGAATCTGCTATTATGTCAACTTATTTAGTAGCTGTTGTTGTTGGCCTATTTGAACATATTGAAGATACAACATCTGATGGTATGTATATAGGTGGGAGACTGTTCGATTATTTAACCGATTCGTCATTAGAGACTACTGAAAAATTTGTTTGCAGGGGTAAAGGTTCGTGCATATTGCCCTGTTGGGAAGAGTGACAAAGGGGAGTTTGCTTTAAATCTTGCTGTTAAGACGCTTGATCTTTTCTCCAAGTAATCTACTTCATTCTTAGATGGGGGAATTTTTAAGTCTATGTATTTCGATTCTTTGTTTATACAGAATGACATTAGATCCAGGACTCTGTAGTCTAACAAACATTCCCAGAATCCCATGATTTTTGGCCTTCCCTTTTGTTCAAGGGGAGGTAAACTTTTAACTAATATTCCCCCATATATGTTCCTAACTATACCACTGAACCCAAGCTAAATATCAATGCAAAATACGGGAACAGCTTGAATTTCTTCCCTCCACCCTTTGCGGTTTCCAGTTTCCACCCCCAATCATTTCCCAAATAATTAAAAGTAATCTCTGGAGAACCTGGAGTCATTACCCATGGGCAAAGGCTATCCCCGAAAAGAAACAACATAAATTTACAATCCAAATTATACATAACTTTCTTTCTGTTCTCTGTTGTGCTAATTCTAACATGGTTATGGTTTCATCCAGATACTTCTCAACGCCTTACTCACTTCCCAAACTTGATATGGTTGCGGTTCCTGAATTTTCTGGTGGGGCCATGGAGAATTATGGTTTGATCACATACCGGGAAAATGAAATGCTTTATGATCATTTGCATTCCACAACAGCAAGGAAGCAAAGAGTATATTTTCAGCTTTGTTACACTTTTGCAGTCATACAATACTCTACATAAATCAGAACATTTGAAGGGGAAGTAGAGCTTTCTTTAGTTTCTCTTGTGTAGTTTCTACTCTGAAAAGTCCAGTGATGTATGTTCTATTCTATACCCCTTTTCTTGTTTTTTCAGATGGCAATTGTTGTAGCACATGAAGTAGCACATCAGTGGTTCGGCAATCTGGTAACAATGGAATGGTGGACTGATTTATGGCTTAATGAGGGTTTTGCGACTTGGGTAATTTTGAGTCTTTCATTGCTTTACCTTCCAACATAATAGCGTTGCACTAAATATAAATATTTGATTTTTGTGTGCCTTCTTGATATTATATTGGCAGGTAAGTTTCATGGCCACTGATATTTTATTTCCTGAGTGGAAAATATGGTCTCAATTTCTTCAACAAACTACTGGTGGCCTAGTCAAGGATGCACTGGAACAATCGCATCCAATTGAGGTAAAGAACAACAAATACTATTGCTCAGTGTGAAAACTGCTGAAAACAGTAGTGTCTATGTATGTATATGGCGCAGTAAGAAGTCAAGGAGCAATGAAATATAATAGTTTCACTTGAATGATCAAAGTGCCAATATTTATCTTAACATTGATCCTGAAAAAAGAAAGAAAGGGGAAACTGCTCCATGCAGCATACTTACTGCTGTCTCACATAATTTCAGGTGGAGATAGACCATGCTCGTTCAATTCTTGAGGTTTTTGATGATATCAGCTATAAAAAGGGATCTGCTGTTATTCGAATGCTGCAGAGTTATCTTGGGGATGACATATTCCAGGTACAAAACCAGGTTAAACTATCCAGTTGAACTATGTAGTCAAATAATCCATGGCAGACAGGGGTTGATCAAGTTTTGTACCCTTATTGATGTCCATAAGTACCAATTAGTTTAATTTTTCATGCATCACCAATAACTTCAAGTTTTCATAGTGAATATTGTGTGTGGAAATACTTTCTTGTCACCAAATGCACTGCTTGAAATTAGCCTCGAAACCTGGGAAATTTTCTGAAATGCCATGTGCAATCTAATGCTCAGTACTGAGCAATTTTTTCTCTTAAAGTATAAACATAAACCCATGAAAACTGCAATTAATGGTTTTTTTTATCCCATCAAGTGTCAATGTACATAGTGTTCTGAACAAAAAGGTCTGAATGGCAAAGACAAATTATATTGTTTATTCTGAAGTCGTTCTAGTTTGCAGTTCATTATCAGTTTACTCTGTAATGAGTGAAAAATTATTAACATAGTTCAATTTACCTCTTTTAACTGTGCTGCTTCATATTAAATCAGAAATCGTTAAGTTCCTACATAAAAAGATATTCTGGAAAAAATGCGAAGACGGAAGATTTATGGAGTGTTCTTTCGGAGGAATCTGGTGTCAAAGTCAGCGAAATGATGTATGCTTGGACAAAGAAAAAAGGATATCCTGTTATATCTGTAAAAGCCAAGGAGCATATTTTGGAATTTGAGCAGGTACTACTGATCAATACCAAAATCTTATTATCTGCAGAAATCTAATGAAGTTTTGTTTTGCAGACACAATTCCTGTCATCCGGTTTGCAAGGTGATGGGAATTGGATTGTTCCAATAAATTTTTCACTTGGTTCGTACGACAGACACAAGAGTTTCCTTTTGGAAACAAAGTCCAGAGAAGTGGACATTTCAGATCTTGTTGATTCCTTTGATAATGAACAACTGTGGGTGAAGATTAATATCGACCGGAGTGGTTTCTATAGGGTCAATTATGAAGATAAGCTTGCAGCTCGACTTAGGAAGGCTATTGAGCATAATAGCTTGGAAGCAACAGACAAGTTCGGTATGTACTACGTGCCACTTACTATTTTAACTAGAAATGATTTCGCATTGTCTTATGCATCTTGTATTCATTGACAACCGGTTAGTGTTATATGCTTGATTTGATACTATTGTGCTTCATGCTTTTGTGGATGTTATCTTCACTAGGCAAAGTAACAGTAACTGCACTATGATAACTATTAAGAATGGGCTTGTCCTGCTTAGCATGAAAATCGGCCAAATTAATAGGATGAATGATAAGCCACCTATATTATAGTTTATTCTGTGGATTCACTTCTTAGATTGTTTACTTGGTTTTGTGGCACTATAAACCACTCATGACCAACTGATGTATAACTCCACGTCTCATTTCAGGCATTCTGGATGATGCATATGCTCTCTGTGAAGCCTGTGAACAATCACTTTCCTCTTTGCTTTCCTTGATGGATGTATACAGAAGAGAAGTTGATTATATTGTCTTAACAAATTTGATCGACGTAAGGATAGATTTCTGTATTTATGTTGGTGATTATCAATTACACCAACTATTTATGGTAGCATCACCTTTTGTGTTATATATCCAATAGGTTTGTTATAAAGTCGTCAAAATCTCAAGTGAGGCCATCCCAGATTCAGCAAATGATTTGAAACAATTTTTCATCAATCTCCTTCGGTTTCCAGCAGCGTAAGAACAACTCTAATACAGTTTTAATATGGCAATACCTTCTTTGTTAAACTTATTGGGTTATATACATGCTAAAATGAACAGTGTTTGTCCTTACGATGTATTCCAGTCTCTTTGAGGTCATGGTTGCAGTAATGTTCCGGTTTATGTGGCTGATACTTCGTTTAGGATCACCAAACAAAACTTTGATGCTACCGTACTTAGATGTCATATCTGAATTTTTTCATGCAGAAAACTAGGTTGGGATTCAATACCTGGAGAGGATCATTCCAGTGCACTTCTGAGAGCAGAAATCTTGCAGGCCTTGGTTATCTTTGGCCACGATCAAACTCAGAAAGAAGCATTAGACCGTTTTCAGACATTATTGAATGATAGAAACACTCCACTTCTTTCAGCTGACACAAAAGGGGTAATTAAATCTTTATATGTATATTACATTCTCATCCTTATAGTAGGCATCTTCAAAGATAATATGTAGAAGTTCCAAACCTTGTCCTGCAGGCTGCATACATTGCCGTGATGAGGACCGCTAGCATCTCAAATAGGAAAGATTTTGAGTCTCTTTTAAATGTTTACAGAGAAGCCAATACAGTGCAAGAGAAGGAAAGGATTCTACGTAAGATTTTGTAATGGTGAATTGAAATGCATTCTTTGACATTCCCTTTCCCTGTGTCTCTTGTCTGGGTGATAGTAACTTGGATTTCTGCATTATGTTTTGACCTTGTGCAGGTTTTTTGGCATCTTCTCCGGACCCGGATACAGTTCTTGAGGTTCTTAACTTTTTCTTATCGGATGAGGTATTTATTTGCAGTACTAAATTGTTGCTTGAAACACCTACACTTTCTTTGCCAGTTTTACAGATGTTTCATCTCAATATATTATTTTCAGGTTCGAGATCAGGATATTATATATGGACTTTTTGGTATAAGCTTAGAATGCCGTGAAATAGCATGGATATGGTTGAAGGTATGGATTTCATTCATTCTTGGAAAGTGGAAACATGTTTTAGATGAATATCACATCAGTCAATACCATATTTGGAAGTAACTGGCATTTTGAATTGGAATTAGGAAGCCCCTTCTACTTCTGACGTTCACAATTTGAAGAGTTCAAATTTTTGGTTATGAATGCAGGAGAACTGGGACCTGATTTTGAGCAAATATGGTGCTGGACTGCTACTCACCCATTTTGTACGAGACATTGTGACACTGGTAAGCAAATGTATTTCTGTCCTGGCACTGTTAGGCAACTGGACTGGACCTTGTAAAACAAGGTACATTTTCTGACTCCGTCCTCCATTTTGCATTACTGATGAAGTCTTCACTGGCAGTTATGTAGCAATGAAAAGGCTGATGAGGTTGAAGAATTTTTCGCGAGCCGTGTGCATCCTGCGATTTCTATGACTTTGAAGCAAAGCATTGCGCAGGTCCGAATCAAGGCGAGGTGGGTTGAACATGTAAGGCAACAACAATCTGTGCAAGAGCTAGTCAAAGAATTAGCATGCAAGAAATGATTGCCTGTCACTCGTATAAGTTGAAACTTAAAATATGTCAATTAATAGAATCTGTACTGCTTGAGGCTTGAGAGTTTGCTTGCCGCTAAAGATGCCAACTTGATACAAAGCAATTAATTTGTTGGTCAAACACAAACAAATCAGAGATTTTCTTAATTGATTCTAACAAGTTTTCTTTCACTTCTAGCTTACTACTTCTATACGACATTTATTTGCAACTTGATCGGATTCGGATCAAAATCCGATCCATTGACAGCTCTAATTGCATGCCCTAGTTGACCAATGTTCCAGAGAAAAATGTGTCTAATAAGAATTAATTATAAGCCGCCTTGTTACATCGTAATCAAATACATCATTAGCATTTACTTAAATAATTTCATGCCCAAAAGACAAGTCACCTCTTGAAACACACTGTCTGCGGTGCAATATCTTTAATGAGTTAGGTCAAGTTACATGCCTTGAATTAGGGAGCGTTTAGTCCTCGTTCTAAAAGCAATTGACCATAATTCAGTTGTGTCATCCAGCTGTCTAATGCCAATGATGTAGACCAACAATTATTTTATTTTTTCCGGTTGAGGTTCACTCTAGATTTTACTATTAACTGCAGACGAGAAACTGCAACATCAGTTTGATGTATTAAGTTGATGTCTCTAGTCTAATTCATATAAGAAACTCAAGGAAAAATAATTTACATGATAAGGTTCTTGCCTAGTGGTAATGAATATTGTGAAAACAATTCAGTTTAAAGATGAAAATGTAATTGCAATAGTAAATCTAGACTCGAATTCTCATTGTCATAGGTGACGACATTGTGAAACAAAAAAAATCTAAAGTGGAAAAGCACTTGCGAGCGCTTTCTAAAGAATCACGTCATAGGTGATTCTCCATAAATGCTTTTGATTATCAAAAGACGTTTTTAGCCATTCTAGACGGATTCCAAACATGCATAATTGTTACAGTTACATACTTATTCCAACGATGAGACAGGAAACTCGCCTCCACACACGGGTCAATAATTATATCTGTCACATGCCAACGGAGACCCGTTACATCCATGCACGTACATGACAAAACCACACAAAATTGTATGGCAAACAACCAATTAATCCAAATAAATAAATAAAAATTGGTACCAAATCTTCAATTCCCATTCCCAATTCACAAAACAGCCCTCATTAAACACACCCCCCCACCCCCCCCCCCCCCCCCCCCCCCCCCCTAACCCTAGTGTATAAGAATTTTAGAAAACCAAATAAAATAAAAGAATTGTACTAACCACCAAACATTACATACATTAAAAATTCCTATGTAAATGTACCTCTCTATTCTCCAATGTATATGTCAGCAAACAACTCAAATCCACAATTTATCTATTTACCTTCATCAACCTCAACCTCAATATCCATACCCATATAATATTAAAATAAATAAATAAATAAAAATTAATTAGGAAAAAATAACATATTTAATAACTTGGGCCTTCTTCTCCTTCTCTTGTATCTGGGCCGAGATTGGACCTCCCCCTCACAGAGTTCATCTTCTCCAACCTCAAACCAGCTCTGAACCTTGCAATGAAAGTATCAGCTTTGGTGTTAACATCTGGGCTGGGGCAGAACATGGCTTTTGGCGACTCTCCACTCTCCAATGGCGTCCTGTTATTTTCCATGGTTGGTGATGAAACTGCTGAATCCGGATCATCCCCATCGTCCAAATCAGGGGAGCCACTGCGTGAGCTGTTGTTGCTTTTGATCCTCACAAAGTCTCCGTGCACCACAAATTTCATCTCCGGCATTCTAAACGGCGGCAATGGCGGCGGTGGCGGTATCCGAACCAATGGCGACTCGCCGCCACTGTTATTCTCATCATCTCCGTTGATGAAGCTGCTCACCTTAACTGGCAATGGCGGCTTTTGGGTCGTCATCATGGGCCTAATTTGGGCCTTGTTTTTCAATAACTGTGCCGTTGAAGTGGTTGCCGCCACTGGAGGCGGCGGCGGCGGTTGTGGAATTGACAGCATTGTCTTCTTGGGTTTGTTGGATTTCTTTGAGGAAAACAAGTTGTGAAAGACCGAAGGTGGCGGCGGTAGGGGTGGAGGCGGAGGCGGCGGTGATGGCGGCGGAAGTAAAGAGTAAGGAGCTGAAGAAGCAGACGCGAGGAGACTCTCGAAATTTTCAACACTCTTTTGTCTTTGCTTCTTTTTCTTCCTCCTCAATGACGTGATCAAGAATTCTTTTGTAGTAGCCACCCCTCTCTTCTTCACATCTTTCCCAGCCGATTTCGATATCCGTGGTGGCGGTGACGGCGGAGATGGCGGCGGTCGGGCAGGGGGGGGCGGGAGATTTTTCTTAGCTTCCGAATTGTCATTTCTCTCAAGGCTTTGAGTAGAACCCGAGTTTTCTTTCTCTCCAATAGCTTGGAATGTTCTCTTGGACTTGCGCGTCGTTGGCGGCGCTGGTTGGGACGAAGATGGTGACCTCCGAGGCGGCGATGGCTGCAGTGGCCGATCAGATTGAGCAGCTGGAATTTGTGTGTGTGGTGAATTAACTTGTTCCGTACGGATTGCAAAAGTGTCAACTTCTATAGTCTTGGTTTGGACTTGTTCTGCTTCTTCTTCTTCTACTGGTAGTTGTACGGATTCTTCATGCCATGACCGATGACGACGATGATGGAGCGGATCCGAACCCGAAACCCGATAATTGACCACATGGGTATCGTCGTAAAACCGCCACCGATCATCTCTGGCGACCCACGAAGCTTCCTGTTGCCGCAGATCCGGGTACGAACTGCTGGTCCTCACTCCTCTGTTCATGGCGGCACTGGTGCTGCTACTGCTGTGATTGTAGACCGTCCGATCTGAATACTGATCGAACCACTGACGCGGGGTTGATGGATTTGACTTGGGAGCTTGTGGTGAAGAAGAATTGAAAACAGTTTGATTATGAACTTGATCATAAGAACTGGGGCTGCTGATGTTGCCGTCATTGTTGTTGTTTCTGCTGAGAAACCCACAGACAATTGCAAAGAGAACGAGGACCAAATTGAGAGAGTCCCAGCTTTTTTTGACGGAATGGGGTCTAAAAATTTGTGAAGTGAACGACAAAACTGATGGGATTATAAAGAAAATAAATACAAGAGCTATGGCTAGCAAGGCCAGGATAAAGGCGCCGGAGCTGAAGAAAACAGAGGAGGAGGAGCGGCGGAGGCGGCGGTTGGCTTGCCGGAAAGAATCGGAGGGTTGGAGCCAGAATGGTGGAACCATGTCTTCCTCTTCTTCCATTGTTTTTGGGTTCTTTTTGGTTTGTTTTTCAACTTTTGGTGTCTTGAGTTGGGAGAGAGAAATGAAAGGCTAAAGTTGGAGAGAAATGAGTGATCTTCTTTTTGCACACACTGCTTTGTTGTTGTGGCTTTTGGGTTTGGTTTTGGCTTTTGCTTTTTGGGTGAGGTGAGCTTTTGCTTATATAAAGGCAGAAGCCAAAGCAAGCAAAGCATATTTGTTTGTGTTGCCTGTCATTGCTAGAATGACAGCTAAATGAATTGGTAGATGATTGATTTTCTTGATAGTAAACCATGTGCTTTTTTAGGCCTTTTTTTTTATTTTTTTCAAATTGGTGTCATGGTCATACATACACTCATTCGTTTCCGCGTATGACAATCGTATTCACATATAAAATTATATTTTAATTAAACCCTTAATTTTAAAAAATAAATGTTGTATTAGCTTATAGATATAAAGTGACTAGTGGTTGAGGCTCATCCATTTTGTTGGGTTTTTGTAGCTATAATTAAATATGAGAGACATCTCGTGGTATTTATAAATAAATAAAAAACGAGCATCTTTGTTCACCCCTTTAACTCAAGGCATACAATCAAGACTCTTCTTAACACTTGACTCGTGTTCATAAGCATAACCATGGTTCTACAAATACAAAGTAAAGAGTTAATTATAATTAAGCCCATGAACAAATGTCTGAGTGTTGCGAATGGTAATAATGGTACCTTGAATTAAAATTATGAGCAAAAATATTTCCATTTAACATTGGATATAGCTACTATACTGTACCCGTGCTTTGGCCTTTGGTCTCCAAAATGGTTTAGTGCCATAAAAGATGAGCAATCAAGTCATCTACATCACCGATTTCTTTTCTAGCTTTACATGCAATTTGGACTTTTTTTGTCTTTTTCGATTTGTTGGTTTTTGGCAATTAGTTTTATTTTTCTAGTCTAATGGTTTTTGGTAATTAGTTTTTTTAAAATAATTATATAGTTTTCATAATTGTAAATGGTTTTTGGTAAATTGATTTTGAATAATTTAGTATTATGGGCAGGTGTGCCACCGCAACGTCCTCGCAAGAAAGAAAAACAGCTTGCACGGTGTGAACTTGTGCTTTAAGACACTGTCAGGAATCAGGATTTTTGCGCGCCCCCGGGGGGAGGGGGGGATGTATGGATATCTAAACCAGGAGAAGAGAAAAATAAATAAATAAAGGTCTTATTTCATAATATATTTGTTTTTCTCTTTTAAAAAAAATAATTTATAGTTATCCTCTTTATTTTCTCTTCTTTTTTTACTCTTTACTAAAATACAAAGTTAAAAGATTATAGAGACAAATGTATAAGAATGTTATGGTCAGTCGCTCACATGACGCGACGGTTAAATGCTTGAAGTTTGATGCGTTGTGTGTGAACCGTTGCAAAATTCTTGAAAATAAGGACCTTGGTTTGGACTAAGGTAGGGAAGGCACTCAATACACGACACCGTGTAGGGGGTCCGTCCAAACGAAAGCTTCTCGTGTCAGTTAGCAGGTTTGATTGCCAGAGGTGGGATGGGATCCCAAGCTCACGTGAGAAATCAGGCTAAAAGGTAAATAATTTGATCAATACAGGATTGGTAAAACAGCACACAGAGAAAAGTTCCACGGCTGAAAAACTGAAACCAGCAGAGTTTGGATTTTGCATGAAAACACATTCCAAACGTTTTTAACTTTGGTACATAAAGTGATATGAAACTAGTTGATTGGTTTAGAAATTTATGGTGAAAGTGGTCCTCCTGATGCCTTTATCCAAAAAAGAAAAAAGGGTGTTTAGAGAGACCAACAAACATATTTAATGTATCAATGGGAATAGTGAAGTTGGTGGTGAAGGAAAAGGGGTTAGGTATAATGACAGATTAGGTTTCTTAATTGTGACTTCTCAAAGAAGTTCCTATCACTTGCTTGGATAAAGGATTTTTAGTAGGAGTTTGGAAGTGGCAATAGCAAGAGAAAAGCATCGGTTTTAAATCATTAGAAGGGATCGAACTCTTGACCTAACCGACTTTCCTAGCATTCGTCACCATTTGGATCAACCCGAATGACAGACAAAAGCATCATTTGCACAGCAGATTCTTATCCTAATTTGCAATCTAAGAACATGCCAAGGCGCAGAAGGATGGCATGTTAAAAGTGTATACCAAGAGGCAGACCACTCCATCTCTATGCATACAAAGTTTGAAGCGAAAACTCATCATACCTTCTTCTCCCCTCCAATGGAATGTGCTTTAACAAGCTAATTCTTAAACATGGACCAAACCTGATTTGCAGCCTCTAGCACTTGAGTTGATTTGAAGATGTGTGCATGCGTGAGATGATAAAATGATGTGTACTTGTAAATGTGCTACTCTTACTACATTCTCATACCACCTTATATGACAAATGAAGTGAACATCCACATCAATTAAAAAATGTCAATAAATCATAAAAGAAAAGAAAATGTTACATTAATTTTAATTGATGTAGTTGTCCAACTCATTTGCCACATAATGTGGTATGGAAATGTGGTATATAAATGTGGTAAGAGTAGCATTATTCATCTACAATATTTTCTGTACATAGAATTCCCACTATATGGGAGCTAAGCAGTAGCGTATATACACGGTTTTTGTCTTGCTCACTATTACAAAGAAGCCCAAACTGCTTCAGGTATCAGTAGCTGGACACGCCATGATGCCAACATTTTCCTGGCTTGCGCCTGATACGATTACAGGAAGGACGATTGAGGTAAAGATCATCATAGAGAATTTTGTATGGCGCCAACATAGGTTATGGAAAAAAGGATTTGAAAACAAAGACAGCTACCACTATGAACACAGCAGTTGTACATATCAAAGCCTGCAACAGTCACAACATTTGTGATTAGTGAAAGATGATAAAGGCCACAAATAACAATGCAGAACAATATTTCAATTATGGGTGCTTCTATTTGTTGCATCCTTTTTATTCATTACAACCCCTCCCTAAAAAAAGTTCAGAACTTTCCCATTTCAATCTCACGTATTTTAAACTTTATAAAAGAACTAAGAAAATAACCAAAAAAGGATCAGAGAGGGGTAGAGGGCAGGGGGAGGAAGGGAATAGGAAAAATTAAACTTCTTCTTTTAGAAAAAGATAACTGGATAAATAAGGGTAAAATGAGTATTACCATATCTGGTGGTGTAGTGAGAAGAAAAGGGTGTGCAAACAGAAGCATAAAACTTACAGCTATTGCTGAAGCTTGGAGCCCAGTTCGCTCCCTTGGGTCTCTATGATAATACTTCCCAAAGTAGAGAAATGCAGCATAGTACCACATCACTGGAAATACAAATCCAAGCAAAAGACTGAAAAAGAAGGCGCATCCATTAGTGAGAAAAGATCGGGCGGGGGGGAGAGCGAGAGAGAGAAGACAGGAATACTCACGAAAACCATCCAATTCCACAACCAAAGCAAGGAAGCGGTTTGTCAAATATTCCCAATATCGGGTCCTCTTGATCCCTGATAGGAGCATAGTTGCCATTTCTATGGTTCACTACATCCACCAAATCACTTTCAGAAGGTAATCCCATAACATCTTGCCATAAACTTTAACAGAAACGATCAATTATTACAGTAAGCACATAGCTTTTGTATAAGCTTAGTCACCAATGATAAATTATAATGAGAAAAACAGGAAAATGACTTTTACAATTTAAGAACACATTTGAAACCTGCCCTAGGTGTTAAGGACTCCTATAGTCCTCTAAAAATCATTTTCACTCAATGGTCTGACATTTGACACTGTAAATGTAGACTTCTCAGCTCCAGAGGACTAAACAACTGGTATGGAGGTCTCAGTATATAGACATGCGTCAGGTCATTGATTTAATATAAAATTTCATCTTTACCAATTGATTTCAAATCTAAAAAATTAACCACTATGCTGCCAGCAGCATCCCACATGAGCATGACAACTTCATCCAATTCACCACATTTTACTACTATAAACATTTGTGCAGAGTCTCATTTTATATGGAAAAATAAATTGCACTAGCATGCAGAAGGAGTTGCATACTCTGATCCATCTGTCCCAAACACAATCACCCTCAGTTCTGCTCTCCACCTTGAAAGTGACTGTAGTATTTTTTTTCTGAAAAGAAAAGAAATTGTTATATGAAAAGTATATGCTGTTAAACAAGTGAAGATAGGTTGAAGTATGACAAAGGAAGATGTGCGAAGGAACCAATCCAAGACAATTTAACTGATGCATTTAGGTAACAATGTGACCGTATTGGTTGAGATAAAAAGATGCAAACAGCATAGACACTCAAAAGAAACATAAAAAGTAAAGGGAGACAAAAGCAAATAGGTCATTCTATTGTGCAAATTGATATTCCCGCAAAGAGAAGGCAGTTATTGACAGGTCCAGACTTGAAAGACTTATTAGTCATACCGCAATATGGTTGCATTTAGGTTAATGATCTGCACCTCATGAGAAACATATCTCATTACGAGATAATCTCAACTACTCAACTCAAGGATGGATGCAATTTCTGAAATAGAAATCATAGACATCTATCACAATTCAAGCAGCATTTACTCAGAACTGTTACCCATCAAGTTCATACTAAAACTTGAAAAAACTATACAAGGATAAGATTCAAAAGGAAGGGAAATGCCCTCCAAATGAAAATCATGTATAAAGGGCCTTCCCAAATTCTTGGTAGTGCATCCTACAAATAAAGAATAATCACTCTGGCTAGCTAACTAAAGAGATCACAATGGCAGAAGGGAATTGATCATCCTGCATAAATTCTGCATCATTTCGTCTCAAGGCCTAGCCATGTTCCACTGGTAGATTAAATTTATCACCATCTTTGACTTACGAAGAATTTATAATTCCGTATCAAATTTCCACTCTAAGATGATCCCCATCACACTTCACCAACAATGATAAAGGCCTAAGATTGTAACTCCAGATTCTTATTGTTAATTGCATTTCCACCATGTAAAAGAATAACAGGATAAACAGAACCTTAATATGGTTGTTGGGTTACAAATAGATTACTCTTCAAAATAAAAGAATCAAGAGATCATATTGGCATAAGAAATCTCCTTGTGCTGTCATATGCAGCAAATATCACTAATGATCTGCAGAATCAATTGCGATGCTAACTCTTCTCCTTTTAGTTGAGTCTAAATGCCACATGCCAAAAAGAATTCACAAGCTAATTTTATTCTATTGTGCCTTCTCCAGAAGTGCCAGAGGAGTGGTGATTTAAGATGGCAACTAGCAAACCTCATGAAAGATTTGTTCTTTCTTCTTCTTTTAATTTTCTTGAAGTAGAAGACAAGAAAACCTCAATCAATTGGGTTTTAGCAACACCCAAACAGGAAGGAGAAAACAGTTCTTTTGTATATAGAAAGCCGTACGCACTCAATGGGAGGAAACTACCAGCAAGCAAACACAAACAGTTTTTCTATTTTATTCTTTGGGGTGGAAACAAGATTTCTGGTTACAAATCCACAAAAACCTTCCTCTATTTTTTCAGATAGCAAACTTTGAATTACATTACATTGCAAATCCCAATATATGATAACCAAAATAACAGCAAACAACTTTAGTGAAGTGTTCTAGGAAAATTAAGACGAAAAGCATTCAAGAATTACAAAAAATAAGAAAACCCATGTTTGAGCAAAGGATTTCCCATAATCAAAACAAAGAATTCATGTGGAAAGATCACTCTAAAAATTGAAACAAGTCAAACATGCAGTGATAGAAATCAACCCAACTCGGAATTTCCAATTCTTTCCCAGAAGAAAAAAAAAGAGCCGAAGACTGAGAGAGAGACGGATTTTGAAAAGAGAAAAAGAGGAAACTTTTACCTCTGAAGAAACAGTCAAACGGAGAGCTGAAATTAGCAGAAGCGGCTTTCTGTGAAGAAGTGCTTTTGATGATTACAAAAGCAGCTGCTGATGACGAGGAATGAAGAAATGGCCTTTTGGTACGAAGTGCCTTTCTCTCTAATCAAGTACGAACGTTTTTATCTCCATTGATAATCAACTTGAGAGTACAAAGGGGAGGACAGAGACAGGCTCTGTTTCTTTACGTTTTCACAGTTTTAAATATAAAGAAACGAGAAAAATGTAATATAAAATGATTGTGCGTGTGCAAACCAAGCAGGAATCTGCTGCAACGAAAGATACGCCATTAAACGGCATGTCGTTCCTCATAACGGAAAAAATATAGAAAGAAAGATCGAAGGTGTAATTAACAGGACATGGATTTCCACATCTAACCTGATAATTCCTTCATTAACTTAACAAATCTATATTAACGTTTTATATATACATTGGATTGATATGAAAGAGTAGGTATAACCTTTTATAATTCAAAACTTTGCTACTTCCTAAATTATTTATTAAATTAAATAGTTAATTTTCAACTTCTGAGATAACCATTAAACTATGTAGGAAAAAAGGAATTTGAACTTGGTTTTCGGGTGGATTAACTTAATTTGAATTGGGTTGTTGGATCAAATTTACTTAATCAATCCCTAAATCAAATATGAACTTATTTGTTAATAGTCTATCAAATTATCAGATCCAATTGAATCAAATGATTTTCTTTATCAGATCAGATCTTAGTCAAGTGCAAAGTAGAGAGCATATCCGTTCTAACTAACTTTTAGTTAAGTTCATATATGCATTCCATTTTCCTTGTTCAAGTATCGTTTGTATCAAAAAAATACAATCATATTTGATTTATTGCTATACATGGCCAAAACGTGGTCATTTTGGAACAGGTCAGATTATTATTATTTTTGTTTTTTTTACTTCATAAATTGTTGGCCATGTGAATTAAGTAAAATAATACTAAAACAAAGAGGGTTAGCAGATATTAAGCTCCCCAATACCCCCTTCCCAAATTTGTTTCAAATATAATTTCACCCAAATAAACCTATTCTTACAAACTCCTCCCAAGCCTAACCCTCCACGCCAAAACCACCACACACCAACCATCGGCGACCACCGAATTCAGTGGCGGTAGTAACTTTCCCAATTTGTTTTGGAATTTTGATGTCTCTCTCAAATTTCAAAATAATGTTGATTTTTTCATTAATTATAAATTATAAATTATAAATTTAATTTTTATGAAATTTTTTTGTTTAAAGTTTTTTTTTCAATATTTTACACGTTGACCCCTTAAAGAAAAACTTATAAATCCACCACTAAGAAGAATAGTTGGTTGGTCGGAGATTAAAATCAAGTTCCCTAAGAGCATCTCCAACCGATGTGTCAAACGTGCCACATAAACATTTAACAGCTATAAATAACATCTTACATCACTCCAACCGATGTGTCAAAGCTGATGTGGAATGAAGGCTGGAGGTTGAGATGTTATTTTTGACATCCCAAAAGCAAGATGTCAAATGAATATTTTATTATTTTTTCTTTTCTATTCTTTTTAATTAAAAATGAATCAACACTAAAATGTAATAAAATAATAATTTAATTTGACATATCGGGTGGAGTGTAAAGCTGTGTAAGATGTTAAATTGCCACATCAGCCATCAAATTTAAATTTGACGTTTGGTATTTGAGCGGTATCATTTTATTTTGTAAAGTTGAAAAAGTAAACCCGAAAATAAAAACAAAAAAAGAGCCTACCAAAACCCTCACTTATAAACCCAAGCGGCCCCAACCTCTCCTCAAATCTCTCACAAGAGTCTCTTAACTGTGCAAGAAACCTGCGCAACCCACCGCCACCCCAAGCATCAGTGAACCTCCAAAGCTCACAGCTTTTTCTCTTTCTTTTTTTCTTGTACCGATGGAATCAGACGCAGAAGACACCAAGTCCCAAATGACCCAAAACCCATCAACACCACAAACCCACAAGCACAAGAAGAAGAAGAAGAAAATCCCGACAGTCCAAGCCACAATCCAAGTCGTCCCAGACATCCCAGAGAAAACCCCTCCATTGGTCGGCTATTTCCCATGTAGCTTCGACCCCCACCAAGAGCCCATACTCCAATTCAACCGATGTTGGGTTGTTTAGGGACAGCAAAAAACCTAGAAGACTTCAGATTGTGGTGACCCCAAATGGGACCAATGTTGATTTTGTTGGCACTAACTATACTGGTGAGGCCACGACTGGGCAGAGCTGCAACTTTGCACTTGGTGTTCTTGATAAGGCCACTCAGACTTTGAAGATTTTGCCCGTTGCTTCCAACAAGGTAGATTGGGACTGTAAGTTTTTGTTGGGTTGGTTTAGAAGTTGTTAAAGTGATGCAGTGAGTATTAAGCACATGTAAAGTTTACATTTTTTGTTTTGTTTGGGGTTTCATTGCTGAGAACAGAAACTATAATATTTTGGTGACTTGTAAACTTTTTCTTCAGTGGTGTTGCTTTTGTTGTCATTGTGATTTGGATTTAGACTTGGAGAACTAAGTTAGGAGCCTTCTAAAAATGTTATGTACACCAAGTATATCCTTGTTCTATATGCTTATATGAATGTATGTGTTATCTCACAGTACACTTTGGTACAAGGAATTTAAGGTGAGTGTGTGTATTCATCATTGCTTCTGCTTTGCAAGGAATGCTTATAAGCTTACTTGGAACGTGAATTTTCAGATATTTAGATTACAACCAATGGTTAGAGGCTATAACTACTCTGCTAAGGAGCCTGAAAGTTCAGTGAAGGAACAACTTACTGGAGAAGAGAAGGCTCAGAAGCAAATGGAGCTCCAGAGTCGCTATGGAACGAAGAAGGCAATTAGGGAGGTAAGAACCTACTTTTTTTTTGGTTGAGTTTTTAAGTAAGGTTCACAAGCACTTTCCACAATCACAGCCACCTTGTTTGAGTGTCTCTGTTCGTAATTTATATAAATTTAGCCAGGTAAAGGGGAAAAATTATACAGTGAGTCAGCGACCAATCTACTTGTTTTGAAGAACATATGAAAATTTTAGAATAAGTATGGGTTTTGCTGCATATGTCCGAGCACTTTTCTTTTTGTACTAAATCCCCACATCAGTGGTTGTTTTCTCTATAGCTTCTTTGAAATGTTATATGCCAGTATTGAGTTTTAAACACAAAAATATCAAGGGTTGAAGAAAATTGAAAAAGAAGTCCACATAATGACTAGAAACCATTTTGTCGCTATAATGTTGGTGAGGGAACGTTTCTCAATAATCCATTCCTTTTATCAAAAATTAAAACTCTTGATGCATAAATTTTATTAAAGGACAGCTAGAGCTATGTGTGGTTAAAGATACTTGCAATTTACAACTGAGACTTTATGGGAATTTCTGTACAATACTATATCAAGCTGAACGCAATTGAGATTTTTGAGAAGCATTAGTGTGTTAATCTGAATTTTCTATGACAATGCAGAGTAAAAAACTGCGCTCCTTGAAGCAAGAAGACGGTCCTGAATCTCAAAAGGATTTGGATGCCAAAATCAAACTCATTGTGCCAAACAAGGAGGCTCTAGAAAGTACTGAAAGCCAAATCTCTCGCCATATCCCACCATTTAATGAATCTGCCACCACTCCCCAAGAAGCATTTCCACTGGACAAGATCATCCTCACAGGAGAGTGGGATCTACTTGGAGATATTTATGAGCATTTTCAAGGTGGAGCAGAAGTTTCATGGGATGCTTTCCCAAGATTTGTTTGCCACAGAATCCATAAATTGCAGGATATTGAGGTAAGAATGCAGAAATTCCTTCTTTTGTCTGAAACATATTAGTGAAAATCTCTTCTGATGGCCATTAAACTACTACAGAATACTTCTAAATATTTTGATGTGGTTGTGCATATATGCATATAAGGCCGATCCTCTTTTCTGTTTCTATAAGAGCATGCTGAATTAAAAAACCAACCTTTTCCAGTTGATTGCAGTTTTCAGGGAAAACAAAAGGGAAAGAATAAAATGGAAACTGTTATATTGCACAAACTGTTAATTTTCAACTTTAGAGTTTCTTCCTTTACTCCAAAATGGCTGGTACTACTTTTCTGCGTTATAAACACTAACACAGACATATGCTGTGTTTCTTGGGCTGCTTTAATGTCGTGGCTAAGGGTTAATACTGCAGACTTTAGTTTTTGTATTTCATCCTTTGATGTTTTCCTGTACATATCGTTATCTAACAACTGCATTTGTGGAACCTTCTAGTTCAATCTAGTATGTTTTTGCTCCCCCTTTTATCTATTCAATTTCATGGTGAAGAAAACAGAATAATCGACATTCTTATGTTGTCCATCTTTGTAGGTGGACGAGGAGAAGTTTAAGCTTTCTTGCATATTCTCATACATTACGCATCTTATAAAGTTCAAAGATCAGCATTCCATGGATGGTATTTCCTCTTCCAGGACCCACAGGATCCCAAACCTTCTATTCCATAAGTTTTCGACTATGTTTCCTATGGAGTCAAAGAGCCTATCAAATGAGAAAACTAATCTCCTCATTAGTTATGTCTTGGTGCTTACTCTTTTCGTGGATGAATTCGAGACAGATTTAACAGATATAGCAAAGGATCTGAGAATGAGCGCAATAGCTTTGAGAAAGCATTATGAGAACCTTGGTTGCAAGCTTGTACGCAAAAGAAACGTAATGTTTGCTACCCTTCCAGTCCCTCTACAATTTCCACAATTGCGGCAGAGGCGGCAGAAGCGCAATAGATGAATGCTTTGTTTATTCTTTGGATTGTTTGACAGCATATGGAAGAATCTGGGCTCTTTCTACAGGCATATAAAGTGAGATTTAGATGCAGTTTCACAAAAGTGCCTTAAGTTTTTTGTTTTGTTTCTATTGCACGATTTTAATTTTACTGTGCTTGTGTGGCAGTAATGTTATAAAGTTTGACCAATTTTTTTATTTTATCATGACGACCTTTTTATCACACATTTTTATAGATGAATTTGTAGACCACATCTCTATACAGATGAATTCACTTCAACAAAAATTGACGCGCTTAAAAAAAACCGACATTCATAAATCGTTCCTCGTTTCTTTTACTTCTCATGGAGTAACTGACTCAACGAGTTGGCACCATCATTCAGAAAAAGGGTGAAGATGGATAAACCTGCAAAACTGTTGCACATTTTCTCTAGACGTTATATAAAAAGAGGGTAAGTTCTCTATCCATCCAAACCAGAAGAAAGCACATTTTCATGTAACCAGTAGCTAGAACATTGCATACCCAAAAAATAGAAAAAGCACATAGGGCATTGCATTACAGTTTCTACAGTAGTCGAGATAGGTACATACAGATTTCTATACTCGTACACAAATTGAGCCCACAAGAAAATCGAATGGGCTGTGCTCTCTATATATATCAGCATATGCCAGAAAAATAGGCGGAAAAAATAAAGAGTCGGATAATAAGGACATAGCCGAAATCACAGAATGCGGGTGAACATTCCTCCTCATTTTAGGATTTACTCTTGAACTTTCTTTGAGCTTTCAAGTCCACCACAATCACAGATATGTTGTCCCTGCTTCCCTTTTGGAGGGCAAGCGTTGAAAGGTAGGCAGCCGCTTCCTGAGCTGCTGGATCAACTCCAGCTCCCCTTTCCGCAAGAGCTGTAACTCCGTTCTTTTTGTGCCAGAGCAGAATGCGCCGTCGAGCCACTTCACAAACTTCCTCGTTTGTCATGACATCCCATAGACCATCACTAGCCAAAATAAGGCATTCATCATCTCTAGCTCGAGGGACATTCATCACTTCTGGTTCTGGAATTATCCACGGTTTCAGATACCTATCCCCTGCAGGATGAGAAAAAAGCGTAAAGGATGTTCAATTCGTTATGGGAAATGCTAGTCAGAGAACGCAATCCATTTGTTCAGACAAGGCAAGCAACTCAACATACTTACAGACAGCACACACACATTCTAAATCATAATGTTCTTTTATATCTCTTTTCGTTTAAAAAAAAGAAACACAAGAAAAGTCTAGAGTCTCTAGACGTACCAATGGACCTCGACATTGCAAGAACTCCAAAAACACGATGTCCATTCCACTGTATCACCTTGCCACCAGCTGCCTCAATCCTTGCATATTCATCTTCTCTGTTTGGCTGGGAACAATAACAAAAGAATAAAAAATAAAAAGATAAAAGAAAGATTGGTTTCTGCAACTGCAAAGAGAGAAAGCTTTTTCTTTTAACATGTAAAAAGTAAACCAAAAACACATGCTTACTTTATGGTCGACTGATAACGCTATGGCTTGTTTGCCACGACATAGAACTGCTCTTGAATCACCACAGTTTGCAACTATAATATGGGATGAACAGACTAATGCAACCACAGCTGTAGACCCAACAGTTTCTGTAGCAATAGGTTCAAAGCTAGCCTCGGAAGCATTTCCATCACTTTTGATGATGTTTCCGCTAACTTTTCCTTCAATCTCATCATCAACCCTCTGAAAACAATTAGTGAATGCTTTCTCCCACTGCACCTGCTGACTTTCTCCCACAGTTCCATCACTCAAATCGTCTTTAATGACTCCAAGCTCTTCAGCCAAAGCCAAATGGAGCCGCTCACTACAATAGTTAGCAACCTGCAAGAGGAGACTCCTTCCAATCAGGTTCACAAATTCAGAATTCTGAAATCGTTTTACAAGTGTAAAAATATCAAACAGATTAACGTAAAGAAGCATGTGTTGCACCACAAGGTTGTTTAGTATAGCTTACAGTTTGATTAATTACCAATATGCCTTGCAATAATAAATTTGAAATTGTTGTATCAGATTCAGAATAACCTTAACTTGAATGAATAAAATAAATGTATGAAGAAGGCGTGTACCTGAGGGCCCCCATGGCCATCATAAATGCCAAAAAAGTGACTGGTTAGGTGGGTCAAACTTTGGCTCATTCCATTATACAATTGATTCCCAATGAGCATTTTAATTGGAATATTAATAAAACGAGGAACAGCAGCAATTGCATCCTCCATTTCTGGTCTTCTTCCACAAATTGATACAGAACCCCAGAGGGGAATACAGTCCAGCTCAAAAACACTCCGGATACTTGCTTTACTGACATTCTTCTCCCCATTTGACTGGATAAGTACTGTAGAGGTTGTTAATTCAGACTTATCTGATAACTCAGAAGCCGAGCTAACTGCTGCAACAATGACTTCACCCGAAGGCATTTTCCCAAGAGCTGATTCTACCAAGACAATGGCTTTTGCAACAATCTTACCTTCGACGGTATTTCCTATCTCCACAACATCTGGCAAGCTTATTGCAGACCCCACCTCTAACTTAAGCAATTCCTCACTATCAACTCCATTAGTATCATATCTAAAGGATAAGATTTCACCTCCCTCACTTTCTTGAACCATGGCATCATTACTAACAGAAGTGTTTCCATTCTCTGGTAGCATGTTTAACAAACCCTCTCCCTCTCCACCATTATCTTCTTGTGATGACATGGCCACCACAGTAGCGTGACTTTGTATATCATTGCAACTTCCATTGCTGCACGAAACTGACTCTAAAGGCACTGCCTTAATGGAATCTGATGACAAACTTCCAGGGTCTGTTACTAGCTTTAGCCATGTGAACTCCACATTGGCTGCAATTCCAGAATTATCACATATAGAATTACCTAAACTAAGTGTCACTGCAACTGCTGGAGACATGTCTTCCATCAATTTCCTTTGTCTTTGTACCATTTAACAGTTACCTTCAATCTCTACTCAGTAAAGTAAATTTACAATTTGTAATTCCCTCCAACACCTTCCAGCAATGAACTAGGGCAAAATTCTTAAGGATAGACAATATCTCCTCTTTTGCAGATTATATCACTGATCCCCCAATCCTCTCACAGTTATAGTAACACAAACAACAATTACACCACTAAGATCAAATAAGAGATGGGTATGCGCTAAACATGAGCAGAATGAAATGGGGTCAGCAGATCTGGTGGGCAACAATGGATCTAATCTCCCAGTGATGGAAATTTCAAGACTTCACAGGTAAATTGGGCTTCTTATGTAGTGCTTAGCTTACCAAACTCTTCTCCTCCTGGCAGAGAATCAGCCACATAATACCAAAATCCTATCCTCACCACCAACCCTCAAATATACACCTAAGCACATGAAAATAACTGCAATCTGACGTTTATCTATAAATCCAAGAAGAGAAAGCAAAGGGTTCATGAGAAAGAACCTAGGAAAAAGGAAACTAATACTAGTAATCACAAGAAAACCAGACAAAGGTGAAAACTTTTTGACATAGAACTTGGGTTTTCCTGGATCCAAGGCAACCCAACTCAGTCAGCCTATCTAAAAAGTATCTTTTATATATCTTCTTCTCCTTCTCCTTCTTCTTCTTCCAAGGAACACAGGCAACCCCAAATCATCAACAACCATCACAATAAATTACACAAAGACAGAACATCTAGATATGCTAATTAATACATGATCCTGATCAGTTCCTAAACACAAATAGGAAAGAAAAATCACACAAAATATAAGAAAAATTTAGTGGGTTCTTACCAGCTGAAGCTGAAGAGATTTGAATTCAGAAAAACATGGTCAATGGGTGAAGAAGCCTCTTTCCCTAAATTTGTTCTCTGTGTTTCTTGGGGCATGGAGGGAGGCTCAGAGAGAGAGAGAGAGAGAGAGAGAGATTCGTGTGTTGTGCGGAAATGCCTTTCCTTTTCACTATGTACTCCATTTGGGGACACGTATACATGATGATATGTAATAATGTTACATCACTTGAAGGTCTCTGTGCGACAGAAAATGCTGAGGAGAGGACACTGCTGACACGAAGACAACTAACCCAAGGACTTTTCATGAGACAAACTTTGAGGAAAGACACGTGTCCGTGGACTGAAAACGACACTTAATTAGGACCAATTATGTCCGTCTACCTGCACAGTACTCTTGTTTTTATTAGCTTCGTGCTACTTGTCACACGATCTCGATGTTGCTCGGTCATCGTTTGGTGATTACAATTTCCAATTTACTGCGAGGTCAAATCAAAAACTTAAAAACCAATGGAAATTATGAAAACTAACTCAATTTTGGGGCTATGAAGAGATTTAATCCGCCATTGATTATTTGGTTTAGTGGCATTCTGGAGTTCTCTCTTAGGGTTGTGTAGCTTGACCCAACCCAAGAATGTGAACCAACAAACATAATCTCACACTTGACAAAAAAAAGAAAACATAATCTCACATCGAAGAATACCATAATAATTTATAATATAAAAGTAAATAATTTTTTTGAAATTAATTGCATTGAGACTCTTTTTTAGATAAAAACCCCATATCTAAATCGGTTATATCTAACCTATTGAACCTAGGTGAATTTTTATTTATTTTTTCGGTCGAATCGTACTTAGATGGTTAAGTTACGACAATACAGGTGATGGATCAGATTTCGTAGTAGGGCTTATGTTTGTTTGTTGCTTCTTTCTTTGGGCTTCTGGCCCCCCGACGCACCAAAAGCAAAAAAACCCCAGAAAATAGCATAGGAAACAATGTAACGATTTCAACTCGCAAATGCATATATATAAATAAAATAAAAATACATTTCTCATGAACGGCACACTACACCTAATTGGGATGATGGTATCATCTAATAGGCAAGGAGATGCACAGGCTGAAATTTACTATTTTTTCTTCTTGTTTTTGGGTAATAATTAATACATAATTTCAACGTCATTTTTCACTAAGATTTGAAGTCAAATTTCCCAACACAAATTCGATTGTCACATATCTTATGAGTTCTTTCAAGCCAAAAAGATGGATATATATTGAAAGCATTTTACGAAAAAATGTTTGTTAAAAATGCATTCGAAGACATTTACCACACAATTTTCATACTTGTGCCTAAAATGCGAGAGCTAAACGTTCAATACTACCTTATATTCTAAAATTATAATTTTTCCCCTTAAAATACACATCATATATGCATGTCACGAAACACCGAATCTATAATATGTGTCTTTACAAGTCATTTCATGCCGCTTGAGCTAAGACTTGTAACAATCCAGTCACGCCCAATTCTTTTTATTTTTATGACTTCAATTGCAGTTGCTAGATGTTCTGTTAGTACCTAGACAACCAGAAAAGGCAGGCTCTCTACTTCTAGAAGTGTGACTTGTGAGAAAAACCAATTCCAAGTTCCAGCCCATCACTATTCAATGCTAGCTAGAAAAGAGAGGATAGTGGAAGTTGGTTTTTCCCATGTCACACCATCCAAATATATAGCACAACAGCAATAACCAAAACACCACCTTTCCTCCTTCCTCTTTTTTCTTCCTCAACTCTCAATCTCCCTCCTGCAGCTACTAGCTCCCGTGGCAGAGGCGGCAGCAGCAGCAGGCAGTGCTCGGGTTTAAATGGCGCTTTTCAGATCAAGATCAGTGGGTGAGGACGTCGGCCCCACCCTGGTTGCCATCAACAAAGATAAGAACAGCCAGTGCGCTGTGAAATGGGCAGTTGACAACCTTTTGGGCGACAAGAACGCTCATTGCACGCTCATTCACGTCAGAAGCCACAGCTTTCATCATCGTAGGTATCCGTCTCTTCATCACCATCATCATGATCATATCATCACCACCATAATTAATAATTATCATCATTCTATATGATCACACTGAACGTAATATTAATTGGTTGCATTGTAATTTGCTTGGTATATAGTTTTTTTATTTTTATATAAATTAAAATTTATTATTATTTTTAAACAAAAAAACAAAACAAAAATCTCCCTTATTTTTTTTGGATTTTGGAGGGGGCATTTGCCCCTTAGTGCATGGTTTATGGTCACAATGCAACATATGTCAGTCATGGTTGCATATCCGTAAAGCCCTTTTTTCTTTTCTTTTTGTGCAAGTAGAAGATTAATTCTTAACCCCACCATAAGCCTTGTGTATAGGAATTTTTTGTTATTAATTTTGATGTTAAATGTAATGATCATGCATCATCATTTGCCTTTTCATGGTCATTTATCTCATTAAGATTGTGTATGTGCTTGATATGTGCTCTTGGTTTTGCAGATGATCATGGAGCAGTCTCTAAAGATGGCCGCCCACCAACTGAAGCCGAGTTGCAACAGTTCTTTCTCCCCTACCGAGGATTCTGTGCGCGAAAAGGGGTTAGTGATTGATCATTTGATTTCCATATAGACTGAAGCCTTTTCAACCCTAATAGTAGCTCACCACGAACACTTAATTGGAAGTGTTTGTTATGGTGGACTTTAAAATATATATGCTTTTGTTTAATTAGTCCTTATGCATATGCTTTTTTGCTAGTTTTTGAATGGTTTAAACTTACAATTTCTCTCTTGATAAAACACAATCATGTATGGCCTTCCACACAAACTTGGTTAGTTCATGTGTGCTAAAGAGCAGGCCAGGGATGTTTAGATAGATATATGTATGGAAGGTTAACAAGAACTTGCCAAATCTTTTCACATGGATATTGTCTGATAGATTAAGATCATGAAGTGACCTGGTTTTTCTGTTGTTGACAATGAGCTTTTCAGATTGTAGCCAAGGAAGTTGTCCTCCACGACATTGATGTTCCAAATGCGCTTGTTGATTATGTGGTTCGCAACTCCATATGCAATATTGTTGTTGGTGCTTCCCATCACAATGCTCTGACAAGGTCTCTCTCTCTCTCTCTCTTCCCAAAGTAGAGTAGTAAATAATTTCTGTGATAACTAGTATTAGACCATGTTTATGTTTTTTTTTCTATTTAACAGCTTCTCTTGGTACTTGTCTTGATGCAGAAAATTTAGGCCTGCAGATGTGGCTACTTCCTTACTCAAATCTGTACCAGAAACCTGTGCTGTATATGTTATATCGAAAGGAAAAATTCGGACTTCACGGTCAGCAACTGGACCTCAAACACCGAAAAGTAATGCAGCTACTCCCAGGAATAATAGCTCTCAACGGACACCGCTTTCCAGCTTTCTTCACGGTGTGCCAGACTTTGAAGATGTGATCAGGTATCATTTTAAACCATTCTTGGTGGATAATATAACTGGACATCAAATCTATAAATTCCGGGCCACTAATATGCACACTCTTTAGTGACCATTGTAGTAAACAGGAACTTGATGTTAATTAGCCTATTCTGACTAATTGTGTCCATTGTAGATGATGGTAATGAGACTGATTCAAAATGTTTCTGCATGACTTAATATTATCAGTTCTATGATTTCTTATTAAGACTTTGTTGTTTCAGCAAGTAAAAACCACATCAACAGGTATCTTAATAAAGTTCAGCAGATCTGGCAGTAGGCAAGAGAAAATAGAGGGAAAAGATTGTTAGTTTATGTAGCTTATCAGGAACTCAGGATCTTCAATTTCCAGATGTCATTAGGATCATGAAATGTCGTATCGAATATGAAAATTAAATAAATTTATACTGACTGTATCCACATATATGTACTCTTTGGATGGTAGACAGTGAATTACTCACATTTGCAAATCCTGCATTTAGAAGTTTTATGTTGTATCTCCCCCACAAACAAGTTTATGCTGCTTGGTTTTTTTTTGTTGACTTTTTTCCTGCATTGCACAATGCATTTTAGTCAAGGAAGTTCAGCTGGTAGAATATCTTTGGATAAAACCGCTGATTTTAAGCACGTCCCGCCAAAAGCACATAGGTCTGGCAGCAAAACAAATTCACCAACGCAGTCAGTTACATCAGCTACGTCAGATAAGCTATCCCATGGGAATTCCATATCAGGTGGTAGTGATTTCTCAGGGCCATGTAGTTTCCAATCAAATGGCTCTGACAATGTAGACTTCTCAATGAACTCGGAGGGTTCCATTAACTCTTTCTCCTCACATACGCCGGTAAGTACAATGATCGAAAACTTGTAAGACCACTCTATTTTATTATCTATCCAGATCATGACAGCATACTGTATGGGAATTGACCATAAAAGGTATTGTATTGGATGGTTATAGTTCACATGGTAGGAAAATGTACTACCTACACTGTTGTCAAATAACAGAAAAGAAGGAAATTAAAATAAATAAATAAAAAAAAGAGAAAAGGAAAATATAAAATTGAATTCTGACATGAAATACATGTTCATTTCAATGGTTTGAACTTATTTCTTTTGATAGTAAGAGGATAGAGAATTGAAATGCATGTTGTTGCATGAGTTACAGTCCGCCTTGGATGCTGAGATGAGGAGATTAAGGCTTGAATTGAAGCAAACTATGGATATGTATACTTCAGCTTGCAAAGAAGCTTTGGCAGCTAAAGAAAAGGTAAGAACATGTTAGAAGATATGGTTATGATTTTTTAACAGTCTCCAATATTGTTTATTCCATTGAAAACCTGAAAATGTGGTATTTGTGCATCCAGACGCGGGACCTGCAAAAATGGAAGACATCAGAAGAGCATAAGCTAGAGGAAGCCAAGCTTGCGGAAGAGGCTGCACTGGCTTTGGCTGATGCGGAGAGGCAGAAGAGCAAGGCTGCAACGGAAGCAGCACGGATGGCACAACGACTAGCAGGTATGGAAACCCATAAGAGAAAAATTGCAGAAAGGAAAGCCAAGCAGGAGGCTGGAGAGAGAAGGAGAGCAATGGATGCTTTGGCACAAAACCACATTCGGTATAGAAGATACACCATTGAAGAAATTGAACTTGCAACAGATTACTTTAAAATTTCAAACAAGGTAGGGGAAGGTGGATATGGACCTGTTTATAGAGCCTGGCTTGATCACACTGCTGTTGCCATCAAGGTCTTGAGGCCAGACATATCACAGGGGCAAAGGCAATTCCAACAAGAGGTAAATTATGGTCCTTGTACATTTTTCCAGAAAGCAGATGTATGGAAACAAACACACATAGACAGACAACATGCACAAAAGATTAGGAAAAAACCCACTTAACGCAAGAAGATAACTTAAATTATTGATTTAATGGAGTACAAGATCACAGCATGGAAAAGCTTCTCATGTATCATTTTTCGAAATCGCATAATCTTTTTTTGCACAATGATGTTTCCAATGCAGGTTGAGGTTTTGAGCTGCATTAGGCATCCACACATGGTTCTCCTAGTAGGTGCCTGCCCAGAGTATGGCTGCCTCATATATGAGTACATGGAAAATGGAAGCTTAGAAGACCGGCTCTTCCTGAAGAGCAACACACCTCCAATCCCATGGGGAGTCCGTTTTAAAATAGCTGCTGAAATTGCAACTGCCCTCCTTTTTCTTCACCAGACAAAACCAGAGCCGTTGGTGCATCGCGACCTCAAGCCGGCAAACATTCTCCTAGACCGAAACTATGTGAGCAAGATTGCTGATGTTGGCTTGGCTAGGCTAGTTCCACCATCTGTAGCTGATGCTGTCACTCAATACCGCATGACAGCAGCGGCCGGTACATTTTGTTACATTGATCCAGAGTATCAGCAAACAGGAATGTTGGGTGTGAAATCAGACATATATTCTTTAGGGGTGATGCTATTGCAGATCATCACAGCAAACCCTGCAATGGGTTTGTCCCACCAGGTAGAGGAGGCTATTGAGAAAGGTGCATTTGCTGAGATACTTGATCCTGCAGTGACAGACTGGCCTGTTGAAGAGGCTTTGTCGTATGCAAAAATGGCCTTGAAATGCTGTGAACTGAGGAGGAGGGACAGGCCAGATCTCAGTACAGTCATCTTGCCTGAGCTGAACCGGCTAAGAGATCTTGGGATGAAAAATGAAGCGAGTGAAGTTGCCGATGGACAAGATCCATACGTGTCACAATTTTCAACGTCGCTTCCACCAGTTGGATCAACCTCATCTGTAAGCCAGGTTAGTCATAGCTAGCTTTAGTTGTCCAGCTTCCTTCAAAGGAAAGTTAACTTGTTTAACATGGAAAGGCCACTCTCACAAACTCACATGCATGTTGAGCACATAGAGAGAGAGAGAGAGAGAGAGGGTTGATTTGCTACTTAGCTACTTCTCTAGACTGGTATTTTGGACATCACATAACCATTAATTAGCAAGCATTTTCTAGAATAATTAAGCCTTCCCCTCAACTAGATTTTCAGCTGTAAATTTTTATTATGTATAATCAGGAAGGAATGAGAGAAAATCCTAATGTGGAAAATGGAAATTCAACGTAGATCAATGTAAGAAGGCTGCTGCGGATGGAGTCTGTGGGGAAAATGTGGAGCTTCAAGAACAGTTTTCAGCTCAAACGCGGTTCTGCTACATCATGCAGCAGCAGCAGCAGCAAAAAACATGCAGGAAAATTAAACAAGAAGCAGATGGAGGGTTGTTGGTCGTTTGTAAGCAATTGCTCTTCTGTGCCTCATGCTCCACCTTTGAAGAGGTTCAGTTCATTTGGATTCTAATGAAGTGAACTCATTCTTTGATGCCTTCATTGAAGACATTTGACATGGAACTTGTTATGTTACTGTGATGTTAAGTCAAAACAAACGACATGTTGTTGATGTCGTTGATGTTCTTTATCGACTAATGAGACATCATAGTGTTCATTGAATTCACTGACCACATTCCCAAGTTGTACAAACAACAGAACTTAGAAGCAAAAGAAGAAGAATTTGGAGTGATGTTGCCAAAAGAAGAAGAATTTTGAGTGAAAACAAGGTCACTCGAACCGCGTCACGTCATTTTAAATTCATGTCAAGTGCTAATCAATTCGTGCATTGTGTCGCATTAGAATTGATACACAAACTGATCACACATACATCTCTATAAAATAAAAAGTTCGTTCAATCACAATGTTTAGCAAAACCAATCAAGAGAGAAAATTCCATTTTTGAAAGGATCCATAAAATTTGAGATGAAGTTATACAAAAGAAAATTAATATTTTCTTCATCTAATAAAAGTTAAAATGATTTGTCATGTTATAATTTATAATCGAGTTACTCGTCTTTAATATCAAACTTTACTTATTTATTAGCCATGTTAGTATGTCTTGATGTATGTATCTATGTTTTAACCCAAGGTTTTTTTCTTTTATCAAAGCGTTTTAATTGAAGGTTAATTAGTCTTTACCCAATATTTTAGAGAGTTTTAATAAAATAAATAAATAAAAAGTCGATATAAAAATTATTATTATTATATATATATATAAAGCAAAAGGCAGAAAATTGTGAAACATTCAAAATAACAGAAAATGCCCATGCAAACATTATTAATTAATCAATGATAATATGGTAAATTCACATTTTTTTCATATTAAAAATATATAATTAAAAGAAAATTCAAATAATATATCTTATTTTTATGGAACACAACTACTCATTATCTTTTTTAATTCTAAAATAAATTTAATTTAAAATTTAAAAAAAAACTCTCACAAATTCGAAAGCACGTGTAAAGAGGCTAGTAAATAAATAAATAATCATTGATATTTTTAAGTTCCAAGAATAAGAATATCATTTTTCGCCCGACGAAGGAGTTAGAACCCAACCCAATTAACCCCACCGACCTAGTACTTATTCTTCTCCTTTCTTTTTTCTACGTTTAGTTCGATTTGGGGAACACGTAAAAATCCTCTCTTCCTCTTCGCGCGAGGCAGCCAAACCCTAACCACTCTAACCCTAGAAGTAGAAGCCTTTTCTTCTCTCTCTCTCTCTCATTTCACCATGGCTCATCACGTGTCCTCTTCCGATCACGACCCGAACTCCGATGCGTCCAAGGCCCGCCTCTACAACCCGTACCAAGACCTCCAGGTCCCGATGCGAAACCTCTACCAGCTCCCAACGTCCCCGGAGTTCCTCTTCGTCGAAGAGGCTCGCCGTCAGCGTCGCTCCTGGGGAGAAAACCTAACCTTCTACACCGGCTGCTCCTATCTGGCGGGCGCAATCGGTGGCGGCGCCACCGGTCTCGTCTCCGGTGTCCGCTCCTTCGAGGCCGGCGACACCACCAAGCTCAGGATCAACAGGGTACTCAACTCCTCGGGCCACACGGGTCGGGTCTGGGGAAACCGGCTGGGCGTGATCGGGTTGATCTATGCGGGTGTGGAGAGTGGGATTCAGGCGGTGAGAGATACGGACGATGTTTTGAATAGCGTCGCGGCCGGACTCACCACCGGCGCGGTGTACCGAGCTGCGAGGGGCGTGAGGTCGGCCGCGGTGGCCGGAGCCGTCGGAGGAGTCTTGGTCGGTGTGGCTGTCACAGGGAAGCAGGCGCTCAAGCGATACGTGCCGATATGATCAGGGAGGGTTCGTTTGTGATGCCAGTGGTGTGGTATTATTGGCTTTTTCTCTGCCTCGTTAGGGTTTGGAAATTTTGATAGTCCCGTTAGGAATCGGAATTTATGATAAATGAATATATGTGGGCAATGCATGGTGTTTCTGTGCTTGGAATTTTAAACGGAATTGATTATTTGATTAACAAGTAGTTGAGCATGGGAGTGACCATGCTTTCATACTAGTTTTCTTGTTAAAAGTTCTATTGTAATTTGTCGAATTGTCCTGATAATGAATAATTGGGATGCATTTAAACTTCTGGGTTGCATTGTATATTCAATGATTTTTCAAATTTGCTTTCTTTAATAACGTGTGATGTTCAATGTGTTTAGTGATTACTTATTCTGGGGTGAAATTGTTTTGGTTTGATGTTCATTTGACATCTTTTGTATCTATTGTTTTCAGTAGTTGATTCATTATGTCTGTAGCATGTTCTGATTTTAAAGATTGTCGAAGGATGTATGTTGCTAATGCTACTTTAAGCAAGATGAAAGGGTTTCCTCAGATGTTGGTCATCTATTTTTTTATGTCAAATTTGTTTCAATCTGTCTTCGTTTCATGTTCGAAATTATGAATCCCTTCAGGGCTATTGATGCTAGAGAGAGGGCCATTGTGGCCTTTGGCATTCTTATTGTTAGAATCTCTGTTATGTTGTTCGCTTATACCTTTACGGGGATGTGAAGATTGGATGTGGATACTGTTATGGTAGAAATCTTGCACTGAATATCAATTCGAGTAATACTTGTTTAGTGGTGCAGGGCACCCTTATTTTAAGCGAATTTAGGAATCTGATAAATTTTGATTTGGGAATAGTAAGATTCTTGTTTTGTGGTCTTCTTCTGTTGATGTAGGTTGCATACATCTAGAAACTGAAATATAGACATATAGCACATCTTTATGAACTGCTTTGATACTGTAGCTCTGTCACATTGCCCGTAGTGGTAATATTACTCTTGTATTCCACTAGGTGCAGTATCTTACAAAATTGAAATCATGCCTTTGACGTTTTCGCACCATATATTATTGTATCTTGCTTTTTGCCTTGTATTTGAACCTGGTTGAGCAAAAAAAGCTACAAGTTTTGTCACCTGGAATGCTGTCATCGCTCAGCAAGGACCCTATAAGTGTTTTACTAGCTACTTCAGGTGGTGTGGGTAGTTTTGAATGTGAAACCAACGTCAAAGTACTAAGAATCTCAACTCCAATTTGAATTTCTCGGAGCCATCCTGAGGATCAGCAGTCTAATTCGATGAAATTATCCCAAATTGTATTTGTATGATGTTGTAAGTAGGTTTACTGAGTTCATACAGTGCTTTATGATTAGATAATTTGCTTTAGCAGTATTTCTGACCGGACAATCTTCAACCGTGGAAGGTCCTCCCTCGTTCAATTTTGGATTGCCATAGTTGTGATTTACTTCGTATTTGTGAAAAGGTTAAACAGAATGGTACATGACATCTGGGGAGTTTCCACTTCTAGATTCATAGTTTCAATTGGGATATGAAGAGAGAAGTTGATTTGTGAATTTTGCTCATATGAGCTATTTAATTGAATAATGCTACAATCGGTCTTCCGGCCTAGTGGATACTTTTCCTCGTTAAGCATTCGAGAGGGGTGAGGTTTGGACTTTGGAGTTCAGTATCTGCCTTGTGCAAGATTTCTCTGATTAAAAGAAGAAAAAAATAATTCTAAGTAGAGATGGAAGAGAAATGGATTAAATTAGAGTGGTATGTATGTCTTTTCAAAACATCTTTTCAGTTTTAAAGATAATGATCATGGTCGTCGTCATGGTGGCCTCAGCTCCATCCATTTTGCACTCCGCTGTGCGGAGTGCAGGAGAACAGTGCACGATGGGAGGTGATCCCTGAAGGCGTCCCAAAAGCACATTTGGGATCATCCCCTACTAGAAGTTAATAAGTGGCTCCAGTATCTATCCACACTACTATCCTCATCCACCTCAACGCAAAGGTTGTATGAAACATCTCAGACCTATATATCAACTACTGATATGAAAACGTTTCGCCCAGTCTTTTAGACTTTTAAGAATTTTAACCAGTCAAGAAAGTTCGAGCATTCAAGAACGGCTCACGAGGCTATATTTCTTAAGTCTTATGTATTAACGAAAATGTTAGTTTTCAGAATTTCCCAAGATTTGCACAGGAAGAAATGTGAAATGTATTTCTGAAGGCTATAATTGATAGCTATAACCACGTATAAACCCTACACTGCTATAAAAGTGAAATGCAACTTACATTGAAGAGGTTATGGCCACATAATGGAGAAACACTTGCCATAAAAGTGAAATGCAACTTACATTGAAGAGGTTATGGCCACATAATGGAGAAACACTTGCCTGAAACGGGAATAAAACTATTTTGCTATCCTCTGCCAATCACGGTATGCAGCGCGTGATAACTTTTCTATGCGACAGTACGTAATTGGTTGGGGATAGCATTGCTTCATACAAGTTTTTCTGCACTTAGTGAGGCCTAGTTACCACTTTGTGATAGAAAGAGCTGCATGGTGAGGGTAGTAAGAATGCATCTTACAAGTGCACAAATAGGACAGGATAACAAAAATGTTATATACGCAAGAAAGTAATATTTGAATAGAAGTTGTAGCATTATAACCAAATCTAAACCTTCCAATATTCACAATTATCTGAGGAAAAACATGGGTTAAAGTCAAATTTATTCTCGCATACAATGGGGTATTATACTCTACATGAGCAAAATTACTTCCGAAATCTGAACCCTCGATCAACCCCTTTTATTTCAAAAAGCTATGCCAACTTTGAATTAAAAATGAACACTACAAAGTGAATTCCTCAGTTATACAATCATCCGAAGCCCAAGTTAAAGACTGAGAAGAACAGCAGGGTATCATTCAATTCCCTTGTCTTGACAAACCACACAAGGGAAAAAATTATTTAAATTGAAGATCAAAAAGCCGTTTATTTAGAGCAACATCGACTCGGGGTTCTCAATGTAGCCTTTGAATGCTTTAAGCCATTCCGCACCGATTGCACCTAAACAAGAGCAAGCGGCATTAAGTTGTTGTGTATTTCAGAGACATATACAGCTAGTCCTAATGATTTGAGATTTTCAATTCCAAGAATACATCAGATGGACATACCATCAATAACACGATGATCACAGCTTAGTGTTACAGACATGAAGGAAGCAAACTTGTATTGCTCGGGCCCAGAACTAGGTACAACCCTCTTCTCAGCTGCTCAGGGACAACACAGAATAAACATAAAATAATTTTGGTCCAAAGAAGACATAAATAAGTTCCAAACTTACCTGATCCAACTGCAAGAATGCCTGATTGAGGAGGGTTAATGATGGCACAAAATTGCTTGATGCCAAATGGACCTCCCAAATTCGTTACTGTAAATGTGCCTCCCTTCAAAGAGTATAAAACAATTTTAGATCAAAACCACAAGGTTATTAACTGCAGACAATAAGGGGCATAGAAATGTTACTAACCTCATAATCTTCTGGCTTTAAGCTGTTCTCTCTGGCTTTTTGGGCCAGCTGCCTGACCTCCTCAGCTATGCTGGAGAGTCCCTTCTTGTTTGCATCCTACAAATTTTACAACGTACAATCAGGTAAACTGCCGTTATAACTAAGTATTCCCAACAGCACAGGACCAAGCCAATCACTCACCCTAACGACAGGCACAAAGAGTCCATTTTCTGTCTGCACTGCAACATTAATGTTCACATTGTGAAACCTGAGAATAGAAAACCGCAAAGTGTTATTTCAACTGTAATATGGCAACTTAATTAAGACTTTTGCATCTAAACTCACTGGCGGATGTGATCATCTGTCCATGAACTATTGCATTGAGGAACCTTTTGAAGAGCCAAAGCAGCAGCCTGCAGTAATAGTAGCATTGGAGTGAATATACGGTCATAAAGGTGTTATATACCTCCAGTATACTTGATTTTTTATTTGCTCTTACAAGAAATTATAACTTATCTGGGTTCTAGTGATCTCTAGAACCCATCAGTCTCCCACTTCATATACCTTTTTTGATAGACTAGAAGCCACTCTAATGATCATGAAATTTCATTTCATCATTCTAGTGATCACAAGTACCCGTTATCTCATTCTGCATTCAAGCACCTCATAAATTCCATTGGTCTTACCATGGATGGAAATTTGTACCTCAATTGGGTTCTCAAAAAATTCAGTGAAGAAAAAATCGTGTACCTTAATTACGAGATCATTAACAGATAACCGCTTCCCACCTGATGCTTCTTGTAATGCATTGAGTTGGCCTCTCAAACTGCAGATAAAATAAGAGTTAAAATATTGCAAGATATGCAATTAGTACAATCTTTAAATTGTTCAGAAAATTATACTCACTCCATGAGTCTGTCAACACATGTATCTACAGTCAAATAATAATGAGGAATTGTTTGCTTTGATAATAATAATCTCGAAGCTGTGATCTGCAAAAATCAGACCAGATATAGCTTCAGAAAGAAAAAACTTCGATGCAACAACAGAGATTAAACAATTACTTACTAGATGAAAAGTCCTTTGAAACATGTAAGTGAAACAAACCAAGGAAACATGTCCAAAATTTTCAGAGACAGTACTTCAGGTACATCAAAGAAATAAATATAGCAGTGAGAAGGAATGGATAGAAACAATTTTGCCACAAGGAAAGGGCAAAGGCAAGAAAAAGAAACAAGAAGGAAATGTTATGGCCCTGATGAGGTTGGAGCCAAACACGATTCATGCAGTAGACCCCAGTAGTTAAGATCCAACTACAAGTACAAATCTCGACACATGAAACAAACAGAAGATATTGGCCTAGATATCACATAAAAACGATTCCATGCATCCTCTCAAAACCATTAATTATGACATAAAATAAGTACAATAATTACTTCTAATATTACCTTCCGTATCTGAGAATGAGGGATATCGGTGTAATCTAATGCTAATGCAGCAGGTGCCCCGCCCTTAGCTTTGGGAGCTTCCTTCCCAAGGGAAGCTACATAATTATGAGAAAACAAAAGAAAAATATCAAACACAGTTTTTAATCATCAGCTGGATTAGATTTTTCTTCACAAGAAAAATATGGTAGACAAAAGGTTTCAAGGACAAAATGAACCAAAAATAAATTAAAGTTAAAATAACAAAGAGTGACAAAAGTATTAATTATTAAACACGAGTCTTGGATAATACCCAAATACTCTTCAACATCAGCCTTCACAATGCTTCCATCAGGACCTGTTCCTTTGATACTTGATAGGGGCACCTAAAGCAACACAGAAGTCAGAATTGGCTCAATGACGGTAAGTGTTTCCCACCATCAAATGATAATAACTCAGCCACAGAAGTTTATATGGCATACCTTGTGCTCTTCAGCCAATTTTCTGGCAAGAGGACTAGCAAATATGCGATCTCCAGAAGGGGCAGCTGCACTGGGCTTTGGCTCTGGAGAAGTAACTGGTTCAACAACCACCTCCTTTTTGGGAGGGGTAGGCTCAGGTGACGCTGTAGCTGGAGCAGCGCTGGCACCTGATGCTGATGGTGTGTAATCTTTAAATTTTGCAATATCTTCCTCATCTTCAACAGTTATTGCAATCACCTATGTGCCAACACCATTAGCAAGTACTCACATTATGCCAAGATGTTTCTTTCTATTTAGTCTAATTTACTCCCATTGGAATGATGAAATAAACATCTACCCAAGATCCGTAACAGTTTAACTAAATCAATACCTCACCAACTTTGATTCCTTGGGTCCCATCTCCTCGTACAATCTTGGCAAGATAACCGTCTTCCATGCTTTCCATCTCCACTGTAGCTTTATCCTTAACACGTAAGTGGATATAAAGTACATGTCAGCTTTCCATCATGAAAAGAAGCACATAAAACTAACAATATGCAGATACGCAATCAACAGACTCAACAGGTAAGTGGATGTAAAGTACAGGAACCTACAGTTTCAACTTCACAGAGCACTTCACCAGGAGAAACTTTATCTCCCTCTTTCTTCAACCACCTTGCAATATTACCCTGCATATCATAAAAGCATGACTTAGAAGGAAACAGTAAATTTTGGAAGGTATGACATTCCAATAAGCCTCAAAACAGTATGTACCTCCGACATAGTGGGTGAAAGAGAAGGCATTCCAAGTTCTTGGTGTGGAGGAAGGGCTGAAGGGTTTTGCACAGATGAGTTAGATGATCATATGACTCAAGATAACACTTTTAAGGATGACCAATTCAAAAGTACAAAATGAAAGAAGATCGCACTTCAAAAGGAGATGCATATCCCAAAAATAATAAAATAAAATATTCACAATAATCTCATAGTTTCACGCAATTCCTTTTGGAATCCTGCTGTGCAATTATGCTGAACAAACTAGAAGATGAGAAATGTTGATCCATGCACACACGTGCATGCACTCACAATATGTTGAAATAAACTCACATTAAGAAAACTACTTCCCCATGCATTAAAGTAGCAGGGATCATGAAAATATAATAAATAAATCATTATTAGAAGATTAATGGCTAGTACGTACCCTCGAATCTTAAAAATATCCAAATAGAGTTATGGGAATAAAAAATTAACCAACACAACATAGCCAGTCATTGATGACAACAATACACTTTCTATTTCCATCATGACTAACCTAGAAATAGATGAGCTTGAGAAATCTCTGAACAGATAATAAATTATTAGTGCTCTATGCTAGAAACTTGTGTAGTTGAAACAGCTCTTATAAGGAACATGAAATGCATCATCATACTAGGAGATCCAAAAGCCAATGTTCACTCAAGGACACAAAAGTGCATAATAAAATTAGATAGATGCAAAAGACCAAGATCATACCTGCATCGGATGAAAAGCCTCTCCTCAATTGCACCTGCATACTGATAAGGGGAAAAGCAGATGTATCAAATAAGAATTTTCCACACAGATACAAAGTAACAAAATCTAGGACAGCATACCATGAAAGCTGTTTGTTGGATTTTGAACCAGAAATTGAATTTCCTAGTTTCATTGTCGTTGAGACATCCCTGGTAAATGTACCCGACAATGATTTCTACAAAACATGACATATGATGGTGTTATATAATTGATACAAAGTTCACTTCATTAAAAAAAAAAGTTTGTGAAAAGATTAAGAATAAAAATAAATATAAAAAAAGGTAAACGATTAAAACTTTTGCATCTATTGCCATATTAACATGATGGAAACTAGTTTAACTTACAGTGGTACTGCTGAAAGACCTACAAACTCTTGCTCTTTCTGAAGGCACATAACTGTGGCGATGGGCCTTCCGTATATCTGAGATAAAATTGACCTTGCTTAAATCAACTAAACAAAATTTCAGAAGCAATTTGAGAAATAATCCAAGTGGCTAGTTGCATCCAAATGACACCATATATCTTGTGTCGCACATTGTACAACAAGAAACCTTTAAAAAAACCTACTACCTGGACTCCAGCTTAAAGACAGCCATAGTAAACTAATGCAGTTAGGTCATCAGGTCAGCAAGTTATTACTTATTTCATTTTCACACGGAAAACAATAAATAAATAAACAACATAGGATCAGCTTCATCATCTCATATCTACAAGATCACCTTATTTAATCTGCTTAATTCTAACCATCAGGTCTGAACAAACATATTCATGGTAACAATTTATCAGGATTAGCTACTTCTGTACTCATAAGCAAGATTAGCTTGAGAAATTGACAGGAAGAACTAGTTAACACTTGAAACAAATACATACATATACCACAAGAAAAAAAGGGGGCATTCCATTTCACTTACCAATAGATGGTTGAGCATCATGAGAAAAAAAACGAACCAAGAGGGCCTGCTCTTGCCTTAGTAAGTTGGGAGCATTCCTTAACTGCAGTGCACACAAATATTGTACAAAATTACGTCTTAAAAACCATAAGTTACATAGATTAATACTTGAAACATACCTAAATCAATGATATAAAGCACCTACAAACAGAAAAACAGAACAATAAAAACAAGAGCAATACATTTTATATAATTGCCTATCTTAATTCGGCAATGTTAGCTAGTAAACACTATTTGGTTAATTGGGCAATGTTAGCTCGTAAACACTATTTGGTCATGGTAACTACAAACAAAAATAGAAAAACTTGTATCAACAACCAACACCGAAAAACTAGACTTCAAAAAGCATGATATTCTGCCTACAATTCCAAAACTAGTGAAATTCAAATTAATGGCACCCTGGACATAGTATAGCTAAATTACCCATTTGAGAGAATTCAGTCTGAAAGTAACACTACCTACCTCCATCTATATAAACACACGCCCAGCCTCAAAAAACGAAGAAACAAAGGCCATATAAAGGAAATATATACAGAAGACAGTCCCTACTTTCTAACAAATTTCGAGTTACTCAAAAAGAATGAAAAGGTATGCTGAAGCATAAACAGTATCCTCCAATTACTACCAAGTTATAGAATTTAAGTCTTCGAATGAATTAAAATCACTATAATCAATCTAAAACGAGGCTGAGATTCAAGATTTGTGAAACTAAAACAGTAAAAACACAGTGCCTGGCGACAAACCCATTAACACAATAAGCTTTAAATTGAGAATCTCAATGCCTGAATAAAAACCAATCGCTAAAACTCTGAAAATTATCAACAAAAGGCAAAAAGTGAAAAAATAAATAAAATTTTCATGAGAGAAATGGTGAAATTGAAGCTCACCTTTTTCGAGTGGTGGATGATATGAGATGCGTAAGACATTTTTCTGGTACCAAACCGATCAAATAAAAACTACCCAGAAAAAAAACCAGTGAAGCAGGGTTTTTAGGGTTCGATGATCGAACCAGATCGCACTGACTTTGTAAAATATATATAGGTTTTTGTGAATTATATTTGTGCGTTGGAGAGACACTGAAATGGAGGAGGAGATGCAAAGAGAGAGTTTTTGGGCTGGGCTTTGTTTATTTGTTTGTTTGTTGAGATGAGTAGGCGCCCGCCTTTCTGGAATTACCTAACTTGTTTAAGCTTACAAAACTCACTCCCTCACTTGAGTAGGTGTGCTTCTTCGACGCGGGTACTTCAACGAAGTTTTCGTCAAATTTTATCACTGAAATGGTCCTGGTCTTTTTTTTTTTTTTTTTTTTTTTTTTGTTTGTTTGCCATAGTCTAGCAAAAAGAAAAATAAAAACATGATATCTTTCTTGGGTTTAAAACCGACCGCTAGTCGGGCTCTGTGCAGGATGTTCGTTCTTTAATAAATATTGAGTTGTCGATATGACATTGATAATGTGTCGATATCATTGTCGTTAACAAAACGTATCAACATGTTATCGCTACATTAATACGCATATCGACAATATGATCTTTTAACATGATATCTACACATAGAATTTCTATTTAAACAACTCTAAAAACAAATTTTAAAGGCCAGAAGTATAACTTGACCTTTTTTCCTAATGATTTTATTCACAATCAAAAGTTTATTCTCCATGCTATAGGGATGTTTGGTTGCATGAAGGAATGAAATGGAAATGACTAACGAAAGTGAAATATAAATTATATAACTTGGTTCTAAATTGGAATCAAATCTAGGCTCAAGTTTCTAGTTCATATTTTTGTCCCAAAATCCATGTCAAATTTAGGGTTTAGATATCGTTTCATCGAGTATTAAAAATTAGTTTGTTTCTAGGGTTCTTGGTTTGGTATGTTAATTCAAGTTCAATTTCAGAACTTAAATTTAGATACATATGCCAGCAGTCTTGGCTCCTTGTCAAGATATGAGTTTTGGAAGTTGAAATATTTTAAAGTAAAGTGAATTGTATGAATGAAATGTGCATTCCCTACTCTAGTTTGAAATGCCATTTCTAGTGTATTGGAGGAAGGAGAATTAGCATCATCAAGTGATATATTTGAACCAAATAATGGAGTGGACCTTCAGATTTTGCATAAAACTATAGTTTTTTTTTTAAATTTCTTTTTAGGGATAATTTTTAAATTTAAGCTAAGCTCTCACTTACTTTATTTCAATGAGAATAAAACATTTAAAATAATCACAAGCAGCAATACATCCAAGTAAACAATTGCAAGCATTGTCAACCATTTGTTTAAGCTCCTCATGTTAGACCTTCATAGCTTCAGAGAGCCCAAATCCAGTTCTTTGACCAAACCAACAAACCTTCCACACTTGTGAGAAGTTTATTTATTTATTTATTTTAATTTTAAATACAATTTTTATTGGGGGCCATTTGAATTTATAAAGAATTATTGGGCCGCAAAATATAATTTGCAAGTCTGGGCCCATCCAGACATCGATCTTCCAACATGGGCTTTATCCAAATAAACGGAAGGACACGGGAAGCGGGAGAGAGACAGATGTCGTCCTCTTCCCTCGAAAACTGTTTAAGAGAGAGAGAGAGGGGGCTTTAGACAGAGAACGGAGAGAAAAAGCTTTGAGGGGGGAAAAGAAACAGAAAGCTTTGAGGGGGAGAGAGAGAAAGAGAGAGAAAGCTTTGAAGGGGTAGAGAGAGAGAAGGAACTTATAATGGGAAACCAAAAGCAAAAATGGACGGCGGAGGAGGAAGAAGGCCTACTGGCCGGAGTTGCAAAGCACGGCCCGGGCAAGTGGAAGAACATTCTCAAAGATCCCGAATTTTCCTCTGTCCTAATACACCGCTCCAATATCGACCTCAAGGTTCCCCCCTATTTACATATATTGCCACTTACTTCCCTCTTTCCCTCTGTTTTTGTTTTTGTTTGTGTTGCTAAGTTTTAAAATTAATAAATAAATAAATAATTTGGTTTTTTGAAAGCTGAATTGGTGGTGGTTGAACTGTTAGACAGATAGATAATTCATTCAAGTTCTGAGAAATATGTAATTTCCTGCTTAGAAAACAGAGGGAAAGAAACCCTAGGTTTGGTTTTGTTGTCCAATGTGCATTTGGTTATGGTTGTATTGGCTGCTGCTGTAAAGCTTCATGGAATTGAATTAGCCCATAAAATGTGACTCTCTTTGGTCTTTTCTTTTGTTTTTAACATATGATGGTTTTCAAATGCTGTTTACTTGTCTCATTTTTGCTGTTTGGTCCCTTCTTTTGTTTTGCTTTGTTTTTTTGTTTTTCGAAAGAAAAAAAGCTGTTTACTTGTCTCATTTTTGCTCTTGTATCAGGATAAGTGGAGGAACTTGAGTGTTAGTACTTCTGGACATGGTTCTAAGGACAGACAAAGGGGTACAAAGGTAAAAAATAGTGTGGCTGCCCAGCACCTTGTTCAGAACTCTGCTCCTATTGCTTCAGTTCGTCCCAATGCATCTCCTGCTTCAGCTCCTCCCAATTCATCTCCCGCTTCAGTTCGTCCCAGTGCATCTCCTGCTTCAGTTTGTCCCAATGCATCTCCTGATGCCATGATGGACGATGCAGTTAATAGCGCACCAGAATTGAAAAGTGCTTCACAGTGCGTGTTTTTCTGATCCTTATGTTGTCAGTCCATAGAAACTGTGTTTCATATTTCTGGTTGATACTGCTTTTTTTTAGACCGCATTTTAAATAAACATGATGTTTGTGACTCTGTTTAAATTGTAGTTGAAAGTCTAGAAATGTATGGTATGTCTTATAAAACATTTTAGATTATGGGTGCCAAAGATGGAGGGATATATTCCTGAATCCCAACATGCTGCTGAGAAGAGCTCTTTCAATTTTCCTCTTTTTCAGACAACTTGAATTAAGAATTGAAATACGTTTGCTTCTCTTGGACTGGGTTGAAACACAGTTTCAAGGGGTATTAGAGATCTTTGAAAATGTCAAAGCTGTCTAAATTTTTTAAACTAGATAGAGCCAGTGTTGACCTTTTGTGTATTATGATACAGTACGGTAGGAGGAAATGAGCTATTTACTACAGATCCAGCATGTTGGTATGATATAGATGCAATCGTGCAACCTCTATTGTGATAGAAATTGAAATTTAGTTTGTTCGTTAGTTTGATTGTTCCATTATTTATCACAAGTTAAAACTGTGCTATTTACTGTCTTAACCATTCTAAAAAATTTCTTTTTTTTAAAGAGTTGATAGCCACACTTGTTAATGTAATTCTTCTGCCTTATGGATAGGTTTTTGTTTGAGGTATCCTCAAGGTACTTGATCCATTCTTTATTTATTTTATTTTTTTAAACTATGTTCAACAGGTACGATCCAATGATTTTCCAGGCCCTTTCAACGATGAAAGATATGAATGGATCTGATTTAGGTGCCATTCTTAACTTTATTGAGGTCAGAAAGAGGTCTTTTGTTATGTGTTATTAAAAATATCTTATCAAATCCATTTATTCTGAAAAAGCTGTATTACCTTATGGAATATTTGTAGCTTAGTTTGGGAACGCTGCTGCTGAAATGTAAAGGAATTATGATGAGAAGAATCCTGCATTGCATGAATCTTTTCAACTCATCATATATTCAAAATTAAAATTTTGTTGCATGAATCAAAGACCCGAGCAGTGTAAGGTTGGGAAGGTATATGTTAGTTTCATTCACCTTCCATGGGGTTTCTAGTTGACTTGATATTTCTTTATCTGAGCAGCAGAATGGCATTGTTACTGACACCTTGCCTCTCACTTGTATTTTTGAGTTAGCAATTAATCTCTAGCTGTCTTTTTAAATTTCATCTTAGTACAAGAAAGATGGTGACTGTCTTGATACACATACTGCAGCAAAGGCATGAGGTACCTGTACCACTAAATTTCAGAAGGTTATTGGGTCCAAGGTTGAGAAGGCTTGTTTCACAAGGAAAACTGGAAAAGGTTTATGATTTTTTAATACTTCTATTTTCTTTCTAACATTTCTCTATGTTGCTATGTTGAGTGCTTCTGTCCTGTCAAAATTTTGTTCTCAATTATACGACACTCTTGTGATGCTTAAACATTCTGAGATTTCCCTTCCTCCTAAATGTAGGTGCAAAATGGCTACAAGTTAAAAAAAGATGCAACATTTGGAACAAAAACACCTACACCTACGCGAAATCAAAGGGATGTTAGGCCCCGGAAATTGCAGAATTCTGGGTCAATGACATTTACTGAAACAGTGCAGGATGCAGCTGAAACTGCTGCCCATAAACTTGCAGACGCTGAAGACAAATCCTTTGTGGCTGCTGTAGCAATGAAGGAAGCAGACAGGATTTCAAAGATGACAGAAGATAACGAGTCAATTTTACAGCTAATTGAAGAGATTTATGAACGATGTAATGCTGGAATCGCATATGCTTACTTTAGTCATTGTTAGTCTTTCCATTATCTTGATGCGTCTTACCTTCATAACGTTTGTTTCAATCTTACAGGTTCACATGGTGAAGTTGTCGCCTTGGCGTAGGTCATCAACTGTAAGTCTGAATAGTGGATTCCTTGTAACTTATCCGTATGTAAATTCGTTGATCCAACCACACAGTTTAAGCTCTTTCCTTTTCATGAAAATGCATTAGTATGCGGTTATACCAGAAGTCAATTCCATATGGATGGTGTTTTTAGTGTTCCTGGATTCAACCTACAGCTATCTGCTTGTAAGATGTTTTCCTAGGTGTTTATGTCTGTCTTGTGTACTCTAGCTGCTCGAAGTCTAGGGTTGGTTCAATGTTACATTCCCATTAGGAACTGGGAAGATTAAAACCGTGGACATGGTTTAATTAGGGCTTTTTAGCAATCCCCTTCAATCTAGTTGACGTTATCAAAACAATAGGCAGAGGCTCATTTCCGATTTAGGGGGTGTATTCAATTGGGATTTTAAATAACTATTTAGGGATAAAAGAGTCTAGTGGATTTATGCAGAATATAATGACTTATAGGATTTTATTTATGGATTTCTATAATCAATATTTTTTTACTTATGGATTTTAAAAGATTTATATCATAGGATTTATAAGATTTGAAAGGACCACATGGATTTAACTATCCATCATCATCCCTATTTAGAGTTAGCCTCTTGTTCATGGCATAACTACACCTCTCCACTCTTGAGGTCCACCATGACTTGGATTAAGCAATCGCAAGTGATAAGATCCATTATGCAGAACTATAATCACAACCGTGATGGAGCACATTGTGCTCTGTTAGGGCACAACTGCCATGTCACCCACCATTTATAGATGTCCTGTTAACCTATTTGTAGGAAAATTAATGAGAGAAGATGTCCACAACACAGTATGTGAGTTCCTGAGTAATGCATGTGATTTGTTTGGCACTTCTATATATACATGCAGTGATGCCAATTTTACCTAGAAAGAGACAAATATGAACTGGGATTTTCTTAAGTGACAGATCAAAAGGCTCTCAAACATGTTGTAATCAACTATAAAAGTTCCTTGAATTTAACTTTATTATTATTAGATTTTCATTATTCTAAATAAAGGATTGTCCATCTAATGATTTCATATTGTTCTTCGTCCTAGCGAGCTAGCTAACAGTCCAAGTTATCAGCGAGCTTCCTGTCGAGGAGTTGGTGGGCGGCTCCATGCAGCAACTGCTGCTGCTGCTGCTCAAAATGGGGAAGCTCCTTGGAGTTTCCCGTCAGGTGGTGGGCAGCTCCACGCAGCAACTGCTGCTGCTGCACAAAATGGGGAAGCTCTTTGGAGTTTCCCATTGAACAGGTGGTGGGCGGCTCCAAGGGGTTGCACAACAGCCCACCATGCCTAGCAGGGACCTTATAAATAGATTCTTCCACACAACTCAAGTGTAATGAATCACATTAGGAATCAATTTAGGTGAAAGACCTATCACCAATAACAGCTTCACCTTGCGTTTTCTTTGCTTACAAAACTACCAAGTTGCTCCATTTGCCAGCTTTCATGAGAAGGAACATGTTCATGGAAAGGAGTGCATTGCTGCCAAAAACACATTGTGGATTTATTTATTTTTTTGTTTTATTAATATCCAGAGACATTTCTTCTATTTAACCAAGCAAGCCCGTTCATCAACATGAAGAAAAGAAAAGTCAGTTTATTATTGTACCTCCATCTTCACCACAAGTTCTTTGGCTTTTGGAGCAGAGACAACTATATGCCGAGCACATGGGTTGATGAAATCTTCAACGCCAGCAGAGAAAAAAATCTCACACAAAAAATATGATGGTTTAGGGTGGGGTTTGAGATAGGGTTTGGTAACTCTTCTTTAAAATTCCTAATAGTCTTAATGGAATACCACAAGACTTGTTTATATTATTTAAAAGTCTTAATTAAATAACACAATTTATTTATCTCAAAATTGTCTTTTAAAATTGCTTTTGTTGACGGAGTGACAATTATCCAGGGCGTGACGGGTGGGCGTTTTAACCCATCAAATCGACCAAATTAACACAAGAAAAGTTATCAGTTGATAAATCAAACCGAAACAAATTGTGGATTATTTTAATGACATTATTGTTGTGTGTCAAGCTATTATTCGTTGGTTGAATGAATAAATATGAGATTGCACGCACTAAATTAATAAAACCACTCTGGATAATCAATTGCTCCCCTCTTATCTCTCAATCTTACCCTCACTCAGCTCGATGCATTTTTCCACATTTCACTTCATCTAGTCCATTACCTCCTTCATCTTCACTCCACAATGACAAAATCAACCAACCAATAAATGGACGAAATCGAACTAGTCTGAATTGTGCCCGGCCCAAGTGAAACTGAGCATCCCCAAATAAACATGCCTCGAATCAAAGTCCACATCAAATCAAGTTCATGGAAAGACTAACAGCCAGTCAACAATAGAAATTCCAGCAAAGAAACTTTCACAAAATTGCTCGACTGGCAGACAACCTAAGAATCCGAAGGAGTGGTATCCCACAAACAACGCAACCTCACAATCAATATTATAAGCACATATAACCTAAAGTGGCTCCTAGTTGACGCCACAATCCAAATATCTGGGCTCAGATTTATAAGAGCACAAGCCCGAGCTCCGATGGTCTCAATGCACTTCTGATCCGATAATTGTAGAGATAATAATGAAGCTTACCATCACCTGGCCCAAATTTCAGTTCCTTCAAGAATGATTCATTTTGCATGACATCCAATGCATTGAAAACATCATAATCGTTGCGCTTTGCAACAATAAGAGCATCATTCATCAACTGTAGCAAAGGCGTCTTTGTCGAAACATTATAATAGGAATAAGCTGCTTTTAAAGACGAATAATTCTGATTGCCAAGGATAGTCGAAGGAAGAGTGTAGAAACTGCAGAAATCAGTGATTACATGAGTTTCTGGACTTTCAACCAGATAACTGTTCACAACATTCTCCTTTGGAAGAAGCCAGTGCTCCACATCGTTTTCATCAAGATCAGGTGCAACAACAAACTGGCTCAAATAATCCCTAAGTAGCCGTGTAACTGCAGGAACATCATGGAGCTCCATTTTTCTGAACCCTGGGGTGACTGTTGACTCGGGTAACTTGTAAAGTTTGATTGTTCGACTCATTGTCATTCTTGCACCAAGTCTAGAGAACCCAACATCAATCAGCTTCTTCGGATTCAAAGATCTGTGCCAATATTGGCAAGTTGATATAGGCGTAGGGAGAACAACACCAGCAGTATAAGCTGCTTGCCATATATTCTCCAAGTGAACCCTCCTAGTCACCTCTTTGATCATAACAGGAGCAAGTCTCTTTGATCTAAGCTTCTTATGAACACATAGGAAATTAATCTCTGCCATGATAACAACATCATTACGAACCCGGATTCTAGAAGGAACACCAGTAATGAAGGCAACCAACTTCTTTGAACTTATGACCCGGACACCAATGTGCCAACTCCTGAAATAACCTGGAGGCCGTAGCGCCCAACGAAGAAATTCCTTTGAATAATTAAATCTGAACATGTTCTCATCATCCTCAACATAGTTATTTGTAAGAAGGTTATAGACCTCAGTGCACATCTCTTCTGAGTCTATATCACATGTGGTCCATTCATAGAGGTTGGGAAGTTTGTATGGTTCCTGTTTGACTTCAGATAACGGTATTGGGTCCTCAATTGAACCTTCAGGCAAACTGTTGTCCCCGAGGTCCTTGAATTGCCCGACAGGTTGGGTTTCCCAAAATTTATGTTTCTTTCCAACAGAGAAAGATTCTTGAACCTTTTGGGATAGAGAATCAAGTGTAAGGTCATTCTCAGAAGGTGCATTTCCATCAGGATTGGGGTTTGGAGTGTCTTCAGGTGATCCAGAAGATGGGTTGCTATCAACCATTTTGAATTAGTTTTAAGAAGATAGCCTGAAAGACAAATAACTAAACCAATTCATTATTCAACAACATATTTCTTTTTCTTTTTGCGCCAATATACATCATAAAAAAGAATCTTCACATAAGCTTGTTAACTGCTAACAAATATACTTTCAGTTACAACAAGTATATATTTGCTTAACTGGGATGACCAATGAGGACTTCATTTTCCTCTCTTTTTTCCAGTTTTGTAAAAACCTAAAAAACAACTAATATCATCCTAATTTAACCATACTGCACTGACTCAATGCTTCTTCGAAAAAAATAATAATTAAGTTAAACAAGCCAGGAATAACTATCTAAGTTACTTGAAACTAGTTTTCCATTTCCATTCTGTTTTCTCTTCTTTTTTTCTCACGCTAAACACATCCGAGAAACAAAATTTCAATTTCTTTATATTATTCTCTTCTTAGCTCAATATTCCCACAAAACTTTCCTGGATCGATAGGGAACCTTGATTTTCCCCGCGTGCCCTTAATTTTCTCAGCAACCAAACATGTTGAGAGACAATGCATACAGAAAACAGAATGCCTGGACGATCTAAGCAGCAAAATGATCAGAAAATTCCCAATAATCACTACGAATTCAGCCACAATTATAGACAATTTTAGCTTCTCATTTCTCTAAACCCATACCAAAACCAGAAAGCAGAGAAACAGAGATTAAACTATATAATTTTTATTTAATAAAAGGATGAACTGTTACCTGAAGTTTCTCTAATCACAGTAAAGTTTGGAGCCGATCTATCAGAGCTCCGTCTAGGGTTTCAACAGAGAGGAGCTTTGGAGAAGTCGAAGAGGGCGTGTCATGGATGCTATAGAGTCGCTCGATCATATGCAATTTTAAACTAGACTGATGGGCAAATTTGTCATTGTGTACGCGTGCGTATTGTTATTGATTGATTGATTGATTCGATTCGCTCCAAATTTTCATGGAAAATTTAGCTATAATTATACCTCAAAAAATGACCAAACAAAAAATAAAATAAAATAGAGAAGCATACAAAAAGTGTTTCTTCCCAAAAGTGATTTTGGCTTACAAACGAGCCCTAAGTGATAATGAGTATTTATTTTTGTACACAATGTTTTGTTGAAGAATATGAGTCTCACATTAGAAACTTAACTAAATAAAATACAAAATATAATGAATGATTCTAATACTAATAATACCGAGGCCTTTTATGATAAAACCTCACACCTACTGGACTTTGTATGTGGTTAAGTTAGGGACAATATCGGTGTTGTTAGTAGTGGGTTGTTGACCCGCCTCTCTGAATTAACATGATATCAGAGCAGGTTGATTGACTGTGAATGAATTGGGCATCTACCCTTACCCAATATGTGGTGTTCACATGTTGGACTTGAATGTTTACTCCTAGCCTTTACCCAATACGTGGTGCTTACGTGTTGGGCTTGAATGATTGACTCCGATGTGAACGTGGCTCCACGTGTGGCCCACTATGTGGTGGTCCCACGTGAGGGGGTGTGTTGAAGAATATGAGTTCCACATTGGAAATTTGACTAAATAAAATACAAAATATAATGAATGATTCTACTACTAATAATACCGAAGCCTTTTATGATAAAACCCCACACCTACTGGACTTTGTAGGTGGTTAAGTTAGGGACAATATCGGTGTTGTTAGTAGTGGGCCGTTGGCCCGTCTCTCTAAATTTAACATGTTCTATGTTCAAATTTCTTTTTTTTTTCCCCCGAGATTTTATGTTGTCATTCTTCTTTTAATGAGGTTCTATAGTTGTTCCAAAAGATTACTACAAGTGAAAATGAAGATGTTCAATATTTCCTAGTTAATAATTAGAGGAAACTACACTAGTCTCCATGGGAAATTTAGGGGTACATTCCCTCAAAGTAAGGTAAGACCCTCTTGCTAATCCTCCAATAGAATGTTGATCCAACAACACCACTAGACCCTCTAATTAGAGCTTAATAGATAAAACATGAAAGTGATCAAATCTTCAATATCCATTCCATAACAATAGATTTTCGGAGGATCTTGAGGAAAATGGAAAAAAGGCTTGAAACTAGGATGAGGAATATATGGTGAAAAAATAGTATTATCGGGTTAAGTTCGGAAGGTAGTTTGAACACCAATTGTTTTAATTTTATTTTATAATATAAACGATATTGGGGGAGGGGTTTTCTCACACACACATTGTTAAGGTGCCATGAGAGTTCGAACTTGAGACCACTAGTCTACAAGTCAATACCCTTTTCCACCGGACTATACCCCATTAGCCCACAAAATACCTTTTGGTTAACTAGTTTGCTAAGAAATCACAATTTAACATTATAAGGGTCACCTAGAACAAAACGAAGGCTATGCATTCTTGGAAACCCAACATAACAGTAACCATGAAATCCAAAGTAGAAAATTGATTGCCATTTGGTGAAATTCGATAGTGAGGGGCGCCGTATATGGATCGTTCGTGTTGACTTTTATGTTAGTCATTAGCCACAATATTATTTCATTAAATTTAAATAAAATTACTATTCAAATTAATCATATAGCTAATATAAAGATCCATATTTATAATCCATAAATAACACCCTTATCATATAACGACTCTTCGGACTTGTTTGATGTTGGCATGATGATCTGGCTGAACATATGAGAAGTTGGGCTGTCGAGTCAAATAAAATTGGAAAAAAAAAGCACACAATAATGGTGGCTGACTCTTATGATGCTTTGCACTTAGCCACAAACCACAAGGCACCAAAAAGCACCGGCTTTTTCCTGTTTTCCACGTCGTTTGTGATACAAAAAAGGTTACATTCCACGTTGGATGTAAGTTTTCAAATTCCACTATGATTTAATGTTTATCTATAATACTTTGGTGGTTTGAATATCTCTCCTTTTACTTAATTATTGAGAATCCTTGGCCTTTCCTTTTTAATTTGGTCTTTTGCACTTCTAATTAAAAATGTATGAATTTTTTTAAAAAATTATATTAAACAGAGTTAAAAACTGAGGAGTTTTTTTTTATTTTTTATTTTTTATAATATGGTGGAAATTATGTGACCCTAAATCAAATGATAATTAGAAAAATATAACATTTTATTTGTACATTTTAGTTGAAGAAAAATTTATGTGAGCTCATCACATTTCACACGTTGTGAAATTTGACAAATAGTAGTCAGGTTACACATTCATTATTAGGGGAAAATAAACTTCTAAGCGACAACCTCAACAAAATTATATTCAACGGGTGGAGCCCATTTTTTGTTTTTTTATTTTAGAAGACTTTTTCTATCAAGAAATGTAATAATATATTAAACTCACACATACTACACGGATACTAGGACTCGAATCCATGACATTGCCTGGAAAAGTAATTCCTGCAAACCACTATACTAGTGGATCACTTGCGGGGTGAAGCCACCTTAGACTAGAGTGAGCCCTATACTAGTCCAAATATTTAGAATAACAACAATTCAATCTTCATTTTAAAGAAGTTTAGTGGAAATTAGCCCACCCAATTTCATATTATATTAGCCTGTCCTATTATAACAACTCCTTAAATGAAAAGGAAGATTATAGCCCACACTAGAAAAAAATTAATGGCTCCGCCCATGTTTATATTTTTATGCTTAGTTCTCTCATCATGTAACTAAAAACGTAAGAATATATATTGACATAAAAGATCAATGAGATCATTTTAAGAAAATTTATCTTATCTCACTATTATTATGAAGACGTGTTACACGGTCTATACTAGAAGTTTTGTTGCCTCTCTATCCTTAGATGATACCGATTGTCAAGATTATTATTAATCAATTTCAGGATGAATAAGAATTTAAGAGAAAATTCGTGTCCAACAAGCAAAAGAATTGAAGAGAAAATCAAGTAGCTATCCCCCATTTGAGTAAAATAAATAAAATCCCACCGTCACCGTGGCAAAGTTTAAGTGGTAAACTACTTGCAAAGTTTTCTTTTACTTGTTGGACACAAATTTCCGAGTGACCAAACGGGCCCCGGGAGCTGGTGGTAAGAGAGGAAGCCCAAGGGTATATATGGAATTTCAAGCGGGAAACACCAAAACCTAAAACCTAAAACAGAGTGAGAGTATAAACACAGCCTCTTTTTAACACTCGCCTACTTTCAAACTCCACGGCGCAGATCCGAGGAGTTTGGGAAACCCTAGCTCTCTTTTAGCAACCTACTATTCTCCTCTGTTTTTCTCTCACTAGCGCTCATCAACATCATCAGGTCGCTTTCTCTTTCTCTCTGTATCATACATGTTCATTCATATTCGTATATACGTGATGGGGGAATTTTAAGTTGATTGATTTTTGTGGATAAAGTCTTTGTTTTGTTAGTGAATTCGTATGTTTTTCTTTGCGTTCTGGATCTAGATCCATGTGCTTGATTTGTGTGCAAGTTCTTATTTTTCTCTGTTACAGATGGATTTTAATGGTACTCTGTTTGGTTATCGAGAAATTAGGGGGAGACTATTTGTGGGTTTTATCGTTCTGGGAACCAATTTGAGCATGAAATTGAAGGATTCTTCAGTTTTCTCAGCAGCCCATCAGCGAGTGATCAATGTTTGTGTAGCTAGTTAGTGTGGAAAGTGACAGTTCATGTTGTTTCATTGATATGACTCTCTGTGGGGCTCTTATGTAATTGAAGGACAGCTAAATTTATGGTGAAATAGGTATTAGGATACTCTGTCCACAGCCTGTATGTTTCCTTGGTCTCCTTGTTTCTATGTTGAAATGCAATATTTTTGTTTCCACGTGTTGGTGTAAAGAAATTGTGTTGTCTAGGAGTTGGGAGCGAAGAGTTTATAACTTAATGTTTTTCTTTTCTGACATCTAAAGAATTATACTGTAATTTCCCGATTTGATTGTTAAAGCTGATTTCCTGGTGTAATTATCGATTTGACCTTCTTATGCTTAGATGAAGAGGCTTATTATTTGTTACCTTCTGTCAAATTATTCCTGTGACATATGGTGGTGCTTGAACCTTGTTAAGATTTGGGGGAGTGGGCAAAGCGATGTATGTTTGCTTGTGGATTAATTCTCTCTATAGTTGATGGACACATGCCCTTTCAAACAGCTTCTCCAAAAAGTAGAACAAGAGTTAATGCTTGTTGTCCTACTTGTTTGGTTAGCAAGTTTGCCTCTTCTGTGACATATTCTGAATAAATGTTCTTTCAAGCCGTCTTGTTTGATATGGAAGTGCTTGAATCTTGTTGATATTTGGAGGAGTGGTCAAATCCTTGTCTGTTTGCTTGTGGGTTCATTCTCTGGATAGCAGAAGGACATTGGCCCATTAAAACTGCTTCTCCAAAAATTACAACAGGAGTTAATGCTTGTCGTCCTTTTTGTTTGGCTAACAAGTTTGGCTCTTCTGTCACATTATTTGTAATTAGTATTCTTTCAAGCCATCTTTGGTAAGCCTTTGCAATTCCATATTTATTGTGGACAGAGTAATAAGTGCACATAATCTGGCCCCTTATTTTATTTGTATGACTGGATTCTAGGAGTCTTCAAGATAGTGTTCTTTTGGGTATTACGGAACCTTAAAGTTACAAATGGTTTTCTTTCAGCAGTCATGGCAGGTGTTGCACCCGAAGGATCACAGTTTGATGCAAAGCAATATGACACTAAAATGAGTGAATTGTAAGTTTCCTTTATGAAGATAATAATCCAATGCGTATGATTAGATTTCACCTTATACAATGTTTTGACAAGTTTATTTGTTGTAGGCTCTCAACTGATGGACAAGAGTTTTTCACATCATATGATGAGGTTTATGAAAGTTTTGATTCCATGGGGTTGCAAGAAAATCTTCTGAGGGGAATTTATGCTTACGGTAGGTATAGCTAAGTTCATTATGTGGTTGTCTTTTGTTTGATTCAATCATTTTCAATTGTGAAGTTGTCATAAGTCATGATAAATCCCAGTGGGGAAGGAATACATAGATATTATTTCTAATATTCTGCTTTGCAACTTCTGAATTTTCATTATTACTTTTTGCAATAGGGAATGTGAATACCTTTTTTCTTTGTAGTTATATTCATCTATACATATCCTATATGTTTCAAGTGTATAATCTTGTTTATCTTCTGAAGGTTTTGAGAAGCCTTCTGCAATTCAGCAAAGGGGTATTGTTCCATTCTGCAAAGGCCTCGATGTGATTCAACAGGCTCAGTCTGGAACTGGAAAAACTGCAACCTTCTGCTCTGGAATTTTGCAGCAACTTGATTATGCTGTGGTCCAGTGCCAGGCTTTAGTTTTGGCACCTACCAGGGAGTTGGCACAGCAGATTGAGAAGGTTATGCGAGCACTTGGTGACTATCTAGGCGTGAAGGTTCATGCCTGTGTAGGAGGGACAAGTGTTCGTGAGGATCAGCGCATTCTTCAAGCTGGTGTTCATGTTGTTGTTGGAACCCCTGGTCGTGTATTTGACATGTTGCGGAGGCAGTCTCTTCGTCCAGATTACATCAAGATGTTTGTGTTGGATGAGGCCGATGAAATGCTTTCTCGGGGTTTTAAGGATCAGGTTTGTTATTTGTATTGTGGTTTCGATATTGGTTTTACTTGATTTGGCCATTTAGAGTTATATGGCCTTTTATATTCATTATCCTAACTACTTGAATGTTTTGGTGGTCAGATCTATGACATTTTCCAGCTTCTGCCATCAAAAGTTCAGGTTGGGGTGTTCTCTGCTACAATGCCACCTGAAGCCCTTGAAATCACGAGGAAGTTTATGAACAAACCTGTGAGGATCTTGGTGAAGCGTGACGAGCTCACCCTTGAGGGTATCAAGCAATTTTATGTCAATGTTGATAAAGAAGAATGGAAGCTTGAGACACTTTGTGATCTGTATGAGACCCTGGCCATCACCCAGAGTGTCATTTTTGTTAATACAAGGCGAAAGGTGGACTGGCTTACTGACAAGATGAGAAGCCGTGACCACACTGTCTCAGCTACTCATGGTGACATGGACCAGAACACTCGTGACATTATCATGCGTGAATTCCGCTCTGGCTCGTCCCGTGTTCTCATAACCACTGATCTTTTGGCTCGTGGTATTGATGTGCAGCAGGTATCTCTTGTCATAAATTATGATTTGCCGACCCAACCAGAGAATTACCTTCATCGTATTGGACGAAGTGGAAGGTTTGGAAGGAAGGGTGTTGCCATTAACTTTGTGACCAGGGATGACGAGAGAATGCTCTATGACATTCAGAGGTTTTACAATGTGGTCATTGAGGAGCTGCCATCAAATGTCGCTGATCTGCTCTGAGGAGATGATTTTGTTTTGCTTTTCTTTTTGAGGCAGATTTTCATTATCCTGTTTTGAAAGTACTATTTTAATGCTTTTTTGTCATTTTGTTTTTTTCATCAATTTATGCTGTCAAACATATCTAACTGTTTAATGGTATGCGCCTTCTTGCTCAATTTCGTCGTATAAAAAAAAGACTTTTAGGATGTCTGTTTCTTACTTTGGCTGTGCTTCTGGCTTTTTGTTATTTGGTTCAGTCACAGTTTTCCGTTGTACCTCTTATTTTGTTCTTACCTTGAGAATTTAGTACTCAAAAGAGGGGTTATTTTGCTCTTACCTTGACAATTTTGTCTATGTTAATGGTTGCATATATTTGCTTATGTAAAAGTTACTAGTAATTTATTTATGAGATTTCTTCCATCTTTTATTTTCTTTTGTATTTTTAACCCTTTTAACAACTCACCGATAAAATAAAAAAAAGGGGAAAACTTAATCTTGATGGGAGGATTTTTGTTCTCCAAGAAAAAAAACGAAGAAACTTGAACGCGTAAGAGCGCTTTACCAAAACCCAGGGCTGACCCTGACTTTTGGGTGGCCCCACTCTAGGCTAGAAATTAAAATGAATATAATAAACTAACCTGAAAAAAAATATTATGTCATTAAATACAATTTGGATAAATAAACACGGCCGAGTATTGGTCATATAATCACTGTCCCAATCTGTAAATAAACAAGAATAAGGATACAAATAATTTGCACTCTTTCATATTTCCTCACTATATAATCTACTAACAAGAATTTTTGGATAAATAAAAGAATTTCTAGTCCATATTGGCTTTCTTTCATTGATTGCTACTTTTAGCAATTAAATGCTTAAATACATGCAATTGATGTTCATATATTACATAATTTTCATTTGGACTCTTCAGACACACTTGTAATTAGATTTGGGGCCTCCAAATGCCAAACTATTGAAATTATTCTCCTCTAAAGTCATATTCTTCAACTTGGTATATCTATATATATAAAGCAAAAGGTAGATAATGGTGAAATATTCAAAATACCAGAAAATGCCATTGATTAATTCAAACATTAAGAATTGAAATTATTAATTAAACGAGAATAATATGATAAATTCACTTTTTTTTTTAATATTAAAACAAAATAAAATTAAAAACAAAATCAGATAATAGGTCATACTTTTACGGAACATAACTACCAATTTTTCTTTTCTTAATTCTAAAAATAAAATTTATAAATAAATAATGTTATTTAACAAAAAAAAAAACCCAATTGGCACATGCTCAAAGGACTAGTATATAATAATATATATAATTTGGGGCCCTACAAATGCGAGACCCATGGCCATCGCCCTCCTTGCCCACCCTCAGGGCCGGTACTGCCTAATCCAACACTTTCAAACTTATATTCTGGTATAATTATATAGAAAACAAATTCGAACTTTGGCAAAAACAAAAAAGAAAAAAAAAGCAAATTCAAACCAATATCAGTGATAGAGGACAGTTGTGGAAGATAACCACAGGTATTTCTAAATTAGATTGAGTAAAACAAAATATGAAAATTTTGAAAGTGAGAAAAGAAGCTGGAGTTGAGAGAATTTTAAAAATAATAATGGTACGTTTGGATGAGGAATTTAGACGAGGTATTTAGCCTTTCTTAAGATTTATAAATCCACATGGACCAAATGACTTGTTCGGTAAAGCCCAAATTCCTTTATGAAGTAACCCTCACTATTATCAGTATTGCAACAACAATTCATTATACCCTTCCTACAGATTTTGGGAAAGCATCTTTTGATAAGCAACTTAAAAACTCCTCATTATCATGGATTTATATAATTCTTCCTAATTAGGAAAATGCTTTCCTCTTTCCCTTGAAAAGGAACTCCTACTTTTTGCAATCACAGTTTGACATGTGTATAGAGATTTTTATTTTTATGTTTTTGATTAATTATTTTTGCTATATGTGTTAAACTGTGATTTACTAGAAGTAAAAATACCTTTCCCCAGGAGGGAAGGACTCAGTGTCCTTGTTGAAATAGTATGAAATTTCAGTGTTTTACCAAATAGACAATTCCGATCATAATAGGAAAGGCACCATTGCTTGGATATCAAGCAACCAAAAGGTTTTTGTTTCCTATATAAGTAAAGCAAAAGCTCAATCTCCCCCACACAAAATACCCTAAGTTTGAAATAAGAAGAAGAAAGATCGGTATACCAATAAGCTCTATCTAATATTTTCTTATTTTCTAATTACTGAACCAAGGAGATTACAGTACCACCGCACAGCAGTTATCAATGGAGAGGTCTGAATCTTCTGATCAAGAACAGACCTCCGGCACCACGGTTGTCTTGGCATCCCTCACTGGCTTAGCAATTGGAGGGTCACTTGTGGCCATGATGGGGTTCAGCATCTTGGCCTCAGTGGCACTAGTTTTGTTGACTGCCAACATCACCCTACTACTTTTTGCTGGCTTTGCGTTTGTTGGAGCAATTTCTGGGTTTGTTTTGGCTCTGGCCATGGCTCTCGCCAGTGTGCTTATGTTGGAGAGGATGCTCCAGAAGCGTGGAGGCACAAGCCTTTTGAGTTTTGGCAGTGAGACTGAGACTGAGACTCTGGTGCCTCAGACCGAGACTGAGACTCTGAAGCCTCAGACTGAGACAGTGAGCAAGGAACAAGTCCAGCATGAGAATAATGAACAGGGTAGGGCACAGAGTACCTTCTAGTTCTAATTAGCAGAGTCATTTACTGCATGTTGATGTTGAAGGTTAATTAGCTATGGTAAATTTTAAAACTCTTGGGTTTTAGTTGTTTTTGGCGTCTTAGTAAGCAATTTCGAACATGACAATTAAGAATTCCTCAGTTTTCTCAGCAACCCATTAGCGGATGATTAATTTTTTGTTTATTTTTATTTTCAATGCTAGTTATTATCTCTCTTTGTGGAGCTTTCTGTATCTGTGTTTTTGTTGGACTGCAATACTTCTATGTTTGAAACTATACTGTATAGAAAATCATGTTTAGCCATTTGAATGTCGAATTGAATTACTCGTGGTTTTCTGTCAACAGATAATATGGTCGGTCTAGCTCCTGAAGAAGAAGAGGATTTCGCAACATTCGACGAGGTTTACCACGATTTTGAGTACATGGGATTGCAATATAATCTTCTGAAGGGCATTTTTGCTTATGGTAAGCATTTATGATTACATGGGCTTTGCTTTTTTGTATGATACAATGGCTTTACCTTTTGAAGTTGTCATGATTTATCCTTGAAAACTAGGAATCCATTTATTTTTTGTTTGTTAATTTACTTTTTATCATTTAGTTTCCAATTTTTTTGTTTTTCCATTAGGCAACATTATCAAGTACTTTCTTTCAAAACAGAAAAGAAAATACTATCTTCATCTTTACCTTTTGCCTTGATATTTCAAGTATATGATTCTGGTTTTGTTTGGAAGGTTTTGAGAAGCCTTCTGCAAGTCAGCAAAGGGGCATTGTTCCTTTCTGTGATGGCCTGGATGTGATTCAACAAGCTCAGCCTGGAACTGGAAAAAGAGCTACTTTCTGCTGCGGAATTTTGGAGCAACTTAATATTGATTTGGTCGAGTGCCAGGCTTTGGTTTTGGCACCTACCAGGGCCTCGGCACTGAAGACTGAGAAAGTTATGCGAGCACTTGGCGACTATCTTGGGCTTAGGGTTTATGCTTGTGTCCGTGGCAGAACTCGTCATGAGGGTCAACGCATTCTTCACGCCGGTGTTCATGTTGTTGTTGGCACTCCTGATTGTGTATTTGAAATGTTGAGTAGCCAGAACCTTTACCCAGATCACATAGATATGATTGTATTGGATGAGGCTGGTGGAATGCTTACCGGGAGCTTCAATGATGAGGTTAGTTATCATGAACTTCTTTTGCTAAACAATGTGACATGTTATGTTGTTTTCGCGTTGAATGTATGATCTAAATTGATAGAACGACAACATAACACACTACATTATATATGCAAGAGCCCTTGTTATGCATTAAGATTGTTAGTCTTTTCTTTCTCCCACTACTTTTTATGGGTTTGGATTATTATTTGACATGGTGTTTTGGTGCAGATCCTTCACATTTTCCAGCTTCTGCCATCACCAGTTCAGGTTGGGGTGTTCTCCGCTACAATGCCACCTGAAGCCCTTGAAGTCACAAGAAAGTTTATGACCAATACCAAACCTGTGAGGATCATTGTAGAGCATGATGAGCTCACCCTTGAGGGTATCAAGCAATTTTATGTCAATGTTGAGGAAGAAGAATGGAAGCTTGACACCGTTTGTGAGCTCCATGATTCCTTATCCACCTACCCAACTGTCATCTTTGTTGATACAACTCAAAAGGTGGAGTGGCTTACTGACAGGATGAGAAGCCTTGACTACACCGTCTCTGCTATCCACGTTGACACGGACCTGAACACTCGTGACACAATTCTGCTCGAATTTCGCACTGGCTCTTGCCCAGTTCTTATCACCACAGATCACTTGGCTCGGTGTATGGATGTGCAGCAAGCACGTCTTGTAATAAATTATGATTTGCCAAATCAACCAGAAAACTATCTTCATCGTATAGGACGAAGTGGAAGTTTCGGAAGTAAAAGTGTTGTCATCAACTTTATGATTAGGGATGAAGAGAGAAAGGTGCTTGACATTCAGAGGTTTTACAAATTGGTCATTGAGGAGCTGCCTGCAGATTTTGCTCATCTCTTCTGAGCAGCTTATTTTGTTTTCAATCCCTTCCCTTTGAGGCAGAGTTTCTTATCCTTGTTTTGCAAGTTATATCTAAAACTTTATCTTCTTGCATTTTGTTTTTCACTCAATTAGTGGTGTAAAAAATTTCTAACTGTACTTCAATGGTTTTCTTACAGAAAGAAGGTTGGATTGGTTTATATATAAAGCTTGGTTTCATATGGTTGCTGTTTTGGAAGTTTTTGCCTAATTCTCGAATAAGTATTTTATGTTAAGGATTGGTTACATATATTTCTAATCTCGGCAGTTGGATTGCATTCATTAAATGTGTTGGTAGTCTCTTAGATGCAATCCAACGGTCGAGATTAAAAGTAATATCTACTCAATCCTTAACTTAAATACTTATTAGACAATCTCTTTTCTTTTTTTTTATATAAAAAAATCTTATTATTTTGGATCATGAGCCATATATATTCTTGCATGTGATAGGATCAAACCCTCCAGCACCACAATCTTGAAAACTCACCCCAAAAAAAAAGCTAGGCCACCAGTTATGATCATGTTGACTTTTGTTGTCTAGCCAAATTTAAGCTCACACCAAATTCAACCTTTTCAAAGACAACTTATTTTTCAGATAATTAAAGTAATTAATTCTTATTTATTAGCAAATTGATAATCTGCTAGAGGTAGTAGCTACAGGAAGACATGATGTGGTTGCTATCTTTTTCCAATAATGCCAAAGACTACTTTCAAGCTCCCACAAACTATATACTTATTAACCTTTGAAAGAGGAGAATTAACTTCAGTTTAACACACTAAATTTGAGCTCCAGCATAATAATTCTGTGAGATTGCTAATTCTATGTCTGTTTAAAATTTAAACACAAAATTTGCAAAGTCAACCGGGTGACTCTTTCCCCGGTCATGTTGTAGAGAGATTTTTCTCCCAGTTTTTGCTGGGGTCTGCTTTTTCCCAGTTTTGTGCGGTATTTTGTTTCCCCCCAGTCCTTTTGGACTAGCTTTTAAATATCCTTTTCGTTGTGGAGGTAGAATAATTATGTGAGATCATGTGGGATGCTAGATGTGTGTGTGATCTTCTTTGGCCAAGTGGATGTTGGGCAGCCCTTTCACTTTTGGTGTTTCTAGTTCATGTTCATGTAGAATCTGTTGTTCTCATAGTCTCTCTATAGGGGCTGTAAAGAGTTTTCTTGATCCGCTATTTGTCAACTCTGAGTGAGCTGAGCTTGATTTTGTAATAGTTTTTACTCACTATCTTGCTAAATTTATTTTTCCTGATTTATTGTATGCAAGAACCTCCCTTTGAAGCGTGCTCTTCCTATACGTCTCTTATATTTATCCCTTTATTAATGAAATTCTGCTTGATCCAAATTTTTTTTTGAAAAGTCAAGGCACGCCATTATTATAACAATCTCTCTCTCTCTCTCTCTCTCGATACCAAATTTTTTATCCAACTTTAGCTGTTCCACGTGTGTACAAACCCAGTCAAACTTGGCAGGTAGCTTCTAATCCAATACAAATTACAACACAAGATGAATCAAATCTAAATTTCGAAAATTTAAAAAAGATTAAGATTTAATTACTACCATGATTTGATGAAAGTTGTTGACAATCTTTACTAACTCTTAATGGTGGCCAAATATAAAAGAATATAATGATTTCTCAAGAAATAAACAGTGATATATATATTTATGCATGATGTCAAATTAGGGTAGACAAGAATGGTTACACTGCATGTTATTGATTGTTGACACCTTAAATAAAAAAACAAGACCTTGAACTGTTCCAAAACTAGAATAAATAAATACATTTAAACATAGACAAATAGATTTTTTACTAATTTTCACATTCACACACAAACAAAGAAAAGCAAACCCAACAAAAGAAAAGTCTTTGCCTCCTCCTCCCCCACTGTCTTATTGCCATTCTTTGCATTGAAACCTTCGAACTCCTGTCTGCTCTGCTTCTTCTTCTTTCTTTTTTCTTCTTTTTTTACTTAACCCATGGAGGATTTCAGATCTAAGTCATGTAGAGATGGGAGGATGGAGGTTTACTATGGAGGCAAGGCAGCTCCAACAAACATGCAGAATCTAAGGAGTTTCAGTACCAATTATGCAGGTTCTTGTGTTTCTCAGCCAAACAATCAGATGGTTAAGGATGTGAAGGTCAAGAAAGGGAAGAGCAGTTTGGGGTCCACCTCAAGGAGCTGGAGCTTAACTGATCCAGAGTTGCAGAGGAAGAAGAGGGTTGCTGGCTATAAGGTTTATACTGCAGAGGAGAAGATGAAAGGGTCTCTGAGGAAGAGCTTTAGGTGGATCAAGAACACCTACACCCAAGTAGTCTATGGCTGGAAATAATTGATTGGTACTTCGAAAAAGAAAAAAAAATTGAAAATTTTAAATAAATAAATCTTTTGGGTTTGTAGTCAGCTCATTAGTGTTTTTTGTTCTGTGCATTTGTGAAGTGAACCATGCATCTGTGTAAGAGTTTTGATTGCCAAAGAAATTAATTACATAAAAGAATCCAATATACTGATGCTTCGTCTCTGTTAATTATAGCTCAAGAATTTCTTAAATCCATAGTCTGTGAAATCAAATTTATATACCTCCTTATTCATTTTCCCAAGCCAGTGTGATTGTGATTTCTGTGATGGTTGTTCTTGGACTTCAAATTATTGAAGGTGTGTTTTGATAATGGTAAATCCTTTTTCATTGTAAAAAGATTAAAATACCCAATGAAGTATTTTTATGTGGAGATTTCCTTCAGTTAGGCCACTCTGTTGAGTAACTGCCCTCCTCTCTCTCTTTTCTTTTTGAGCTTTTCATGGTTTGAGGGAGGTGCTTATGCTGAAATGTGGATGGTAGTTTCGTTCGATTTGGTATCTGGAGTCTGGATTATGAATGGAGGGTTCCAAAAGGCATGATGCTGTTAAGATGCAGTCAATCTGTCATCCAAATGTGTCCTGAGACTCAGTCTAAATACAGTTTTTATATGCCTAAATATGTATATGTTTTGATGAGATTTAGATCCAATCTGATGTGATATGTTGTGGCTCTTGATGTGATCCAGATCACATCTTGATCGTACTGTGAAGTGAACCAAAGCATATACGTCTAAAACAAATGTAGACACAACTCAATCACATCCACACACATCTAGACACCATCAAGACACATTTTGATCACATCTAATTGCATCTGGACCTTAAAGGTGTTTAGGATATACCCAGAAATTGTAAGAAGAAACTAGCATAAAGAACTTCATGCTCCGTCACTTGGGAGTTTAAGGTGTTAAACGGAGTTCAAATTGCAGATATAAATTGTTTGGAATCCAATCTGAGTACCAATTTACAGTGCCACACAACTCTCCTTCTTTAAGCATGCATCTCTCAGAAGAAAGACGGTTGAATGCATCATATATGGATATGAAACCTCAAGGTATAATGAATTGCCATTAGAAATTAACTTCTCACATGTCACCTGAAAAGCACATCTTTGTGTGCATAGTCATTTAAAAGTCAATCTTTACAAGACAGAACGAAGTAAAAGAAATGCCTCTTGCAATGTTCAAAGTTGAGAGGGATTTGACTATTTGTGGGAGCAGAACTTACAATGAACAAGTCGTTCTTATGATCCTCTTAAACATCAAATGAATAAATAAAAAACTGAACAAGCTTCATCCTACAATCGTCTCACTCCACCACTTTGCTCAAATTATAATCCGAGTTCGGCAAGACCTATTTTCCCATGAAAGATGCTCAACAATTCAGTACTTTCTCTTGATAGTTGATCAAAAACCTGTCCAAGAAAAACTTCTTACTCTTCATCAGTATGGTATTTAAAGAAAATTCTTCCTTTATTATTAAGCCTTTCAACACTAGAACAACACCTAGGTATGATCCACTTCTCTAAACCATGAGATGGAACACCTGAATTTCCAGCCACATCTGGAGGCTATTTTGTTCATAAGAAAAGCAATTTTACTAGAAAAATCCATCTCCAAGAAGTTCATAAACAAGGGATTCTTTCTAAATGCCAACAAGAAATCATCTTCAGTCCAACCACACTTCCTATAAATTATTTTTTTCCCATTTTGATGCATCCATCATGGACATCACATGCGGTGCTTTCATGAACGCTGCAGATGAAGGCCGGAACGCCATGCTCATGACCTTGTCGGACATCGCAACAGGATAACAGGTCACCCACGAGGAGATTGAGGATTCTGGCACTCCAAGTGCTCTGAGAACTAAAATATTGGGAGCAACATTGCCTATTACTTTGTCCATCAATATCTTTTTCGGAGTTCCCTTAAAAAATGAGCAATCTTCTCATCGAGGAGAATTACTTGTCCCTATGTTAGCTCCCTCTCTGTTTTATTATCCTCGTCTTTGATAAATTGGGCTTTACTTGTCATTAATTTCCAGTTAACCACAAGAAAAAGAACAGAAAAAAGGCTGGAGAAATTTTTAGAATGTATTAAATTTGTACTCGAGTGTAAATTTTGCAACGTTAAGAATTCCAACATAACAAAATGGAAAACTGGGGAGAAATCACATGGAACTAACAAAACCAGAGAAAAGAAGCAAAAACCAAGAACCATATAGAAAGTAAAGATGTTTAAACACAATCCAAGAACCCTATCCATCGATTGGTTGGTGGATTTCTTTTGTTGTTAAAGATGAAAAGTCTGTGGTGGCCAACTTCGAAGCTAAATCAGACACACATATGTGAAGAATCTAGCCTCACTTGTCAGGTGAAACCACCAGAATTGACAAGGGCAAGTTTCCCTTTCATCAAGCCCTTATTTTGAAAAATAAATATAAAAGAAGGAATTATCTAATATAGAATCTCAGAGTATAATGAGAATGCCATTAGAAATTAATACCTTCCAAATCACTTTAAAAAAAAAATACATCGTTCTGCATAGCTGTATGAGAATCATTATTTGTGGCAGCAGAACTTACAATAAATAAGTAGTTCTTATCATCCAGTTAATCATATATTTAAGTACAAAACTAACAAGCTTTGTCTTACAATTGGTTCACTCCACTACATTCCTAAAATCCAAAGCCGAGTGTTCCACAATACCCATTTTCCCTTGAAAGATGTGCAGTAATTCAGGTACTTGCTCTTGATATCTGATCACAAACCTATCCAAGAAGTACTTTTCGGGAATCATAATGGTACCTACAAAAAATTCTCCCTTTACGATCAAGTCCTTCAACAGCAGAACTCTAATAACTGAACACCTAGGTATGATACTCTTCTCCAAACTAAAAGTTAGAACACTTGGATTTCGAGCCACATCTGCTGGTTGCCAACCCATCATAAGAAAATCCATTTTACTCGAAAACTTCTTACATGATAAGCTCATAAAAAAGGGATTCTTTCTAAACGCCAATGAGAAATCATCTCAGTCCAACCGCACTTCTTATATACTTCCATCTTTTGATCCCATGTTAATGCATCCGTCAGACTAATCTCATGGAGTGCTTTCATGAATGTCGCAGATGAAGGGGCGAATCCCATACCTGTGACCTTCTTGTTATATTTTCCTTGAACTTCTCAGTATCAAGACTACAAAAGGATGACAAGTCACACAAAAAAATTGAGGCTTGTGGCACTTCAAGTGCTCTCAGAACTGAAATATTGGGAACCATATTGATTAGTTTGCTCGACATCACCCAATATGAGCTCCTAAGAAAAAGAGCAACCTTTTCATCAACAAGAAGTAAACTTTTGATAATATCATAACAAGGTATGATAGTTCTCTCCAGGCTGTTTTTCAATATTATATTTGGGTTGGAATAGAGGACCGGAAAAAGGCCAGTGCCTGAAAGGCCAACAGAACTGAGAAACTCAAGTTTGGGCACAACGGTCTTCTCAGCATTGGCTGAGAGCAGCTTTGGGCGATTCCTAACAAGTTGGGAGATGTGGTCATCAGAGAATCCACATGGTTTCTTAGAACATTAAGAACTTAGTCTGGTCCTTCTCGGTTATCAAACTGTACACTCTTGGAAGCAGAGAGAGCCAGTTTTGGGGACAACCCACATGAGTTTATAAGGTATGAAACTGTAAAAGAGATTCTTTTTCTTGTAGCTTATCATTTCCAGAAACTAATGATGATTTTGATGAATATAAGCTGAAAAAAATAGGTTCTCTTTGAAAGAAATGCAAATGGGTCAATGAACCACCAACATTTCTACAGCTTGGAAGCAGTAATTGCAATCTTTGACAAGAATTAGAACCAAGCATAATTGCAGTGGAACCAGAAAAGATCAGAGAAAAGCGCAGTACTTTCAGTGAACGAGAAGGGACTCACCAAAGACCAATGGTCTCTATGCTCAGCTTCGACCGCCAGCAATTAACTGATCCAAGAACTGATTACTTCCGACGCCAATTTGGGGTTTAGGGTTTGCTCCTCCGCTCATCAAAGAACAGAACTGACATAGCGGGCCGGCGGGAGATGCTGCAAATTCATGCATTTACTCTCATTTTTTACATGTGGGTTTCAGTTGTAAGGGCATTTGAGTCTTTTACATGAGTTTATGACTATTTTAACAAGTTTTAAAAAAAATTGACATTTATAAAAATAAGGGGCAAATTTTGACTTTTTTATTTTTTATAAAAACTTAATGACAAGTAGCTCATTATTTTTGTTTGTAAAACTATATGTATTTGGACGATATTTTGAATCCAATAACTATTTATAACGAAAAATTAGAATAGTACCGCCAGGCAGGCTTGGTTGCAATTTGGCACCTGTCAAGAAAACAGGAACCAAAAAAAAAAGTTTTAATTACATAATACTCTTTGTTTGGATTTTTAAGTGATTGGTTACTTGTGTGATAATTGTACTCGAATCTTTCGATTTTTATCAATTATATTTCTATTGTTTAAAAAAAAAAAGTTTTAGTTACCTTAATTTTAATTTCGTTGCCAATGCCATGATTCAGTCACACACATTATCCACAAGCGTGTATCGTTTTCTGGAACAGTACAATACCTTTAAATTAGGTGCAACTTTTTGCAAAAGTCTTGTATGAATCTCCGATTAGGTGAAACCACCGCCAGTTGTATACCGATTACGCAAATTTTCAGATGATTAAGACGGGAGTTGCAATCAATGAGGAGAATATGGATCAAATTTATGACTTCCAGAAGGATTGGGGTTCCTAGGCCCTCAGAAAATAAAGGCTCAGATCATCGGCGTTTCTTTTTCTGACAGCAACTTTGCAGAAACACAACAACAAAAACCAAAACAAAACAAAAATTGAAATTGATTGATCTTGGAGATCCTTGAAACGATGACAATCTCATGATATAAGTTTCATTCTTGCCATTCTCATCTACCAAAGGCTCAATTGGAATCTGTAAATTTATCAACAAAAATCCACAATGTTTATAAAAAGTAGTATCTAAACCAAAAATTCTCCCCAATTCCCCCAACTCACCCAAAAAACCAAAAAAATTAAAAATTAAAAATAGGAGAGATAGAATGGCTCAAATCTTTTATAATCCAGGTAGGGAAAGGGGATACAACAAAAATAATCAAACAATCTTATACCATAAATTCCTGAACGTATTTCTGTCACGCAACCAAATATGTCAACATTGTGCTTGAAAATATAACGGCAACAGTAGTAGTACCCACCTCATCTTGTAGGCTTGGACAATCAGGTTCTTTTAACTATTTTATAAACTAAAGGAAGAAAGATTACAATTATCATAGACAATATGCATCACAAAATCAAAGCATTTGGTGTACTTACAGTGTCTATCTGCATTTGACCCACACATTGTAATGTTTGACGAAAACCACAAACATGCATGATAAGATATGAAGTTAAACAAAGGTATTAAAAGAAGGTGAAACCAGGGCAACCCAACTCGAACTCTATTGACAAAGGCCTTTGTTTTACCTGGATGGGTTTTCTGGGCATCCAATTTCCACTTCTGTATCTCGTCTTTATTGCAAACTGCTTAGAGAGAGACAGGCCCCGAATTGTTGCAGCTTTCCTCAAACATAATACACTTAAACCAAATTCCACCCCAAGCGCGTGACAAATGTATAGGTTTTTTAAAAATTTACAGTAGACGATAAATTGGGAGAGGCTGCTACTAATACTGTACTCTCTCATCATTATTGAAGTGCAGGCTCTCGATGCCCCTGAGAGTGGACTCTAAGGTCTTTACGTTTGAAATATTTCTTCCAGAAGATGTACGATTGTTCTCTGAAGGTACAACTGGTGAACTTCTTTGGCCACTAGAAATTTTACCTAGTGTTCCAGGGCTCAAATCTGAGGTTTGAGGGCGAGAGAGATCAGACTCACTGCCAACGATCACTGCATCGCGACTGCTAGAGACTGCCGCCCTCCTCGATGATCCACTTGACCGCAAGAAATTAGAACTTGATAACTGCATGAATCCAAACAAAATGAACGAAATAAATTAATCTAAGACTGTACAACAAACCTAAATGGTAATGAACTTGCACAATGCTGTACTTGTCAAACTGGTCAATAAAAAATAACCGAAGGGGATAAAACCTTATTTGAATCAGAATACAAAATAAATTCTTTACCATTGCGTCTTTAGATAGAGATGGATCATTTGCAGCAGGACTTTTTTGTCTAGACAAGTTTCCAGAATTTACAATTGGCCCAGAGTTTCTCCTACGAGAGGGATCTGACAACGACCAACCTGTAGGTCTACCTTCCTCACCACCTTCAAAAAGTTAAATACAACAAAATTAAAATTTGGGCTACATGAAGAGAAAAAGACATTTATGAATACTGGACTTGAATATGATTAGAAACACTTGAAGATAAAAATAGGGGAGTAGATTTATAATAGCCATATAAAGTAACCCGCTCTTAGCAGCAAAACAAGTACATGTGACTGCATTTTCCAGGACACCGAACTAAGTAAGTAGGGAAACACTAAACAGAGTTTTGACATGTAAATGGATTCCTATTATGCAGAAAATGAAAAGAGTGGCAGAATTACCAGATTGTCTTTCAGCATTTGCCACAGCTGGAGGCAAGCCAGAGCTCGGTCCAGCACTAGCACCCTATTAAATAGTAAATAACGTAAGCTAAATGGTTGAACTAACAAAACACTGAAAAAGTTATCACATCACTTACAAGAGCACGAGCAGGAGGTGTGGCAATCTGTGACTGCTGATATTTCAAGATGGTCCAATCAAAGACATAATCAAACTGAAAGCCTGAAGCAAGAAGGAAACCATATAAGTAGACGTGGTTAATGTGACACTACTATAACATCAGTAGAGCAGCCTCGATTAACCTATCAAAAAAGAATTTCAAACCTTCCCGAATAAAAAGGTCACGAAAGAGTCTCTTCAGATACGCATAATCTGGTTTATCATCAAACCGCAGAGACCTACAGTAATGGAAGTACGATGCAAACTCTGTAGGATAACCACGGCACAAGGCCTAAGAAAGAATTAAGAAAGAAGCAGTGAATATTCCATACTGTAATAAATATCATTGTAAATAAAAGATACACGAAAAATTCATTATCATTAGATTTCAGCTTACCTCGATAGAAGTTGACACTTTCTTTTCACTGATCTTCTCATACTTCTGCTTTTTCGTTCCCGCTTTCAAGCCCTGCCAAGGAAGGCTAAACAGGAAGAAAAAAAGGTCATAAATAATTGAATATGCAAAAAGAGATATATACAACACTGGCAGGCACAATAGTCACCTTCCTCTTAGAAAGTACATAAGCACATATCCAAGTGATTCTAAATCATCCCTGCGGCTTTGTTCTGTGCAACACAAAATAACATGATCAGAATCACATGAAGGGAGAGCGAGGGAGAGAAAAAGTTAGGGGAGGGGAGGAAGGGGGGCGAGAGAGAGAGAGAGAGAGAGAGAGAGATGGCTTACCAATGCCAAGGTGAGTATTCATGCTTGCATATCTTGCAGTGCCTGTCAAATTCTTGTTTTCTCTGCAGTTATACAAGTATCAAATTAGTTTTATTTTTGAAAACTGCACCCTTCATATATATTATCACTCATAGATATTAACAGCATGTCAATTTTTTTTTCCAAGGAAACACCTAAGATAAAAGGCTAAGCAAGACAAATGAAAGTCGCAACACTTGAACTTGGGCAGTACCCCAAAGAAAAGGCCAAGCAAGACACTCTTGATCACAATATAAAGATTAAATTGCTTTTAAAGAAAATTGGGTGGTTTTCTTCCTTAATCATTTGTTTGTGGTTTAGACACTGACCCCTCCAGCCCTCAATCCTCCAGGTTTTGATGGTTAGCAACAGGCAAAGGAAACCGATAGATAGTAAAATTACTCAACTCCCCAAAAGTATCATTAGTTAAAAACTACATCAAGTATTATTAGTCAAAAACCAACATTATTGAAAATGATTCACCATATTCCTATAATCATTAACAGGCTGGCTGATGAAACCTGCTATAGACCAGAGTCATAATTTGACCACACGAAATCAAATGATATTAACATATTTTATTTAATTAAAAAAAATATTTGTGTCATAGATTAGTATGTGAGTAAACCCTCCACTATCTTGAAACCAACGAGAACTAACCAGCAGTGAACTAGGTATCTATTGCAGCAAGATTTTAAAACAAACAGACACAATCAAGAGCAACCAAATAAAAATTTGGCCTTAAATTTTGAAACACGTTTTACTATTAAAAATAGGGACAAGAGGAACAAAACTGACAGCATTTTGGATTTAAGGCGGACTATTTAACCAATTCATACTCGACACATCAAAGACAAAATCGAATATTGAAGAATTTGAAATAACGAACCTATAGGGAATATGCTGATGAGTTGAAGTGTCTCTATACTTCTTAGCGAGACCAAAGTCAATGACGTAAATCTACACGAAAGAAGAGATGAACTTATGCATTTAGATAAAAATGCAAAATCAAAACCAAAATTACAGTGAGTTGCACAGAACTCAAAATCAAAATAAAAAATCAATTTAATTGCAAGGTCCAAGTACCTGATTTGCTCGCCGACCCAAACCCATTAGGAAGTTGTCTGGTTTGATATCACGGTGAAGAAATGATTTGGAATGGACAAACTCCACTCGATTGATCTGACACAAATTCCAATATTAAGATTATCAACCTGCAAAGATTCTAGAAGAGTATGCATCTGTGAAAAGAATCCTACCATTTGATCTGCAAGCATGAGAACAGTCTTCAGAGACAATTTCCTACTGCAAAAGTTGAATAAATCCTCAAGACTAGGTCCCAGTAAATCCATCACAAGAACGTTGTAGTCTCCTTCAGTGCCAAACCATCTCACATTTGGAATTCCAGCTGCCAAAGTTGTATACAGTGGCCAGTTCAGAAAGATAAGTAATAGACCATGCAAAATATTGAAAAGAAACATGGATAGTGGTAAAGGCATTACTTCCTCCCTGTAGTATTTTGTACAACTTTGATTCATACATCAATTGTGGATGTTTCGTCTTGACATTTTCCTGAGAGAAAGAAGCATGGATAATGAAATTTAGGCAACTAAAACATTGATTATCAACAACATAATTCAGCAAGCAGAAATTGTGGAAATGCATATTATTAAAAATAAAAGAATCAGCAAACCCATCCAAACATGCAAAGAAAGATTAAATAAACCAATCATAATTCTGGCATTCATCCTCACAACAGAGTTCAGCGGATCAGACTACAGCAGTCTATGTGTTAATAAGAAACATTACAATCACACAAAGACTTACTAAAGAAAAGAAAAATAATAATGCATAGGGAATACATCTTCAAAAATCTACTAGAGCCTCGGCACTGTAACCTAGCAAACACCAAGAGTTGTAGACATTCCAAAATCTACTTCTCTTGTGGGTATACATCTTCACACAGATACAAGTTCAAGAGAGTGTCCTAGCTCAAGAGGACACACAAATCATCATATTAGGTGGACCCTTTTCAAGCCTACCAAACTAACAGGAATTGACGCCATATCATCAAACACATTACCTCACTTGGGACATCCCGTACAGTCAAACGACATGCCCCAAACTCAGCTGAACCATACAAATCATATTTTGCATTTTCAAATTATAATTTCCCAGTATCACCAAATTTCAACCACTCACAACGCAGAAGGTAGGTAGATAGCTCCATATCTAAAGGCCAGAAAGGATACCGAGTTCAGTTACAACTGTGAACATTACGCCCTAGATTGTAATGCCCTCTTTAAGATCACACCAGAAAAACACCTTTTAAGAGCCACCAAAGTCTCAACTATGGATTAAAATGAGCCCAAATTTCCACTTATACAACATTCGTCCCAATAAAGTTTATTACTATACAGTATGATCATCAACTAGCAATGACGGAAAAGATAATCATACATAGCATAAATATCCAAGAAAAACCAACAATTTCCTAATGCCGTAGAAAAAATAACATGTAATTCAACTCACAAGCTTAATCGCAACCTCCTCGTTTGTCTGAATATTGGTACCTGAAAATCACAGCACAAAAAGAATAAAAAAGAAAATTGACAGAAATTTGTTCTTTAAAAAAATATTTATAAAAAAAAAGCAAAGTAAAAGACACCAAAAGTAACAGTACAAACCTAGGTAGATCTCTCCGAACGATCCGCTACCGATCTTCCGGCCAAGTCGAAACCTTCCACCAACCCGAGGCTCCATACCCCCCAAAACGCAACGATCACAGAGAAATCCTAGCCCTAAATGAAAACCCTAAGACCCAAAAAATCCCTAAAAGAAAGAGAGACGAGAAAATTGGGGACCGTACAAGCCCTTGACCAAACCTAAGTCTTGGAGAGGAGTTAGATGGATAAATCAGCAGCGGAAGAAAGTAGAAGGGGACAGGGATGGGAATGGAAGGGATGAGTAGGGGTAAAAGTGGAAAGCCAGGGGACTTTCTCTCTCTAGAAGTCTAGGGTTAGAGTGAGAGGGAGAGATGAGAGAAGACCACGAGAGAATGCGTTATGACTCTCTCACACCATGTCGCGTTCGAAGCGCCATTTTCCTACGGCCTTTATAAAGACACTCCCCCCTTTCGTTTCTGTTTTCGGGTAAGCAGCACCGACGACGTCGTTTTTTAATAAAACATATGCATAGCATATTTCGTCAATTTCCTCCCTTTCTATATATATATATTTTTTTTATCTTCCTTTCTCTTTGTTTAATGAAATGAAACCCACGTTTTTTTTGTTAGCTGCAATGGAAAACATGTTTTTGTAGAGGGAAATGTAAAACCATAACGCAACCAAAAATAGGAGAGAGTGTCCTTTCTTCTAGCATGAATTCACCAATCGAATGTTAGTCGAATCCAAGACAATAAATTTTGATGATAAGATAAATTCAGCAAGTTATAAGAGAACCGACAAACAAAATAAATTTTCGTTTTTCTGTTTGTGCCGTAAGACAAAGCCAACAAGTTGGAAGAGAACCACGGAAAAAAAAAGGGGTTTTCAAATATAAAATGTTATTATCATAATTAAATTTGATATTATTAATGTGCATTTTGGGTTTTCTAAAAAGAATTATAAAAAAAAAATTGGAATGAGAATAAACTATGTACTCTTTTTAGGGGTAACATGTTTGGAAAACAATCAAACTAGTTTAATAACATGGATGACAGGTTAGGTGAACAAGATTTTATAACTATGTTTAATAAATATGACAGTGGAGGAGAGAGACTTTTTATGGTTATATCACACACAACCACCTTGATATGAAGTCAGAGACATGATGATTTTAAATGAACTTTCACTCTTCTTTGTTGAAATTTATCTCACTAGTCCTTTATAAAACAAATTAATTAGTGGACAAAGAGAACCTACTTGCATGAAGCAAGGCTTCACTACAGAGAGTGATGTTCTTGTAAGATAGTTGGATATGCTTATATTGAATTGAATAAGCAAGACCATATTAGAAATTGTGTTATATATGGAAATAAAATAGTAGCAGGATGATGTGAAAGTTTAATCTTATGTATAAATGAGTTCATATTAAATAGTAAGATAAGAGTGGACATTCATTTTATTAGCAGACTAGACTGGTTGTTTAGATTTAGTAAATGCATCAATAAGTAGTCGACTAAATTAGACTTTGAATTGAAATGGTCCAACAATGCATCAAGGGATCAAAAGTTACTAGAGCAATGCTTGGATTAGTCGCCCTCGCGCAAGTGAGCGGTTCCCAGCCATTGACGATTAGCGGGCGACTGTACCTAACAAAATCTTGTATTGAATCAACGTTTTTACGATACATTATTTGGTTTCGGTAAACCATTGTTTTACTTGGTCCATTGGGTTCTAAAGATTAACCCCAAGGCACCAGGGGCAGCACAGGGTTGATTGATTGAACTGGAAAGGAACTTGAGCTTAAAATAGTAACATGGTTTTGAGAGTTCTGTCTGTAAACTCCAGAAGATACGTAGAACAACAGGTGGGGCAAAGAAACATAGACAAATGACATCTATCTTCACTCACTTTAAATCTTACAAGATATTGTACATATAACAGCTCCAAGGCTTTTTTCTATAATGAATGGGACTTTTAACCAACCCCACATAAGTGGATAAAACAATACCAAGAAAAGAATTACAACGGGCCACAACGTAAAACTGCAATCGGCCTCAAACCCTAAAAAATTAAGATTTTCAAAACTGTATAATCATGGACATGGTCACAACGGAGACATCGGACTTTGTGTACTTACAGGGGTATGCTTCTTTTGCAGCCTCCCTCTCAAATGTCTGATCTTGGCATCCACTCTAGCCGTAAACCCAATCTTGGTTTCTTGTCTTGCTTTAGACGCCTCCCGCTTCCACATGCGCTGATCCTCAACATCTTTCTTGTAGTATTTGATTTCTTGGATGATATGATGATCCATTGGATTGAAACTTCTTTGGAAGGCTAAGTGGACAATGTAGGGAAGATTACAAGCAATTGTTACTAAAAGGGTGGCTGACCAAAATAATGGTGCAGGACCAAGAGCTTCAACTAGAATTTGATAGGCATTCTTGGAGTGAACTGGAGACAGCATGCCGTAAAGTAAGAGAAATAGGTACCACATTGCAATACTGCCCCACACAAAGAGGTGCTGAATCCATGTAAAGTGGCTCATTGTGAGAGCAATCTGGCAGTTAACAGCCCAGACAATGCAACTAAACATCGTGGTACCCATAGCAGCCATATCAGCAGTCTGGCCATTAGAACGGAAGGCCTGGTCATAGAAGATGATAATGTTGAGGAAGAAGATGATTAGAGAGCAATAGACACCATTGCCCATCCACCCCAGTATCCTGTACCAGTCGAAGAACAAATTTCTAGGTCCTTGCTGATACAATGCAGGGAACTGAAAACAAATAATTTTTTAAATGTCACCACAGAGCCATAGAAAAAGGTGTTTAGTTGTTAACAAGGGCATTGTTTGGAGGACTAACCTGTAAGCAGACCTCGGAAGACACATCTTGTTCAAAGACTCCAAGTGATATGACAGGCAATGAGGTAAGAATGACATTGAACGATAACATGTACCAGTCATCATATATTGATTGCCCAGAGAAACCCGTGAATGCCTCAAAGTAGAAGAGGGTGAGACCAAATGCAATATTTTTGTAGAAGAAATAGCAAACCTGGATGCAAAATATCCCCATTAATAGGTGGATGACTTTAAAAATAAATAAATAAAGACATGGGCACACACACATGCAAATTTGTTTATAGTATGAAGCGTGTGCCTTTGACCAAACATACAGCACTTGCAAAATTACAAACTTATCAACGAAAGTAAAGTACTAAGATGGACATTTATTGATATTACCATCTGAGCAATCCTCTTATAGCACCAATGCCCATGGACTACCAAAAGTCTCTCCAAAAACCGAAACTGGGCAATAGAAAAATCACTAGCCATCACAGCCTGCAAGTAATTACCGAGTATTGTGAGATTCACCATAAACAAGAAAAAATTCATGCTTCTACATTCCGCTCAGGATACTTTGCTTCCCATTCGGACAGCTAATACAAACCTTCTCGCAATTAATCCAAATATGATGCACACTCACATACAAATGTATACCAAAATATAACACAGACCAAATTCGGAGGGCACTAGAGAAATTTGGGTTTTGAGTGATGATTATGCCCCTGGAAATTGTGAACGTCATCAATTTCAATGGAAAATATAACAGACGTACGTCATGTTAAGATTTAAAAACACTTAAATGTTCAGGGGGCAAGGTGAGCCATCTTAAAATTCCAAGACCAAAGTGGAACACGGGCCAAGTTCAAGAGATGTCAGTGTAATTTAAGCTATTTTTAAAGAGTAATGCTACTCTTACCACATTTGTATACCACATTCCCATGCCACCTAATGTGGCAGATGAGGTGTACATCCACATCAATTAAAAAGTGTCAATAAATCAAAAAAGAAAAGAAAATGTTAAATTAATTTTAATTGATGTGGCTGTCCACCTCATCTGCCACAAAGGTAGTATGGGAATGCGGTATACAAATGTGGTAAGAGTAGCATTATTCATTTTTAAATGTTTAAACTTTACCTGTGCCTGGTAGGGGTTGACAGCTACTAGCCAGTGTATAAAAGAAATAGATGATATTCTGTGTGTGAATTTTGAAGATAATAAAAAAAACAAAACAAAAAACGTAGCAACAATAGTAGATTATAAGAAAGAGTAGTCAGAAAAGATACCAACCTGCATACCTTCAACCCCACTGATTCCAACACCAATGTCAGCTTCTTGTATCATTCCAACATCATTTGCACCATCACCAATTGCTAATGTGGTTTTTCCAGTTCCTTGTTTGACTAACCTTGTTACCTAGTGTAAAAACAACCGAACAAATGAAGAAACAGCACGGCTATACCCACATTCATAAGGATATCTCACTCATTTGACAATTGAAATGGAAAAATGGAAAAATGAAAAAAATTTGGAATCAAGTAATAGCAACAAAAAATCCACTTACCAGTGCCTTCTGCTTGGGAGAGACACGGCAGCATATGACTGATGCACAGTCAACAGCTAAACCCAAGAATAGATGCTTCATATCATCCTCCAAAGCATAGGTTAAAGTTTTTCCATCAATAATTAATGCAAATGCTGCATGTGGATCTTTCTCCAACTTGATCATTTGTGAGGCATTGGTAATTTGATTCAAAATGTTATCTTTCACAGCCTGATCATTAGTCAAAAGACACAAAGTCTAACATTATATAAATAAATCTCCTGAAAAAGAAAAAAAATCATGTTCCTTTTCTCAATGAAATATGTACCTCTTTGCTATCTTGTCCCAACGTGTCAAAATTCGCTGTTGATATACAGATCTGCTTCATGCCCTGTCGGAGCAAACTACATGCAAATCTGCACAGAAAAAACCCCAAAAAATAAAATAAAAACATTACATACATCTAGAGGAGCATATTCAACAGATACAACAGGCAATGTTTCATAAGACGGAGCATAACAGTGCTTTCTGCTTTAGTGGTTCGAGACAAACCCTATGTTGATTGCAGTTTCCATCTTATCCCCTGTCAAAACCCATATCTTAAGACCAGCTTGTGCAAGATTGTCTATGCATTGGGGCACCTAAAGAGAAGAAAAAAAAATGAAGCTAAGTTGCAGGAAATCAGAAAGGCAACAAATCAAATTACGGCTATAATCAACCACTTATATACCCCTTTTTGCAATTTGTCCTCCACAGCTGTTGCACCAACAAGGATCAAATCTCTTTCCATCTTATCTGCTACTCGCTCAAGCATTCCATCTCTATCAGCCCCAATAGATGTTTTTGCTTTCTGAAACTCATTGCTCCAAGCAGAGTACTCGGCCTCCTCAAGCCTTCTATAAGAAAGTGCCAATGTACGCAACCCAGCTTCTCCATATTCATTCAAATGCTTTGTAGTAGCTTCCTCATACATTCTTCCATTCTTGGAAAGTCGATCAAAAATGATGCTGCATAAGCCAAGTAAAGGAATGATTCATGCGAACCAAAGTGGATAAGAAAACATAAAAATTATAAGAAATAAATCCCTGTTTTCCTCTCCCTTTCTTTCTCATGCCTTCTCTTTTTCTTTTCTTGGGAAGGGAGAGAGAGAGAGAGAGATGAGATAAATTTATTGAACAACTGTTTGTTACAGCTCGATACTTCAGTTTATAGCTTTAAAGCCTCCAACTGCTTAAAGCATCAGCATCAAACAGTACACTTAAAAGTAGATATTTAGCCTGAATGAAACCCCAAATAAACATTTCACACTTAACAACAAACGAAAGCTAACTGAAGACGCTACATAATCCTTCATTGGATAAAAAATTAACACTGAACAACTTATGAAAGCTGACTGAAGACAGTAGTCGCAGTACATAATGCAATTCCCCGAAATAATTAAACAATAGTTGGGAGCCTAACCTGTCAGCACCTTTGCAAAAAAGAAAAATCTGTCCATCTTCATCTCGCACAATAACAGACATACGCTTCCTTTTGCTAGTGAACTCCAATAGATTTAAGACTTTGTACTCCCTGTAAGTTTCCCAAGAGAACAGAAATGTTAAGACAGAAGGAACTCAATAGAAAGTTTAACTGGTTGTCCTGAATAACATAAATCATTCATACGCTCACCTGTCCACTGGTTGTCCTGAATAAGGAAACTTCTCATTGACAAACACACTTGATTGATTTCTTTTACAAAACTCAAAACCTAACTCTCTTGCTGCAACAAGAAAAGCCGCTTCATCAGGTGACTCTGCTTCATACGTATAACTGCCAGTCCCTTCATTTAGCTCAGGAATTGCAGTGTGGCAAACTGCTAATATTCGTAAAAATAATGAAATCACATCAGGGCTGGGCTCGTTCAACCAATTTCCATTCATAAGCCGGCTGTCCTCAAAGCTAAACCCCTTTATTGCAGGTTTCCGATCCTTATCATCTTTGGAAGTAACAACAGTCTCCAGCTCAATTTCTGATCCTACTCCATTCCCCCATGATACACGTGGATTATGTTTTCGCATGGGAAAATTAGAAAGATCATCTTCATTGTCCTCAAGGTCAAAAGCCATCTGTTTTGCTGCCGCAAGTTCAACTTCACTAGAACGGACACCATATGCAGTACCACCAATGGAACACTTGAGAAAGTCCATTTGGTTGCAGGTTAACGTGCCAGTTTTATCAGAGAGGATGGTGTCTACCTGGCCTAACTCCTCATTCAAATTTGATGTCCGTGCTTGAGCAGGATTCCCAGTCTCTTCATCATACATGTGTATGTCTTGGTTAATGAAGGTTGCTTGCAAAACCTTCACAACCTCAATTGAAACATACAGAGAGATGGGTATTAGATATCCATAAAGGATGAGAGCAGTAACCAGATGGATAAGGCCCGACAAGGCAGGCTTTTCTGGGCTGTACATATCTGTTGTTTGATCAGGGCGCATGTACCACGAGTCTGGCATACTGAATTTTGTCTTCACGGCAAAGCCTATTGAGCTGATCAATGAGATCCCTACAAGGAGGGTGAAAAGGATATAGATAATATTATCCATTTTCCTTTCTATACCACTCCTTTTTGAAGGGGATTTTGTTGAATTCTGCATAACTTTGCTATCATGGCCTGTGAAAATCACCACCCCATACACGTAAGCTGTATTCCTGAGCTTCGAATCTCTGAGGAGTATTTGACCAGGTTCGAGAGGATAAACCTGCCGATCATATTCAAGATTACCCACAAAGGAGTAAAGATTGGGGTTTGGATCTTCACATTGAATTGTTGCAGTGAAATCCTTGAAAGTGCCATCATCCTCCAAAGGTGAGGTTACTTCCAAACATCTCTTTACCTTCAAATTCGTCTCACCATCTAAGTTCATAGTCTCAACATAGCAAATCCCGTCTTCATAACTTGATGACAAAAGAAGCAAATCTGCAGGAAAGAATTGATCCTTTTCCACTTTCAAGATGTCTCCAACCTGAATTTTATGCCATGGCCTAAAACCAAAAACACCATCTCCTTTATGAACGATCACTTTTCGGAGATTAACCTTCATATCCTGCAAGAACCTATTCCAATCTTCCAGTGCTTCCTTTGCCATACTGAGACCAACAACAAATACCAGAGGAGCAATCATGCTCACAGGAGAGAATGGTGAGACAGGGGTGAGGGAAAGAATGGCAGCCAAAAGAAAATACACATTGGCAACCCGTCTGAACTGCTCAAACAGTGCCTTGGGCAAGAACGTGATAGGGTTATACTTGGTGGTTGATATGAAATTTGAACGGTATTTATAAGGCTTCTTCTGATGGAGAAGAGGTTGGTTACAATATACAGTTCTTGAGAACCCGGCTCCTTGGATTGGGCGAGACGCCTCTGTCTCACTGGCTTTTGGCTTTTGGCAGAATGTGTAAAGCTGGCTCTGCCGGAGCTTTGCCCTTATCTTTCCTCCTGCCATTTCTATCAATCCCAGCCAAATCCAATTATAATTGGCTCATACTCATTAAAGAAAGGACTCAAATCTTTGTCCTCGCCGTAGGATTAATGGTACCCTTGTCTCCAATTTCTCCTTAAAAATGCCTAACATACATAAACCCACATAAAAATTTACTCTCTGCACATAAAATTCACACTTTCCAGCACAAAATATTCATACAATTAATCAAACATCATACATTAATGTTTAAAAACACTAAATTCCTTTCTTAAAAGAGCTCCTATTCAAAGCTAGATTGAAATGCCTTGCACACTAAGATTTCTAGCTTTTCTACGCCTTTAGATTTGAGGAATTAAAGCAAAATCTTTTGGTCAAACAGAGAACAAACTTGCAAGTACAGCTACCAAAAATCAAAAAGGCCCTAACAGAGCAATTCACACACAAAATGAATCATAACAATTTTCATTTCCTTTCCAAACATTAAAATTTACACAGAAAATTGTGTATAAAAAGATGATTAAAAAAATTAAAACGTACAGAAAGCCCAATGAAAACAAATGTTGTAGCTTAGAATCTGACAATGTCCAGCTCAAACCGCGAAACAATCATTAATAAAAGTACAGATTCCTCGTACCAAAACCTTAAAATCCTCAGAAGAAGGCAACGCATCCAAAAATATGAAGAAGAAAAAACAAATCAACCCAGAAGAAAAAAATAAATCTTTTCCCCAAAAAACACAAATTTTAAAAAAAAACAGACACAAAAACAAAATGGGTACCTGCCATCAGGGGCCTTGGTCCATCTTCAAGACAAATTAAGAAGAACCCATTTAGCAGAAAGGGAAGGAGCGAACTTTGAGCTGCAGATCAAGGAGGAAGACAAAGTCTAGAGAGAGAGAGAGAGAGAGAGGAGGGAACAGAAAGAAAGAAAAAAAGAAAAGAAAGAATGAGCTTCCTCTTTCTCTCTCTCTGCCCGTCGTGAAGTCCAAACCAATGGCAGGAATTTCCGGGCCCTCCTTTTCCTATATTTATATATTTTTATATATATATTTATACATATTTCCCTTTATACAAAATTTTCAGTTTTTTTTTCAAAAATGGTTTTAATAAAGAAATTCCTGTGATTGATTGTTTAGAGCAGGTGTAGGGATGACCTGGCCAAGTTTTTTTTCTTGGTCTTTGTTTGGGCAGCCACCAAATGAGAACCGGTCGGTCTTTTGCTCTCCTTTTTTTAAGGTTTTCAAAAAAACGCCCTCCCTCTGCAACAGTAGCAGAGTGTAGGACCCATATTGTCCTACATGGCGAGTCGTGGTTTTTCTCTTTAAAAAATATTTATTTATTTATTTATCTGTATATATAAAGCAAAATGTAAAGAATGGTGAAACATTCAAAATACCATAAAATATTATTAGTTAATGCAAACATTAAGAATTGAAATTATTAATTAAATAAGGATAATAGTAAATTCACACTTTTTCATATTTTAAAAATTAAAATTAAGAGACAAATCAGATAATGGATCCTATTTTTATGAAACACAACTATCCTTTTTTATTAAATTTTAAAACAAATTTAAAATAATAAAATAATTTTTTTTTAAAACCATTTCTCGCAGACGCGGAAACACATTCGGATAGGCTAGTTTAATCTAATTTTCTGTTTCTTTTTATTACAAGGTTACAACTGTTACACTTATTTTTGGTAATTAAAAAAGTAAATAAAATAATAGCTGTGGACAAGTGGACGTACGTGGTTGGTTTTTCTTACCTTTTTTTTTGGGTCGACAGGTTTTTCTTAAAGATTAGAACGTCAAATTTGGCAGATGTTTAGGTGGTGCCTTCTTTGGGGCAACTAAGATCCATCCATAAATCTTGCTGTGTTAGCTGTGATTGCCTTTGACTTCCCATAACTTCATGTAAAAAATTCTCTAATTTGGCATACATCCATGTATGGTTTAGAATCCAATCATTTCCTTCTTCTTTTTATTGTGCATAGATTCATAGTATGGGAGAATTAAATGTAAAATTCAACTATTTCATTTGTTTTCATTTTCGATCAATATTAATTATTTGTAACTAATGAGAAATTATCGAATCAGTTTGTGTTTGATTTCTCTTTTTACATAATCGATATTGAGGAGGAATGACGGGGTTTCTTACACACATTACCAAAGTGACACTAAGGTTTGAAAATGAGATCACTGATTTATAAGTTAATGTCTTTTTTCGTTGGCGTGTTTGAAATTTATTAGTATAATAAGTTAGTATGGATCTGCAAACATATGTGGGTCTCACATCACTATTGTGAAAAATGTGAATTTCCTTTTTCATTATGAGTTTGTGCAATTAGTCTAGAACATTGTTCTGATTTTGGTTTTGGTTGGTTTATTTCCAAATGGATGATTTTGGAATATTAGCCATTGTTTGGCGTTTTGCTTTGATAGAAACACAGGGGAGGTGGGTTGATATGATAAGATTGAAGGTGACAATAGTGCCACTTTTGACATAATTTAATGCACAAATTACATAACTACCCAGTAAGATCCATCAAATCCGATGGCTGTTAAAGTTTTCAATTTATTGGGACCCACGGTGAGGACTCCCACTTCGGTCCACTGATGTCCATCTGGATGATAACATTCAAAAATGTTCAATCTTGCTGCAAAAGTTATCATGTGTTTAATTTGACGAACATCCAACGGTCAAGACAAAACGTATAAAACGTGCAACTAAAATGGTATGTTTTCTATTAACGGATAGGATTTCATGCATCAAAAGAGCTTACAAGCTTACAAATTTCCTAAACAGTTGAATGATTTGGAATCTCGTCACGGAATTTAGTCTTTTTTCTTCTTTTTTTCTGTTAATCAAAATAGCAAGTGAAAATATAGCCATATTTCTTACACTAAACATATGTTCTTTTTTTTTAGACAAAGACTGAATCCATTAATCACCCAAGAATATTTCAAAGTAATCGGCATGTTAATAGTGACCTCCTTAAAATCTTCTCATAGAAAAAATTATGAGGTAGGAACTATCTAATAAAATAGAAGAGTCAAAATCAAGAATACAAAATAGGACAATTATCTTTAAGACAATTCTAGCACACCATCAACAGTAAACTTAACAAACCCATCTGGAAGAAGACTCCAATGCTTCTTATGTACTGTCAAAGAAGACCTCCTATGTATGATATTAGAATCATTGTCCTTAATCTTATATGCATGTAACATGTCGTTCTTAGTGGATTCAAAAAAATTTCTTCATGACCTCAGAGAATATTGAGTGAGATTCATCGCCTTAGAGCCTTTTTAAATAAGACAAAAAAGAAAAAGAAAAAGGATAAGACATGTTTTTATTTGTAATAATGATACAAAATTTTATCTTTTTTCACTTACTACATTATTCCAACTTAAAATGTATCACTTTCTCACCCTATCCTACTACCATTTTATATACATAGCATACTTTTTGTTATGGCATAATAAAATACAACTTAATAACTATATGATTAGATGAGTATTGCTAATGTATACAGTTAGTCTTGAGGGTCCAAGAGATTTGTGGTTAACGGTTCACTCTTTCTTGCACTCATTTTAAGAAACTTTTTTGAACCATTGGAGTAATATCAAACGGTAGATAACCACAATCTCTTAAACTTCTGTAGTACTAGAGATCGGGCACGTGTATACAGTTCATATAGAGTTTTAAAATGTTCAAATATTTATGGTACGACTGTACGATGTAATTGAACAAAATAAGTTAGCAATATTTAAAATTCAAATATTTATATGCAAAGGATTTTAACTTCTCATGATATGTGAAAGTTCAATGATATATTAAAACATAAAAACTAATTTGATGCGAAGATCATATGTACATGAGAGAACACGTAATGCAAAAATCTCAAATTTTAATGTTTTCGTTTGTCTAATTTGAAGATAATTTATTTGTGAGCAAAGCATATGTGAGTTAAGTCAATTAGCTAAGACACTCGTATATTAAAATAGTTTAGAATATCACTCTTATTATAAATAAATAAATAACAAATATTTGTGGAACTTTCTTGTCTAATTATAAACTTAATGAAAAAATTTGGGGGACAATGACTGTCAAACATCCAAATTTTGTACTTTCAATGTATAAATAGTATTGATTAGCTACTTGATTAATTTATAATATGATTATAATATTCATTTATATAACATTTAGTCCACAAAGTTATGGCCTACAAGGCTAATTGATAATTATGGTGTATCATATAATTGACTCACGGGCTCCACAAACCATTCATCAAAATCAATATAAAACCAATGCCCATAAAATGCATCTAGTTCGACTTAAAGTTCTACCAACAAAATAAAATATATTAATTTTAAATATGCTAGCATGCGCAAGACGTTATTCCAAGAGTCTTACAAAGTGAGCCAATGAGTTCAAAACATAAACGTCCTCTTGCTATAAGGCATATATGCATAGTTGATTCGAACCTAAATTTTCAATTTAATATGTGATATAAAACATAAACGTCCTCGAGCGCTTTCGAGAGCACTCTCAAACATGCTCATATATTATAAGAATAGTACATTCTCTCGTTTCGTTTCAAAATTAGTTTACGTATAAACTTTTTTTATATGTTTTATAGTAATTACTCCACAATAAATCTTCACAGCATCTTTAAAAAATTATTAATTGGATATTTATTCATATATTTTGTTCATTGAATAGGTCAAGAATTACAACTAGCACAATTAATTTAGTACGGACACTGTTCCTCCTTCCGTGTAAGGAGACATTCATACTTAATGCAAATCACAATTTGACATATATACAAAAATAATGCATCAAAAACAAAAATAAAATTAAAAATCTCTACACACATGTCAAACTATAATTGACAGGAAGTAATAGCTCCAACTTCCACAAAGGAAGGCGAGTATCAATATCGTATAGAAAAAAATTTACATAGAATAAGTCAAGAATTAGAAAGATGTGTCATCCCCTAAGGACCCGCTGGCTTTTGTTCGTATACGTTTCCACTGGGTGGACTTTCTTGGAAAATTCCTTTTTCACTGTCTTCATTTTTAGAGTCTTAGATTTTATTATTCCTAGTCTTGGCTTGGGGTCTTTGGCCAACTTGCAATTCAAGGCATTACAAACAAATTAAAGATAATAATCTCAATATTGCTGGTATTCATTGTATAATTAGCTGTGAGCCCTTGCAAACAAAAAATAAATTATTATTTTTAAATATTTTGTTAAATATAATAATGACCCATTTGGGCTAACATACTCAATTTTTCTAATTATTGAAACATTTTAAAACGTGACGTTCTGTATTTTTCTTACTAGTTCTCTTGCCGGATAGTTTGACACGGTACAATATCAGATTATTAATTAAATTTTTGTAATTAAACATGTCATATTATTAGACGGTGAAATAAAATCATTAAATTAATTAAGTGTTATGTTGTCTATTTTTCTAGAATAAGTGATATTTTGTTTGAATATCCGATCATGATTGACCATCCAACGTATGACTAAAGCAACACAAGTTGGTCAAGAAAACAAACATTTCTCAATCGTTCTATAATACAACATGCTCTAGATATTTATGCATGCGAACCCAAATAGATATTTATGCATGCGAACCCAAATAGATATTTATGAAACAACAAAACAAATTTACAGTCTAACTTGAACAAACAAAGCTGTCACGTCGAAAAATAAATAACAATACTGAAAAAGAGGACGGTCTAAAAGCAACAATTTTATTTATTTTATTTTATTTTTCTTGCTAGTTGGGCAGGAGAGGTGCATTAATATTTTTGGAATTGTACCAACTGCATTATATTTTGTGTTTAGAAAAATTTAGATTAGACACACATATTCTATATAGGCCAACACGCAAACGTGTGAAGCTGATGGGACCGTCGTGGACGTGGATTATGTGGAATTTTAACCCCCTTGTTAAGTTGACATTCTAGAGGAATGTCATGGAATGAAAATGTACATTTCACAACTCAAATATATCAACTTTTAAGCTTAATTTAACTGCAATTAATCAAGTGTTAGCGATATAACCTTTATCCTTGTAGGTGGTTAGCAGGGGCGGATCTATTAAGGCGCAAGGAGGTGCAGCTGCACCTCCCTTCGCCGGAAAAACCATTGTAGGTGTTTCAAATTGCCCCTTGCTCAACTGGTGTACAGATTACCTTATTTCCATTTTCAACATTTAAGTAAATGTCTTTGTCTTTTTACTTTTATTTATTTTTATATTACTCCATTTACTTAAATTTACAATGTAAATAAGGAAGTACCCCCCCATTTGGATTCAAATAAAAATACTAGAAAATCAAATTCCCACCAAATAAAAATATGAAAATTCGGTTTTAGTGCAAAATACGATTTAGGCTAAAAATGATGGCTCATTAAGTCAATATATACTTCATACTAAAATCTCATAAAATCAAGTTTTCTTATTTGATGTATAAGGAATAAAAGCCGCCAAAAATTATCTTGAGAAAATGATTATTCCGAAAAACCATTTTCATACTTAGTCAATATTGCACCTCCGCTAAAAAATTTCTGGATCCGCCAGTGGTGGTTAGTACTAGACCGGATATGGTCGAGACTAACTGTCTGTCCCATGTGGGGAAAGGAGGAATCGAACATAGGATTTTGGATGCATGGTATAAATGCTCTTAGCCACTTGAACAAGCCCCTTGTGTCAACTCATACATTTTTATTAGAACAATTGAATTGAATTCTCCGCATCATCCTTCTATTTGGATGTCAAATTTTTCCTTCATGTGAGTTGTAATTTTATGATCTTAAAAAAATTTGAATTGAATTATATTGCATAGGCTTCGCAATGGGATTGAAGTAAAACAAGTAAAAGGTCGCGGTCATGAGTTTATTGTGCGAATTTTGATGCATGCCAAGTTGCAATACGTACTCACGTATTTATTAAGCCCAATATGGGCCTATTTGGGAATTAACATCACACCACCGCCCACAAGCATATAGTAAAACCACCAAACACAACTAATAATGAAAGCCCACAGAAAAAAATAACTGCCCATAACGAGCCCAATGGCATGAAGCTGCTGATCCAACTTAGCTCTACAATCTGAAAGAAGGGAACAAGAACTTGTCAACATATGAAACAAATTTCCTCGACAGACAAAGAAAAAAGAATGCCAAATGATCATCCGTGTGCGCACACACAAATCACTTGAGAAGGGTTCTGGTTAGATGTTCCCTTGCTGTAGCCCATGCTTGTGTTATGGTCTGCATTTTAGTAAAGGAGACAGGATTAGATTAATATATGATTTCGTAAAAATCGGGTTCTGCTTTCTGAGATTCATAGTCTTAAAGATTTGATGATAGTACAAAAGCAAGCAATCAACACCTCTTCTTCTTTGACTAATGTATGAAAATTATTTTATTTGGTTTGAACTGAAGGCAAGCAAATGAAGAGTTTGCAGTACCTGCTCAGACAAGGGTGCATCGGCATCCATGGTATGAGTTGCCACCTTTCCTGCAATAATACTCGGATCGGTTTCAAGTACCATCCTGCATATAAATTAACGGAATAATTATATGATCAAACCCTTATTTGACCGAAATAAGATTGAGGGTGAAACCCCACAGTGAGCAACTTGGTGTGGTGTTGGACAAAAAGCTCCAGAGGGGGAATGACATAGTGGTAGATGTAGTGGATTGTATTGTCAGAAATTACAGTTTAAGAACAAGGATAATATATGGTTCATTATGTTAAAATGAAATTTACCACCGTGTGTCCGCCCCCACCTCCACTTCACACAACACACAGACACACTTATCTATGTGACTTTGCCAAATACTCATCATTGAAAGATTGTAATGAACTTTGCAGATATTAATAGGCCCACGGACGTAGAGTGTAAGAATTTAAGAAGCATAGTGCTTACCCCCCATCAACAATCTCATCAAAGCATAGAAGAATAAGATCCAGATTCTCTAGTGCCTCCCTTTTGTCGACATTGTTCCTACAAGAAGGACATGTAAGAATGTATATAGCAAAGGTCTGAAAGTAGGTAATCATCAAAATACAAAAGAACTCAAGAAAAAGCTTATGACCAAGACTACCTCAAGAGAAGGGCAACTGCATCAAAGAACCCCTGAAGGACTGTGGCTAAAATGAGTTCGTTTTCATCATCACCTCCAGTCACAAAGAAGTGGAGGTCCTGTATGAACTTATATATAATGACATTGCTGTCAAACATCATTATCTCCGCTGCAGGTGACAGCATAGGAAATTATGAACACTGAACTCTGGTGATAAAATACAATTTCTGTAGCACATTGATGAAGATTTTTTCACTGGACAGACTCTATATGTACGACAATCACATTTGTTCTGCATACCTTCTATCCGAGCATTTGTCTTCAGAGTCTTGGTGAAAATAGATTTTTCAAAAGCTAACTTTGCACCATTTGTTGGCCAATCATCTGAGAAATACTTGACAGCTACACGCTTGCCTTCAGAATCTAGAAGAAGAATGTTCTTCACAGATGGGCATGAATCCTAGACGAAATAAAGAAAAACGTGATTTAATTGAATAGAACATCCATATAATTCTGGCGTAAAGATTACTACCCTATTCAGGGATTAGCTTTATGGATCAATGTAGTATCCATCCTAAGTTCTCTTTCCATCACAGGTTTCTTTCATCAACGTTAATATCCTAGCTAACTAGTAGGCTTGAGGAGCAAACCTGCAAACGCCGACTAAGAACAACTTGCATATGAAGATCTAAGCCCTATAACTTTCATGCATAAAAATGCCACCTTACATATTCTGCCAAAAGTCTATAGGGTCCAAGCAAAATGCAAACGCATCTTCAGGTGATTCTTATCATTTGAAAATTCTTATCTAATTTATAACAACATGATGTATCCTTGGATCTCAATTAACCACATTAAGTTTTTTAAGATAAGAATTTAACAACATTTTTCACAAACCCAATATGAAAATATTTCCTAACAGTTTCCCAGTTCATTCCAAATCAGTTAAAACCACAAGTCACCAAAACTTTTACATTCTATAAATTGTTGAAACCTTTGTTGAGTTCATGTATTAACTATCCAGCTTGTCACATACCATTTTTGTGTAATATACACAAAGATCTAATAAATTGGAAAACCCACAAACGCACTTGATGTGACATCCAAAAAACAAATAGAATCCGTATATGCTCACGAACTGTTTGGTTCCCAAGAAAATGGAAAAGAAAAAGATCTAACTGAATGTTCCATTATTTTACAATCTCCAAATCCCCACAAAACAGTTCCCAATTAATACAAACAAAGAAATCGTTAACCTTAGAGACAATTAGATTAAATTTAACACGTTTTCTCCGAATTTCACGGATCTTGTATAACAATCGCTCTGAAACCCAGAAACGATCTTATCGAAAATAGGAATCATGGAAATTCAACACATCTGAGAGAGAGAGGAAGAGAAAGGAAGAAAGAGAAAGAGAGACTTACACGATAGCAGAAGAGGCTGGCCATCTTCACGTAATGTGGAAAACAGAGAGCTTTGGCTTTGCAGTGCAGAGTTCCGTGTAAACGTTTGAAGGTTGGTACTTGGAACCTTTTCTTTAGAGGGAAGGAGATGGGCACTTTCGTCATTGTGGCTGAACTTTTAGAGGGTGTGGACTTAAACCATGAAACGACATGTCGTCTGGAAAAAACACATTTTTTTTGCTTGCCTAATTGTTAGTTTTTGACAAAAAACTATTTGTTGTCAGTTTTTATTTTTCCTAACCACGTTTAGTGGCTAAGCTTAAACTGGAATATTTCAATCGAATTGAGTTAATGTTATGGCCACAATTGGATAAACTTATAGATGTTGTGACTGAACCGTCCAATATATTGTGTCTTATAAGTATCGTTTAGAAGAGTGAGACTTATAAAGGTTTGTTGGTATATAGTGGCTCAATAAAAGTTATGATATATAAGTTCACATCGAAAAATACAACAATAATCTACAGTTTAAATATAAGTGGTTCACTCCTAATTGTATTAAGACCTTTTAAGTTAAAATCTCATACTTAAAGGTCTATTGGGCCTACCCTAACCCAAGGATATTGAACTTGGGTGGTTGAGGTGGGGATAACAACTCCTATTGGACCCATTGCTACAACAACAGGTATCCGAACCATTTGGTTCAACGCACTTGGTTCTCACATTAGGATTTTGATTTAGCATTTAAATTGCTCACATTGCACTGTTAAAGTTGAAAAAAGAAGATAAAAACATATCTAATTTAGTGAAGGGATATAGAGTTAACTAGCAATTTGATTTTTGTACAATGGAATGATCAACTGACTACATAAAGCTCAGAGAGAAACAGAAGCCAAGTATATTCAAATGTCCATGGGATTTTTCATGGGCTGTAAAATGTAGGGCCACACTTGCATTTCCAACTCTCAGGCTCATAATTTGCATATTGAACCCCCAAATGGCTGTGCTTTTTGGTGGTGGTAGGCACCTGAATAGCTTCACATGGAGTACATCCATAACACTTGTGGTCACAGCTGGGAGGGCTTGATCCTATTTTGCCGATCCCTCTGTAGTTTGCTATTGCAGCCATCTTTGTCACTCCATTGATGGTGTTTAAACCCTTCAAAGAGAGAACAATTTCAATAACATAACATTGCACTAAGCAAACAGAGAGAGAGAGAGAGAGAGAGGAGAGAGAGGAGAGAGAGAGAGAGAGACCTCTTGTAAGGTAACTTGTAAAGACTCGTGGTTCTGGCCTGGGGCTGATCAAGCATTAATATTTAGTACAAGTTAGCAGAGAAAATGAGCCCAACCAAAAAGTATGAGAGAAACAGTAAAGGTGCTGATATGTGATGAAAACCCAAAAGAAGCTTTTCACTGAGAATGGCTTTGAAAAGCTAAGAAGTTTTTCTAGGAAAAAGGCTTTCAGTTGTCCACTTTCTGAATCCTAAAGCCAAAACAGATTCTATTTCTTTTCAATCCTCCAAAAAGAAGGGGAGAAAAAACAAGAAAAAATGATTTTGATTTGTGTAAGGTGTTAGTGAAAGTGTGTTCCTAGAGAACTGCATAAAGTTGGTCTACTGGTATAGGCAAGCATCCATCTACGTGTGGGGAATGTCAAAAACAGAAATAGCCAAAGACATGTTGCAAATGAAGCTTTCCACATGAACAAGTTGCAAGAAAAACATTCTACAATGGAAATAAGTAAAAAGCATCAGACAACTGAACCAACTAAGTTGATCATAAGCTCACTTTTTACGCTAATGATTGAAAAGGGCAAGTAATTAACCTTCTTGATGAACACCAACACCATCATTTGGAGGAAAAGGCCTACTTGTTGCAGAAACCCAACACAGGATTTGCAGAGCCATTACAAAGCAATAACTTCTCTTCATTGCTTCAAGCTAAAAATGATTGCTGTGATTATGGTGACTATGATTAGAGGCGAAGAGGGAGAGAGAGAGAGAGAGAGAGAGAGAGAGAGAGAGAGAGAGAGATTGGAATCACTCACAAACACAAGATGTCATGCACAACTGATGGGATATATAAGAAGGTGAAAAAAACGCCTAGAGTACAAATTCCTATCCCCAAAAAGCTAGACTCAAAACCTCTAAAACTTTCTTGGTTTTCTCTATAGTCTATCTTGCCTTGGTATAGAGATTTTTTTGCTTCAGAAGCAAGTGATTCTGGGGTTTCTTGTCAAATTGTTCAAAATACACTAACAAGTTTCCACCACATTTGACAACTCACTTCAAGGCTAAAGGAAGTTGCTGATTTCTTACTCTTTAACACAAACCAACCTCTCTCTCTCTCTCTCTCTCTCTCTCTCAAATCAATCCAACAGAGTAGAACTAAATGAGCTGGTCCCCAGGCCCAAAATAACAGCTCCCTCTTTTGGGGTCTGAAAATTTGCTAGCCCCTGTATATCTCTGCATTCAGACAAATCTTAGCCTCTTTAGCTCCCTAGCTTGCACAGCTATTTTTCTGCCCTAAAATTTTTTAAATATATTATTTGAATTCCTTTAAAAGGGAATATGTAATCCAGATTCCAGTGTCAGTGGCAGAAGCCATCGTATAGAGAAAGAAGGGAGAAGGAGAAAGCATCAATGTCTGAGACATTCAGCCAGCAGCAGAAAAATTTAATGAGTTACTTAATACATAATAAACAAGATACTTGGGTCAACTTTTTACAGGTTGGTAGGTGGGGAGCACCCAGGCTTTGTACCTCCATCCATTCTGAGCCCTCCATTTGGACCTTCATCAGCATAGCATTTAAGAATTCGGGTGGCCTTGATTGTCTTAAAGGTACCTCCAGAATCCCAGATGATCGCATTAACACGTTAGCAACATTATCTTTGTTTTTGTTTTGTTTGCTTTTGCCTCTCTCTCTCTCTCTCTCTCTTAATTTTTTATGCATGCAATGGATGTAACAATGTGCAGTGGAAAAGCTATTTATTAGGAAGTTAATAGGCATTGTTGTACCGTACTAATGGCTAATTTGAGTATGGATTTGTTGCAAATACTTTTGCCTAAATGGGATTTATTTGGTCAGTAGGGACGTCATAAACAAAATATTAGTCATACATTAGAATGGACATGAAAAGGAAAGACTGGTAGGCACAGCAGAGGCCAACTTCAAAAGCACCCCTACATACATACATGCATATATGCTATAGATGGCCTAGGATTACCCAGTGAAGCCTATATATTGTATGAGACTTGAGTTTTCAATGTGTTGAGTATACCCAGTGAAGCCTATATATATGTAGGTATCTCTCTCTCTGTCTCTCTCTCTTCCACCTGAAACTACAACAAGAGTGTGGAAGGAGGTATTGATTCATTTATTGTCCTTCAAAAGAAATTACACCAGCTGGTGCACACACATGATAACCCCCACCAAACACACAGGCCAGGGTTTTATTTCTTGCTAATATGGTCATTTTCAGACCTCCTCACTGAACACCAACTTGTTCATGCAAATTACTGAATGGGGTAAATCTGATTACATTTTCAAAAGAAAAATCAATGGGTTTTCCATAAACCATCAACCAAGTACAAAATGATAATCATTCTCAATCTGTCTCCTAAAGACAAAGCTCAGAATATCCCAACCCTCTAGCAGAAGAAGTAAACTTCCCTGAAGAATTTGAACAAATTTAAAATAAAGATCCATGGGAGAAAGAAGATTCAAGTATAATTATGTTTAAAAAAAATTTGAAGATAAAGATTAATATTTATAAAACTGTATTCCTTGAAGGAAATACATCAAATGTGCAACATCCTAGTTGTGAAGCTTCTTGGTCAAACCACAATTTCTAGTTTTGCACACCTGAAAACTGAGAGTTTATGCATCCATAAACCCAGGCAATCCACTTGTGGTTTCATGAGTAAAACCAAGATCATTCAACATTTTAGCCTTTCAACACTATCATTCATAAGCCCATCAAGTGAGTGTCCAAGGATAGTTTAAAGAATATATTGATCCACTGTTTTTCCACTGAATATTCCCATAAAATAATTCACTTTCTACAAGAGTTTAGAGCAGAAAAGATTGGGTAATTATATTCACATAACAATAAGGTTAGCAGCGCTCTAAACGGCGATCTACTGGGAAGTTAGAATCTGATTTGCTTCAAGTGATTGTTGAGTAAGTTAATCTCAAGTCTCAACTATAGTGAGCAGAAACTGCATAAAGCAGTTATATGCATTTCGGGTTAGTGATATCAACTTAGGTGTTAAAATACAAAACAAGGATGCTACAAGCCTACAACAATTTTCCCCTTCTCCAACACACAAGAAATGCCAAATGGAAATCAACATATATATGGTAGATGTAACTACCATTGTCCTGGTTTTATTTAGCATCTACAATTGGGGTGTTTATGGCCACCCTCGAGATATAAAATCGAAATTTATGTCTTGTAAACAATATAATCAAAGAATACGACATCATAATCATTTTTGAGGAATCATGAGAGAAATAACACAAAGATTGACAATACAATATTAGATTTGTCCCAGTTACTCCAAATGAGAGCAAAACTTGTGAAGCATGCTTATAACTGAGGCTCAACCAACCTCTCACTTAGGAGATGAGTCATGACTGCCGGAATCTTTCTTAGGATGAATTGCCTCAACAATGGCTTCGACTTCTTCCTTAATTCGTTCAAACACACCGGGGCCTTTGACTTCATCTACCGGGGTGGTTTCATCTATGTCATCACTCGTTCCATGCGTTTCTTTGTGATGTTCTGGTGATTTATCAGCATGATGTCCTAGTGATTTCTCTGCCATATCAAAATACATAAAGAGATAAATCTATAATTTAAAGGAGATTTCGCTAATAGAAATTCAATTTCCATATGATCTTTTTTTATCTAAATAAACACTAACCACCTAATAAAAATATCAACTTTACATAAAACCCATCACCAAAATTAAAATTTTCAGAAGATTAATGGACTTATCCTTGACATAATTTCAGAAATATAAAACTCTACCCAGAAAAAGAAAAAAGAAAAAAAGAGGACAAAAATATGCAAGAACTAAAAAGTGCAGATGATATTACGTTAAATATGGGGAGTTCTGTAAATACAAAGAAATGAAAATACAGGACTTTAAAGTACCTGAGAGAGAGTCCTTGAGCTCTGTTTTTGGTTCTGCCATGGGAGCTTCTGTGAGAAATTTGATGGGTCTCTGCTAAGACAGTTTGGTTCTCTGTTTCAGATTGTGCCACTATTTTACTCAAGGGGCGGTTTCAGCATCCTGGTTGTTAACATGTGGGACCCACAATTGGTGAGGCCCATCAGATGATTTTGGACGGTTGAGATGCAGCTGCACGAAGAGCTAAAACAGGGTCCATGAAGCTTCAAATTGGATTCAGTGTTGGCCCAGTAATGCCCATAAGCCAGTGGCGAGCCCAATGAAGCTGAAGCCCCAAAGTTTGCATCCAATAAATCATCGGCACGATCCACAGTACAAATAATAAGCCGGAATTGGGATGTGATGGAAATTTTGTGTGTCTCTAACACCGACACACAATGTTACTAATGAATCCAAAATGTAAGAATAACATGTTTTTCATTATTTAGAATAAAAAATAGATTATATTTGTTAAAGTTTCTTGTGATTCACATCATGTCGAGAAATAAGTACCTTTCGGGACATGGAAATAGAAGTTTGAAATATTGTTATGCGAAGTAATCTTGTAGCTAATGCTTAAATTTTATGTATGAACGATTATATAACTTTGTGAGAGAGGATGAAAAAATGGGTTATAATTAGGTTTAGGATTAGGTAGGTCAAACATCAATTTCTTGTAACGTAATTAAAAGAAAAGGAATATTTTTCGGTGAACAAAGAAAGGGAATTTTCAAGACGCTCCATTTGTGGAAACCAAGACTGTCAACATATTGATAAAGTTCCAAATCATTTCCCCATGTTTGTTAGGGCAGCAGCCTGCAACAGGATTGCAAAACGCGTGGAAACGTTTACAAATTACTTTTCAATGGCATAGAAATTTGCTGAAAGTGATGTTAGTAGGGTCCAAGGAACAATGTGTAATGATTTGTCTGTGAAAAAGAAAACATGTGGGGGAGAAGGGAAATAAGATTTGCCTTCTTGGTTTTCTAATCTAGCCCTACAATTTGTTAATTAGATTTCAAAGGAAATTTTGGTGATGACACGTTCATTCCTTCGATAAAAAAAATAAAATAAAAAAATTCAAAGGACCTGTGAGACATTTGGTGAATTTAATGAAATTGATCTCATGACATTTGGGAAAGTGCAATGAAAAAACCTTGTCGTAAACATTAGACAAGGTTGCTACTTCTTGTTTTCTTGGATTTTGGCTTAACATTTTCCTCTCAGTTCCTCTCTATCTCTGAGTAAAAGCAATGAAGTGAATGACACATTCTTGACAAGTATCTTAAGGTTTGACAAAACAGACATAAAATTTTCAAAACATTTCGTTCCAAAGATGGTAAATGTACCTGGTAAATGCCTTAGAAAATATTAATTGGCAAGTGTTTGAACACTCCTATATATATATGTAACCTTTGAACACTTCCAAGTTCAAGCACCTCAAGTTAAGCCAATTTTCTCTTTCGATTCAAGAAACGGTATAACTGGACTGTATTTTCTGCAATCATTTTATAGGACCTGTAAAGTTGATTATAGTTGTTGTTCTAAGGAGGGAAGTGATCTGGTTTAGTTAGAAGTAAGCAAAGTAATTGCCTTGGACAGAGAGACCCTTGTATTTATATTCAGGTGAGATACCTTCATCTAAATATTTCTTATTTGTATTTATATTCAGGTGATCTGGTTAAGATACTAATTTTGATAATTTCTTAATGTGGATCAATTTATCATTTATTGCAAGATAGAGAATTCAGTCAGAAATCTTGAAATAACCAAGTTTAAGTTTTTCATGAGTTTAATCATGGTCAAAGTGAAAATTTGGTTTTTTTATTCTTATTTTTAAATTTATTTTTTTGCAGAAAAATGAAATTGAAAGTCCCATATAATCAATGGCTCCACTCCTAATAACATCGAGGCCTTTTGTATAAAACCCCACACCTGCTAAACAGGGGGTTAAGTTGGGGATAATATCGATGTTGCTAGTGGTAGGCCAAGGATCCGTCGCTCTGAAATCTTAACACAATCATATGAACAGAAATTATACAATTCTCAAAGTGGGGATGGACACGTGTTTCTTTAGTATTTAGTGTGAGTTTATATGATCCATATTGAGAATATTATATTGCATGATTTGAGCAACTAATGGATGTAGAATTTATGATTAAAAATTCATTAACTTAATTCTCTCTTTTCCTGAAGAATTGAAGATTACATTTTAAACTCTAAATAAGAGCTTCTGCAAATCTTGTAGCAGTAAAAGGTGACCGGAATAATACAAATGGTCATACTGACATCCACCAATTTGAAGTCCAAGAGAAAAGCAACATCTAGAACAGTTAGCTTCAAGAAAACTGATTTGAGCAAAGCCAACAAGTCTCATGGGCTGGAAAAAGTGATTTCTCAAGAACCTATAAGCAGCAAGAAAAGGAAAACAGGAGAGCTAAATTTGAGGACAGGTGATTCATTGAAGACTACACAGGAAGAACCTGATAGTTTCATTGAGAAGTTCAATCCAACAAGTTCTTTAACCAAGCCAGAAGATTGGTTTTCTCCCCTGTCCCCAAGGGAGCTTGATGCAGCTGCAATCAAGCTGCAGAAAGTTTACAAGAGTTACCGAACTAGACGAAACATTGCAGATTGCTCTGTGGTTGCTGAGGAGCTATGGTTTGTTCTGTTTTCATTTCCTATTCTGCTGCACATAGTCGTAATTCGCATAGTACATTCGTGCTTATTCTCTTCTTTTAATTGTTGCAGGTGGCAGGCATTAGACTTTGCTGCTCTTAGGCGAAGCTCTGTGTCCTTCTTTGGTTCTGGTAAATCAGAAACTGCAGTTTCAAGATGGGCAAGGGCTAGAACAAGGGCTGCCAAGGTGATCTCTTCCTGTACATTTCACCTTCATTCAAAGTTACTTAGCTTTTTTACAAGATTTTGAACATTAGCAAATTGTTCAACATCATTCTATTTAACATTTGGACCCCATCAGTCTTCTTAAAGACAGAAAAATCTATCCATGTGTTTCTTTGTTTTAGAACTTTGACAAAGACCAAAATGGATACCTAATTTATTTGAAGATCTTGACCTGTAAGACTGTTATGATATTGTTCATATTGAAGTGTTGATAGAGAAGCATTTGGTTGATTAATGTAGGTTGGGAAGGGTTTGTCCACGGATGAGAAGGCTCCGAAATTAGTTCTAAGACATTGGCTTGAGGCTGTAAGCTCACATTAAGAAAATTCACCTACTCTGTATTAAGTCTGTTTTTTCCATTCAACATGGTAAAAATAAAGTGTCAAATGAATTTTGTGTAGGAAGACAACATTGAGAATCCATAGACAATTAGTTCTTTTCCTTACATTTCACATGTATGCTTAGTTAGGTACACAATAGCATGGATTAGGACCAAAATAAAAATAAAAATAAAGGCATGCATGGACTAATTTCTTTACATCACAATGAGTGGGGAACTATTATGTTCAGAGCAAGCATGCTTACCTTCTGCTTGTTCGGTACAGATTGATCCGTGCCATCGTTATGGACAAAATCTGCACTTGTATTATGATGTTTGGTTTAGTAGTGGGAGCTTTCAACCTTTCTTCTACTGGTAGAATCCCTACAGAAACCAATTTTTCTGTTTTCGACATGTTGAGGCTTATTTTGTAACCTTGTGATGCTCTATCCAAAAATGAAGGTTGGATGTTGGAGATGGCAAAGAAGTAAATCTTGACAAGTGCCCAAGAACTGATCTGCAGGGTCAATGCATCAAGTACCTTGGACCAGTAAGTATCAAAAAATTTAATTACTTTCCCATATATATATATATATATAAGTTTCTATTTTAATTCTAAGTTTTGCTTTGTTAATGATGTGTTATCTATATTGTTCTCACAGAAAGAGAGGGAAGCTTATGAAGTGATTATGGAAAGTGGGAAGCTTGTGTACAGACAAAGTAGGAAACTTGTGAATACTGCTGAGGGTTGTAAATGGATCTTTGTCCTCAGCACATCAAGGAAAATGTATGTTGGGGAGAAGAAGAAGGGCCTTTTCCAGCACTCTACTTTTCTAGCTGGAGGTGCCACACTTGCAGCAGGGAGAATTGTTGCCTTTAATGGGGTTCTTGAGGTTTGCTGCTTAATTGCTAGTTAATCGCTTAAACACACACAAAATACAACATTACTTTTAAAATTTTCTTCCCATCATTCATGAACCTTTTATCTCCATACTGTTCAGGCTGTATGGTCCTACAGCGGTCACTACCGCCCGACGGAAGAGAATTTTATGGAGTTCATTAGCTTCTTAGAGGAGCATCAGGTGGACTTAACAGATGTTAAAGTAATTCTCCCTAAGCCTTCATATTGATGACTTGCACAAACTGCCTAAACATGGTGCTTAAGCTGCTAAACAATGGAGCATTTTCATATGATTCTCATTAAGCCTAATTACATTTTCCCAATTAATTGTTCTCTGCAGAAATATCCTATAGATGATGATGTTCCACCTTCTTATGCTCCCAAGAAAGAGATGAATTCAGATATCACATCTGCTAATGTTGATGTTGTTTGTGTATATTCACATGTTTTACACATGTAATTAACCTAGACATATGTATATATTTCACACAAGTATATCCAAATTCTTATATCTTTTACATGTTTCAATTTCATTTATATGTATATAAATTCCTTTCTTTCTCTAATTTTTATTCTCATATTGAACCACATCTATATAACCATTGTTGATTAGTGATTGATCTATGCTTGAACACTTAGTCTAAACATTGACTAACAGTTTCGATAATTAGACTAAATATCAATCTGAACCGAGCGAAATTCAGTTATGAGATTTGAATGCACGACTTTCTCTAACAAAGTGGAAATTGAATTTCACTGAACTTTTTCTAGTAGTTGTTGGATTGGAAATTTGAATTTTATAGAACTTTATTTTATGGCGATGGGTTAGACAGGAAAATGGCAAGAAGGAAGTGAGAGGTTGCTCATGTTAATGATCCTTCCTTGAGTTTCTATGCCAAAACTCTATATATACGCTTGTAGCTGTAAGCCCATCTCTTTTGAATCTTAGATCGATAGTCATTGTCTTGCATGGCTCTAGCTTCAATCAAGGCTTTAAACATGCTTTTCTTATTCTTTTTAAACTAAGGCAAACTCACATGTTAACAAATTGTTAGAAATAGATCAACAATGTATATCAAACTTTGGTAATACAATTAATTTTGGCATTAGTTTTTAGAAAAAGGCGACGAAACTACTGTTCACCCCGTTTTGTGATTTCTCATGAGATGGAAAGGCAAAGTTCCCCACTGCCTTGAAAACCATTGACTGGTCAACAAGTCAGCTTTCTTTGGTGTATGAGCATGCCACTGCTAGCAATGAAGATTCTAGCAGACTTATTCTAGAACAGATAACTTGCGCCCCAAATCACTGATTTCTATAAACAAACGATTGTGAATTTGGGTGAGGAATATCTCCCAAATAAGTTCTTTTCTTGCCTCAGACTGGTGAGGACTTTAACAATTTATCTCAGTAAAAAGAGGTTGTTCTGGCCAGAATGGTTGATGGAATTTAAGCTGTCTTAGGCAGAACTGCCTTTTATAAAACTATAAAAATAAATACGCACGCTAGAAAGATAAAAAGACAGCTGGAACTCCATTTCTGCATGGATGGGAGGCTCTGATCCGAGCTGGACTGGAAATATCTGGGCTGGACTGAACTGTTAACAACTTCACCTGCTAAGCTTCAGCTATAAATCGATACCAAGGTCAATTTTGGCGGAGCTTTAATATACTTCAAGATTTTGTGAGGCTTTTAAGTGGGCAGAACTGCGGCTTCTTCAGTCTAAGAGGGCAGAAGTGGCTGTTCTTGAGGACTTCAGTGGGCTAGAGACTGCATTGTGAAATTTGTTGAGGTTTTCATGTTTGGGAAAAGCTCAAGCTCTACCTGTCTTGGTTTTTTGTTGAACCAAATTTGTAACGAGAGAAATCTCGTTTTAAATGACTTATTTTCTAAGTCTGAACCTTGAGAATTCTGATCTAAAACTAGTTTCACTTGGAATTCAAGTGAGCTTCTGGTTGATTTTGAGTTGTTTGTTTGGTTGATGATTTGAATGTAGGATTGATTGTCCTCTGCCCTGTTCACTCCTTCTTGTATTTATAAGAAATGTTTTCTGGAGTAGGGTGATTCTTTTAATAATGGGCGGCAAATCCTTTTAAAGATCTGCAAAGAGATACAAGAGAGGGAAGGATTTAATTTAATTATGTCAGATAGGCTTCTATCAATCAATCTTTGAGATCACTTCCCTGTTTTTTAAAAGAAGCCTAATTCCTTTTCCCACTTTAACTGCTCCTTGTGAGATTTCAAACGTGATGGTTAGTTTGATTTCCCAGATGAACAACTCTTTGTCCTACTGCTTATCTCCTTTTTGAAAATATGGCATGCGTATCTCTTGAAAGGATGGTGTCTCCTTGGAGTGAAATCAATATTTTTGAATATATAAGAAGGATTTTGATCTTCTGGTGGCAGAAATTCAGAGAAGTCCTTTTGCCACTGACCTGCTTTAATTAATTCTCAATCAACTCAGTTGAGTTTGTTGACTTTTCCATTTTGGTAGTCACGTGGGTTCTGAAAACGGGTCTCTTCCTTTTTTCTTTTAATCATGCTGGGCCCATTCTGATTTGTCTGGAGCCCAAAGGTAACTGCTTTTCTTTTGGGGGCCCAAGTTTGCTTGCCACATTTTGATGAGTCTTGGGTTGGGCCTCTCTGGACTTTGGGCTTTGCCTTCCGTTTTGCAAAATCTCAAACTGCTTGAGTCCTGTAGCTTTTATTATGGGCTTTCTCCGTGTTGGGCTGGGTGCGTTCAATTTAGGCCCAAACAACTACAATAACCACAAGAGATTAATTCAAACACGGAAAAGTCCACAACACTGATATTTCTTAACATAAAATATTTGGCGATTAAAATAGGAATATTTAACCATTAAAGTAGCATTTCTCTTCATTTGAGTAAAGAAAGACCCAGTTGAGTCAATAGAGGTTGTGGAATATTTAACCCAAAATAATAATAAAAAAAGAAAAAAAAGAACAATAACTTTTTGGGCAATAAGAATTTGTCTTTGACCCAGTTGAATTGTACGGAACAACATCCGAGTGAAGGCAGTGACATGAAGCTTCGGTCGCAAGTCAAAAACTTCCCAGTTTTCTTGTTCTTTACGCCATTGCCTCGTGGAGTCTTTTCACAACGTTTGAACAAGGATGGAGTCAGGATGAGCCTTTTCACAACGTCTGATCAGGGATGGATTTAGAATTTCAAATTGGGGTGGGTTAAAAATTCGACATTACGAGTGAATTTAATTGATTAAAAAAAACACATAATCAGAATGACTTAATGAATGTTACCCCTCAAAACACATCTAGTACACATTTCTTTTATGTTTTCTTCAAGTGTGTTAAGTGAAAGGGGGTTATTTTCTTTATTAAAAAAAAAGAGGAGTTGTTTTCGAGTTCGACCAAAAAATGAAAGAGGCAGGGGTTTTGCCTTTGGCCCCTTTCCTTTTTGTACCCCCAAAAAAAAACAAAAAAACAGGGTGAAGTGGGGATTATGAGAATGCAGTGCAGCCATTGGGTGGGTTGGGTATGTTAGTTTGGGCTTAAGATAAAATCACGCAGGCTATACCCCAGGTTAGTCAAAGGTAGGTCCGTCCCTGCATTTGACGATTTCTCTTAATTTCTGGTTGTCTCAATCTCTACTCTCTCTTCTAAAAGCAATTAACACACTAGCTTGACAAGTATGTTACAAAATGTCATGTTTGACCAAACTCTCTCTCTCTCTCTCTCTCTCTCTCTCTCTCTCTGTAATGATCATGGCTCACGTTAAATTTAACGTAACATTTTGTTCCCAATAAAGTAAGCATACACAATTATATTGGGAACTTTGAACACTTCCAAGTTCAAGAATCAAACCCCTCGTGGGGTTGTCAAAATCATGCCAAGTTTTCTTTCTCCTTTTGTTTTTTCATTCAAAACACCCCTTTTGATGGGACCAAATTTCAAACACTTCTATTTTCTGCAGTTTTTGTCTAATACGTGTTGGAAGTTGCCTTACCAACTACAAACATTCAACCAACTTCTTTTCATTGAGTAGTATATAAAGGAGGCAAATGGTCTAATTTAGAAATGCACCAAACCAAATTACTGCTTGAGTTGAGATAGCGGGAGACAGAGTTACAATTTTATTCAGGTGAGAAAAACATGCATATTTCAAGTTGTTTGAGCTAGCTCTTGTGGTTGTTCTGCTGTCCTAATTTGATTAGTTTTTGACATGTTTCGATTGGTTGATTATGGTCAGAGTGAAAATGTGGCTTAGTTGAATCAAAAGGAGATCTTTAAGAATGATGGGTTAATCTACCTTAGATTCATAGCTCATCATATGAAAAACATGCATATTTCAACTGAAGCTATTGCTTTGATTTGCATGATTTGAGAACAACTGAAAGTAGAATCATCTTCATTAAAAACTTAACTGCATTTGCTTAAGAATCAATTAGACATCTGTTTTCTGAGGCACATGCTTTTCGTTTTGGCAGAAATTTATAGAAATGGTTACAATGACATCCGTCAGTGTGTCCAAGAAACAGAAGGCGACGACTGGAACAGTTAGCGTCGAACAAACTGATTTGAGCAACACCATTGAATCTGATGAGCCAGATAAAATGACTATTGAAGAATACATGAGCTGCAAGAAGAGGAAAGCAGGCCAGCTAAAGCTAGGGACAAATGCTTCTTTCAAGAAAATAGAGGGAAGAACTGATAGTTCCATTGAGAAGTTCAATCCAATAATTTCTTTACCGGAGCCAAAAGATTTGTTTTCTCCGAGATATCCAAGTGAGCTTGATGCAGCTGCAATCAAGCTGCAGAAATTTTACAAGAGTTACCGGACCAGGCGAAGCCTTGCAGATTGTGCTGTTGTAGTTGAGGAGCTATGGTTTGTTCTATTACCATCTCCTATTTCGCAGAACATAGTTGTTAAGCACATGCATATATGCTTATTCTCTTCATGTAATTGTTGCAGGTGGAAGGCATTGGACTCTGCTGCTCTGAAACGGAGCTCTGTGTCATTCTTTGAATCTGATAAATCAGAAACTGCCGTGTCAAGATGGGCGCGGGCTAGGACGAGAGCTGCCAAGGTGATCTTTTGGTACATTGCAGTTCAAGTTACTTAGATTTTACAAGACGTTGAGGATTATCAAATTCTTTGATTACCATTAATTTCCAACATGTGGACCTAATTGGCTAATTCAGTCTTTTTAAAGCCAGAAAATCCATTTGCTTATTTGTTTTGTATTTTGACCATGACCAAAATGCTTGACTAATTCAAAGTTCAGAAATTCTTGTAAGAACCAAGAACTATTGCAGACAATGAGTGTTGATTTAAGTATCATATTGTTGATTGTAGGTTGGGAAAGGTTTGTCAAAGGATGAGAAGGCTCAGAAATTAGCTCTAAGACATTGGCTTGAGGCTGTAAGCTTACATTAACAATACTCTCACTTTGTATTTAACCAATGATTTTCATGGTTACATCATAAGCATGCTTACCTTCTGCTTATGATGTACAGATTGATCCACGCCATCGATATGGACACAATCTACACATGTATTATGATATCTGGTTTAACAGTGGGAGCTCTCAACCTTTTTTCTACTGGTATAATTCTGCAGAAACCAAAATTTTTTGTTTTAAAAATGTTATGGCTTTTTCTTCTTCTTCTTCTTCTAATATTTTCTGCATATGAAATTAATGAAGGTTGGACGTTGGAGATGGCAAAGAAGAAAATGTTGAGAAGTGTCCGAGAACTGATCTGCAGCGTCAGTGCATCCAATACCTTGGACCGGTAAGTATATTATAGGTTAGCTGACGCACTTCATCTATGTTGGTTTATTTATTTATATTTTATATTACATTTTTAAATAGGAATATTAAGGGGTTTGATGTGTATGTTGCTCTCACAGAAAGAGAGAGAAGCTTATGAAGTGATTGTGGAGAGTGGGAAGCTTGTGTACAGGCAAAGTGGGAACCTTGTGAGTACTGCTGAGGGTTCTAAGTGGATTTTTGTCCTCAGCGCATCGAGGAATTTGTACGTTGGGGAGAAGAAGAAAGGCCTTTTCCAGCACTCCTCTTTTGTATCTGGAGGTGCCACTATTGCATCCGGAAGATTAGTTGCTTGCAATGGGGTTCTTGAGGTGTGCCTCTTATTTGAGACATGGAGATTACATTTCCTGAGATGCATTTTTATCCCCCTATCTATTGAACCTTTGATTTTCATGGTGTTCAGGCTGTATGGTGCTACAGCGGCCATTATCGCCCGACACAAGAGAGTCTTTTGGAGTTCATTAGCTTCTTAGAGGAGCATCAGATGGACATGACAGATGTCAAGGTACTTGTTCTTAAGCCTTCATATTGGCTTTTGCATAATTGGCCTAAAACTTGGTTCATATGTATGATATGCTAAGTAATGTAAAATTCTGTTTCTCATTAAGCCAATCTAAAATTCCATTAATTTTTTTTTCTGCAGACATGTCCTACAGATGATGATGTTCCACCTTCATATGCCACCAAGAAAGAGATGAACTCAGAGTCTATAACAAGCACCCTTGAGGAGACTAAAGAAAATGAGGCTGCCAGAGACACTGATGCAGCAAATGGTCACCATGAACACAATGTGGAGCCCCAAGAATTTGAGCTGGGCAGGCCTTTGTCATGCAAATGGAGTACTGGGGCCGGCCCTCGAATCGGGTGTGTAAGAGATTACCCAGCACAGCTGCAATCTCAGGCACTTGAGCAGGTCAATCTGTCACCTAGAGTCACACCAGAAATCTCTGTTAGCAATGCTCCAATCCCTTCACCAAGACCAAGTCCAAAGATCCACCTCTCACCTAGGCTTGCATATATGGGACTTCCTAGCCCCAAGGTTACATAATTTGACCTCTAAACCATCACTAGATTAATCTAAAAGATTAAGCATTTTGTGACATTTTTTTTGGGGTACAGGGGGGGTTTGAATGGACTAACCTGGTTAGAATGTCTTCCATTCGGATTTCTTCACCATTTTTGGGGACCTTTCAGGGGTTTGGCTACTTTTTCCTTGTAAGAGATTTTCATTGTATTCTGTTCATCATTTAATAATCATTGCAGAAATTATTTTGAAAGTCCTTCCATACGTTGTTCAATCCTCTCTCTCTCTCTAGTTTGACCATGCTTCAAGACCAAGGTGGATCAATATTCCACACTTTTGCAAATTTTTGGACATATTTTCCTAACCGTTGACCAGAAATACCAAATTTGACAACTGTTTTAATGGAAAATGCTAAAATCCTTAGCTGTTATTAGTTTTTATTTATTTATTTGTAAATAAGCGATATTGCCCCACCTCTAGTCCTTAACAAAGATACATATACTTGATGTTTGATCTACGAAAAGGAATAAAAAAAGAACAAAAGATGAACTAGGAGGGCTCAAAAGTGAGGCCCAACCAAGGGCCTGGGCTGGATTCAGTGCAAGTAGACGGACTTAAACTGGCCGCCATATTTCAGCGAAACGTCGTCCTTCCTAACGAAGGACAGCACCGTTAAACAAACTACACCGTCACTGTGCAGTCTATATCCGTTACATGCTTTCAAATTGACTCCCCTCCCTCCCCCCCCCCAACAAATAAGGATCCGGATTCTCTGTTCTGATTTTCTCTGCTATGATCTGTTTTACTTTTGTTCTCTATACGCCACCTCATTAAAATTTAATCTAACGGATTTAAAAGTTGACACATCATCTTAAAACAAAAACTCAATTTACTCCTAATTAAAAAAGAATAAAAAAATCCCTAACCCTAACTAACAGTAGTTAACGTCCAGCTTCTTATTTATTTATTTATAATTTTTATTTTCTGTTTTCCTTATTCAAGTTCTGTTTTTTTTTCCTCCTTATTCACTTCTGTTCTTTTCTTTTCTTTATCTCTTTCTGCCATTTTCTCCTATTTTTCTCTCCTTGCATAAACCATCATGCCATCATCTAGCTAACTAGAGTGCTAAAGAGAAAACAAAAGAATGGATGTAGGAAATAGAATCGAAGAAATATTTATAATCTCCATTAAAAAGACAAAAGGTTTATAATCTTCCCATCAAATACATGACAAACATAAATTTACACATCAATAATAAAAGAAAGAACAGTTCTGTATCTTTGGCAAGCATTCCTATTGATATATTGACCTGTATAAAAAAACAAAGAAAAAACTAGTTAGTATTATACAAATGAAATTTCATAATAAAGGTATTACTGAATGCATAATATACCCCTGATTCCAGATGCCATCTTTAGTTTGATCAACATTTGAAGCTGTATGTGGCTTATCGATCATCAAGTTCATAGCCTGTATAAAGTAGTTATGAAAATTGATTTTAATAAATAAAAAAACTTACCAGGACTTATAAAAAGGATATCATCAAGGTCATAGCCTTTCTTCCTCCTTTCGAGGGTTGACCGCCTAGTTCTCTTCTGGGGTTGATGCGAGGGTAATAGCTGTATTTGGAGCTGTGATTGACATTCAACATTTAAGGTAAGATGAATATGAACTTAAATAAAGAGAAAAGGACAGAACCTGAAGCAAGAAGGAGAAGAGGACAAAACCTGAAGCAAGAAGGAGAAGATGACAAAACTGAAGCAAGAAGGAGAAAAAGAGAGAGGACGACAGAACACGAAGAAGAAGAAGAAGAAAAAAAGAGTTTTGGACGTTAAACATCCCGTTAGTTGGGTGTTAAGAGTTTTTTTTTATTCTTTTTTAATTAGGAGTAAATTGAGTTTTTGTTTTAGGATGATGTGTTAACTTTTAAATCCGTTAGATTAAATTTTAATGAGATGGCGTATAGAGATCAAAAGTAAAGCAAATCATGGCAGAGAAAATCAAAGCAGAGGATCCGGATCCAACAAATAAAACCCAGACAACACTCTCTGCAGCTCTCCGCTTTTATTTCTGTTTCCCAAAAACACTTTCCACAAAGAAAAACACACAGGGAAACTCAAGGTTAATTCAGCTAGGAGCTTATTTCTCAAATGGCATTTAGTCAAATTCGAATAAAAACCCAAAAAAAGTAAAAAAGCATTTAGTCAAATACAATATTTGATGCCATGAGAGGCCATAAAACACTATCCATAGAGGGAAAATGTACTGAATTTGGTCACATGGGCTGAACACACTCATTCAAGCAAAAACAACAATATCCTATATATTCACCCGCGAAGGACCCTCTCCGATCATTTATTGGCATGCCGGCCAGTAACTCAGCCTTGTCTAAAACGTTGCAAAACTGCAATAAATATCACGATGATTTCATAAATATATAACATAACTAACAGATTGGAATGAGTAGTGACTAGAGTGTATCTGTCAATGGCCTGCCCTCTGAAACTTTGCACAACTGCAAAATACAAATACAGAAAATATCAAATTGTCATAAATACACAACATAAACAGGCAAATTTCTGGCATTGTCAGAATGAGTGTACCATACCTTTCCCGTTTGGTGGCTGGGGCTTAGTCGAGTCCCACCCTTGAAGTTGGAGAGGGGAATTGTTGTCTCGAACATGTTGGACAGTGTTCCAGTTTAGTCGTCCAAGTAATAATAGGACCCAGAAGCCTTTTGCTCCCTATCCTTGGTTGAGTTCAATTTGTTGATTCTTGGGCGAATGTTTGTAGGGTCACGTCTAAATGTGATATCCAGTTGCTGCAATGCCACATTGAAAAAACAAAGAGAATCAGATCATAGAACAACAAAAATTACATTACATTCAATTGGAGGTAAATTAAACAAGCTGCAAGACTTACAGATAAGAAGAGATTCATCCCAGTCAACAAAGACTGGAGAATTTGCAATACAATCAACTGATGACTTTCCTTCATAGACAATAACTTTGTCTGCCAAGTAGCTAGCAATAATGAAATCATGCTCAACCACGAATGCAGTTTTCTTAGCGTGGAGGACGAACCTCTTTATCACTTTTGCTGCAACAATACGCTGCTCAGAATCAAGATATGCACTTGGTTCATCCATCAGATAGATGTCTGCAGGCTGCAATATCAAGCAAAATTTAGGGGCATACATTATGAGGCTGCATAAGTTCAAAGCAAAGCAGATGCATCATCACACACTTCATTTGTTATTGCTATAAACATAAACTAAAATCTGTTACCTTTCCAAGGCATACACATAGAGCAACCCTTTGCAGCTCTCCACCAGAGAGTTTGGTAATTTCTTGATCCATTAATTGCTCAATCTGAAGAGGCTTCATCACGTCTGTCACAAACCGGGGATGTGTACAGGAATCACGAATTTTTTCATGAAGCAGGTCTTTGACTTTTGTTGCACGCTTTGGATTAATTTTCTGGTTTTTGTAAGAAACATGAAGCTCAGGTATCTCCACACCAGAATCAGGTTTCGACAAACCAACCTACAAATTGAACAAATGTATGCAATGACTCCACATATCAAGATGCAATTTAACATATGATTGAATAAAAAGAGTGAAAATGATAAAGACTAGTACCAGCATTCTCATAAATGTGGTCTTCCCTGATCCATCCTCACCCAACATCACAATAATTTGAGAATTGGTAAATTCACCCTCTATAACTTGAAGCTTGAACTCTCTCAACGTTTTAGTCATCGATGGGTATCTATACCGTGCATATGTCTCAATTTCCTCACCGTTTTCTTGTGGAGTCTCAACCTAAACAAGACAACAACATAATATTTTTTATATAAAAAAAAGATTGATTAAGTCACTAAAATCCAGCATTTTCATTGACAAAATATATTATCTTACCGTAAAAGTTAAAGATTCATCTCGGAACCTTGGGTTTTCTGTAGGAATGAATCCTGACAAGAAGATGTTGATTCCTTCTCTAACTGAGAAGGGTAGGGTTACAGCTCCAAATGCACCCGGCTTCCCATATAACAAACTACCCAACCAAATCACAACTATGCTTTGCTAGCCTATACAAACATATTTGAGTCTTCTTATTTGCTCTTTCTCTTCTACACCAAGATTACAGTGACCACAAACACAAAGACAGTTGCAGCTATGCATAACTGAGATAATATAACTAAGAATTCAAGGACACTCAGCCAGATTATATAACCCTGCTTATAATTATCAAAGGCATCACCACCAATAACACAACACAAGGGACAGAAACAAAACTGACAATAACAATGCCACATAAATAACTTTAAATCAACATCATAGAGAAGGACAACAAAGGGCAAAGAAGATTTAATACAGACAAACTAGGCAGCTAAATGCTACAGAGTTCTTAATTAACAATTACTAAAACTTTTAAACATTGTCTTGTTAGACATCAACACAGTGCCTTGTTATAAGGTTCTAATGCTCAGATGACTTTAACGCCTCCAGAATCACCTTGGCCTGATCTCTCATCAACTCACTCTTTTTAACAAAAAGCTCCAATTCAGCAACATGCAGCTTCTTCCACTTCTCCTTCAACTCAGCTCGCTTGGCTCCTCCAATCAACTCCAAGCCCTGCTTCACGACACCCTCCGGCAAACCCAGCTCTCTGAAACCCTTATCAAACCCAATCACCTCACTCAAACTTTCAGAACCAGACGGCTTCAGACCAAATTCCACCTTCTCACACTCCTTTGGGCGCTCCGGTGAACTCAAAAGCTCAGCTTTAAGTGAAGCCAAAGTCTTGTTACCCTTCTGGTTTGTCCTAGCCTTCCCATTAGACTTGGACTGTTCAGACAACCCACTGAGCCCAATTGACCCTTCGCCGCTGCCCCATACCTTCTTCGACAAGTCGAACAACTTTTGCTCATGAGGCTTAACAGGATTATACTTCTTCCCTTTGGCCACATTAGTCTCATACTTCTTCTTGATCCTACGAATCTTATCTTGCAATTGGGTCTTGTTCACATCGGCCTTCAGCGATTTCTTGATAAAATCATGAAACGCCCCCATATCAGAATATGGATCCGCCCCTTTCTTGGTAGAGTAATCAATCATGCCTTTCAAGATTGTTATCTCATCGTCATCGCTCCAAATCCTCTGGAACAGCTTCTTCGAGTCGTCTCCACCCGCCTTCTTTTCCTCTCCGGCATGTTCTCGCTCCTGATCCGGGTCTGTGACCTTCTTCTTGGGCCTCTTGGAATCCTTGGGGTCGCTCTCGCTCGGCCGCTTCAACCCGGCTCTTGCCGCCGGCGTAGTAATAGCCGAGGCCTTCGATCTGGGCTTCTTGGTCTTGGGCGTCTCTTCCATTGGCTTCGAAACTATCGGCTTTACCACCCTATCCTTATCCAATTCCGAATCGGATTCGGACTCGGACTCTGAGCCAGAGGATGAAGACTGCGGCTTTGAATTGACAGTAGCCGAGTCCGGTTTCTTCGCAGCAACGGGAGTGGGTGCTGCCTTTGGAGGCTCGGGTTCCTCGGACTCTGATTCGGACCCGGATCCGGATTCTTCCTCTTCTTCTCCGTCTACTTCTTCTTCAGACGAAGCTACCTCTTCGTCGGAAGAAGAAGCCGCCGGAGGCTCATCCAGAGGAGATGGGCGCTTGGGTGCCATTGGAGAGACGGTACAGTGAGGGTTTTGCGAAATTTAGGGTTTCTAAATGGGAATTGGGTTTGTGTGTGCGAAGGAAGGAGTAAAAAGGGTCCTACTTGGAAAGTTTTTTATTTTTGTATTTGGGTTGGAATCTTGGAGTCAGAGAGGTTTTTTTTTTTTTTTTTTTTTTTTTTTGTTTTTAACATGCAGCAGAGGTTAAGGTAAGGACTTTGGAAAGTAGCAAAAAGGCCGTGAAGATATCAGGACCGTTGTATTTTAATTTCTTTTTTTTTCTTTTTTTTTGGAGGATTTTAAATTTGTTATCTCCTTTTCTTACACAAACAAATGGAAATATAACCGTACACACAATCGATATACAAAGATACAAACTTGGACTGAAATAACACACAAAGGTGCATCATTTCACTTGCACGACTGAACCCAATTCCCTTTGCCTCCATTTATACCCCTCAAATTCATTAAAAGAAGAAAATTCAACAACAAAAGGAAGTGGAATTTCTAAATCCTATGTTTTTTTATTTATTCAAACACGGGAATTAGATCATGTCAATTTAGAAATTCTGATTTTTGTCAAAGTCCAAAGTTTATTTTTCTTATTTAAACGCACCATAAAAGCAGAAAATTTAACAATAAAAGAAAATTAAGTGATAGAGAAAAGAGTGATACCAGAGAAGCCAAGCCATAGAGGAGGATTGAGGGACCTACCCCAAATCTAAAAGGATCCTAATCAATATCTTATAAGTTTTGCATTTCCTTTTACATAAAGAAGTTGGATAAATGGAAAATTTTGAGTAAAAACAATAACTATTCATCACATAATTAAGTTAAAAAATCCAACAGGAAAAACAACAGTTTAGATACGTCAAACATTCTATTAATCTGATCGACATAAGTATAAACTCAATCTGTTTAATCAGTTGATAACAAACTTAGAACAATTGTGACAATTTATTAAATAGGTATAAGATAATTAAGCCAAAACACCCAAGCTTTAATAGAATCAAATCAATGGGTGTTAATTTTGTTACTAAAAATTTGGAAAATTGTAGGTGTTAATGTAGACAAATGGAAATTTTTTAGTAAAGACAATGGCTATTATTACAGAATTAAGGCGAATCTGGTGGAACCTTGCAAATTGTTGATGAAACCTTGCATTTGTAGCAAATGTCAAATGGCTCTGTTTTTTGCAATCCTAGGTTGTCTATAAATGTTATGGTATCACCTTATTATTGTATCCATCTTTTTATTTTCTACTTTTAATTCCATAACTGTGTTTTGCAGTCCAACACTTTATTGCAGATATTTGCGATCTAAAATCAAGAACACTGGTTGTGATTGCCTATACATTAAAAGGGCCTATACTTTATGAATTGGGTTTTCCTCTTGCCATGTCGCTTGTGGGTGGTAGAGGGAAAAATAAATTGGTACTTACTCCTGAATTTCCAAGACCTTGTTTAAATTTGACTGAACTTATGATTGGTCTTGCGCAAAAGTTTGCAAAACAAGAAATCTAGCTGATTCAGTTCGGCCAAGAACTGAACCCCCATGTTTGAAGATACTCCCTTAGCCAACTGATCCCAAGCTACCTTTCATTTAGTTATTTATTGTTATCTCACTTCCTTGCCTTCACTGGAAAATGCGACAAATTTTATTACAATTTGACTTACTTTACCTCACTTTTAATTGCTTCAGACAACTCAATCTCTTTATTAACATCACACGCCATCTCCTTTCACTTCTCTTAAAAAGCGTGCCACCACCCGAGAAGGTTCAAAGTTGGTGAGTGGGTCCTCATGAGAATAATAGAAAACACTAAAGATCTAAATGCAAGCAAGTTTGGTCACTCATGAGAAAAACCATTCGAGGTCATAGAGGCATACAGAAAGGGCGCCTATAAGTTGAAACGGGTTGAGATTGGTTAGTACATGCCATGCCCTTGGAATATTATGTTTAAGTTAATCTACTTATCCATCATTCCACCTATATTATTTATATAAAATATGCACTTCCCATTTAAATGTCAATTCGAGCACTTGGCTTAAATTTGTTGTAAACCTAGCTGGGTTTGAACTTATCAATGGGATCCATATCAATTCATACATCACCTCGGAGGTTACCAATCCCATAGGGGCAATCAATTGGATCCATATCAATCCCAATATCACCCCGATGTTACCAATCATCTGGGGTGATCAATTGGGTCCATGCTAATTCCCTACATCACTCTGGGGGGGGTACCAATCCCCTGAGGGTAATCAATTGCATCCATATCGATCCCAACATCAACCCAAGGTTATCAATTATTCTCTGGTTACAACTCCAAATGCACCCGGCTTCCCATATAAACAAGAAATGTGATTTGATAAATAATATAGTACACTAAAATCATGCTCCACGGTGATTACATAGCTAAAAATGTAAAGCAAAGCAAAACATCCATTACTTAAACATGCCAGTGTAAGCAAGAAAAGATCCCACAAATATAAGCAATGAAAAAAATTTGAGGCAAGAAGAGAAGAGAGCTATGAAAACAAAACCTATCAGGCCTGATCAAAGATCGGATGACTTTGGTTGCTCTAAGCCTTTGTTTCACATCAAGATAACTTGAAGGTTCATCAAACATGTATATATCTGCATTTTGCCTGGCAACAAAAGCAATGGCGAATCTCTGAAGCTCCCCACCTGATAACTTGACTACGTTACGATCTAGAACCTGGTTTAGCTGAAGATCAACAATGAGTTCTTCGATCACACCCCTCTCATCTTTCTGTCTGAGCAAGTCCCCTGCATTGCCTTCAACTACTTTTGGAATATGGTCAACATATATAAAACAGCAACTATGCAATTAACCCATGTTCAAGTTCAAAAGTGAGGCCCAACCAAAGGCCCGGACCCGATGCAGTGTGCAAGTGACTCTTTAGCGGACTTGCTTCTGGGCCCCTACCTTGTCACTAACAGGGCTCGGATGATGTGTCGCCTGAACGTCGTCGTTTGCAATTTATATCCGTTACATGCTTTCAATTGACTTTTTTTCGAATTCGAAATTCAAATCACTAATAAAACCTTTCCTTAATTAATTTAAATAAATAAATAAAAAAAACCTTCTTCTTCAAGGCTCCTTGATCAATAGTTTAATACACTGACAGATCTGTTGTCAAATTCTAAAACCCAATCCCCAAAAATAAACCCAGACAGCACTCTCTGCAGCTCTCAGCTTCTATTTCTGTTTCCAAAAAGCACTTTCAGAAGAAAACGCTTCCCACAAACAAAAACACAGAGAGAAATTCAAGGTTAATTCAGATTTATAGCTTGTTTTTTCTCAAATGGGCACTCCAGGGAAATGGTTAAAGTCACTTATCAGTCTCAAAAAGCCCCCCACAAGTGACCAGGTAAACCCAACATTCATCACCCTCTGTTTTTATTTTTCTTATTTTCCTCTGTTTCCTCTGTTTCTATTGTTTTCTTTTGTTTTTGGTACTTGGGTTGTTTTAGGAGAAGGTGGGGGACAAGAGCAAGAAGAAGTGGAAGCTTTGGAGGAGTTCATCAGAAGGGTTTGGATCATCATCGAAAGGTGGGATGAAGAGGAGCCAAGTGGCAGCTGCAGAGCCGTTGAATTCGCTCGACGATGCATTAGCTGCTGCCATGGCTACTCTGGTCAGAACTCAACCTAAAAACTTCATTGTCATCAAGAAAGAGTGGGCTGCTATTCGGATCCAAGCCGTGTTTCGGGGATTCTTGGTAAGTGGTTCTCTCTCCTTCTGCTATTTCCATTAACATGTAGCATATATTTAAGTACACTGAAATTAGTTATATGTTCTATATAGTTAAACATGAGTTATTGTTTAGGTAGCTAGCTGAATTCAGTTCAATTACTGTCACAAAAATTTATAATCTTTACACTAACTTTGTGTCCTGTGTTGAATATTATAAAGAGATTGATCCTGAGTGTCAAGGCATTTCTTTGATGGTTTCACAAAAAAAAAAATTTCTTTCAAACGGGTAATGCAATTCAAACTTCTTGGGTGGCTATGGAATCTAGTTTAGGTTCTGCACTATCAGTAACAAAGTTTTTGGACACTGCAACTTTGATATGTAACTTCCTCTTTATTTCATCTCGACACAGTTTACATATAGATATAAAATTTAAGTCTTTCTTTGCTCTTACAATTCTCTGGTCAGTTTTAGTACTAGTTTTAGGTTCTTTGTATGTTTGATCTAATCTGGTTCAGAGTAAAAATGAAAATGATAAAGAAATCCGAAGAAAGTTAAGTAAGTTGGAGAGATTGTTGGGAAGTGGATTGAAAAATGAAAGCCAAATTGTATCAGCTTATGTTGTTTTAGATAAGCTGCTTGAATGGAGAGTATTCAAAGATAGAATTAATTGGAGGTCATTGGGCTTGTGATGTTGAAAAGCAAAGAAAAGAGTTAGGATCAGTAAACTGGGCTGTAGATTATCCATCTAATGAATAAGAAAATATGAACTTTGTTGCATATAAGCGAATGCTTGATGTTGTGTCATTATGTTCATTTGATAATGGTTAATGGGGTAACTGATAAACCGCAGGCAAGGCAGGCTTTGAGGGCCTTGAGAGCAGTGGTAAGGCTTCAAGCTATATTTCGTGGTCGACAGGTTAGGAAGCAAGCCGCTGTTACATTGAGGTGCATGCAGGCACTTGCTCGAGTTCAGGCTCGAGCTCGAGCACAAAGGACCTCTCCAGAAGGGCAAGAATCTGTGCAAAACTCATTAGATGAACATTGCTACCAAGCTGATCCCATTAAGCAGGCTGAGGTACTTATCAAAATTTTCTTGCATTCAAAATTGTGATGATGTGATGCATATTATCCTGCCAATATTGTTCTATTAACTTTTGATGAAGATATTAACCCTGTTTACCCTATGATCAATATTGTGTTTTCAACAATTTTCAGCAAGGATGGTGTGATAGTCCAGGAACAGTGAGTGAAGTTAGAGCAAAGCTGGAAATGAGGCAAAGAGCAAACATCAAGAGGGAGAGAGCAATTGCATACTCCTTCTCTCAACAGGTAATAATGGATTTTCTATATTTCTTTTTGGTAAAAGAGTTAACAGGATAAAAACATGGCTTAGTTGAATGAATATGAATGGTGTTTGAGTATGCGCATGATTATGTTGTTTTTTTTTCCAGAGATCAAGATCAAATGCCAGTCCATATTGTAGGACAAGCAAGACAGCAAAGGCTGTTAGGCATCAGAAGGTGGACGATAACAATTCGGGATGGAGCTGGTTAGAAAAATGGATGGCAGCCAAGCCATGGGAAAATAGGCTGATGGAAGAGATTCAAAGTGTGCCTTCAGCAGTCACTCCTTGTTCCAGGAAAAGTGGAGATGGCATTGTTGGCTTTTATCCATATTCTTCAGAACAGAACTCAGTGAAAGTGAGAAGGAACAATGTCTCAACCAGGGTTTCTGCTAGACCTCCTACAGCAAGTCCAATAACTCGCTCGTCTTCTGCTCCAAGTTCTGATTTTCTGCAGGATGAGAGCTCGGCATCAACTTCGTGTACTACTGCATCTCCAACTCTGGTGTTTAGTAACAATCTAAAGGTGGAAAATGGAGACGAAACTAATGTATGCAAACCCAGTTACATGAGTCTCACAAAATCAACTAAGGCCAAGCAGAGAACTTCCAATTGTTTTGATATGCAGAGGTTTTCCATGGAGGAGTATCATTACCATAACAAGTCAATGGGGCTTTCTAATGGGGATACAAGGAGCAACTGCGGTTCTGATCTATATCCTCCAATATCTGTGGGCAGAGTTCAACGAGGAAGATATCAATGACAGTAAGGGATACTAAGTAAGGATTGCCTTCATGATTTCAACAACTTGTTGTCCTTTTTAATTTCGATATTGTTCAAATTACGCAAAGATTTGCTTCAAACGATTACTGATAGAGAACCGAAACAAGTTTCAGGAGAGTTGGTTGTGATTATATAGACAAGTATAGATTTTTAGAGAGTGCGTTATTACAGAATTCAGAATTCAATAACATATGCAACTTCAATGTTTGATTTAATAAGTGTGTTGTCAATTGCATCTAAGGATTTCACAAGACTTGGGTTTGTTATATGTAATGTTGTAGTTTCTGCTAAAGTATGATTGTTTTCTATAAGTTTGAAATGCAGTCCAGAAATGAAAGTTGCACTAGCTCAATGATTGAAAGTGTTATTACGCACAAGTAGAGTGATTGGTTCAGATTGATTGTCATAAGAATTACATTTTTCAAAAGTAATTGACAACATGGAGAGTGATTGAGTTGTCATATAAAAGATCCCTTGATCCTTCTACTTTCCCATATCAAATACAACCAAATGTGAGAGCCCTTGTTTTTCTTTCTGTAATTTGCATAAGTTATGGCTGGAATATGCCTAGTTTTAGTGAGAAATTTAATGCTTGGCGAGGACTCCAGATGCCTGTAATAGCCATACTGCCCCACTTGCAAAAAGACAAATACTAGAAAGGGTGTTGTTGATTTCACTGTTTTGTAAAACCCAAACAGGATTTCTTATCTGGGCGTTTTTTAATCTTTTTTACTTTTACTCTTTTCTTTTCTGTTCTTTATTTTTCACTGAAAAGGCCCTACTTGACTTTGTAAGCTCAGCTTCATAATTGGACATATGATTGCCCTTTTTTGATGAAGATATGATTGCCCTTTCAATCCTGTTTAGAAAAGATTAAATCTTTACATGAAAATTAATCTCTGAACTCCACTTAGGGAACATGAACAAATTATATGCATATGTGGGCATCACCATGAAGTCCCTAAATTAACTTCTGAACTCCACTTAGGGAACATGATGCAGATGTGGGTATCACCATTAAGGCCAAAAAGCCACACACAAAAAAAGTATCACCATTATTACTAATATAATAACCAGATGGTAAACATATAAATAAATTAACAATATGGTCACTTCATTCACACCTAGTTGATTGAAAGGACCAGATGCATTACTATCAACCTTGCCTGCAGAAGTATTGTGAAACAGTAAATCATTACCTTCAAATAATGAAAAGCAGATGGGAAAAGCTTTTGCTGGGCAGTTTCTGTCACTTAAGGATGGACAGAATAATCCAGTTAAACGACGATGTGTGTTTAAGAAATCAAAACTGGCCATCAAAATTGGACATATACTATTTTTTACTGACTTAGATTTTTCTCAAAGCAAAACAATAGTTACATGAAGATAGTAGTTTTGATCAAAATAGACCAGACTGTGATGAAATGGTTCATAGGTCAACTTCACAAGTGAGGACACATATTTAGAAGTTTTAGACAGTATCTCCAATTCGTTAAAGTTTGACTTCTCTCAACATGCATGGCCTGCGAGCCCAAAGATGGTGCATTGTGATTGGTCCACAAGCTGCTGACGTGGGAGGAAGACCCCTAACAAAGGCAGGAAATCAGGATGCCACCAAAAGCTGTGAAATTTTGTTGATGTCATCTGATGTGGATTCTCTGCAAGTGAAATTGGAAAGCAACAAAGCATGGCCAACGTTTCTTGAATTGTGAGTAAAAACGTAAACTTTCTTTCATGGGGGGGTTGCCATGAAGAGAAGCAACTCAGTCTGGTGGGTCACTTCTCTCAAATCCCTTTAATTTGTTTGTGTCATTTTCTCTGGCCTACATTGTAATTTTGTTTCATGGGGTACAGATTATCAGTCCTTCTGATTGATATCAGAAGAATTCAAAACCACTTTTGTTTTTGGGTTTTTACCTTTGGTTTGCAAAATTTGCAAATCAAATGAAAAGCTGATTTGTCTTTGGTTTACATTCAATAATTCATAAAGTTTTCTACTCCTTTATGCATTTCAGAAATAAAGAATACAGCTATGGGTCCAATCCAATATTCGCATCATGTTTTGGTCACTACATTTTGCAACATGAAAATTTTGATGAGATTTGCAGGTTAAAAGTCATCTTTCCAACCCCAAAAAAAACTGGGATCTTCTAGCCAATCCCAGTGCCTGTGGTTGCAAAATTTGATTTCAGCCTCTGATTTCTGTAGTTTTACTTACTTGTATTCTATCATGCATATAGAACCTAGAGTGGATTGAAAGGACAGTTGTTGGAGCTTTCATTAACTGAACTAAGCATTATGTGTTTGAAGTTTAAACCTTGCTCTGGCATGCTTGAATCTTATATCCTTTTCCTTTTCCATCTTTTCAGTCTTTCAGAATTTCAGAGGTTAGGTTGCAAACACAACATATAGGAGAGGAGAAGGTATGAAGGAGAAAAACTTGTATATCGCAGGGATATCAGTTAATTAACTTCATATTCTTCTCCTAATCAAGGAGAATGGATGTGAAGAAACTAGAAAGAAGGAGGGGGAGGGTGGTTAATAACAAGAAGATTGAGATCTTTACCATTTAAAACTTGATTTGAGTTTGTCAAACAATATTTTAGAGGACAATGACCCATACCAAAATCAATATTCTATTGATAGAAGACAAGGAATGACCTAGTCATTCTTTCATGTTCTTCATTTGATTCCCCAATAAGTAGGGATAAAAACAAAAATCTCTTGCAGCTTGTGTCCTTTGATGGCTCAACAAATAAAGCAAAAGAGTCTGTTGCAATTAATTGTTGCATGTGCAACAATAAATCAAGAATCTGGTTTGGTCCTATCTCTTCCATCATAAGCATTCCAAACTTTTACTTTTTCTATCAGAAGCAACCAATAATACTTGGGGTGCTTTGCAGCAGACTGTTTCATCACAAATAAGAATTGCCTTAAGGTTTTATTCCATCTTGAAATATTGCATTTCTCAACAACTATTGACAGAGTTCCAAGTCCTTCAACTCCGACATGTGTTTCGTGAAGCAAATATGGTAGCAGATGCGTTGGCTAGCTTTGGTCATCGACTTGATAATCTTTGTATATGGTTTGGTAACTTTCCTAATGGTGTAGCTCTTATGCTTTTCTATGACAGTAGGCAATTAGGATCCAAAGAAAAAAGCTGATTAAATTTAAGTCCTCAACTTTGTACAAAAGTAACTTTTCTGTCACACTGCTTCAAATTTAAAACGTGTGGGCTAGTTCTTACAATTTTTTAAGTTAAAAGAAAGAAGAAGAACATTGGATCTTCTTTTTAATTATTTATAAATTCATGTGTCTTGGCAATAGTATCTGTATTATTAATGACCATCAGTGTCTAAATTAATTGGGATTAGACTGGCTTTGGTTAATTTCATACAGCTCAAGCAACAAATTTGTACTTTAAACATTATTATATAGAAGAACATATTCCTCCTCAAGATTCCATCGAGCAAAAACAAAGCAATTAAGTACTATATCTCAAGAACGAATCCTTAAACAGAGCGTAATAGCCTACTTTTACCAATTGCTTTTCATCATTTTTCAACATAATGGAGCCCCAAAAGTGGTGATTCTCCACCTCTTTCAACGAGTTGTTTTGTCTATTTCCTCTTCATGATCAAAAATAACTATAAACCTAAAATAAATAAATAAATCATGTTCAGTTCTCTTTGAGAAAACCCTAAAAATTACTAGCTGCCGCCCCCTTTGGGGTCCTCGGCCGCCCTTCCTACTCGATCCCCTTTCTTCTCATCTTATCCCCTTTCCTCTTTCGTGATCAAGGATAACTATAAACCTATAATGGCACAAATAGTTGTTAGCTATGCATAATTGTCATTAATTACCAGTCTCTTTGTGTTTACCGAATGCCCTTAATTTTAAAGTAGATTTGTGTTTATTTGTTACTTATTTAATGTTCTCCAAAACCCAAAGGCCTACCTTAACTTGTATCAGGGATCAAGTATAATAACTTGCTCCATTCAAGCATATTGGCCTCACATTATAACGACAATCTGCATATATATATGCACGGATTATTGAGAGCATTCTATATATATATATATATATATATATCAATGGATGAAAATTTTGCCTTAGTGTTTTTACCTTTTCCGTCCCTTGCCAATTAGTTTTATGTTCAAAGGGAACAAATTTTTTTTGGTTCGAAATCAAAGGGAACAATTTGACCACATTGATTATATACAATCCTTCATAGAGCGGATTTGGTTGGGGAAGACATGCATGATAAGAAAACTTGGGATCGAACTCAGTTTGTCATTCGTAGATATGAACTTAGCCAAAATGGATAGAGCAGATGTGCTTCCCACTATTCACCCAAGTTCGAATCTCCCTCTCCTTACCCAATTGATTAGATATTTTACAAGCACATGAGATTTTTATTTGAGGAAGACAATTAGGAACACAACAATCCAAGGAGAAAGCTGTTTGGTTTTTGAACAATTTTTTTAGGGTGGTGATTATCCCACTCTCTTTTTGTCTACTTACACTCCATTTTGTTTTTTTAAAAGTTTTTACTATAACAAAAAAGGGAGTGTAAGTGGAGAAAAGAGGAGTGAGAACATACAATTTTTAACAAAGGGAGTGTAAGTGGAGAAAAGTGGAGTGGAAACATACAATTTTTAACAAAGATAGTATAGTGGATAAAAGATGAGTAGGAAAATCAGCTCCCTTTTTCTTAGGTAAGTTCCTAAAGATCACAACATGTACAACTTTAATTTCTCAACATATTTGTGCACGTGTGGAAAAGCAAAATCACTTCCTCTGTGAATTTCACATAAAAGGACCGTCTGTGGTTAGTGGTAATGCTAGACAGCTGCAGATTAGTGTACTTGGGTTGACTCTTATTGTAATTAAATCTATGATTAGTGTTGGATGGGATCATTAATCTTGGTTGTTTGCGCGGTTCTCGTGGATGTTAGCTTTGTTTGCTTAAAAAGCAAGAAAAGAAAAAAAAACACTCGGACATTTCAATCCATTTAATATTTTTACTTTCTTTAACTCAAATCCAAATCACACCCTGCTAATGGTAATGACTGAACTTGATCTTCTCTGGGGAGATAAGCGGAGAGTGGGGCCTGCGTATACAGAGGCTCTGCATGTGAGACACGTGTACATGCCAGCCCATCCCTGAGTGAGCAAAGGAAGAACCCATTATAAGCCATACAAGTCTAGCAGAAGGGTGCTGCAGTTTTTAGCCCTTTGCCACAAACCCTAAATTAAGGGGCCACCACCATATGTATATATATTGCTAGCTATAGTACTGCTCCAAACATTAAATTCACCACCTCACTGTACTTGCGCTTTCATGTCATGCATCCATTTTTTTCTCTTTTCTAACTAAGTCACACTAGCTACATTTTCACTGTTTCTTCTTGTAATCTCTCTCTCTCTCTCTCTCTCTCTCTCTCTCACGCACACACAGAAGTTGAACTTTAAGCTAGAGATAAAGAGCTAGCTTTATTTTTCTATAGTAATCACTTTTTCCTTTTGTTTTGTAATTGTATATATACACAATACTTATCTTCTTTTGCCATTGGCTGCAATATTAGTACTGCTTTGTGAACGAAAGAGAGAGAGAGATGGGACATCACTCCTGCTGCAACAAACAGAAAGTGAAGAGGGGGTTATGGTCCCCAGAAGAAGATGAAAAACTCATAAACTACATTACAACATATGGCCATGGCTGCTGGAGCTCAGTTCCTAAACTTGCAGGTTCTCTCTCTCTCTCTGGTTTGTGTGCGATTCTGGTTGCTAATCCATTTTAATTTGTTACCTAAATTTTCCTATATTTCTCGTAACTTTTGAGTTTGGTGAATTCCATGAGGCAGGCCTACAGAGATGTGGAAAGAGCTGCAGACTGAGATGGATAAATTATTTGAGACCTGACTTAAAACGTGGGAGCTTCTCTCCCCAAGAGGCTGCTCTCATCATTGAACTCCATAGCATTCTAGGCAACAGGTACATATATTACATGTAACTTATTTGATTATTTATATCATCACCATCTATATATAGCTTGAGCATCCACCAATTGATGATCATCTCCTCATTATTATTGTGATATGTTAATTACATTCTTCATGCAAGCAGATGGGCTCAGATAGCCAAGCACCTACCAGGAAGAACAGATAATGAAGTGAAGAACTTTTGGAACTCAAGCATAAAAAAGAAGCTCATCCCTCATGAAGTTATTCCTGCCTTGGCCTCCTTTTCTCATGATATTCACAACCCTAGTGGTAATTCTGAGGAAAGTTTCTTCACCCTCACCACAAACCCTAATTTGGGTCCTCAACAAGACCAGCTATTCCTTCCCATTCCAAATCCAATGCCTCAAGGTTTCAATTTTCATGTTGATCATAATAACATCAATCTCATCAAGTTAGACCAGACCAATTACGGTCCCAATTTCGTTCATCATTTTCCTTCTCCCCTCCAATTGCCATCAAATTCTTCCTCATATGAGTCCTCGTGGTCTTTAGGCTATCAACCCCATCATCAATTTGATCCCAATCAACATCTTCAAAATTTCAGCATTGATGAAGCAGCTGCACATTATAATATTGGTAATGAACTTATGGTTCCAATTAGTATGGCATCATCAGCACCAGCAGTATATGAAAACCCTTCAATTCTACCCACACTGCCTAAATTGTGTGAGATCCTTGATGGTAATGTTTGTAGGATGCCATGTTACCCATCTGATCCACAAGACCTTGACTCACTTGCCAAATTATCATGTTTTCCATCTACTCATGGGGCTTATCCTCAAGATCTTCAGTTTCTATCCAGTCAATTGGAGTGCATTGATGCCATACTTTCATTGCCATCATCTTCCTCATCATCGTCCCCGTTATCGGTATCTTCATCCTTGTCACCTTTGTCGAGCACCCAATTCATTGCAAACCCTAATGTTTCGGAAGCCTAGCTAGCTAGACATGGCAATCAATTCAAATTAGGTATTTTGTATGGTTGGAAACTTGGATTTATATTCATAAACCTGAAAAATGCATATATTTATTTCTTGACGTTTGCATAAGGTGACGCTATTCCCATTACTAGAAAACCTAAATGTTGCTAGTTCAGGCTCCTTGGGGAGTAATGTTTGTTGAAGCCCCATATCTACCTCCTTTCACATGTTATTATATTCCCATATTTATTTGTATTCCATTTAAGCTACCACCTGCTTCATTATTATTTTGTATATGAGAACACCAGATAAAGACAAATCTTATGCAGCCTACAGCCCAACCTTAAAAATGAGATTTAGGCCAAAAATTGTCTATACATCCACAAATAAAAAAAAATTAAAGACAATTAGCTCTTAATCTAATGGTACTTCTTTTTTCAATATCGAAAATAAAAAATATTCACACTTCGAAAACCCCACCCCATTAATAAGAAAAGAAAAAATGTTAATAGGTAAATGACCATATTTGGTTTTAATAATCTTTTGTTTATTTATTTATTTTGTCGAATGGTTTTAAATCATCTATGATTTACTGATAGATTAGTCATATTGACATCTCCCACCACATATCGTGATCCTTCCAGAAAATGGTAATTTAAACGATGTGTCGTTTTAGTGAAACATAGAATGCAATCACATGTCCCCTGTAAAATTACAAATCACAGTCCCATCAAGTGTGTACGGCATAAGGGGCTTTTACTCTTCCCAAGCATTTTGCAAATTCTATTCAAACATTCAAAGGAAGTGCAAGGGTTTTTGTAAGCTGTGCTTCCCTCTCTTGCTATTATTGTAACTCAGTCACAATACAGGCCAGTGTTCATAAGCATGGCCTCGCTTTTCAAGACTGTTGTTCGAACGCTTGTACAACAGCGACATATGCCAAACCAGAATCACCCAAGAAAAAAAAATGACAACTATTAAACTGAAACATTATGAAAATCTGAGGTAACAAGAAATTTATGACAAGCATAAATGCATGGAACGTGATTTAATAGCTGGAACCCTCAAGGTTGCGAGAAGAAAATGTCATCGAACAAATTCTGTTTCCAGTTAAGAAGCCTCAGTACAAGAAGGCTAAGCAACTACAAAAGAATAAACATTACCATGATCCAAGGTAAAGCTTCTAGACTAGGTTCCAAGGCAAGACTAGGCCAGAGAAAGAGATGCTAAGCTGTAACTCTTGATCGACCCTTCGCTATTCTTCTAGCAATTACTCTCCGTCCACCCTTGGTTGCCTTGCTGTTCATGTGAATAAATATTATGTTAGTCATGCATGGAAAATCTACTGATAACTGGTTTATTTTCTTGCCAAGTTGAAACTTGAAAAATAAGAGAAGAGAAACTGATAGCATTAATCTACTGATCACTGGCATATTTTAATGACCCATTATCCAGAGAAGTGAATCGCATCCTGTAATATGCTGAAACTAATTTTGCCTATCACGGAAAAGAAGTAAAATGATCCCAAAATAGTATTGGGAAATCGGGAGCCCTTAAATCAAACGCCTTTCACTTTTTCCTTCATAAACGGATAAACCTTAAATTTGCATTATATATCTACTTGCCCATAACTAAAATCATAATACTAATTCCAAAAAGCAGCCTAAAACTATACATTAAAAGAAAGATCACTAGTGAGTGTGTGTATGTGTGTGTCATGTGAGAGAGAGAGACAGAGAGAGACCGAGCAAAAAATCCATGGTTCCTCTTGCGTCGGATGGTACTAGGCTGGAACGTCCGCTTTGGAAATAATAGCATTGGCTCTGATGATGAAGAATCATCTCCTGAGGAATAAAACATATACCATTTAAGCAGGACCAAAAGGAAACAAAATTGGAGTCACTGTCAAATTACTTTCTGTACAAGTTGACTATTATCCTGTTGGCATACTCGGTAGACATTATCTTTTGGACAAAGAAGTTTTTCTTTTGGGTACTTCAAACATCAGAAGTTGGGCTCCCAGTCTACTATGACAATCATAATTTAACAGAGGAAGAAATAAAAGAACCGCACAATGTCAAAAAACAAAAAAATTACACAAATCTGTTCTGAACTACACAGCTTGACACCAATATGGAAGTAAAATGAAACGTCTTATTTCGTAACGCTAGAAGAATTCACTCTCCATCTACAAGGTTCTCCCAGAAAACATTTTATAGCGCAGAAACAATTACTTTTTGTCCAGCATAAGCCTAAACCTATAAATCACATCGCATGAACACCTAGCTAGCATTAGGATTATGAAATGATGTAGATTTGTTGTTCCTGTTAAAACTCAAAATATAAACTTTAGAAACCAATCTACTGAATTTAAGCATACGTTCATTCTCTATGTGATGGTCATGACAGAATATCAATCTATCATAATTAGAGCGACTAATAATAGTTAAACCCCATCTTTAAGATTAGGAACATTAGGTTCCCATCATTTTGGCAATAAGATCGGAAAAAGAAATGACAAAGAAAATATACTTGTTGCCTAAAAACATAAATATGCCAGTTACAAAACAAAATGCTTCGTGCAACTTACATTAAGCCTCAAGAACAAAATCCATTAAATTGTTAGAAATCCCAGCTTATGAGACTAAATAAGTTTCAGATTTGCAACCCATCAAATTTTATCAAATGGGAACCTCTAGGTGGGCACAAATCAGAGGTACCCGCTTACAAGCTAAATCATCTTCAACTTAGAACATAAGGTGTAATACTAGTGAAACGTTTATCCTGATTGAAACTAAAACCGAAATTGATGAACTCAGTCCACACCAAAAATAATAATAATAAAAAATTCCATTCCTATTCACCATTATGGCTGCTGTGTCTCGAAATTTCTCAACTTAAGGTGCAAATATTTACAATCTAAATATTTGCTGTAAGCTTTGTACAGTCCTGAAAACGCACAAATCATCAAAACTGCTGATTTTAATATATTTCCGACATTTTCTCAGCAACCAAACTGTCGATTAGTCCAATAGACTGGAAAAAAAAGAAAAAAAAAAAGGGGCACAAACATACCGTACAATCCAAAAATGAGCCTAAACCAATAAAGAGAGAGAGAGTACCGTCAGGTAAGAAGAACGGGAGATAAGGGAGGCCACAAGGATACACGAGCCCTTCATAGGAGACCCGTTTCAGCGATTCGGCGTCGTTTTGGGGCAAACGGAAGGAGGTGTCGAAGTTTGAAAGAGATGGGAATAGCTTGGGAGTGATTTCGAGGCCGTGAGATACAATCTGGTGATTCGAATTGGGGTTCGGGTGTAGCAATGGTTTGGATAAGATCCGGTTCATTAGGGAAGCTCCAGTTCGAATTAGGGTTTTGGACGCCATTTCTTTGAAGAAGATGGAGCTAATTCTGCTAAACCTATGTAGCGATTAGAGAGACAGGAGAGGAGTGTACGTGGACTTCAAAGTGAAAACAGAGCGGCAAGGACGACATCAATTTTATTGTCGTTGGATACAAACATAAGTTACATATACATAACAAAGAGTAGGCAAATATACTTTCTTTTTACGTTCAAATTCCACGTTGTTCTTCGGAAGTCACGATAACCTACACTGTTCCTTTGGCCAACGTTTTGTATTTCACTTTTCCCTTTATCATCAAGTTTGTCGATAATTTCGTGAAAACTGATAGCTTTGCTACTACGTGATTTCTTCAATTTTCTATCACGTACAGAATTTTTAACGTACACCCAAACATTTGTTAAGAAAATAATATTATGTTTTACTGTACTTTTAGAGGCATTACAACAATTAAAAAAAAAATTTCCGAATGATGGTATTTTAGGAATTAAAAAAATACAAATTTATAAATAAACTCAATCCTAAACATGTATTTATAAAAAAACACACAAGCACTATTTAAACATAGAAACACACCCAAAATCAACCTCAAAATCAACAATTGTATATTTTTTGGGTGTGTTTATAAATGGGTTTTGAGTGTGTGTAATGATGGGTTTTGAGTGTGTTTATAAAGTGTTTTGGGTGTTGGGTTTTTTTTATAATTTCAACCCCCATTTTGGGTGTTTTAGTGAAACTCCCTTAAAAAATTCATTAATGCTCATTTCTGCTTCTTTTGAAAGCAGCTTTGAAAAGCAATCCAAAGCCTGCTTTTAAAAGCTGTTGTCAAAAAGCCAATGCATTTAAAATAATCGAAATATTTTATTTTTACCAAACACCTTAAACTGCTTAACTTTAAAGTGAAGCAGGTTTTTTGGGGAATAAAAGTAATCCCAAGGGCCTTAGTAAGAGAGGCAAGAATAAACTGTGGTTAGTATGGGGCCCAAGTTCTATTTTCACACATGTCTTAGTTACGAAAGTCACAAAAATGCCCATACCTATCTGCCCTCAGCCACTCAAGCGTTGGACCAAAGCATCATCACAAATTACTCATTTTGTTCGGTCTTAACCTATTTTGATACATGGCATGAAAGTTACAATAACATTGGACTTAAAAATTTGTTTGAGCCCTATATTAAAAATAAAACAACAACAAATCCTTTCCCTTCGAATCACTAAAAATATTTTGTCTTTACACAATTCCTTGGATATGTGGGTGAGTATTAGATTGCCAACTAGTGATTAGTCTAGCAGTATTTCTCTTTTCAAGATTGAATCACCTTACTTATATTGATAAACGAAAAACTAATATAAGAACCCGGTGCGTTTCCTTGAGATTAATTGTTGCTCATCTCTCTCTCATTGCCATGTGGTGGTGCTTTATTCTAGGATGCTAATTAAATTACTTGGTCACCCTAATCCATTCAACACGTCCTGACCAGAATTTTAGTCACTCTTTACTCCTCATAACCTGCCCTAGCCTGAAAACCATTTTTACTTTCTTTTGTTTTTTTTTTTTCTTTTTTCTGTTTTTTCGTTTCTTTCATTTCCTTTGCTTTGCGAATCACCAACATCAAAAGTGAGTCATTGCATTTTCTGCAAAAATTAAACAATTCATCTCAGGATGTCTTCCAAACCAGGTTTTAACAAAGAAGTCTTAATGGACATCCTTCTCAGGCTACCTCCGAAGCCCCTCGTTCGGTTTCTTTGCGCGTGCAAATTCTGGAATGATTTGATTAGCAGCTCACTTTTTGTTACAACACATTTTAATTTAAATGCAACAAGACGTGACAACATTTTTCTACTTTGCCTCCACCACCAAGATTTTGAACTTAAATTCGATGTTGACGACCCTTTTGTGAAACAAGACCTTCAGTGGTCACTTTTTTCCAATGAAACATTTGAGCAGCGTTTCAAGTTAAAGCATCCCTTAGGGAGCACAGAGCATTTTGGGATATACGGTTCAAGCAACGGGTTACTTTGCATTTCGGATGAAATATTGAAACCCAAGAGCCGTATACACATATGGAACCCAACCATTGGCAAGTATAGGACTGTTCCGTTGAGCATCACCGACGACACGAAATTTGGCTACATTGCTCTCCAATTCGGGTTCCACCCCGGGGTTAATGACTACAAGGTTGTGAGGATGATGTGCATGGACAACAAAGCATTCGCCGTCGAGGTTTATAGTCTTGCCACAAACTCTTGGAAGATGATTGAAGATGTTCCTCCTTGGTTAAAATGCACTTGGGAGCATCATCAAAGCACATTTTTGAATGGAGTTACATACACCATTATTGATAAATGCCCTATAATCACCATTGTGTCCTTTGATTCGGACAGCGAAAAATTTGAAGAGTTCGTACTTCCTGATGCCATTTGTGGTATATGGGGGTTACACTTTGGCATTTACAAGGAACAAATTTGCTTGCTCTATGGAAATTATTGCTGCGAGGAGGAGGGCATGGATAAAAATGATTTTTGGGTTCTACAAAAGAAAGGGTGGAAACAATTGAGGCCTTTTGTTTTTTCTTCTGATCGCTGCTATTCAACAATGGGGATCAGTGTTGACGATGAACTCTTACTCGAAAGAATGATTTCACAGTGGGTGCAGCAGATTTGTATTTGTGTAATTATGAATCCAGGCAGATTCGTGAAACAGGTATTAAGTTGGCCTACATGCGTTATGGTCAAAATGAATTATTGTTTGCAATTACTTACGTAGAACTTTAGGTTTTCTCGATTATTAATGAGATATATTTGTAACTTGTGGCGCAACCAAGTAGATGTTTAGAGTGTGTTTTGAGTTATTATTTATGAGAAATTATTTAAGATGAAGTGCAAAGCATAGTTATATATTTTTCTTTCTTATTTTTCCTGCACAAGTCGAGTTGGCTACATGATTTTTGTTTTTTTTTTGTCAATATTGCTTACATGATTTAGGGATACAAAATTATATTGGAAATGCTCTCACATACTACCATATCGATATCATCTTGATATGCTGTCAATATTATTGTACTTAGGCACACCTTGTTATCAATGGACAAAAAGCAGACAACCAACCACGAAGAATCACACACACACACACAACCATGACCTCCTTGAGAATTTCACTAGAAGACTAAAATAATAAAAAATTGTTTACAATCAAAACCCCATTTGCCCCTATTCAAAACCTAGCTCTCTTCTCACACCCTTACTCAAACCCACCCAATTTGATGCCCTCTTCTATTCTAAATTGTTTAACATAGCTTTGAAAAGTCCAATTTATACCATATAGGACTTGGGTTACAACTTGGAGCAGTTCCAGCAGTGGTTTTTGGCACTAGGCAGGAAAATCTCATTTCATCAATCAATTGCAAACCCGCCAGAAGGTGGGCTCGACCAAGATTGAGCATGTCCTGAACGCAAAAACAAGCCGAGCTGTTGCATGAGGGCATTGACGCAGCGAAGAAAATTAAAAAAAAAAAAAAAATTGAATTGATTGATTGAAATTCTGAAAATAACCAAAAAATTCAGATTTTCTTTTTTATACATACCCAACAAATTTATTTATTTGTTAATCTCATATGTACAAATAAAATTGGCTCATGTGAATGGTAATTACCCTTATTTGTCATGGTAATGGGTGGGAAGCAAAAAAAATATGCTGTCAATATTAATAATCTGGATATGTATAATCCAACTCCAACTGGTCGTGCCAAAAGTTACACATCTCTTCACCAATTAACAATTGAGTAAAATCAAACTTTCTATGTAGGTAAATACAAACAAGAGCTGCTCAGGGTCATTTCTCGAGATGGCCAACTCAATCCCTGTCTCACGACCTTGCTTGGATTCATAGTTGCACAAATACAGAGCATTGCCATAACCACTTCTCTCCATTAATAGTTCATTATCTATACTGAACCCAACTACATTGTAGTAGTTGAAAGGATAAGAAAAGGACGCATTTCTTTCCATCGTTTTTTCTTGCAGAACCCAAAACTCAATTTGTGACATGCCTTCTTCCTCACAATGAAACAATCTCAAATAATAAAGCAAGCAAATTTGATCCTTGTAAACCTCAATATACAGCAGCGACCAATATCTAATGGCATCCGGTGCTATGAACTCTTCGAATTTTTCGCTGCCCGAATCGAATGACATAACGCTGAATAGAGGAAATTTCTCAATAATGTGGTATGCTACTCCATTATAAAATGTACCCCTGTGGTTCTGCCAAGTGCATTTTAACCAAAGAGGATGTTCTTCAACCATCTTCCAAGAGTCTCTGCTGAGACTATAAACTTCGACTGCGAAAGCATCATCTTTGTGGACGCGCAACATCCTTACAACCTTGTAGTCGTTAACCCCGGGGTGGAACCCGAATTGGAGAGCAATGTAGCGAAATTTAACGTTGGTGCTCATTGGAAGGGTTCTAAATTTCCTAACCGAGGGGTTCCATATGTGTATAGGGCTCTTGGTGTCCAATTTGTCATCCGAAATGCAAACTAGGCCATTGCTTGAGCCATATACCCTATAATCTTTCTTGATCCCCAAGGGATGGTTTAACTTGGAGCAATGCTCAAATGTTTCGTTGGAGAAAAGTGACCATTCCAATTCTCGTTTAAGATCTGGGTAGTCCTCGTAGTTTTCGTAGAACTCGAAAGGACGTTTGAGATCGGGGTAGTGGAGGCAAAGTAGAGAGACATGGAGGTGTTTGGTGACATTCCTGTTAAGCTGTGTGGTGATAAAACTCGAGCTGTTAATCAAATCACTCCATGACTTGCATGCACACAGAAATCGAACAAGGGTTTTTGCAGGTAGTCTTACTAGGATGTCTGTTAAGATTTCTTTCTTGCGCAATGTGGTGGATGCCATCTCACGAAGAGAAAATCATAAGAAAAATAAGTTAAGAAAATTTAGAGTCCAAGGAAGCATTAAAATATACAGAGCTGTGTGAACGAGTCATGTGGAAGTAATTCAATTGGCATCCTAAAATAAAGCATCACCAAAGGTTCATTTAGTGATACAAAAGAAAAGGGGGTTTATTTTGAATTTTATTTTTATTGTACCTTTTCTTGCAGAAAAGAAAGAATTCATATATTCTTGGAATTAGCTAGCTCAAGTTGGAGAGGGAGGTAGGTTAGGAACTTAGGACTAGAATCAAGAGTTTGGTCCTTTCAATATAACCCAAAATCAAGAAATTTTCTCAAATATTATGGAATGCATGGACACTTTCTTTATGTGCCCCAAACTTTTATGTGACACCTTTTTTTTTGGTTCAAAATTATGTGACACCATTTATATAGGAAGAAATTTATGCTAAGCCCATTAATATAAACAAATTTATCGACAATTTCTTTATACGGGTTGGTGCACATTGTATGAACAATTCATGAATGTAACTCACTATTTACCCTGCTGAGATCGATGCTTATATAATACTAGCCCTTTGGCACACACGCGTGAGCGTGTGCCAATTGGTTTTATTTTTTATATTATTTATTTTAGAATTAAAAAAGATAATGGGTAATTGTGTTTCATAAAAATAGGACCCATTATCTGATTTCTGTTTTATTTTAAAACTTTTTTAAATATAAAAAAGTGTGAATTTACCATATTATGTTTATTTAATTAATAATTTCAATTCTTAATGTTTGTCTTAACTAATGCATTTTCCAGTATTTTGAATGTTTCATCATTCTCTACATTTTGATTTATATATACAGATGCAATATCGTGTGAGGACCTTGTAGCTCAATTTAAAAAGAAAATATCGTACATACAATAATAATTAACATTTTTATTCATGGAAATCTAATTTAAAATGAAATTGAACCACTAAACTAACAATATAGGAACCCAAGCATAACACTACTCTCCAAGCATTCCCACCATCACGGAAAGATAGCCATGTAAGTTGTAACAATCTCACGCCCTTTTCCTTTTTTTCTTTCTTTTTTGTGGGTTAATTTACCTAGAGGTGACTTTGAATCTAGTGGCCAAGGCCCAATAAAAAAGAAGCGGTTTCACGTTGCATCCCTGGAATCTCATCCAACGGTTGGGAGTTAATGCCAACGAGGGTGTTTTCTTATTCGTCTCTCTCTTCTCCCCTATACATTCTTCCTTCATTTTTACTGCGGGTAGTCGGCACAGCCAAGCTTCTCAGGGAGCCAGTTCAGGTAAGGGTTTGCTTCCTGTAGATGTAGGGTTTCTCATTTTTTGGAGTGAATGTGTTATTTTCATGTGATTGCATAACTGTCTAGAATTTGTTTCCCAGAATTTGTTCCATGATTTGTGTGCGCATTTCTAACCTCTCATTTTGATCAATTTGATCAGGATGAGTAACTCAGGCTGCAATGGTTCCCATTACATCCCTGAAGAAATCTTGATCAACATACTATCAAGACTACCGGTAAAATCCCTTATTCGGTTTATTTGTGTATGCAAGTTATGGAGTTCTTTGATTCGAAGCTCGAGGTTTATTGGAATGCATCTTAATAGGAATGTCACAAACCATACTCGTGCTTTTATAATTGCCCTCCACGAAAGTAGACGCAAACCCAAATTTTGCTACACCCTTTTCTCTAATGAAACATTTGAGCCGTGCTTGAAGATCAAGCATCCCTCAACGTGGCCCAAAATTATAGGGCCTAAAATTGAGATACATGGTTCAAGTAATGGCTTAGTTTGTCTGTCATATGAACTGGGGAATTTGGATACTGCTATATACCTATGCAACCTATCAATTCAGAAACATGTGGTCCTTCCTCCCACCAGCATTTTGTGCTTACCCTGTCCTGAATATGTCAATTATGCATTCGGATTCCACCCTGGGCTTAACGACTACAAGGTGGTAAGGTTGCTCATGTTTTCTGAGGGGAATCACTGCATTGAAGTGGAGGTTTATAGTTTGAGCACAAACTCTTGGAAGAGGATTGATGCAATTCCTGCTTCCATAAAGACCATGGTTTTGCACTATGATCAATGTGCATTTTTTAATGGAGTAGCATATTTTATTATGAAGAAAGAGGATGCTACTTATTGTTTCGTGTCGTTTGATACCGACAGTGAGGTGTTTGAAGAGTTTCTTTTACCAGATGCTGTTGTCGATGGAATTGAATCCATGCTTGATAATTGCAAGGAATTAATTGCGGAGTACAAGGGATCAATTTGCCTGTTGCAGTCCAATCTAGATTTCAGAGCTGGTAATGACTACATTGACATGTGGGTTCTCCAAGAAAAGTCTTTCAAGAAGTTGCTGACTGTTTACCTTCCTGGAAAGAGGAGCTTTTACCCTTTGGCCATTAGAATGAGCAACGAACTCCTTGTGGGATATCCTTGTGGTAGCTATTTGTGTTCTTATAATCTTGAAACCAAGCAGGTTACAGAAACTGGAATTAAGTTGGCTGTGGATCGCTATAACGACTATCATGCGCATACTTATGTCGAAAGTTTAGTATTGCTCAGGGAGTAGAAAGGGACGACTTAGAAAGAATGTTAATTATGTTTAGCTGATTTGATTTCCCGAAAGTAATTTCTTCGTTAGAAATTATGTTTTGCATGGTTGTTCTTTTATGTCCAGTTACTTTGTGAGAAAGATTTAATGTCTGGGTTGGTTTTTTGACAAATGCAGTAGTCTAAATTATATGCTCAATATGTGTTTCCTTTTTCCTCTATCTTGTCCTTCTACTTTCTTTTGCGTGGTATGTTTTTTTTACATTACATAATTTTGAGGACCTTTCTTATTAAGAGGGGCGATAACACACTGAAATCACACACATAACACATATAGCAGGACTCGAATTCAAGACCTTGCCTGAGAGAGCAATTACTCCAAAAGTAAATTTAGGTTTTAGCCACAAAAAAACTTTCACTTTTGAAAAAAGCAAAAACTTTTTCAAAAAAGACAAAAAAAACCCCTCAATTTTCAAACCAAAGAAATACAAATGTAAGGGATTCCTTAGGAAATCCAAAAATAAATTAGGCTATTTTCATCCATTTTGGCTTCTTTTCAAAATATTTCTCTCTCTTTTGACCTTTTCCAAAATGCCCCACCCCTTCAAAGGACAGAATAAACTAAAAATACCTAATCTACTTAATTAGTAGCCCAATTGAAAAGTATGTTGGGCTACTTACCTCTGGTATAGATAAAGACAAATGCAGAGAACAGTGAAATATTTATAATATCACAAAATACTCTTAGTTTGAAAATAAAACTATTCGTTAAATGAGAATAAATAATAAATTATAATTTTTCATTAAATAAATTAAATTAAAATGAGAGCATGGGTCTTATTTTCTTATGACACAACTAGACCCATTTTATGTTTCGTACTTCTAAAATGTAAAAACTAAGATATACAAAATAATAATAAATAAAAAGCAATAGTTACACGCGTGTGTACAGAGGCGTGCATATATATAAATAGCTTTCGATAAGGGATCCCTCAAATAAACTTATTTTAGAGACACTCTTGTAGGACCCACTCCGTCTTGTATTTCACTAATCCAAACCGTCTATTTTGTAGATATTCATTCGATGATCATTTCTACAAAAAATCACTTGAATCTGATATCATTTGACCATGCAATTAAATTATTGAAATTTAAGTACTTTCTTGAAGCACCGAGTTCATTGATTTTGTTGGTCTCAATTAGATTTCTTAATAATTTTCAATTTGTCTTATTTTTTGCAAGGAAGATCTATGAATGTCAAGGTAATGGGGCAAGCAACGCATTTGAGAGTATTTAAGGTGTGCAAATGAGAAACATATCATTTTTCACTCCCCCTCCCCCCTAAAGAGAAGGGGAGAGGACAACACTTCACTTGCAAGGAGAACACAAACACACGTAACAGGAAAAGGCTCGGATACCAATGTCAAATATACTTAATTTTCATATATTTTCAGATTTGTATATATATTTCATATTTTTATATTCTTCTTTTTTTTTTTTTTTTTTTTTTTTTTTTTTTTTTTTTTTTTGGGGAGAAAATAAGGAGGTATTTATAAATAAGTACAAAGATGTGCTAACCCTAAATAACATAGGAAATAAATTTAAATTACAATAGGACACAAATCTCAATTATAATAGGACCAAGTAACCAAAATCCGAACTAAATATGAACTCACCAACGCTATAAATATGCACTCACTCATGCAGTCTTATTGTGACGTAATCATCTTTGTGTGTGTGTTGTCCTCAAAGTGGTTTTTGAATTTAAGCTTAACGCTTGAAACAGAACAATATAATTTCGTAGGAGCAAACATCCTTTCCAACCTCTCTCATTTTTATCTATTAATCAGGATGAGTAACTCAGGCTGCAATGGCTCCCATCACATTCCTGAAGAAATCTTGATCAACGTATTATCAAGACTACCGGTAAAATCTCTTATTCGGTTTATTTGTGTATGCAAGTTATGGAGTTCTTTGATTCGAAGCTCGAGGTTTATTGGAATGCATCTTAATAGGAATGTCACAAACCATGCTCATGCTTTTATTTGCCCTCCACGAACGAAGACGCGAATCCAAAATTTGCTACACCCTTTTCTCTAATGAACCATTTGAGCCGTGCTTGAAGATTAAGCATCTCTTAACAGGGCCCAAAATTGACATACATGGTTCAAGTAATGGCTTAGTTTGTCTGTCACATGAACTGTGGAATTTGGATACTGCTATATACCTATGCAACATATCAATTCAGAAACATGCAGTCCTTCCTCCCACCAGCATTCTGTGCTTCCCCTGGCCTGAATATGCCACTGGTGTTGCATTCGGGTTCCACCCCAGGCTTAACGACTACAAGGTGGTAAGGTTGCTCTCATTTTTTGTGGGGAACCACTGCATTGAAGTGGAGGTTTATAGTTTGAGCACAAACTCTTGGAAAAGGATTGATGCAATTCCTGCTTCCATAAAGACCCTGGTGTTGCACTCTGATCAATGTGCATTTTTTAATGGAGTAGCATATTGGATTATGTTCAAGGAAAAGGATGCTACTGATCATTGTTTATTGTCTTTCGATACCGACAGTGAGGTGTTTGAAGAGCTTCTGCTACAGATGCTGTTGAACCGATGCCATATTATTGCAAGGTATTAATTTCGGAGTACAAGGGATCAATTTGTCTGTTGCAGTCCAATCGAGATTTCAGAGCTGGTAATGACTACATTGACATGTGGGTTCTCCAAGAAAAGTCTTTCAAGAAGTTGCTGACTGTTTACCTTCCTGGAAAGTGGAGCTTTTACCCTTTGGCCATTACAATGAGCAACGAACTCCTCGTGGGATATCCTTGTGGGATCTATTTGTGTTCTTATAATCTTGAAACCAAGCAGGTTACAGAAACTAGAATTAAGTTGGCGGTGGATTGCTATAACAACTATAATACGCATACTTACGTCGAAAGTTTAGTCTTGCTGAGGGAGTAGAAAGGGACGACTTAGAAAGAATGTTAATTCTGTTTAGCTGATTTGATTTCCCTAAAGTAATGTCTTCGTTAGAAGATGCACTTCTACGTTGGTTTCTCTGTTGTTCTTTTATGTCCAGTTACGCTCAAGAAAGTTTTTACGTTTGGCTTGGTTTTGTGACCTCTTTCTCCTTTATTTTGTCATTCCACTTTCTCAAAAACATCAGAAGAAGTAACAAGACATTACTCATTACTGATTTTCTCATCTTCTTGTGTAAAGTAATTACTAGTTGGAGATACATTTTCCACCTCACTCATACCACGCGGTCGTACTCCAGTATCATACAATAATTTCTCCTAAACAATGTGCTCATTATGGGATTTTTTTATTTTAATTTTTAATTTTCTTGTCCTTTCACTTTCCTTTCTTTGGTATGCTTTTCCTTTGTTTGAATGCGTATATTAATTTATCTAAATTTAGACACATTATATTCTATCCCTCCGTACAGAGTCGCTTCTTTAACCGAATTTTTTATTCCTTTTTTTAATCTTCTTTTTTACAAGGGATATTTGAACTACAAGCCCCTTGCTTACATGGATTTATCAGAGTATGACGATTCTTACAGCCACAGAGTGATGGCTTTGGTTTTCAACCATTCGTCTGAAACTAATGTCATTTCCCCAGTTTGCACAGGACAACAGGAAAGGATAAAAACTTTCTACCAAACACAACCCAACAAGTAGTCATCCTATAACAAGAGTATAACCACATCCAATTACAATACAACCTGCAGTGTTAATGCTGGTGCATAGAAGAAGAAAATGAAGACAAACTGGCATTTCTAAAACATGCCATAGGATTACAAGAAGCATTTGCTCCATGACGAAATAAACCGAAACTATCAACGTGGAGGCCACAGAAATTAAATTATAGAAAAGTACACTAGAAATCATGATCAACTGTTAAATAGGTGAATAAATATCAGAACTGCAGACCCCAAAAAAAAAAAGAAAAAAAAAAAGAGAGGTATCGGAACTCCAGATGTACACAAAATCATGTTGGAACTGAGAAAGGCTTATTGCTCTTCAAGTGCAGAAGAGATCCAATTGGAGGCAGCTGTTTGAGTTTCTGACTCAAGATGTGGTGAAAGAGAGAGAGGCGTTACCGAGACCTGTTGGTTCAAATTAGAAGAAAGAGTCAGCCACCTTGTGAACAAATAAAATATGTTTCTGTCTAAGACAAACATGGACATTCATCTATTATACCTATCATCTAAAAGAGTTCGATAGTTGGGTCTTCAAAGACTACCTATTTCAAATCTTTAGTAAATACCCTACAACGATAGGTAGGGCTTCAACTTACACAAATGACAATGAGCATTCAACCATAAAAAGGGACCTCTACTGAAACCATTTAATGGCATGGAGCCCCTCCTACGGCACTTTCTATTATTTCTTGACAATAAATATCATATGCAAGCCGATTTTACGACAGGGTCATCTTACAATAACACGTGGGGTCAAAAGAGGACCAGAAATCATCAGATTGAACTTCATCAGAAAGTAGACTTAAACAATTTAATTCCTCCAGAATTAAACATAGAGAGGAGAAATGGCGCTTTCAACTTACAAATCCACTTTCAAGTGCTCTGAAATCCAGATCCTCATCCGTATCTTCCTTCTCCTTATCCACAAACTGCATAGATAAATATAAATCCACTTGGATTAGTTATTTTATAAATGGAAGTAGTAAAAATATCAGTACATGGGAACAGAAAAGAGTACACAAATTAAGATTAACCTAAATCAAACAGATGAGAAGCTGGAGTTATAGTATCAACAGTTTTATTTATAGCAAAAGGTAAAATTCTAATCGTAAGTGCTAGAAGCAACTTGAGGAAAATAAATTTATGCTATCCTAAATCAGCCACTTTACAATGTTAATAGGCTCCCGTGGTAATAACTATTCTAAATTAATTTCATTTCAGAGGTTTCCTGGAGGAAGCAAATGCAACCTGCTTCCACAGAGAAGTTTAAACAAATGGAAAAAAGACCACTTCTGTGGTTGAAAATTATAAGAAAGCCTAATGAACTATAGATTCAAAATTTTCTTTTCAGACCCTTATTATCCCTCATATATGCTTAGGTGCCAGAAATTTGTTTACCTCTAGTCGGAAGTATTTTTTCACCCGTTCAAAGTCAGATTTTCCTGCAGCTCCGGTTGATTCAATCTCCACGTTCTTCTTCTGTGTCGTCACGCGACGAGCTGCACCCTGATGAAAAGAAAAGGGATACAAAAATCCAAGAATGAAAACCAAAGTAGGGAGAGTAATCCCTCTATTCAGAAAACATTAATCAGAAAATTTTAACATAAAAACAAAAAAAGCCGTCACTTTAGTAGAGCTATCTACTTACGGCAGCAGAAGCATCCCGACCAAGCTGAGCAAGCTGAATTCCAAGGCTTTGTTGACTGTTCATGAAATGTCCAGCAGGATACCGACTAGAAATGGCTTGCCAGCTAGGAGTTGATCTCCACATGCTTTGCTTGGTCAACTTAAAACCCTATCAAGTAGAAGAAAATACTGTACATAAGTAGGAGATAACATACAAAGGACATCCAAAAGATGTCGAAATCATGACCTCATATTAAAGGTCACAGTAAGTGGTTAAAAAATTAAAACAGAAGTACTTTGAACAACAAAAGAGAGGGAGCTCATTGCCTCTCATTAGATGCAATGTTAAGGTAATCCAACTACGATGTCCTGGAATGGGACAACAATGTCCCTTCTCCTTCAGGTTTGCTTATAGTTTTATGCTGTTCAATTAGGAGTTAGAACACAAACAGAATATAAGTAACTAAGATCTGATGCAACACAAACTAGTCAAATATCTGCATTTCTTTCAAACACATACCTCAATCAAATAAGAATATATTTAGCGAACATAAAAAAATTGAGGAAACACAGAAAGCACTTCTTAAAGAGCTTTGAGTAGATTTCAATAATGTAAAGATTGCTACACATGGAATTGCAACATTACTTAAGTTAAGTGGTAATAAAAATCAATGTCAAAGTAGTGCGGAACTGGAAGACAATCAACACATGGACAGTTACACCAAAATAACTAGAAAGAGGCCAAGCAAAACAGTTGAGTTTCCTCAAAATCACAGCTTTACATTAGTTCGATTGAAGGTTTTGCCAATTGCAATCTACTTGTGTATCACCCATAAAATACCATCACCGACAAATAAACTAAACTATATAAGAGCACACCATTTAAGTTGAAAGTATTGTATTACTTAATGAAAATTCCTAGAGTACTTGAGACCATCAGTGATCATTTTCATAAATTGTAACAACCCGGTCCTTAATTAATATTTAATTATTAATTTATTCCAATAAAAGACCACTATACCCCTAGAATATTTTAATAGTATAAAAGTTGACTTTTTGACCGGGAAGGAATTTTGGGATTTCAGTTATACCGTTGCGTAGAGCACAGCGAGATGAGTCCGTAGACACGTAGTGGACTCAAATCGGACTTGTAACGAAGGAGTTACAATTAAAAGAAGTTCATGGCATAACCGTAAATATTTCGAACTTCAGTTTATACAAACCCAGAAATTTCTGGATTCGAGGGCACGACCAGCCGACTTTGGGAGCTGTTTTCTCTCAGCTCCAACCTCTGATTCAGGAAGACCAGTGCCAAACGAACCACCAAACTTCCCTCTTCCAGCCCCAGCACTTCACCACCGCCATAGTCGCCAGAAACAGTCATGAAATAGGCGGTGCTGGACAGTTTTTTATAGAATTTCCAACCTTTTGTTCTCTGTCGTCCAGCCACCAAATCAGACGAGTGAGGTATGGTTTTCTAGCCATTTTTCATGCTCTAGCTGCTGGTTGTGTAGGATTTCAGAAATTTCAAGCGTAGATAGCTCGATTTACGAGTTAGGTTTCAGCCGGTTTTGAGAGCACAGTTCCGGCCAATTTTTGGGGTATGTCCAAGAACAAAAGTTGTTCCAAATGGGGTATTTTACCTAAGTTGGAGTTTTTCAGACCGCCAGGAATTGATCAAGCCACCCACGCGCTGCCGGCGCGTGGGCAGATTGGTAGAGACCACTTTCAGTTCTAGAATGATCCTTGGGTCATCACGGGCGCGTAGGAATTCGCGGATCTCAATTTGGTTAACGTTTGAACCCCGAACGGATCTCGCATACTGTGTGATTTCCGGGTTCAATAGTTTCGAACCGTTGGATCGTAACCATTTTCGGATATGGTAATCTAGACTTGGCCAGGATCGTATAGTGTTTGACGGATCGTAAAACGGAGTCCCGGATACTCCAGGAATGCCAACCCTAGAACCAGGTTTACAATAAACAGTTCAGTTACATATCAGGAACTGAAGAAAGAACTACGTGTGGCTTGATCCCTCAAAAAGGGTACGTAGGCAGCCTACAGTTATCAGGCGCAGCCACGAGTTAGGGGCTCACGATTTATGTTATTGTTTTCAGGGCATTTTGGTCACCTGCGACCCACGGTTACCAGGGGTCAGTTTTAAACAGGTTTCGACCCGGATTTCAAAGTGGAAATTGGGTCAGGTCGTTTCAATCGTGATGACCCAAGGATCATTCTAGAACTGAAAGTGGTCTCTACCAATCTGCCCACGCGCCGCCACATGCGCCGGCAGCGCGTGGGTGGCTTGATCAATTCCTGGTGGTCTGAAAAACTCCAAACCACCAGCCCAAACTCCTAACTTAGGTAAAATACCCCATTTGGAACAACTTTTGTTCTTGGACATACCCCAAAAATTGGCCGAAACTGTGCTCTCAAAACCGGCTGAAACCTAACTCGTAAATCGAGCTATCTACGCTTGAAATTTCTGAAATCCTACCCAACCAGCAGCTAGAGCATGAAAAATAGCTAGAAAACCATACCTCACTCGTCTGATTTGGTGGCCGGACGACAGAGAACAAAAGGTTGGAAATTCTGTCAAAAACTGTCCAACACCGCCTATTTCGTGACTGTTTCCGGCGACTATGGCAGCGGATCGAGGCGATGAAAGGCTGGGGCTGGAAGAGGGAAGTTTGGTGGTTCGTTTGGCACTGGTCTTCCTGAATCGGAGGTCAGAGCTGAGAGAAAACAGCTCCCAAAGTCGGCTGGTCGTGCCCTTGAATCCAGAAATTTCTGGGTTTATATAAACTGAAGTTCAAAATATTTACGATTATGCCACTGAACTTCTTTTAATCGTAACTCCTTCATTACGACTCCGATTTGAGTCCACTACATGTCTACGGACTCATCTCGCTGCGCTCTACGCAACGGTATAACTGAAATCCCAAAATTCCTTCCCGGTCAAAAAGTCAACTTTTATACTATTAAAATATTCTAGGGGTATAGTGGTCTTTTATTGGAACAAATTAATAATTAAATATAAATTAAGGACCGGGTTGTTACAATCTACCCCCCTTATAAAAATTTCATCCTCGAAATTTACTTATCCTTCACTGGATGGGTTGGAGGTGCTGGGCCTACGACTGCTAGGCATCCATCATGGGATTGCTTTAGCCCCAACTCGCTTAACTTCGGAGTTCCCATGACTCCGAAGCCAGTGAGCTCCCAAAAGGCCTCGTACTAGATGGAGGAGGGCATGTACATATAAGGCACATCACCCCTTCTTCGTTGGTCGATGTGAGATGTTACAATCCACCCCCCCTAAGGGTCTGACGTCCTCGTCGGCACGATATTGTCCGCTTTGGGCCCCCCTCTCTGCCCTCACGGTTTTGTTTCTAGGAGCTCACGAGCAACTTTCCAGTGGGTCACCCATCCTGGGATTGCTCTAGCCCCAACTCGCTTAACTTCGGAGTTCCCATGACTCCGAAGCCAGTGAGCTCCCAAAAGGCCTCATACTAGATGGAAGCGGGCATGTACATATAAGGCACATCACCCCCTCTTCGTTGGTCGATGTGGGATGTTACATAAACAAATGATATAATAATGGTTCAAAAACACAAACCTTGTTTGATAAAGGAGATGATGGAATCTCTATATCGAGGAAGCAACTTTTGGGGAAAATTCCCTTTTCAATATCCCTGATAGCTGCATTTATCAAAGGTAAACAGACAGCAACTGCATCTTTGAAATCATTTTCTTGACTTTCATCCTTCCTCCTACAATAGATTATAACACCAAAGATTAACGTACAGACATTAGTATGCAAAAAGAAACTGAGAATCAAATTGCAGCGTTTGTAAACTCACCAATTTAGTGATATTGACAAAGATGGTATTCCACTTATTAATGCTTCCCTGGCTCCAGCAACAACACCCGAGTACAACCTGGTAGAAGTTAACATTTGAAACAAACATTAGAATCCAAATACAAGATATATGTTGTTAGCAGGGGGAGAAAATATAACAGAGTCAGAAGAAGAAAAAGATATCACTACAAAAAATTATGTACCAAAAGAAACTTGACATATTGAATACCAGAATCAAAGACATCAGGAATACTATAGAGGCATATAAACTAAAACTTACATATGATGACCGCAACTTGATCCCCGATTGATTCCACTGATTACCTGAAACCAGATTGCACTTAGAAATCTCAGTAAAAGGCTGAACACGGGATCTATATGTGTCTTAAAAACGGCATGTTAATGCTAACCAGCAAAGGCTTTGACCAAGAAAACAGAGCCCCAGATAATGCTAATGAAACACAATCCACGGGAGTCCCTGAGTAAAAGAACGTCAAAAAACCTATTACTATCAGTGTCCACAACCAAAATGAAAAAGCAGAAAGAAAAAACAAATCAAAACTCGGCCGGCATATATTTGTAGCATGTCAATTGAAGTAACATGAAATAAAAGCAATGAACAGAATTGTTAAATGCTGCCCCGGGCACAATCATTTCTTGCACATTGAAACTACGTAATGATAGAAACCACATCACAAGTACCAAAATTTATAAGCTCTAACCAAAAAAAGAATCGATATGCAACAAATGACACCTCAATTCCACCAAATCATAAAAATAAAAGTTCATCCATTCCACATGCTAAATCAGGAAACTGCAATTGCAAAAACACAGGGAAAAAAAGACAAGAAAATAGGGAAACGAATGCAGAAACATAGTCATACCTGAAACTTCATAAGCTGTGGCACCCTTTATCTCAGCAGAACTCACAGAAACCGTTTCCCGGAGGGTCACAGAATGACCTGACAGTGATTTGTCCCTAAAGCAAGCAACCAATTTTGCAAATTAAAGACAAATATTATACATTACCAATACCACAAATGAAGGAATCACACATCCCCAGATGAAAAAAAAAACTAAGGGAAGTAAGCAACAAAACGGAAAAATCATCAATAATCGAAGAAAACCTACCTACCCGCATGAGAAAACTAAGGCGGGGAACACCAAAATGCACTAAACAATCAATAACTTGAGAGACCCCCACACACCCATATTAGAAAAATAGCACAGAAAACAGGGAAACAAAGAAAAGAACCAAAATTTACAGAGAACCCACGATTGAGGAGCGCAGACATGGACATTGTAAAGGCCTTGGTGGACCAGAGCTTCAACGAGGTAAGTAAGGCCAGGGGACTCAATCCCATCACCATTGGTGACCAAAACAATGGGCTTGGAACTGTCATTAGGGTCCTCCACAGTATCAGCAGCTTCAGAAGTAGAAGGAGGGTCAGTAGATTCAGCAGTTTTGTCTTCTTCACCACCAGCCCTTTTGCTCAACACATCTTGTAGATTGGAGACCAAGCCAGGAGGCAACAAGTTGGGTTTCACAGATGTTGAAGTCATAACACTTATCAGAGATAAATTGATTGAAAGATTGATGATTTGGGTTCTGGGTCTGTGTACAGGAATCAAAATCAAAACCCTAGAGAGAGAGAGAGAGAGAGAGAGAGAGAGAGAGAGAGTGGGGGAGGAAAAGTAGGGTGGTAATGAAGAGCTGAGATTGAAAAGAGAGATGGATGATATAGATGGACCGGTTCAAAAGGAGTTATTTTTAGAGGGAGAGAGAGAGAGAGAGATGAGGGAAGGAAGGGGATTAAGGAACTTTTGCTTACTTGTCTTAAATTGCCATGATTATAGTTATGGGGGGAAGAAGAACAGCGAGTGATGTAATGGGACTGGTTTTTTAGCTGCAAGTCTTCAAAGTTTCTTTCTTTTTTTCTTCTTTTTTCTCAAATCACTCAATCAATGAACTTTTTGCTTGTAATGTGGCAAGATTAAAGGGTGAGTTTTGATTTGTGGGTAAAGTTTCTTTTTTGATAAATTGGTAAGAATCTAATAGGGCAGGTGAGACAAAGGTCACCACCACATTACATGGTAGATGTAACTTGTAAGGGGAAATTTGAAATGAGACAAGGTTTTTTTATCTAACCAATGTGTAGAATTCTAAGCAAGGACTATGAATTTATAATATAAAAATATTCATATTCCTATTAAAATACTCTAATGTTGGTTGTGGTTTGTTAGTTTTAGAAGACAAGATTTGGATTTGGATTTGATTTCTTGGTGACAAATTGTTTATTGAGAGTTTGAAAACATTAATATTTCATATTCAATAAAATTTACATATGAATTTGTTAATAAAACATGTAATAATTTATTTGAGCAATAGGAAGGCCGGCCTTGGATGAATGTCAAGATACATTCCAATAAAAATAAAATTAAAAATGGTAGCTTAGATGTTGACGACTTATACTATTGAAGTCAAATTTCATGTAGCTTATGTTTTAAATTAAACTTATCAATCCAAGCATTCATTAATAATGATTACGTCTATATAATATATTGGTGGACAAATGAAAAGAACATGTATGTAGACCTGGCAATGGATCGTGTTAACATGTTTTGAATCGTGTTCGTGTCAATAATGGATCTGAAGGCTAATAAATTAGAATCAGAAACTGAAGAAAAATGTAAGAAGAAGAAGAAAGAAAATAAAGAAAATAGTTTATTGTGTGTTTGGATTGAAAGGGTAAATACTTAAACGACAGAGAAGATCGAAACGAATTATCGTTTGCCTACCTGCCTAGATCTACTAGATCGTGTCTGTTTCGATGTTGTCCAAAACCTCTCTGATCCTAATTCAATATTATCCTGTGTTCAACAGGTTTTCAAGTTTGAGGATAACTTATTTATATATATATTACAAAGGGCCAAGGAGAAAAGAAAAGAGAAAGGAAAAGGAAGCAAAAATTTAAATTTTAAAAAAAGTGAAAAAAGGGATGGTTTAATACATAAAAAATTATTTTCATAACCAACAAAGTCTAGTTTAGTGAAAAAGATATTGGCTTGGAGACATTTGATCTCAAGTTCGAACTTCCATAATACTTTATAATGTGCATGTGTGAATTATAATTTAGAATATCGCTTACATTCAAAACAAAACAAAAAACAAAAACCATTTTGAGGGGGATTTTTATTAGCTTCTGTTTTTTCTTCTAATCTTTAATCTTTATAGGGTTTGGTGTTAGATAGAGTGCAATGTTTTGGCATTTAGAAATGAGAATGCAAATTCTTTTTCCACATCTTGCAAGTGCATTTCAAAATGACAAGATCGTTTTCATTACGAGTATTCAAAACCTACACAAAATCACACATTTTGCACTCTCAATAGAGGGGTCGGGTTACATATATATTTCCGAAAAATGAAATTCTCTATGATCTCATGTCATGATAACTATAATTATTTTCAGCATCTTCAAAGCAAGATTAGGAGGGTGTTGTATTCCTAGGGGATTGCTTTGTTGCTACAACTTTACACAACTATAGAATCTTCGAGCACAAATGCCAGTTGTGCATGGAGGAACATCACCATTATGCTTGATTTGATTTGAAAATGCAAAATAATAATAATATGGGATTTTAATTAGTTCGTCCAGCCATAGATTCCTTGCACATAATTTGATTTAGGTACGTGTGGACCCAGTTTGGGGCTAAAAGTGTGCGCATGCCACGTTCTTCTGCAGTTGAGATGCACTCTCTCCCACTCCCACAGCTCCATATATTCAACCTTATATAAACCAAAGCATAGCTTCAAAGATATGATCACACTTGGTACCATTTTTGTTGTGTCAAAAGATATAGGTTGCAAAAGGTTAGCTGGGTTGACAGTTGTTGATCATAAACATGACTTTATTGACTCTTATCAAGATTTTGGACATATTCACTCGTGACTGTTGAATATTGATTAAATATAACTCCTAAAAATTAATGTACGGTTAGAAATCACTCACGTGCGCATAGGCGATTGACTGTTGCTTAACTCTATTTACAAAGTTCTAACTTTTATGTGAGTACATTAATTGATGATCTTATTTCAAATATAAAGTGCCCATCATCATCTATTATTGGTTGTTGAGATGTTTTTTCTCTAATAAATGTAGAGGTAGTTTTCCCTTTTATTAAAAATTGATGAAAGACAAATGGTTAGGACCGATCTTTAGGATGAGTGAGAGACAAACTTTGGACAGTACCACATCACCCCTAAACTAATAATGAGGCCTCATCATGATCTTTTGCATATGGTCCATACAAATTTGAAATTTCCTGGATTCTAGTGGGCACATGTCCCCTTGGCAGCATATATACTTTGATGTCTGCACAAGAAACTCTCCATGCAGGCTACAACTAAGTACATACATATATATATATATATTCAGTACAACAAAAGGATAATTATGTTGTTGAAGCCATTGTCTTTGGATGCTGTGTGCCCTAAAATGAACTAGGCATCCAGCACATAGTTAGCTTCTGATTGCACATGAACCAAATGTATAGATGCTGATATTATTGAAACAGTAAAGTGTCATGGAAAAATGGGGGCAATCTGCCATGGTATTGAAGCTTTGTCCAGTTAAAATGTCAGTGGTAAAGGACTTTCATTGAAAGGGCCCCAATCAGACTAACGAAGGTTGTTTGAAGCTGCACACAGTGGTAGGTTGTATTTGGAACTCTGAACTGTCCCAAGTAAAGTGACAAATCCTGCTGCAGCCTAGCAGTTTTTCACAAACCGACTGAATATATAGTTTTTGCCTGTAAATATTGCATATATATTTGGTTACATCCATCTGCTATGATATGAAAATACCAGGCCAATGATTCATCCATCCAGATTAATTTTGTGAAAACCAAAGGATGGTTGGACCCATATAATAGTAGATCTATTAAAAAAAATTTATATATGGTATGTGAGCATCCAATTCAAAATCAATTGACAATAAGTAAAGAAACCAAATATCATATAAACTACTAAAGTAAAACTTGTATTTCCGACTCGGGAAAATAATATCAACATAAAGTCCATATGAATCAGTCTATTACAGTTTCCTTCCCCCAAATTTTGTGTTAACACAGTGAGAAAGAGCACTTCATGAAAATACATAGACATTTGGAGTCCCAGTGCACAAATTAGACAAATGCAATGACCAATATATATGTGAGCTTACTGGTAGCTATCTTTTCAATCTTTTTACCAGGAGTTATACATGAGTTTGCTATTGCTTCTTCTGAAGCACTTATAAGTTTGCAGGAGGAAGCTAGCACAGCCAATGCAATAGGGAAAGGTATATTTCAAGAGGGCTTTGCTTCCACAGTAGTTTAAGCATAAAAGAACCAATCCAGCTTATAAGCTCCTGCCTTCTCATGCCCATTCTTTAACATGGTGCTATACCTAAACATCTCACTCATGTTCTAGCAAGTTGATTCATGGAAATTTATGCTCAACACATTCCAAAGAAAAAAGCCTAAAACATTTATACAGATAAAAACACACATCCAAAACACATAAATCATAGCCTAAAGGAATTCCCCCCCCACAAAAAAAAAGGCGCTTAGCTTCATGAATTTACACATTTCACACCTAAGGTCAGAGTTTGACTCTCGCTTCCTACGTTCCCTAAATAAATAAAATAAGATAACAAAGCTTGATTACAAGGAAGTTTCAATTTTAGGATATAATCACAAAACATGTTATCTCTATATATAAAGCAAAAGGTAGAGAATGGTGAAACATTCAAAATACCAAAAAATGCCCTTAGTTAATGCAAACATTAAGAATTGGATTTATTAATTAAATGAGGATAATATGGTAAATTTATACTTTTATTTACACAAATTAAAATTAAAAGAAAAAACAGATAATGGATCATATTTTTATGGAACACAACTACCCATTATTATTTTTAAGTCTAAAATAAATTTAATTTTTTTATTATAAAAAAGCTCCTCGCAGGCGCAGAAGCGCGTGAGGAGAGACTAGTCTATTATGAAACACCAAAAAGTTCAAAATAATAATAATAATAATTTAATAATCACAGAAATAAAATAGGGACACCACAACTGATTCTGGGCCTAGATCCATCCTTGGGTAGTTTGTGTTGGTTTTTTGGGCCTTGGGCCTTGGGCGTCAATATACGACAGGAAAATTGTGTCGTCTGTCTTACTTGCCTAAAAGTAAAGTCATCGAAACGATTTAGGGCAAAAGTCGTTTGATTTCTGCATTTCGATTCAGTGAACGAGGAACTCGCTCTGGCCTCTCTCTGCATTTTACCAGTTTCCCAGACTAAGCTCTTCACCAAAATCCCATCACAAAGTCTCTGAATTTCGAACTCGAATATGCCCGGCGAAGGTTAGCAGCTGTGCTGATGCCATTTTAGTCGAAGAAAATCAGTGTATGCTTTGATAATTTTGATCGTCAAGCTAATGCTGTATGTATGTTTGGTGTTGCAGACATGGACCGTCGAAAAGAGAGAATGAAAAGCGACTGCAAGAAGATCATGGAGAGCATAAACGCAATGTGTTTTGAGAACCTAAACGACGAGCAAGTGCATTCACTGGTGATGATGAGGGAAATCGCGCGCGGAGTTGTGAACAATCGAGTTGAGAAGGTGACCGCCGGTGACGTAAAAAAGGCCTTGTCTTCCAGTATTGAGAAGATGGTAAGCGATGGTTTTGTGGGTTCTTTTGGGTTTATGTCGTTTTGTCGTTTGATTGATTGGTTTGGGTGTGTGGTGGGTGCAGGTGGATTCGTGTAGGGACGTGGTGAACATTTTGGGAAGGCTTTCGTGTGATGGGTTGGGTGAGGAAGAGGTGGAAAAGGTGTTGAGGATGAAGGAGATTGCAATGGGGATTGTGAGTAAACGTCCCAGAGTTGTAACCATGCTGGGTTGTGAACCTAGTGAACTGGTATGTATGTTTATGAGCTACCATGTCAAGTTTGTATTTTGCGATTTGTTGGTCCACCTTGTTGTTCAATTTTTGGTTGGTTGGTTGGTTTATTTGATGATTGTTACAGGGTGATGGGGCTGATGATGATGATACAAGTGACAAGGATGTGTGGAGTGGAGGGGTAGAAACTGAGTTAAGAAATGAAGATGGTCAGCCTGAGCTGATGGAAAGCCCTGTTTATGGGGTAACGCACACGTCCAATGGGCTTGTCCAGATTGGAGGGCTAGGTGCTGAGAGGACGATGGTTGAAGATAAGTATGCAGAGATGGAAGCGGTTTCCAAGAATGAAGATGGTTGGAATGAGTTGGGAGGAAGTGTTTTTGAGGCGACAATGGATACTGGCCATGAGGAGCAGATTGGCAGGGTAGAAGGTTTGATGTTTGAAGATGACTGCCTCGTGGTAGTAGCTGATGAGTTTGAGAGTGAAGATTGTCAGGGTGAGGTGCAGAAATCATTGTCGTCCTCAACCTTTCAGCACTCTCTTTCCTGGCCTTTGGATGACAGGATAACCTTAGAGTGGGTTCAGGGAATGATGTCTGCTCTTGAGCAGTCACCAGTGGATTTTCAATCTGTTCTGTCAGTTTCTGTGGTGGATAAATTGATTGATACTGCTACAAGTATCCTCTGCAAGGAGCCGAATTGTGTGGCAGTGGATTGCCATGGAGAGGATTCAAGAGTTGTTGTAGTTGGCGACATTCGTGGACAGTTCCGTGATTTACTCAATCTCTTTGAACATGCTGGTTTTCCCTCTGACAAGCAATTTTATGTTTTTAATGGAAATTATGTTGATAGAGGATCACGGGGCTTGGATGTGTTTCTGGTCTTGCTGGCTTGGAAGGTAACATGAAGATAGTGCTAATTGTAATCTACTGGTTCCCTTACGGCTTGTTGTTAATCTCTGACTTGACCTGATAAAGAAACTTAGAAGAATTTATATATGACCTTTTATATGTTCATGCATCTGGCCAAGTCGCATGCTAATGCTTTTATTTTATTTTATTTTTGTGTTTTTGGTTATATGGTCCTCAAGCGAATTGCATTGTATGTTGATTTGGATTGCGTAGCATTTTGGTGCACTTACTCTTGGGACTTTAATATGATTTCTTTCTCTGTTTGTTTTTTACTTTATTTTATTTTTATAGGTCTTGATGCCTTGTAGAGTATATCTACTTCGTGGGAACCATGAGTCTAAATATTGCACTTCCGTTTTGGGGTTTGAGGTGGAGGTTGAGACCAAATTTGGTAATCAAGGTGAATATGTCTACAATAAATGCCTTGACTGCTTTAAGGAACTCCCTCTGGCTTCGATCATAGCCAATTGTGTATATACCACTCATGGAGGTCTTTTTCGGAGCATGTGTGCTACCTCTTTGAGAAGGTCTAAAAGAAAGAGGGAAGAAAGGCTGGAACTAGGTTCTTTAGAAGATTTATCTAAGGTTCAAAGATCTCTTATAGATGCTCCAGATGAAGGTCCAAATATAATACTGACTGATGTGCTATGGTCAGATCCATCAAAGGAGGATGGTCTAGTTGAAAAATCATTTCGAGAACGGGGTCTTTGGTGGGGTCCTGAATGCACTGAGGATTTTCTAAAGCAATCCAACTTAAAGGTAATATTATGAATATTGCACTTTACTCCAGCTGATATATTTTGAACAAACGTCTCTGTCTGCGATTGGTATTTCTCACTGTCATCATAATTTGAAATTGTGATGCCATGTATTCACCTAGTTGGATATTAGAATCTTAATGGCATATCATAGAACCAAGTTCTTTAACAAAATTACACACTGTAGCATTGAGACATTCTTGTTGTATGCTTATTTTCTGGTTGTTATGATCAGTTCATTGAATTTATCAAGATAAATAACTTGTGCATATTGATCAATTATCAGGTAGGTATTATGCATACATTGTAACGCGCAAGCAAGTCATTATTACTCAACATTGATTAGACTCTGTTTAATTTCTCTTTATTAGGTAGGTACTATTATGCATACATTGTAACATACATGCAAGCAAGTCACTATTACTCAAATTACTTAGAACCTCTTTTGAATTTTTCTTTTTTGGTTTTTTGGCAATAGTGTCTGCAGCTGTGCACAAAATGTTAAGTAAGGTTTCAAACTTTTGCCGCATTTTGGGAAAATATGACTTGCTCCTTTCATGAGTTGTCATTCTAAGATTGATATCTTTTCTTTGTTGTTATAGTTGATCATAAGATCACATGAAGGCCCAGATGTAAGGGCACATCAAGATGAATTTGGTGACATGCTAAGTGGGTACAGTTTAGATCATGTTGGAGAGTCAGGAAAACTGTACACTCTGTTTAGTGCTTCGGATTACCCACAGGTTAGGGTTCCTCAGTCCATCTTTTTCTTTATTTTGTAGCTTCATTCCAACGATCAAGTTTCAATTATGTTTTAGTTTACTGATTAAACCTAATTTCTTTTTGTTTCCCTGGCCATTAAACTAGCATTTTTTTCATTTTCAAGTAACTGAAGGAGTTGTAGACCTAAGTAATTGGATTGTCTAATGTGCAGTTGGATGAAAAGAGGTATAACAATGAAGGAGTCTATGCTTTATTGGAGCCTCCTACTTTGGAATTTCCTTCATTCTACTCATTGAAGGCTGTAGGAAGGACAAAGGTACAGATCAAAACCATTTTAAACGTATTATTCCAGGACAGTTTTCTTTATTTTGTCAGGGAGAAAAGGAAAATTCACATATTGTTTTATTTGTAATATCATAATGCATGTGGACTCTTAGAAGTGAAGTTCTTTATCATCAAAGACATTTATTGCATTTGAGAATTAAGAGGCTTGACTTGGCCCTTTTGCAAAGTGGTTCACCATGCTTGCTTAGAACATGTGCATTCAGCACAAGTTTGAGTGAAGACCAAGAAACGTTTGCAAAAGCCAAAAGGTTCCCTACTTTTATGTATATTGCTTCTGTGTGAATACATCTCATTAATTCTAGACAATTTGTTAACAGGTAGATCCTTGTGTTGTTGATGCTGCTGACAAAGATTTGGTAGTTGTTGGTGAACCAGACTTGGGATTAATGGTAAGTTGGTTTTAGCTTCCAGATCCTTGTATTGTAATAAAAAAATGATGGCGTGGGATTGAAATAGTTGAGCCGCACCATATTGGATTCACATGCACAAGGCTTCCCCCTTGGTTTACAATACAAGATCCATCACACTCAATTTTATAATTATATCAAATGTGATGTGTTCATGTGCCCTAGTGGGATTTTGATATTAAGGTTTCTATTTGTCTTTTGTATCTGCAGTCTGCAACTGGTGTCACTTCTTTGTCTCAAACATCTTTGCCATCTGGGATTAGTTCTGAGGTTAACTTCGAGGCTTTGGGCATTTCCAATCCCCCTTCTTGGAGTGTGATGTTAGCAGATGATGCAGGTGGAACCCAACTTGTCCAAGTTCCAAAGGTTCCTGTCGTGGAAGGATTTCCTCTGCCTTCAGACTTACAGGTGATGGATTATTCAGGTTGCAATCCTTCTTTATTAATAGAGGTCTAAAATCAAGGTTTTCATGCAGGAGCCTCACCAGGCTGCTTACAAGTATTTCTTGGAGCTTATTGCTGGTCTGAAGCATATGCTTTCAACAAGGGTGAGTCAGGTTCATTTGTTCCTTTGTACTTCTTTCACTTGAAATTAACATGATTGTATTAAGCAGGAGATTGACGATCAGGTCCATGAGTCAGCCATCCAAAAGAGAGCTCGGCACCAAATGGGGACACCGCAGGAGGTCAACTTGAAGCCTGAGGAGTAGACACTACTTCTTATGAATTACTAAAGAGAACAATCATTGTTAATGCTGGCTGGGTGACTGGACAATAGCTTGTATTCATCTTATTTCTTTCCAAAAAGAGAAATGCACAGATGCAAGGTATGGATGTACATGATTGGGTGGCAACGGGTCTTAACTTTTGCAATGAGGTTCCCCAAACAAGTCCTGGCTATCCATCATACAATTACTAAAAGCACATTTTTTGTGGCTGAGATCAAGCAAGACTTTGCGGTTCGAACGTATATCTTCTTCTAATAGCAGGATGAGCTAAATGATACAGTAACAAGTGAGCTATAACTGAAAAAAGATGGTGTTTCTCTTGTGTGGGGATATCGATGATGCCCAAAAGGTGCACTTAGTTCAACAGTCAACGTTTGTTTAATCAAGAAAAGCTACTGGAGGCTGTGAAAGGTGGGTAGGGATTGGAGTTTGCCTTCTACTTATATTCAGGTAGTAAGCCAGCAAGTGACCACTAATGTTCATATGGTTAAGGTATGGTAGCAGTTGCTCGAATCATCGCGCCTCATGAAGAGCTTGAAAGATCAAGTGGTAAATCCTTCACAATTCGTGCTATTGGGACAATGCCTCTTGAAGTCTCCTGCAACAACAAAACTTGTTTCAATGAATGGTGGCTTGATTGTCCAAAATGTTTAGTATGCAGTGTGAGGGACAATGGGATTGCTCTGAAATCCATTTTTCTTTTTCTTTGTAATGGTGCACATAAAACGGACTGCAGGTCCTTTATACACAACTTGTAGAAAACAGTGTGTCCGCAAGGCAATTTAAAGACCCATAATCTCATGCTTTTCGACAATTCTTACTATTGTATTCCTTTTGGGTCTCGTCTTCATTATTCTCATAATTTCTATACACAACTTTCAACTCAAGGAAGAGTTTCTATCGTTTTCCTTTCTTTCAAATAAGCATTTAGCACTACCAATTCGAACATCTCCACTTGTTGGAGGAGGTAGTGAGTTGTTCAAATCTCATGGACTTCGAATGAAAAAGAAAAGAAACATAATAATCTGGCAAAATATCAGAAATTGCCAACTGCAAATTTTCTAATGTTTCATTCATATAATTGAACAATCCTTATAAACTATGATTGACAATTCTGTCAATAAAATAATTGTCCATTTACCTTGCGCTAAAGAAAGCATTTCTTTACAGCTAAATGCATTTGTCACAGAGATTCCAAAGTGCATATTTCATCAGACTACCCGGAGCTGCTGCACCATGAGACTCACAAAACAAATACTTCCAACACGCCCTGAAATCCTCGGTAAGGAGCTCCATCGCTTACTTTAGTCATAGTCACCAGCTGGATTATCCTCCCTCTCGCTTACGTTTGACAGCATTCTTACACCTACCATTTTTGGAATTCCCAACAACGTCCGTCAAACAGACATGCACTGTGCTCTTGATTTCATCAAGCAACTTCCTATCTTGGGATTCCATCTGTTCTACTAACAATGAATCAGCTATGTTCGCAATTTCTCTCATAGCAGCAGCCTGTAAGATAAAGAAAAGTGAAACATGACTAAGTACAATTTTAACTATTATTAAGCGTTATTGACTTTGAAGAAAAAAGAGAGCATAAACTTACTATTCTCTGAAACTCAGATTCTAAAGATTCAGGCCTTCCCACAAATTTACGGGTAATATTCTCGTACCACTCCATGTACGTGCTTTCGTCAACACCTTCCTCACCTTCCAGAATATGGAGTCGACGCTCCAACCATTCCCTAATCTCTGAGCGCATTTTCCCTTTGCCCCCTGACTCCATATCCTTTGACAAGTCTACCCCCTGATCAACTGCAGGAATCTTCCTCTCCCATATCTGGACATCCTCTGGGATAGGTTGAGGCATGCCAAACTGTCTAAGACAACGATCAGGGAGGTGTCTTTCTGCCTTGCCAAAGCATATCAACATAGTTTTTGATGTCCGTAAAATCATCTTATTTTTTATACCTTCGGGTATAACTGTGTAATCAAAATCTTTGTATGGAAACCACTTAACCTGAATGTCAATACCATACCAACTTTTCTCATCATCATCCAAGCAAAATTATATCATATAAACCTAGAAAAATGTATTTGGACTTACATCAGAAGGTTGAAGTGAATCCAAGGCCTTGCGGTAGGCAACAATGTTGGTTTTCGATCTTGATCCCGTTGATCTTCCTTTCCACCTAAGAGCAAATGGAAAATAACTATGGTTTGGCTCTTCATTGAACTTTGGTTGGCCAATATTCAGGTGATAATAACTCCAACACTACAAAGAATAACAACTAATGAGAGTCAACGCATCATTGGGAAGCCATTCATCCGGAGAGAGATGCCAATAGCTCCACCGCCCCACCAGACCCAAATAAATAATAAACAGAAACAGCATGCTAATGTTACCTGCAGTAGTGTCAAAGAGCCACTGATTGTGCCTTGAGATTTAAGGGAGGCATTACCAAGAGCTCTATAGAGGAATGCCAATGCTGCTGCACCCCATGCATATTTTCCAGCTTCATCAAACTTTTCAAACAATGGAAGAAATGTAACAGATACTTTATTCCCAGTAGTTGTGGAAAATATTGTGCAACCCACAAGATATAGGAGGTAAGCACGTGTATGGCGCTCAATCTCTTCAACTGGTGCATCATCAGGACATCTAGAAAAGCACTCTCTCAACCAATTTAGCTTCAACATTCCTCCATTTAGGTCCTTCGGTGCTTTCCCGAGTAAGTCTTCACATACTGAGTGAGGCGTCTTCACTGGTACACCTATAACAGGATTTCCATCAATTGGTAGCCCAAGTATAAGTGCAACATCTTCAAGAGTTACAGTCATTTCTCCAACAGGCAAATGAAATGTATTTGTTTCTCTCCTCCACCTCTCAACAAGTGCCGAGATGAGTGAATTGTCAAGAACAATTGTTGGTATCGATCTGAAGTAGCTAAATCCGGCCTTCTCAACCAACTCAGCCTGTTTAGGTGTGAGTCTCCATTGTTCGAGCATTGAAGTGTGTTCATGACATCTAAGAACACCACGCTCCTATACATTTTGATTGAGATATCAGTACACAATATCAGTCAAATTATGGGCGGAAAACCATGTTCTAAAAAGGATGAAGGAGAAAAGTTCTTGTCTAACCTGTCCATTCCAAATCGCTGAAGAGATATGATTATCTTGATCATAAAGTACAGACTTATAAATTGGTCCAGGATTTATATGCGACTCCATCTCCATTTGAGTCACTAGCTTAAATAATCCTAAACTCAGGAAAGGGAAACATTAAACTCTAGCCCCATAAATTATGCCAATAATAAAACTCTGTTGTATGCATAAAATACAATTGCAAATAAACTATAGATAAGTTTGAAGTTGACTTTGCTTGAAAATTGAAACCCCTTTTACTGGAAAACAAAAAAGAAAGCTTTGATAAATTTGTTCCTCTGGAGACACCAAATGTAAAAGAACTTTCATTTAAAAAATGTTTTAGGCTACAAGTATTTTATTAAAGCAACCAGAGTATCACTTTCAAAGCATCCAAGCTCATGCCTTTAATGAATTCTAAAATTTTGAAAAAGAAAAATAGAAAACTGAAAATCTAAACCATAATAGAAAAATATACCCAGATTACCAGTGACGTCAAACTCAACAACCCAATTATTTTCTAGCCAAAATAGGGCAAAACCTTCTTACTTTTCATGAAAAAAATAATAATTTGAAACTTCGCAATTTTGAAAATTTTATTTATTTTCCAACATTTTCCCAGGAAACAAACGGAAACCACAGAAAATTACAAATACAAATTAAAGCACAGAATATACTGACCTTAAATTAGTTGTGTACCGAAACTAGGGTTTGCTAAAAGGATCAGAAATCATGGAAGACTTGGACGAGGACGATGAAACCCAGAAAACGACGACAACGAAGGTGTCGTCTAGGTTCAAAGAACCTTGGAGTATAAGTATGAAACCAGAGTCGTTTTCCCGTTCTCTTCTGAGATTTGAGTGAGATGGTGTCGTACTCTGGCAGAGACCATCCAACGGTGAGAATTGCGGAGTCGTGCTATGTCATTTGTGTTGAGCTATAGCAAACGACAATTAACATTCCGTGTCGTGTTATATATGCCCATGTATATTGGATTGGATCATAGGTTCGTCTTCTTGTATATGGTTGACCTACGAGAGATATAAAAAAAAAGAAGCTAAAAAACAGAAAGAAAGCCCAAATTTCATCCCCAAACACCAATCTTGCAGCCCATTAACTATTTAGTCTAGTGATGTTTCTCCTCTATAATGATGGAAGATATCCAAATTCGAATACCTCATCTCTCAAACATCGAGAAAGTACGAATATTTCAACTAAAATGTAATGAATCGACTACTTCCAAATTAATAGTATATCGTCTCACCTGAATATTTAACAGATAAACAGATGATGAAAGAATGATGAGATAGAGTTATAAATTCGAACATATATTTGAACCCTTACAAGTGCCAAACAAAAAAGAAAAAGATTTATATGAAACATAAAGTTCGGACATTTGTGAATGATTGTACGTATTTAAAATTTATCTAAATAAGAGAGTGAATCATGGAGTTTTCGTTAATCCAAAAAATAATATTTCACATAGATATGTAGAAGAATCGATTACACTTTATACAAATGTGCTTAAATGAAATTTGGCTCATGACCTTTAAAAAGAAAAATAAATAGCTTTAATACTCACGTGCATAACACGTGGGCACAAACTAGACAAAGGCAGAGGCAACGACAGTTCAAAGTTCCTCCTACTCCATGGCAATGGAAATTGAAGTAGACGACCATTCGAAACTCATACTAGAGAAGGGTCATAAGACTCTGTTTGGAAGAGGAAATGGGTTCAGCACCAACGACCGTACAGTGTCTAGTCGTCACGTTTTGTTCGAATTGGAACACAAAAGCGCGAACCAAACAGAACCCAGCGTTTCATTTGAGGTTCTAGGGAAGAATCCCATATGGGTCCGGAGCCAAAAGGATGGGGGAGTTAGGGTTTTCAGGAGGTCGGAGAAGGGTGAGGTGGCGGCCGGTGATTGGTTCTGTGTGTCTGGGAATAGACCCGTTTGGTTCAGAGTGAGAAATGTTGAGGTGGAAGAGAGAGAGAACAGGGTTTTGGAGAGTGAGAGTGAGTTGGCTGAGGGTTTGCAAAGGGGGTCTGAATTGGAAGGTCTTGATGTCTCAGGCATTGACCCTGTCAAAGGTTTGGCTCTAAATTGCTTCATGGTCTTGTTTGTTTGCCGGGAAAATTGAACAAATGAAGAGAAAAATCTTATCTTGAGATCTTTGGGTGGCTTTTTATGTTTCTTTTCCTTTTTCCTTGTTTGAGATGAGCTGTTAGTGTTCATGAGAGTGATTAAATGACTTCAATTTGTAGGTTGCAATTACTTTCAGGTACAGTTTTAGTGATTCTTTTTGTTTGCTGATAAATTAAGTAAAAATGAAAGAAATATGAAATCTTGAATTTTGTGAATTGGTACTGTTTTGAGAATCTTTGGTGTTACTATCTGAAATTGGTAAAATGTCTGTTATCAAAAGGTTGAGGATGTTGTAATGAAGAATTTGAGGTTACTTCCTAGGCCATTGAACCATCAGCATTTGAAGTAACTGAAGTGTTACTTTATTGTGTTCAATTTAGCTTTTGTAGGCAATATTTGTACATTAAAATTGCTACCTTGTATATGTGCTGTATAAAATATTTTGAGTTCTTTCACCTGTAACTTAATTCAATCATAGCGGCTAACTTCTCGATTTGGGGCATTGTATATGTGTATGCATATTTCTTGTTAAATTTTCTTCTTTATACATTACGGTACTTAGAATTACCAGTTATGCTTGTGATGATAATGTCACACTCTTTCTGGAATGCAGAGTTTGGCTTTGTTGTAATGGGGCATGAGTTTGATCCCTATCCCAAGCAAATGATCCGTGATGTAAAGAAGTGGAACTGGTTTCTTGAGGAACCTAGAAAAGAAAGCGAAAATGATGACGAATTTGAGCAGAAGGAGAGGAAGGGTGCGCCGAGAAAGAGGAAAAAAGGCGAAGAAAATGAGGATGAGGAGTGGACAGGGGAGAGTGAAGCTGATGAGGAGCTTGTTGCAAAGTTTAGAAAGGTAAATAAGCCAAAATATTCTACAAGATCGAGGGCCAGTTTCGAACCTCAGAAGGATGCAAAATGTGGTAGTAAAAGCTCTGTGCAGAAGAAGAAGACTTCTAGTTTGGGTGAAGAAGATGAAACACTTGGAGGCTTCATTGTTGGTGAGGAGGACTTGGAAGAAGAAGAAGTAGATGAAACCAATGAAGACGACGAAGAAGAGGAATTTGTTGAAGAAGAAGATGATGAGGAAGAGTAGAGGATTGACAAGCAAAAAACATGTTTTTGGTTGTGCAAGTTATGTTTTCCAAATGTAGCATCATGTATGTCGTATGGTTTGCTTTTGCCAACAACCAAACGACTTTGTTTTGATTTAGAAGTATAAACATAAATACAAGTAGAATATCTTATTTATTTATTTTTAACCAATAGAGAGGAGAGATTCAAATTCAAGGGTAAATAAATTTTCTTTTTGGTTAGAGCGAATTCAACACACCCATCTCATGCATTCATGTTTTACTGGTTATGAAAAGACCCATAAAATTTATATAAAAAACAAAAAAACCAGAACGACGACGTATTGTGCGACGGAAGTTTTCTATATGCTGCGTTTTTCCTTGCCCAGCTTCCATATAAATATCTGAAAATGCAAAATTGAAATTTTAAATTCATGCCCGGTTCTCGTCCGACGGCGCCGTTTCAAGCTAGGGTTTCTCTGCAACCACAGAATCCAATTTCAATTCCAACTTCCAACACTCTCACAAAATACCTAGCTAATAAGGTAACTAACCCAAATCCGAATCTTAGGGTTCATCGCACTGCTTGCTTTGAGGATTTAAGCCAATCCAATGGCATAATTGCAAGCTAAGCTAAGGCTTGGTCGCCCACAAATTGATTCCTTTGCAGGTCTATAGGTATCAAAAAGGTGGAGAGGAAATTTGGGCCTAAGAACAAATGGAAGATTTTCATGAACGCAGTCGTTTCGACGACAACCGAATCGCTTACAATGGAAACGAAGAATTTGAACAACCACCAGAGCAACAATATGAAGAATTTGAACAACCATCAGAGCAACAATTTGATTCGGGCCGTGGTTTTGAAACGAACCATAACGTAGATAGTGAAGGCAATGAGTTTAGGGATTCATTCAATCATCGTGATTCGGCTGCGGGGTTAGTTGGGTTTTGAGTTTTAAAGTTACAGTTTTTCTTGATAGAAATTTCAATTCTTGTGAATATAATTGAGGGTAGAATGAGAGAGTAACACTTGGGTTTGCTTTCTTATGTGGTAGAAAACTATTTGTAGGAGGCGTTTCTTGGGAGACGACTGAAGGTATTTGTTTAAGCTTTTGATTTCGTGTTTTTACTTGTAAATTGGAAACGGACATAGTTTAACGTAGTTTCACATCTGGGGTCATATTGATGTCATGGATTGTACATTTTGTGTTCCTTCTTACTGGTGATCGAGCCTATCTATTTGTAAGCCGTTGTTAATCTGATGAAACTGGATTTATTTGTTTGAGATATCCAAGAATTCAAAGCTTGTTGCTTTACTTTTCATTTCATGTTGTAGATTCCGGCATCTACTAGATTAGTTGTGTTTGTTTGTTGAATATGGCCATCTGGTGTATTTTTGTGTGCCCTATTGGCCATCTGGAGCTTTCTAGAATTTCCTCTGGACGAGAACATATGAAATAGTTTTCGTTTTAAAAATTTATATTAAATGCTATGGAGAAAGAGCAATTGGCTGCTATGATTTTCATTAATTTCTATGAATAAGAAAATCAAACACACCATTAATCTGTCTTCTGTTTCTTTTTAGACTGTTTACTTAGTTACTCTCTCACGTAATTTTTGGCTTGCTGCGAAAGTATGTCATAGAATTTGTTGCTGTTAGTTAATTATGATAGATTATTTTAGTCGTTTTATGTTCCTGTTGCCAATTCAATTTCCTTCTTAAAACTTCACTTTCTTTTATGGAGGGAAAGGAGCTGGAATTTGAGCTACTTTCATTTATTTCCTGACCTGTTTCATTGTGAATAGTATTAACTCCCCCTTTATCCTTATCCGATTTTCTGATGATTTTCCTTTCAGAGGCCTTTACCAATTACTTCAGCAAGTATGGAGAAATAGCAGATTCTGTTATAATGATTGATAAACATTCTGGGAGGCCAAGGGGGTTTGGGTTTGTAACATTTGCTGATCCAGGGGTTGTTGATTCGGTTTTGGAGGAAGAACATGTCATAGATGGCAGAGTGGTAAACATTCATTGTCCTAGTGCCTAATAATATAATGTCATAATTTTCCCAAAACTTCGAATAGATTGTTGGATAGTTTTGTCTGACTCTGTTACCCTATTGGTGTTGAAATATTTTATACCAGGTGGAGGTGAAGAGGACAGTCCCGAGGGAGGATATGGGGTTTAAGGGGATATCGAAAAGAAAGAAGATTTTTGTTGGTGGAATACCAACGTCTTTGACTGATGGTATAGTAGAACCTACTTCATATTTTTATTATGATTCCAATAATTTTTTTTTCTTTCCTTTTTTGACATTATGGTAAAACATTGTAGATGAGTTGGGGGAATATTTCTCTACATATGGTAGCATTGTTGAGCACCAGATTATGGTAGATCATAAAACTGGGAGGTCTAGAGGATTTGGGTTTGTCACTTTTGAGAATGAAGATGCTCTTGACAAGGTATTTTCTGAGGGCAAGATACATGAACTTGGAGGCAAACAGGTACAAGTTAAAGATTGATTAGTATGTCTTTTCATATATGGTTTCTGGATGACATGTTTATAACGTTGGCACGTAATGTTAAATGTAGGTGGAAATAAAAAAGGCTGAACCTAAAAGGGGTGGTGGTGATTTCAGTGGCAGTGCTCCCAAGTCATATGGTGGCTCAGGTGGTGCTGCAGCTGGATATGGTGCATATAATTCTGCAAGTCGGTACAATGGAAAAATGGGCAGGGGCTATGGTGGGGGTGGGTATCCCCCCTATGGTACTTACAACAACTATGGTGGAAACTATGCTGGAAGCTATGCGGGTTTCTACGGTGGCTATGGTGGATATGGATATGGATTTGGGTATGGTGGACCCATGTACGGCAATGCTGGATATGCAGCCAGTGGATATGGCATGCCTGCTGGTTATGGTGGGAATACTGCCTATGGTGGTGGTAGAGGGTATGGAAATGGTGCTGTTGGCCGTGGTGGTGGTAGCGGTGGTGGAAGTTATGGTTCTGGTAGAGGATATGATCGGAATGGTGGTTCTACGACCGGAAGATATCATCCTTATCAAAAGTGAGGAAAATTTTTGTCGACTTCATACTTTGTAATCAGCGTCCACTTACTGTTGGAGCATAGTGAACTTTCCTCAAGTCGCTGCCTGAGAGCGTCAACAAAATTTGCTGTAATTGTGAAAAAAAAACTCTGATTAAAATTTGTGGTACTTTGCCCTATCAGACCGGTTGATTTGGAAGAGGAAGCAAATGACAACTTTGCCAGCATAAATGGGTCTCTGATAGGAGGTTTTCTACGATCCTTGCACACTCTGTAAAGAAAATTAATGTGCAGATCAACTTTTTTGCAAGCCATATAGAAATGCTACAGCTTATTTATGTCACAACTTTTAATCCCAGGGATGTTTTTGATTGAAATGTCTTATCAGTTGCTTGTAGTTTTAAGCATCGTTTAGAACATATAGGGTTGGTCTGTGTTGTGTGCTCTTCTTTGGTTTGGCTAAAAAGGAAGTTGGAAACGCAGAGGGTAGTCGAGTACCGAGTAACTGTAAGTTAAGGATTTTGGCCATCTTTGAAGTTTGAACAAGTTTCATTCCTTGTGCGCTTTTAGCTTTTCTGACCTATACAACAAGCCAAATGTGTTCTTCCGGTATATGGTTTGCAGTTTGCCCTCTGCCATTGGAAATGCTATTGTGACTGTGTTCAAGTTCAATCACACACTGTCACGTGAAAAAAGTTAAAATGGCTTTAGACACGGCCAATAATATGACTAGAAAGTTCCTTATTGCAAATTCGTAACTTGTATTGAGCCATAAAAAAAATTAAAATAATTAGCAATTGGACAAATTGGAAACGTGGGCCTGTCCAATATGGGAATAGGATTAACCCGGCCAAGTTTTGATTGTGTCCAGAACCCTCTTGGTGCCTGCGTCTCTGTGTCTACCCAAACAACTAAGTTTATAGCATAGAAATGCGACCTTTCCTTCAATGAGCCCTTGAAACGGAAAGACCAAAGTATTTTAGATAGGTGTGGTTATGTCGTTTTGGTCAAGACCACTGACTGTCACCATTTATCTTCCACTGCCATGGCAATGTGTTCAAGCTTTTGCCCTCATCTTCCTAACCACTTTGGAGGGAGACCTGCTTACTCATTCCCAACAAAACCACTTTCATTTCTTTCAAGGCTTTCACTTCTCAAGCATCCAATGCTTCATCCAAAGGTATTTTCTTAATGTCTCTTCATATTATTTTACTGGGTAGTTCTTATTTTTCCCAATAATAATAATTTTTAAATTAAAAAAAAACATAAACCAACAATTGAGCTTAGCATGCAAATGGGTTGTGGGGGAGATGGTGTTCCAAAGTTGCAAAGGATAGAATTTTTCACAGTTTACACTGAATATTAAACAGAACTTTCAGAATCACTGAGGTATTAGATATTTTGTAGAGTCTTCTGCTACATCTTTATGCCATCCGCTGAGCTTGGTATTTTAAAATTCATGCAGATGAATTGCCAACTCGTGTGGGTTTCCTTGGCCTCGGAATTATGGGTTCTCCGATGGCACAGAACCTCATAAAATCTGGGTATGGATTTTCAACATTTGACGATGTTCATTCATTCTTGTTCGAATGGTTAGAAAAAAGTCCCTGTTAAGGTTTTATGTTTTATGTTAACTATTTGGAATTTTATAGGTGTGATGTGACTGTTTGGAATAGGACCAAGAGCAAATGTGATCCACTCATCAGCTTAGGTGCAAAGTAAGTAATGTACTGGATATCAAATGAATATTGCTTTGTGCTCTCACATCCTTTAGAATAATGCCCTTCGGCATAGATGATTAAAATCTTGATAATGTTTGAATGACATCCTTGAGACCTTCTTCTTAACATCATGACATTCAGTTGTTTTCAGTACTAGTAGATTCACCAACAAAAAAATTTCTTATAGATTAGTTGTTTATTGGTAGTTTTCTTTTATCTGCACCTTTCAAAAGCCACAAGTGGGTTATCTCATTTAACTAAATGGTTATGCAGATATAAACTCTCTCCTGAGGAAGTCGCTGCATCTTGTGATGTCACATTTGCCATGCTTGCTGACCCTGAAAGTGCTGTGCGTATGTTTTCATTTAGGTTTTTTCTTGCTTACTCTGCTACCACAGTTGGAGGAACTTATTGCTTCTTTTAACTCAGGTTGATGTTGCTTTGGGGAAGCATGGAGCTGCGAATGGGATGAGTTCAGGAAAAGGGTAATATTTGATGAATGCATCCCTTGAACATAAGCAATTTTAGTGTTCCAAATCATGAATCTTGAGTTAGTGCTAAACAATAAACGTGTTGAATGGTTTCATATCAGGATATATGTTTTCTGATAACTGTGCAGTTTTTCCACTTTTCTTTTCAAAGTTTAAGTTCTTGCTGTTTATTTCTCAGTTCACCTTCCACAAAGCTAATTATTGTGGTACATACTTCACCAAACACAACTTCCATCAACCTTTGATTTCCTCAAATATATTCTTCCTAAGCTGGTCAACAGCATTTATGTTACTCTCTATGGACATCTACAGGTATGTGGATGTTTCAACTGTTGATGGTGCAACTTCAAAATTGATTAGTGGACATATCAAATCTACTGGGGCATCATTTTTGGAGGCAAGCTGTTTATTAGTTTTATTTCTAAAATATGTGCAATGCGTCTGTACAATTTCATTCTTTAAGTTTAAGCATGACTAAATCCAAGTATTGGTGTTTTTTCTTTAGGCTCCAGTTTCGGGCTCAAAAAAGCCAGCAGAAGATGGACAACTAATATTTCTCACTGCAGGCATGCAATCTTGTTGTTTTCGTTATTGCATTTCTGAGTACCATTTATTTATGCTTATTCCTGTCACCAATATGAATGCAAGATGTTGAAACCAAACCCCCGCCGCCACCCCCCCAAAAAAAGAAAAGAAAAGAAAGTAAATGAATGGAATTTGTAAGTAGTCATTTGCAAAATTGTGTTGATTATATTTGTTATTGAATATGTTGAAGGATCTTTTTCTAGTAATAACATCAGTACACTTCAAATATCATCTATTTTTCAACATGTAACTCTTTTTGCCCTTTAAAGTTTCATGTTCCATAGCATGTGGAGGGACCTCAGAGAAACTGAATCAAAGTTGAAATCTTTCAGGTGACAAATCTCTCTATGAAATAGCAGCACCGCTTTTAGATGTCATGGGGAAGGTATTGGCTCTTCTTCACCTATCCATCCAGTTACCCGTTTCTATTTTATGCTTATGTTAACAATTCCATCCAGTCAAGATTTTACCTTGGGGATGTCGGAAATGGTGCTGCTATGAAACTTGTTGTGAACATGATCATGGGAAGGTAATGCAGTGTTTCATTTCAGGTAATTCCTTTATTTTTTGTTTGTGTTGACCACAGTGTATCCTTTTAACCTTTTTCTACAATTTCTAGTATGATGGCATCATTTTCTGAAGGCTTGCTTCTCACTGAGAAAATAGGACTGGACCCAAAAGTACTAGTTGAGGTACTCTCCAGAACATGCCTAATCTTTCTGCATTGTTTTCTTTATAATACCTTTTATGAAACTCCTCGTGATTCAATATTTTTCTTTGAACCAGATTGTAATCATTTAAACGTCTCTGTCTCTTTAAGTTTTTCTTTTCTTTTTATCAAATTTTAAGTGATGAGGCAAGGTTGATAAGTCATTTAGTGACCGATTAACTTACCAATTTCAACAGTTTAGGGCTTTGAATCTATGACCCATGTAGAGAATGATTCTTCCATCTGGGAATGGACTAAAGAGTATCAAGGTTTATAGAGCTAAAGCATTGCCCATGTTCGATAAATAAATAAAAAAGGCATTGCCCATGTTCAATAAAAAAAAAGGCATTGCCCATGTTCGATAAAAAGAAGAAGCAGCATTGTCCATGTTCATAATGATTCACAGTGACATTAATGGGCGAGATGTTTCATTCAGACAACTGATTCCAATTCCTTGTTCAAGTCCCTCATCCAAACAGACCCTTAATGAAAACTGATCTGTAATGGAGAGGCAGATTAATTGGCTAGAAAGGAGCCTGATTGGAGAGATTTTATGAGAGATGATGTTCTCTCTCTATCTTTTATTTTCTGTATGCTGTATTTTAATTTAGTTTCTTTGAGTTATTGTCCTTGAAGGGTTGCTTGTTCTTCATTTTCTCATTGATAAAATTGTTTTTATGTACCAGAAAGAAGGAAAAAATCCCAAGAAGTATGAAATCATTGCATTCCCGTGGTTTTGCAGGTCGTCTCGCAAGGAGCCATTAGTGCACCAATGTACTCAGTCAAGGGCCCATCAATGATTCAGTCCCTCTATCCTACTGCATTTCCCTTGAAGCATCAACAAAAGGTGTGTTAAGTTGCCTCACTGCCTTACGCTAAATCATTAACCCCCTGACCAATTAGTACACGTTCATAAATGCTTGCAGGACCTGAGGCTTGCTCTGGGATTAGCAGAATCTGTTTCCCAATCCACGCCAATCGCCGCGGCTGCAAATGAACTATACAAGGTAGCAAAATCACATGGGCTCAGCGACGAGGACTTTTCAGCTGTCATCGAAGCGTTGAAACCAAAGTTGCAGCAATAGGCAAAGTAGTTGATAGTCAATTTTAACATGAAAGTAACTATCAAAGTGAAATCATATCTTACACATTTCTCAATTGTTTTGTTCTTCTTTCTTTTATTTTCAATGATTAAGGGCATGTAGGGAAGAGTCCAATGAAAATGATCAATTCTGTGGCGCCTCAGCCCTGTATAGAAAGTTGGATATTCTCTTGCTTTTTGCTCTTTACAGGTATCCCAGGCCAGCTATTCTTATGATCTTCAACTTGGTAGTTCATTGTGATGATACTTATTTGACCACAAAGGAAGGAAAGTGATGGAAATCCATGTACAGGTGTATATAACGTTCCCCTCTTCTCACAACTCAACTCGAGAGGAGCATTGTATATACCTGTTATATGCCAGAAAATATTTCCAAATTTAGGCTATGGGAATTGCTTTTATGGAGAGTAACACATAATTCTCTTACAGCCTATGCATAAATGGAAAAATTGGTATGTGTGACATTGACACTACGCTGACATGTCACGTGATGCTCCGGATCCACTCACGCTCTAAAATGTAATCGAATCGAATCTCCATGTATTCGACTTATGGACATATATTAATGATTGTATGCATTACAATTGGGTAGGTTCTTGTAGCATGACATCGGTATGCCACATAGTGTTACCACTACACACAATTGGGTAGGTTTTTGTAACGCAACATTGGTGATTCGGTATGCCATGTAATGTTATCAATGCACAAAATTGGGTAGATTTTTGTAACACAACATTGGTATGCCATGTACATGGTGTTATCAATGCGCAAAATTGGGTAGGTTTTTGTAACACAACATCAATATGCCACGTGTAGTGTTATCACTGCACAAATTTGGGTAGGTTTTTGTAACACAATATCGATATGCCACAAAATTGGTAGGTTTTTGTAACACGACATCGATATGCATGTGTCAAAATTGGTAGATTTTTGTAACACGACATCGATATGCCATGTGTAGTATTATCACTGCACAAAATTGTGTAGGTTTTTGTAACACAATATCGATATGCCACTGCCATGTGTAGTATTATCACTGCACAAAATTGTGTAGGTTTTTGTAACACAATATCGATATGCCACGTAGTGTTTACCACTGCACAAAAGAATTTCACACTGATTTGGATTCTAAGCCTCTCCACCATTATAAATTTGGCTCTTCCCCTTCATCTTCCACACACACTGATTAACAGATAAACACCAAATTGGCAGAGGTGGTTTCATGTTTTGAGTACAAACTAAAGCCTCTAGAGAGAGAGAGAGAGAGAGAGAGAGAGAGAGAGAGAGTTTGTCAGTTGCTGTGACTTGTCAGTAGCTTTTTCAAACTCACCCAATTGGGTCGTGGAGCCGACGGGCCCCACCCCCACAGTATAAAACAACTTCTCCTAGGTTTAGCCACGAGACGAGAGACTGAGAGAAAGACTCGCTTCTCAATCTCCCTCCCTTTTTATCTCCACTTTCCCTCTCTTTCTTTCCCTAGGGTTTTGTATTTTCTCGCTTCCCAAACAGGTTTTCAAAATGAGCAGCAACAAAGATACCTTCGATATGTCCGAACTCGGCTCCTCCCTCCCGGCCGCTGCCGCCGGTAATACCTTATCTCACATGTTAAACCCTATTGTATGTGTAAGGGGAAATTATTTGAATTCTGTTGAGTGAAAGCAAAAACCCTGAAGCTTAATTTTGGTTTCTTTATCTCATTTTGCAATTGGAATTTGGCTGTGGAACTATTTTTAAGGCCTTTGTGTGGTGAACTTGAGAATTTTATTGGCATTTTGTTATTGCAGTACTTTGAATTTGAACTCTTTGTGTTGGCTTTTGTGTGTAGCTCTTAGTGCAGAGGATCGTGCTGGTCTTGTTAATGCTCTTAAGGTGAGGTTCTTTTGCCATGTTGTAATTTTTTCAATAGCAAGAAAGATATGTGGTTGCTGTTTCTTGTGGTTCTTATGATGATCATCGTATGGTTAAAATTCAAGTTTGGTAGTGGAAATAAAAACAAGTTTTTTTATTTTCTTTTAAGACTTCCAGTAGGTTTGGATAGTAAATTTAAAGTTTTTATATAAATGAATTGAATTATGTTCAAGCGAGCAAAAGTAATCCAAAAGATCAAGTTTTTCTTTCCACAGTTCTATTAAAAAAATTTAATCACTTATTGGTGTGGTCTGCCAGGGTCCTATTTTCTTATTGGTAATTCTTTTTTAGTTACTTATTGTTGGTGTTGTTTGCAGAATAAGCTTCAGAGCTTGGCTGGACAGCATACTGACATATTGGAAACTTTGCCACCTTCGGTCAGGAAGCGTGTTGAGGTTTTGAGAGAGATACAGGTTTGTCTGCCTTCAAATTTCATTACATAAGTGTTATTCTGAACTTTTTGTACCAAATCCTAATTTTGTGGATGAGTATAACCTAAGATTGAGAATAAACAATAGGATCAGTAGAAATAAATTTGTGCTCAATCATAGAGCTCCTGAGTACCCCATATATGTCCATTTCTTGCAGGGCCAACATGATGAGCTGGAAGAGAAATATTTTGAGGAGAAAGCTGCATTGGAAGCAAAATACCAGAAGCTTTATGAACCTCTCTACGCAAAGGTATGCAGTGTCTCAATAGGCATTTAGGTCTTATTACTTTGATGTTATGCTGTCTTATAGTTTAGAAATTTTCGTGTTTAAAATTCATCTGAAATTGAGTTTTGTGAATTGGCTTTAAACGTGCTGCTATATCCAAGGATGATGTATGTGCCTTTCTGGTTAATGTGACGGTTGATTGCAGAGATATGACATTGTTAATGGTGTAACTGAAGTCGAAGGAGTGAAAAATGAAGATGCACCAGACCAAGAAGGAGATAAGGCCACTGAAGGTACCTCTCAAAATTCAAATCTTTAATGATTTCATGCACTACCCTTGAGTTTGATGTTGGATTATTCCTTTTGATGTAGAGAAAGGAGTTCCTGACTTTTGGCTCACCGCAATGAAGACTAATGAAGTACTTTCTGAGGAGGTGGGTGATTTTATTAGTCATTTGCTGTGCTCATTTCTTGAATTGATTATGGAAATATAATAAGCTGTTTCCTGGAATAGATCACAGAGCGTGATGAAGGTGCACTCAAGTATCTCAAAGATATCAAGTGGTGTAGGATAGACAAGCCAAAAGGATTCAAGCTGGAGTTCTTCTTTGATCCTAATCCGTATTTCAAAAATTCTGTCCTGTCAAAAATATATCACATGATTGATGAGGACAATGAGCCTATTTTAGAAAAGGCTATTGGGTAATTTTCATATCTGTTTTACTGAATTTTTTCCCCTTTTTTCCCTCTAATTCTAAGTTGGGTTACCTTGTAGGACTGAGATTGAATGGTATCCTGGGAAAAGCTTGACACAGAAGCTTCTCAAGAAGAAGCCAAGAAAGGGATCAAAGAATGCGAAGCCCATGACCAAAACTGAAGATTGTCCAAGCTTCTTCAACTTCTTTAGCCCTCCTCAGGTCCCTGATGACGATGATGATATCGATGATGATACTGTAAGTTTGGTTTCATTCATGATATCGAGGCTATTGAACTGGTTAATGATGATATAAGCAAGTTATTTTAAACTCTGATGTTTACACTTTACGGTGACAGGCTGAAGAACTCCAAAGCCAGATGGAGCAGGATTATGATATTGGGTACGTTAATGATATTTTTTTTCTTCTTTAATGCATACTGTGTGGTTTCTCTGACATTTAGCAAGGCAGTAGATGTTGGCAAAACAATAATTTTGTATTATAGATTGGATTTGTTGTGAATTTGGTGAAGTCTGATCAGTTAGTTGGGATGAGTCTTGTAAATTAAAAATGCAGTTCAAAGAGCTGGAATTGTAACATTAGAAAGAGATGGAAATGGACAATGTACTCAGGATGCTTGAAGAAGGATCACATAACATATTGTGTACATCACATTCTACATAAACAAATTGTCATGCACAAGAAGTAAATATTGGCATTGTATTGACACATCCAAGTACTCATAGTTTCTATGCATGGGAAGCTGTATGGCATCCTACCTATCTTATAGTTTGTATTGGTATTCTATTGACATGGTACTGGTGTTATGTATAGTTCAACAATTCGAGACAAAATCATTCCTCACGCAGTATCATGGTTCACTGGAGAGGCTGTTCAAGGGGATGAGTTTGAAGATTTAGAAGATGACGATGATGATGACGTTGATGAGAATGATGATGATGATGATGATGAGGAGGAAGAAGAGGAAGATGGTGAGGACGATGATGACGATGAAGATGATGATGAGGAAGAGGAAGATAAGGGCAGGAAAAAGGTATATATAAATAAAAATGTATAGATAGGGCATACATATACAACTGCAGTTTTCATTCATTATGATATTAGAATGTTGTATTAAGTTTTAAGTTGTCAAGCCTGCTAATATATCCATTTTTATTGGATTTTGCAGCCATCTGCTGGATCTAAGGTGTGATGATTTAACAGTTGTATGTTCTTTTATTTTTATTTTTGTAATTTTAAGATTTTCTGCAACCCTCACTCAGGGTTAATGACTTATTACCTGAATTACTCTGTTCAATTGCAGAAAAGTGGTAGGGCACAAGGTGCGGAAGGTCAGCAAGGGGAGCGCCCTCCCGAGTGCAAGCAACAATAGTGACAGTTATGAATAGACGAGCTTGCGTGGGTGGCTTCTGCTTCTTGAGAGTTGAGTGTTTGATATTCCTTGGTATTGTTTGGGGAAAATCGTTACCCTCTGGTGCTTTGGGTTTTATTGCTTCTGTTGGATGTTTAGGTTGGCCAGTGCTGTCTATGTCCTATGAAACCCTAAGTATATTTATTGATACATTTCTCTTTCATTGTTTGTTTATTAAATATAGCAAATGCAACATGCTTTTATCATCCTGTCACTCCGATAAGCACATTTCTTACATTTCCCGACCATATTACTAATCACATCTCTCACGTGGTATGTATTAACGGCTATGCTTTTGCATCCTCGTGGATCACCATGAAGTTGCATAAAATTCCCAGTCATATCTCAACCCTGCATCACCCCGCAGTGATCCCTTGCTCATGTTGAGTACCATCTAAGCTGGCTTTCAGGACATGCTTAACATCAAACCCATTTGTCGATGTGTCAAATTGACACGGGATCAAAACCTGAAAACTCTCAGATTCCAGTGCTATTGGCCCAATGAACTGAATGAATCAGAGATGGGTGTAGGCTTACCCAAGTTTTGGATTGTTGGGCAACTGGAGATAGGTTTGATACATTCACAACAGTTAATAAAAAGATTAGCAAAAATATCCTAAAATCAAAGCAAGACCTCAAAATAACTGACCATTAGGATCTGTGCACACCCATTTGTCCCATTCATGACCATCAGGAGATTCACGTCAAACTAGAAAACCAAGAAACCAGAGACAAAATGTCAAGAGTCGCAAGTTAAATCAAGATATGTGTGAATTCCAAAAAAATAAAAATAAAAATGGGTGTAGATATACCATTGATCCAATTCTTGGAGAGGTTGGGACGAGACTTAAACTTATGTTGCTTGTGGAGAGAAACTTCCCTATCTTGGTGCTAATGTCTCTTTCTTCTTATCTCTCTCTTCATGATTTAACAAAGAAAGGGAGATATTAGCTCCGAGGTAGGTAAGGATTTTTCGTGGTTTTGAGGAACATTGAGAAACGAAAGGATAGTGTGGTTTTATTTGGGCACATATATAAGAGAAACCAAGCTGTGGCTGGTCTAGCTAATGGAGACTAAGTGAGAGGATAAAAGTTACGGCATGTAGATTGTGATTGTTCTTAACCCAAGGAAAATATAAACAACAACAAAGAAGAGGGAAGTTGTGATTATTCTGATTAAAATTTTCAGTTCAATCAACTGCAAAGAAGAGGGAAAGGCCACCACAAACTGGCTCTTTGTGTCTCTTGATGATCATATATACTTAAGCACTTTGAAGAAGAGTACTTTTAAAGAAAAAGAAAAACTATCAAATTGTTGAGCTCCATTTACAATGTGATCTAATAGTATGAACTGTCAATTTATAGATCATCTCTTGTTAATAAAAAAATAAAAAAATTCAGAATAATTTAGAGATTTTTATTCAAAATCCCATTTTAACATAGACATATTATACCGAAATTCATATAGAGCTTATTTAGAGAGAAAAATCTAACACTAGCCACTTGTTATTTTCTAATTGGTTCTTCTTCGTCTGTTAAAATTTTATTAATAACTAATTAGAAAATGGCAAATGGCTAGTTTGGATTTTGGATTTTTCTCACCAATTATGCTTTATAAGGATTTTTGTATAATATGTTATGTTAGAATGACCCGCCCAATAATTTAACCAAGGGTGATATGTACTATAACTCTTATAATCTTCTAGGTTGTAGTAAACAATTGAAAGCTAGTGGGAAACTTGCAACAATCTCGATATATAATAATTAAGCAGAACCAAATAGTTTTAATAGTCATTCATCTCAATTATGTGGAACCAAGATCATAAGAATGAATAATATTTCCAAGCTTTGCTTCTCCTTCTCCCAAGAGTCCTCTCCACTAGTCATATATAATTAATTCAATTGATTTCTGCTGTTTTCAAGCTCCATGCACTTCCTGTGATTTTTACATCATCAGTTCCATAATTGAAGGCATACAAGTGGGCATCAACATCAATGGCCAATGTGGGATAGACTCTAGCTGTGATGCACGCCTTCCCTTGTCCGGCAAAGCTCTCCACTATGGAGTGATCTATCTGCAGAAGATGCAAAAATTTCAAATGCATTAGGACAAAATTTCATTATCCTGAAATGGGTAAAAGAAAAAGGATGAACTGAAAATGTATAGGCATGCACATTGCTGAGTAGGAACCATATACATAAAGTAAATTTACGTGACTTTCACAGTGAGATTCACATGCATCAATAATCATAACATAAATTAGTTACACATTCACGAATCACACAACTAAACGTGAGCATTTCTCTATCATAAATATTAAACTATTTTGATTCATGGAAAAGAATCTAGTCTAAGGTGGTCCTAGCACTTAAATGGTGCGATAGGCATCTTTTTAAAGCCCAAACACATCATTTACTGTCAAAATCTTAGAAGTTGCTTTGTATACTTTTAGAGTTGTGCTTTTTATTTAATTTCAGCCATATTTGATTTGAAAATCAAACATATATAATATGGTCCATGTGAAAGCGTGAAGGTGGGGTCAGTTTGCGTATGAAAGTTTCAAGGAAACTAAATGCGGATAGATTCTCAAGGTTTGATGGAAATTTCTGGTGGGCAAGACTTTTCAAACTCAACAGAATCCCATGAATCCAATGTGTGGAGGAGCTCATGATGATCACATAGAAACACTGACTTCTCAACAAAGAAGAATAGCATAAATTGATAATAAATAAAAAAAACCCTATTTGATTGGTTCACAGCAACTTACCAAGCTTCTTAGTGAGAGCTTCTCATGCAGAGGATCCACCTTTAGAAAAGCCCCATAAGTGGTCTTATCATTATCCTGATTTAAGGAAGACCTACCAACCAAACAATAAAGAGTCAACAATTTGAAGTTTTGTTACAGAAGGAGAGAGAGAGAGAGAGAGAGAGAGAGAGAGGGAGGGAGACCTGCTTTGGTCACTGCAGAGGAGCACCACATATTTGTTGTTGTGACCTTTGAATATTCTGTAGAATACTGCTGTGTATTCTTTCAAGCCCTTTGAAGCCAAAACTAGTAACCCAAATGGCCCTAAACCTCCTTTAACTGATGCATCCTTTTGGCTACACAAAAGTTGTGGGTCTGTCCAACTTGGGTCTAGAACTTCTGCTTTCTTAAAATCACTTATTTCAAAAGTAATATCTACATCTGCCTGTAAAACAAAAGCAAATAATACCAAATTTATTTTTAAAAATGCTTTTTAATATAAAACGTGGCAAAGTGACATTTCAAAATCTATAAAAGAATAATTTAAAGGAAAAAGTACCCACCTGTGCTGCTGTGACACCAAGTACTTCATGCACCGATCCACCCTTAAGCACGCTGCTTGGCAACTTGACCCCCTTTTCACGCAGCTTTTCTATTTCAGCTACTGGCCATTGTACCAATTGTTTTCCAGATTTATCAAGCCAGATTTTCCTTGGAACTGCCTGCAAAAGTCAATGCAAATTGCTTAGTTCACAAGTTCACAAGCCAGCTAATTGAAGACTATTCAAATAGGCATTGATTGTGATGACCCAAGTGGGTAGTTGGTAGGTCTAGTCCCTTGACCAATTTATAAGTGTTAGAAATCACACAACTTCATCAAAACAGTTATGCATGTAGCGAGTAATGTTCTTTTATTAGACTTACATTACATGCAGAAAAGAGTTAATTCAGATTCACAACTTCTTTTCGTGCATATAGCTATTTGTGTAATTTATACCTGAATTCCAGACCATCCCTTCTTGATATCATCCTCCACACTTGAAGATTCATTAATCCAACCCCACAATATCCTACGGTTCTTAGAACTGTCGAAGAAAGTTTTTGAAGCATAAAACTTCCCATAATCATATCTCAAGCCTGCGTCACTCTCCACTGAGCCCTTATCCGGGATATAGATATCCTTGTGAATGTTATATGTCCCAATCGTATAGTACTCTCGTTTGGTGTTGTCCAAGCTAGCCTTGAGCACATGCTTCACATCTGGACCATTTTCTGATGTGTGAAGACCATTTTGCCCCTTAATTGAGACTGGGTAAAAATCTGGACACTCCCACATTCCAGTTTTCTTTGCGGAGTGAAGTGGGTGTTTGGCCTTGACCCAGTTAAGGAAATCTTTGCTCCTGTACAGGATAGCAAACCCCGTTTGGTCCCTCTTGCTTCCAATGATGACCCTCCATCTCTTATCTGGGCCCAGCCAAGCAGTGGTTGGGTCCCTAAATGAGCTTGCATTGATTTGGTTGGCTTGGGTGGGTGCCATTAGTGGATTTTGGGGGACCTTGGTCCACTCCCTAAGGTATGGGTCTGAGAGGTTCTTGGGGTAGGCCAGGTTTTGGACTTGTTGGTTTTGGGGGTTTATTCCGGTGTATAAAATGACCGGTTTGCCCCCGGGGAGGATCGTGGTGGATCCCGACCAGCAGCCGTTGATATCCGACGGCTGCGACGGATAGATGGCGGCATCATGTGGGGTCCAGTTAACAAGATCAGTTGATGTGGAGTGGGCCCACACAATGTTCCCCCAAACTGCACCTTTGGGGTTATATTGATAGAATAGATGGTAAATTCCCTTGTAAATCAATGGCCCTGAAAAAAGAGTTAACACACAAGAAGGCATTAGCACATTGAGATTAGAGAGTGCCCAAAAAGCCCAAACCAAAATAGGAATATAGAAAGTGTGACTGAAAATATAAACAGCAAGAATATAAAGCCACCAACCATGACTGGTTGACTTGCTATGATATTCATTCAAATCAATGCATCATCACATACATAGTTTCATAGAAATGAACCAAACCCAGAAAATGCATAAGAGAGGGAGAGAGAGAGAGAGAGAAACAAACTAACCATTAGGATCTGAGAGCAACCAAACAAGTCCATGTCCATTCCACAATCAGAACAAGTCAAATGTCAAAAACAAGAAGCAAAAAAACAAATGTTAGAGCTATAAACAATATAGACAAAGACAGGTGAAGGAACAAAAATGAAAACTGAAAAGAAACAAAAAAAAAGCCAGAAATGAAGAGAATTTGTAGGTGAAGATATATATACCATTGATCCAATTCTTGGGAGGCTGGAAATGGTAACCAGTTCTGTAGGGTTCTTTAACTTGGTGGTGTGAGTCAGCTACTAGGGAAGTTTGAAGGTTTCTGTAAACATGGTGAGAAGCTTGAAGCAGAAGAGCCTGCCCTAGCCAAAGAGAGAGAAAACAATAGAGAGAGAAAGAGGAGATGGCCATGATGGCTTTGCAGGAGTGACAAAATAAGGCAACACTCTGCCGGGTATTTATAGGAGCCGCCTTGCCCATGTGGTAGTAGTTTGTCAAGAAAGTCTTGGATTTTTTTTTTGTGCCCTTTTTTTTTGGGTGGAGTCAAGGATAATAATGAAGGGTTGGATAGTTAGATTGAGACGTGATGATAAAAAATAAAAAATCATTGCAACATGATGTTTCACAAGATGTCCAACAAAAAGTATATTTTAAGTTTATAATAGTTAATTATTATTATTATTTTAATTATATAAAGCAAAAGGTAGAGATACTAGAGAATGGTGAAACATTCAAAATACTAGAAAATGCATTTGGTTAATTCAAATATTAAGAATTGAAATGATTAATTAAATGAGGGTAATATGGTAAATTCACATATATTTTTTTCATATTTAAAAAATAAAAAATAAAAAATAAAAACAAAATCAGATAATAGGTCATACTTTTAGGTCTCGTTTGGTTCACGAAACGAATTTGAGGGGAAATCATTTCCCATGTCATTTCCTAAGGGATGAGAAATGAAATATTCATTTCCCACGTTTGGTAATGCTAAGAAAGTAACCCGGATATATCACTTTATTTCTTTTCCCATGTTTGTTTTGAGTATGAGTGGAAAACAAAATTTGTATAAATTTTCAATTATACGCATATTAAATCAAATAAAAAAAGAATACATTTAATGATATATTATAATTTTCAATTGTTAATGGGGACAAAATGGTCATGAAAAAATGTTTATTTAATATTGGCTCATTTTTCCAAACTCTCTAATGAAGAGGGAAAACAAAACCCAAGTTAGGAGGATGGCTTCACTTTCCTCCTTACTTTCCCATAGGTCAGGCAACGATTTCTCATATCTAGACTTACCAAACATGGGAAAGCAATTAACTTACCATCCTCAAGTCTCATTTCCCATGAACCAAACGGGGCCTTAAGGAACATAACTACCCATATTATCTTTTTTTAATTCTAAAAAAAACAATTGACACATGCGTGAGCGTGTATCAAGGGGCTAATTTTAATTATGAGAGAGAAGGATGGAGGAAATTAAGCTGGCGTATGGTATTTGAATAAGAAAAAGTTGCTAACATACAGAACCGTTAAATTGGACAAGCACACAAAATACTGTAGACAACCAGTTCTGTCACGTTTTTGGACAAAGACTCAATACAATTGACTAACCCAAAATCTTCCAGGAGTTGAACTTTTACTTTTGAGCCTTAAGTGTAAGTGCTATAGATTTTTCCAACGCATTTCATGTATATTACCATAATATAATAATGGTTACTTAGAGCAAATAAAGAAGTCACTTAAGGCACACACAATGAAGCATACATTCAGGGACTGAATATTTTACATTGAGAGAGAGAGAGAGAGTCAAAACCCGTACAAACGTTTAGTTTTAGTAAGGGCATATATGAAAATATAATTAATATATTTTTTGTAATTAATGACATTGTTGTAATTGAGAAACAAATAACACATATCATCAAGAGAAGAAAGAAAGTTCAAAAGAGAATATTAGAGATAAAGTTGCTAGCATTGTTAAGTTCATCAAACATGAGACATGACCTCGGTTCTTTGTACAATGCATTTGAGGACTCTTCTGAGTGTAGTGTTCCTTTTATAATTCCTATCCAAAAGTAAAGAAATGGGCCTCCAAGATAATTTGTGCATGGTATATAAAAGAAGAAAACTTCCCTTATAAAACATACAACTTTGATAAGACCTATTGCCTCTCATATCATGGATAACAAGCATCTAACATGATGAGATTGAAAGCTTAGTCCGTGATAAGACATTATTCCAACAAGATGGGACATTTAATTCGATTCTCAAGTCCACCCTAACTCTACACTACTAAATTGAGCTTCTTTTCTTTTTTAATGGAATGTGCCATTTTATTGAATTGTGAGAAAAATTGGTAAACCCCCATTTCCTACTGACTTGTGGTTTGGATTATAGTTTTGTAGACAATGTTCAAATTTTTTGTAGTGAACCTAAACATCAAATTGAAGATATAGTCACATCTCTCACTTTATATATACATTTAGAGTATAAGGGAAGAGAAAATCCTTTATCTAAGCATTGCCACGTATGAGAATTGAGAAAGAGAGAAATTCAAGCTACCAAAGGGGCAAACTTCTTGAACCAATAGCCTATACAACTCTTTTAAACAAACACATCCTTCAAACAAAATTAGCACGCCCCATTCTCCTCCCAAAACTTCAATATACTTTAGAAATTATATACATTTGGTGTAGGAAGTAAAGAACATAACTGGGTATTTACAGGAAAAAAAAATCTGAATTTTTTGATATTTTTCTCTCTCTTTTCAATTTTTTTGATATTTAAATTGGTCGCTCAATTTCTTGAGCCCACTTTTTGCCATGGCAAAAGGGGATGGGTGGAAGTTGTTTTTGGAGCCTACGTGGCAAAAGGTGATAAGTGGAAGTGCTCTAAGAGAAAGCTGATGAGACAAGTCAAGGACTGCAATTTTATTTTTTATTCTTTAAAAAGATGTTTTCAAAGACAGATTCTCTAGCATCAGATGATCAAGTTCATCTTCAATGGATTCTGTACACTACTAGCCAATTAAGAAAAAAAGGAATTTAGGTGCACCACCCAGATCAAAACTAAAAGCTCACGATATTTAATACATTGATAAGCCAATTCCCCCAACATACTTCATAAAACTTACCACTACTACCATACCTTATGACAAACATAAATCCGGAATTTCAAGAAAATGCCAACAGACCATCCATGACAGAATTACATTACCCTTCAGTCGGATTTCCTCCTTGGTCCACATCATATTCATCCTCGTCCTCATCCTCATCCTCGTCCTCATCCTCCTCCTCCTCATCATCATCATATATGCTGCTCGGATGAAACCTACTGACTTCACTTTTTGCATCATCTTCACTAAGAAATTCCAGTCCGTACTTCGTGTCTCGGTGTTTAACCAAAAGCCAGCGCAGCAATCTATCTTCCTTGTTCAAGTAATGCAGCTCCTTGTTGATGTTAGGTGTAGCCATCATCGTCATTTGCATTAGTTGACCCTATACCATATACCAAATTCATTTAAAATAAAATTTTATCTGGTCAAAATGAGATAAGAATTGGTTTGTATTCAGAAAGAAATACTAACTAGACAACATACGGAGATAGAAAAGAGGACAAAACCCTATGAAAGTATCATCCATGATTTTGCCATACATTGTACTTTCTAATTGCTGGGTATGAAATACAAGTTAATTATCTATCAGCAGGAAGCATCAGTGGCATCTAAAGTTATAGCAACAAGTTCATTTTGAAAACATCCGCAAATGCAATACAACAAACAAAACAATAGGCTTGCTTACTCTCATATTGCAAAATGAAACAATTCAAACAACGAAAAGAGGCCTGAAATCTAAGTTACACTAACAACGAAGTCGATCGAACGATTCTAATTTACTACAAGGTTGCAGAAAAAACCAAAAACCAACCTGATAATATCTGCCATCAAGCTTCTTAATACCATAGCCCAACTGAACAGTGCCAAATGACTTCATGTCAGTAAGAACTCCATTTCTTCTGTAAACATGTTTGCTTACTCTAGCAACCAAGTCCATCAGAGCCTCCTTCCTTACATGGGGTTTCACCAGCAGCATACAATCATACAGAGGCATTTCTTTCTCTTTTCCTTTCCTTTCGTGCAGCAGCTCAACTGGCTGGCTCTTTAAAACTGTACAGAGTCATATACACAAATATCATTAACAGAAATCCAAGCCAACAAATTATAAACCCTAAAGAAATTAAAACAATGACCTTCCAATGTTTTATAATTTATAAAATTATATTCACAGATTCACAGTCAAATTTGAAGTTTATTACCTCCATAAAAAAATTAATTTATCAGGAAAACAAAGCTTCACACGTAATAATCTTTATGAATCAATTATAAGAAATAAAAAAGAGAAGCAGATCATCATGTTCACAGCTCACATGCCCATTGGGCACCAAATAAAGATGAAGATTGAAAATTTACAGCAGCCCCTCGAATAAAAAGGACTAATGTAAAGACACTAGCATATACATAATCACAACCACCACAACTCATACCCAATGTCAACGAACCCCCAAAATAAACAGCCCTAATTTCATCACAGCCATCCCTAAACTTGTTTAGTTGAATAAAAGATTAATAACTAAGAAGCCCTAGAGGAAAAGAGTACCTAGCGCCTTGCCTTGTGGAGTGGTTGTGCTAATTGGAAGGTCTACGAACAACAGTGCAAGAGTTGCACTTTTTCCCTGGCTTGCAACTCGCAAGCAGTAGCAGAGAACGTGAGATACAGAGTCACAGAGAGAGAGAGAATGAGACGAGACAGAGAGAGACTGAGAACAGAAGAGTTGAGTCTCAGTTGGTCGACGGCGAGAGTGTAATCGAGGCTGAGGTTCGAATCCAAGGGGAGAGAGAAGAGAAGAGCAGTGAAGAGTCGAGTCCGTGAGAGAGATGAGATGAGATGAGAGAACTGAGATCCAACGACTAGGATTGATCCAAGATAATTATTCCCAGCCGTTAGATTAATCTACGGTGAGTTCTTATTCTCCAACTCCAGTTTAGTGGAGCCAAAAAGTGATAAATTTCGACCAAAAAAATAAGAGTGATAAATAAAGGGACCTTTTTTTTCTTTCCATTTGCTTATAGCTTTCAGGTGGCCTTTTGCCAAATGGTTCAATGTCTGGGCACCATCCGGCCCTCTCCTTCTCTAAGCTATTTTGCTACTTACAAACGCCATCTATCATTCCGTAGCTCCCCCATCACAGCTCCCGCAAATGGGTTCTCTCCCTTCAGACGAATTTTCAATGCTTACCTTCAATCTAGTAAGCTCTGCCATGTTTTCTTGATTGATTATCTACCTCTGATTTGTGGTATTTTTCATTTTTGATTTCTGGGTATTGTTTTAATTCGCTTTGATCTGTTCTGGGTATGAATAACTTTTATGCCATTGATTTAGGCTCCAAATTTTACTTTTTTGCTTGTGCTTGAAAGTTGAAAGTTGAAAGTTGAAACTGAACATTTGTTTACAGTTGTGATATATGCATTGAATGAGTCAATCGGTGACTTTGATTATTGGGGGTGGTTTATCTTTTTGGCTTTATATGCGCTCATTCGAACGGTGATGGGCGAAGAATCGGAGAATGTTGGTGTTTTTGTTGTTAGTACCATAAAGGCAAATGTTTGTGGTCTCACATTTGCGGATTGTGTGAGCTATAGGCAGTTGTTTGTGGCTTTAGATGAGTTATTCCCTGACTTTGCAATGAATCACAGATTCAGCAACCACCGGCGCTGGCTCACGGTCACCTTCTGAACCGTCGGAAGTCATATTTATAGGTACAGGTACCAGTGAAGGAATTCCACGCGTGAGCTGCCTGACAAATCCTTTAAAGACATGTGAGGTATGGTTATGAAACCTCTGTGCTTAAGTAATTTTGAAATAGTATATCCAAAGGTTTTGCATGGACTACTATGTTTCTAACCAAAAACACATCTGATTCATAAAGAAATGAATGCTTTTTGGTTTTCACAGGTTTGCTCGAAAGCTGCGGAACCAGGTAATAAAAATCGGAGACTCAATACAAGCATCCTTGTTCGTTATCCTAGACCATCTGGAAGTTGTAATGTTCTTATTGATGCTGGAAAGTAAGTTATATATAGTTTACATACATGTAGTATCTATGTTACTTTTTAGAATGCCTGTTGACTTCTCTGCGTTGCAATAGCTCCATTCTGCGGTTGGTTAATGGCTTAAAATATTCAATCTGTAGTTGTGTAGCAATGGTTTCTTGGAAAGTAGCATGTATCAAAATACTCGGCGGTTTAAATTGAAGATTTGCAATATGTAAGACTTTAGTCAACCTAACGAACTCGCTGAGTTCATTGGTAGGCGGGGAAGATAATACACATAACTATCTGCTTCTCATATGTAGTAAATGGATAATAGAATATGTAAGAGTTCAGTATAAGACGGCACATGGGTGTGTCATCCAAGAATCATGTTTTCTGGATAATTCAGTACCGCAGGCCTTGTGGCTTAGTGGTACTAGCTGCCTCCCCATGAGGCAAAGATCCATCAATCAAATAGAATCTCACTTGCAGCCATATGGGTTGGTTTGATGGCGGCTTTTTTTATTTTATATATATGTATAAGCAGAACTTAGGCATAAATTACTTAAAATAATAATTCTTCTAATGATTGTTATAACTGTAGTCAAGGCCATCTTCTTATATTAAATAATATGCCATAAGTGATAGAGATGGATTCAGTTATTTCTTTGTTGTTTTATCTTGTTACTACAACCTTACTTATTCCAGAAGCTAAAAAGGAAAATATAAAGAAAAGACAGTTAATATGAATGAGATTTTGTTGTTCCTCAATGATAAAATGCCACACTGTGTTGGCTAAAGTTGCATTTCTGTCTCTGTTGTGCAGGTTTTTCTACCACAGTGCTCTAAAATGGTTTCCTTCCTATGGGTTAGTTATTTTCTCATCTACTCGTTTTCTTTAATTGATCATTTATATAATTTCAAGACACCAATTGGTCTCTCATGTGTTATAGCTAAATTATCTAGCTAGCTGGAAGATCTTGCCTGCTATTTTATCTTATGTCAGGAAAGTTCTACAGAATTTTAAGAAGGGTATTATTGTAGTTTGCTAGGAGTTATAAGAAGAGTGGGACACTATAATTTGTGCATATATTAACAGAAAAATGGGGAGGCAGGCAAATAACCTTTCTTCATCTGAGGGGGGACATCTTTTATGGTCACGGGATTTTATTCACATTGGCTTAAAACTTGCTAGTTTCTAGCGGTCTTTGAAGCATGTGGTGTTTTGGTACTGTAAAATTTCTCCCACCCGTCCCTGGATTATGCACAATAAATTTTGTGGGTCCATCCTTAACTGTTTGGGTTTCAGTTTTTCTGCATACCACCAGAGTTGGTTATCAATTTTGACATATGTTGAAACGTCCTTTTTTGGAATTTTAAAGTTGCAAATCCATTTTTTTCCTTCAGTTGCTTTTCTCATAAGGGTCTCTTTGTATTCAAAGACTTGCATATATGGTTAAATTGGTGGTGCTCCTGCAGATTCCATTATGATTATGTGTCTCTTGTCTGGTATGTACCTTGTCATAACTAGTTGTATTTCTGTCAGGATAAGAACAATTGATGCGGTTATTATTACTCATTCTCATGCTGATGCAATTGGAGGTCTCTGTCATAAACACTTTCTAATGCTATTCTCTAAACAATTAACGAACTTATGATGATGCTTTGGATCTTTTTTTCTTTTTTTTCGGTTCTCTTTCCTTCTCTCTTTTATTTTTATTTTCTTTAATTTTAAATTTCTCTTTAATGTACACATACTAAGGTTCTCCGTTTTATTTGTCTCCAGGTCTGGATGACCTTCGTGATTGGACAAACAATGTTCAACCCCACATTCCTATATATGTGGCCCAGCGCGATTTTGAGGTCCAAACATCTTCTTTCTTGCATTAAATTCAATAATGTATTGTTTACTGCTAAGTTTTGTAATCAATTTGTGGTTCGTAGAATCACATAACCTACCTATCTTATCCCATATATATGATAATAAGAGAGTTATTTACAGGTGATGAAAAAGACTCATTATTATTTGGTGGATACAAGTGTCGTCCTTGCTGGTGCTGCTGTCTCAGAGTTGCAATTTAATATCATACACGAGGATCCATTTTCAGTACAAGGGTTGCAGGTCAGAATTAATATCCATTTGGTTTGTGTTGGGTTGAGATTTTCTTAAAACATGCTTTTAGTGTTACTACCTGCGCCCTCTGGGATATGTAAACTGTAGTTTTGTATGAATTGAATTATATCTGCATGTAAAATGAGTGAAACAAGGTATGTCTTGATCTAATGTAAAAATCAGTAGAAATTTAACGGGCAAATATCAGTAGATGGTATTGTCAATTTGTCACTTGACTTAAAATGAATCTATTGTATGACTTGGCACTCATACCAGTTTTTTCTTTTTAATGCCATGTTTCAGTTTACCCCTTTACCTGTGTGGCATGGTCGTGGTTATCGTTCCCTTGGATTTCGTTTTGGTAATGTTTGTTATATTAGGTATGGTTCTATTCTTCGAACATAGTTGTTATTCTTGTACTTTGATCTCTTATGTAATGTTTCATCATAGGGCTAATTGTTTACATTCACAGTGACGTCAGTGACATACCTGAAGAAACTTATCCACTTCTGAAAAACTGTGAACTTCTGATTCTGGTGCCTTCTCCTCTCTTTCACATTCGTAGCTTGTTTTATGGATTCTCATTTTTCATAAGCACATGATAGTTCTTCTTTTCTGACTGGGCTGATATGTCAAATGATTTCTTCAGGATGCTTTGCGGCCAGATCGGTCTACTGCAACACATTTTGGACTTCCAAGGGTATACCATTTTATTCCTTCTTGTAATGATCCATCTTCAATGAACTTTAAGTTTTATTTACTTTCTTTTCAGGCTTTGGAGGAAGTACGGAAAATCCAACCGAAGAGAACTTTGTTCACTGGTATTTGCCTACTTTGATATACCAGTCAATTTCATAGTAATATGCGTTTTTAATCAAGATCAGTTGTTAGTTTCTTTTATAACGTTCACCAAGGAATTTTGTTAGTAATTAAACTATATTGCTTCTTTTCCTTGTTGCACTGATGAAGGCATGATGCATCTGATGGATCATGAAAAGGTGAGTGATTATCTTATGAAATTGATGGAGACAGAGGGTCTTGATGTACAACTGAGCTATGATGGACTTCGTGTACCAGTAGCATTCTAGCCGTAAATGGCCTCATTTCTTTTCTTGATTAAGACAGATTACATGTATATTTTTTTTAAAAAACCTCAATTGTGAATTGATCTTTCATTAGCTTTGCAATATAAATTTCAATTGCTACTCATTCTACTGAACTTTGTCGGTGATTTTGAATCGTGCAGTCATCTTAAATTTTCCCGGATGCCTACACCTTCGATTAAGATTAGCGGCATCATTTTACCAGTCATCTTAATATTGCATGATGTAAAGCTATCAGGGAACTATTGCAATGCTCTGTGCTTCATGGCTAGACTAGAAGTAAAATTCTTAAAGCAGGGTATTGAAAAGAAAACTTGTTTGACCATTTAGATGTTGCTTCTAGAGAGTTGGCCAAGTCAAGTTTAACAATCGAGGACCTGCTTATAAGTTGATATCCTCTTAATTTCGCACTCAGTAGTCAACGCAAGAGAGTCTTGACTATGAAGACTTGGCGTGTAGTAGACAACTTGTGAAAGAAGACGTGATTACTTGTGGGAAATTGCATTTTGGGTTGTCAAAATGGTCAGCATTTAACAAAAAGTTTGACTGGAGACTGGAGACTGGAGACTGGAGCCTTCAAAGTTTATGCAACTCATGGTTTGCAAATTGCATACAACCATCCTTCCCGTTTACGTTTTGGGCGGTGACCCGCTTATCCACAAGGGCCTACAAACGAAAATCGGCTACGCTTTGATACCACTTGTTACGAAATGACGTTTTGAACTCGACTCAAAAGACAAGCTTGTTAGATGATGTCGCATACCCGCCCATATAAACCCTTGATCGATGGCAATCTTATTTACTGTTGGATTCTTGCATCATATGGTTCATATCAATATAGCATAGATTTTGCCTCCTTGTAAGTATTAGCATCATCACTGTTTACTAAATTTTAGTTGCATATGCATGCCATGGGTTTGTCTTTTGTCTAACATCTTTTATCTTTGGCCCCGTGAGAGTGAGTGATTGTCTAGTGGGAGCCACAGGGTAGCACTTGTGAATATAAAAGGGGAGTAAATAAGGGCATGACAGGTGTCAAAGGGAATTTTGCCGTCTCTTCTGACAACTCCCTCCTGTCAACACACTCTCTCTCTCTCTCTCTCTCTCTCTCTCTCTCTCGTAAGGCACGCATTTGCAAGAGTCTCCCTAACGCGGTGCCACTCATAACTTTCGGGTCAAGGACGGGTCTTCCAATGGGTGTTTGAAGCACACGGTGAAAGAAACTCTTGTAAACAAGAGCGTACACAAGAAATGTACAATATTTACAAGATATTCAAGAAGAGAAGGAAGAGCCTATTTAATGTTTTGACCTTGTTAGGAATTAATAGACGCAACCCTACTGAAGGTACCAACAAAGAAATTCATTAAACAAAGTCTCCAACGTTATATAGTCTTATTCGGCATCCCTCCGCTACATTTTAATAGAACAATTTCGGGTTTTCACTTCTTATTATTGGAACGTTTCGTGCAAGGGCGGAATCAGAAACCTACACTATGAAGGGTGTGACTATGTTTGTGCTCTCAAATTGAAAGAAAATAAATAAATAAATCTAGAATTAGGGAAACACACCATAGAACTCAATTGAGTTAGAAAAATGTGACATTTTAAGGGTGTATATGTTACTAAAATAAAAATACCTTAAACACACTATTTAATTTTCATGTAAAGTTTTGTGTAGGGGCACTTGTCTCCCGGATCCACTCCACCCCTTTTGAATATTCATTCTGCTTGGTTTTAAATGGAGTAGATTTATATACTGAGAATGCAAAATCATAACAATAGTTTGGTTGAGAATAAAGATTCAAATTTGCCAACAAGGCCTAGTCCAGTGAAAAAGGACCTTACAGATTAGTAGTATTAAGTTTGAAGGTAGACTATCGCTTATATTTATAAATAAAAAAATCAAATTATTTTAACGTTCTAAAAAGTGAAATAGCATTAGATCGATAACTAAAAAGTACAAATAAATCTTTTGATATCAATTATATGAGGGAGTGGCTCGCACCTTCTTGTAAGTTGGCAAAGGAGGTATTTGGTGTAGTGGTGCATGGAGGGCTTCTTCTTTGCTTTTTTTTTTTTTTTTTTTTTTTTTTTTTTTTTTTTTTTTTTTTTTTTTTGTTTGTTGACAATAATCTACTAGGTAGTGGGGCCCGCAAATTTTCAATCATTTTGTGTGGGGTCCCCCAAGTACACCGCCCGTGAACTCCCAGTGCATGAGTGGAACATCTGATTATTCACTCGCCTCCTCCTTCTCCTCCTCCTCCAGTCCTCTACTTGCTTCGCATTTGGGGCAGAAGGGATGTTATTCTCACGTGACATGATACAGCACCCAAAAGAACAGTCCAATCAGCATGATTTGTTCAACTTTTTTTGTTTTTTTTTGCTTATTTATTTATTTATTTATTTTGGAGGATGAATCTAATAAGGCTGCGCATGCTCGACATAAAAGAACAGTGACATACTAGTTGACTACAGCATGAACTGTTTTTATTCTTCTTCTTCTTTCTTTTCAATAAAATTGAATTTGCATGCACATATTTTATATATATATATATATATAGAGAGAGAGAGAGAGAGAGAGAGAGAGAGAGAGCACATTCTTTATGGAGGTTGGAAATGATTTTCAGAAACAAAAACGAATTGATATGGTGCCTTTCAAAAAGTTGTATGATCAATAGTGTCTTCCAGAAAAAAAACGAAGAAAGTTGGAGCTAGCTAGCTAGAGTTAGGGTTGCCATGTGTTGAATCTTTTGCATGATATGCAAAATATGGTTTTATACCTGAAAAGAGAATCCCATAAGGATTCAAATCTTTAAAATAAAATAACAGATCTATTGAAATAATTGATTGAGATCAAAATTAGTAGTCATGTCATCATAGTGTAAGAACATTTGGTAATTGAAAGTGTTACAGAACTGTCTTTTACTCCACGTTTTTTCCACTTTTATGTGTTACTTAATTTACGGTGTGTTGTGCTATTAGATGAGAGTGTTTGATTAATTTTAACATGATTTGTGTTATCGTCAGTCCGTCGTACGCAATACGCAATATCATAACACATGTTTATAAATGTGAAATTCATATGACATGCGCACCCACATATTTAGCAGGAATCTTCCTTTGAACATACTTAATATATAACCATTCAATTTAAGTAACCTAAATATTTATATTGAGAAATCAAAGATGATATGTTTATCGTAACCCTCATCTACTTATTTAATTCAACTTCCAAATGGTTTCCTTATTTACTTTCATCTTCCCTCCCTCCCTCCCTCAATCCGCCTATAGATGAATAAATAGCAAACTTATACCTCAGAACCATGTGAAGGGGAGTCAGTGAAAAAATTGACACTTTCCTACGAAGTGGCTGATTCACGGAACTTCCCAAGAAATTATATCAAAGCTATAGAGAAGTAAAATTAATTACCAAAAATAAAGAAGTCACTAGTGTAGTAGTTTGGAGTATTATTCAGGCAAGATCTTAGATTCGAGTCCTGACATCTGTGTAGTGTGTGTGAGTTTAATATACTATCGCTTTTCTCAATAAGAAATGTCCTAAAAAGAGATAATTAGCAAAGAGACACTACACTTATTATAGTGCTCAACCACCATAAAAGCTTGAGAACCAATTGAGTGACACAAAACTGACTGGCCTGACTAATATATACCCTAAATTTTCACAGGCTCGCAGAAAATAAATTCAGTAAATTAATGGCGCTACAAGTTAATTTGCAAAGGGACCAGTTAGATATGGATGGTTGAAAAATCAAAATCAAGAAAGAGAAGAAAACAAAACAAATGCATGTGAATTGAGGAAGTTACTATTTCAACTCTCAGAACAACACAAAACACAGGTCCTTTCTTTTCAGTCTCATCATATCTTGTAGCACTTTTACTGCAATTAAAGGCTACGTCTTAGAACTACTAGCAAGGGAGATTTTTACCTTTAGGGCTTGTAAAAGGGCAATTTCGATCTCTCACACACCTACCACTGACTAAAATTATAAATCTATATCAGCTAGCCGACCTCAATTTGATATTATATACATAGCCATTAAAATTTGATTTTATCCACCTCATATAGAATGTGATATTTTGTATGGTTATGGTTTAGTGCTTATCTGGCTGGTGCATGTTCCCTTTTAGTCCCCAAGTTTATTCAATCTCAAAGATGGAATCCTCAACATCAAATTACATAAACAATGTACTATATAATATATAATATAATACATTCGGTTCTATATGTATGACTTTCTGTCTTTTTTAAAGACATGACACGTACATTCTTGCTCAATTTTCTTCAATTTTGATCTTATTTATTGCTTAATTTTCTTCAAATTTGATCTCATTTATTGACATTGATTATATTTTAGGGTGTAGAATCATCATTTAGAGCTTAGACATATGGTTTCTAGTTTCGGATCCCAAAAAACCTAAAATGAAAGCTCTAAAAAAGGACCCTTCTATACCCTAAATAATCAATCCACTCAATATAAATGAGATCAAGAGTGAAGAGAATTAAGTTGAAGTGAAGTTTTCTTAACGCGTCTTGCTTTTCTTAACGTCCTTCGTATAGAGAACCTTTGTATACATATAGTACATGTAATATATACTAGAGCATTTCTAGCATTGCTCATTCACAAAGTAGCTAGTAGTCCTGAAAACACCAAATCAAAATCCTAAATTTTCGAATTGATCCCAAGTAATGTGACAGTGTTTTATATGAGCCGATTTGGAATAAATGCCGAGTAGAATGTATTTTTATTTATTTTTGGCTACATTCTTTGTTGAAACGTTGATTATTATCTTGTGTGTACATGTTTTGCATCATCGTGCAATTCATGCCTTACATACCTATATTTTGTCGGGAAAATAATAATGATCGAATCTTCTGGCGCATGGGCAAATGCAAACATTATATGTGAATCAGTTTGCATCAACACATGACTTGCATGACAGGGTCTAAATGTAGTCATCAGATGGTGCCAAATAACATTTGTGTGCATTACAATACATGGAAACTTTTCTCATACTTTTTCTGGTTTTGGTCCTTTTAAAATTTCATCGATTATTCTAATACCAGAGGTGAGCTGGGAGAGCATATTGAGACTTTGGTCGAGCAAGATCCCATTTCAAAAACTAAATCATTGAAGAATAAAACAAGAAAATGACAAAAATGAAATTAGTTTTTTTATGCCCAGCACTTCATTAAAGCCTCTTATTTTACTCAAGCTTATCGAAAAACATGAACTAACAGTAAGATGGTGTAGCTCCATATGTACCCACATTATTTAAAATTCTGTATGTGCATCATGCATGGATAGAAAGACATGACAATGCAGATGAGATAACTTTTTTACGTGTCATTGTGTTATTGACTCGAGATAGCAAAACAGTGCTATTCCCGTTACAAGTAAGGTTTTCTGCTTATTTGCTCATATCTTTTTGTGGTAGTCATTTGATTTTGGTTACAACTTTTCTTTTTCATCCCTTCTTCTGATTTAAGTTATTTTCAAAATTTGTCTGTACTATCTGATTTTAAATTTGATGAACAATTCGGTTGTGTTTGATCTAGTCAAACCCTTGACCAGTGTCCTTTCACCATCTAGCCTCAGAACAGTGCAGACAAATATAGATATAATTAATTAATGACATTTCTTTCCATAATTGAAACAAAATTCTCCTTCCAATGAGAATAATGGTTGGTGTAAATGGCACCATATCAAAGTGTGGATGGTGCTAGATACCCTTCTTTGTGCATATAGCATAACCAAGTAGGCTTTTTTTCTTTTGGACAAAGTGAATCTCCTAAATAATTAACGACTCATCACCATTGATAATTTTTATACTAGAAAGACCAACCATATATATATGATAATTTTTGCCACATTATGTTACCAATAAATGTTAAGATTGATACATATTCATTATAATATTAGCATTGGCCAACATGTAAATTCTCTCGTGCCGGCATGGGCTTAGTCTTAGGCAGAGCGGATGTGCTCCTCATTCTGCATCCGAGTTCGAATCTCCATTTCTGTAGTTTAGATTCGATTAAAGTAGAATATCGCTTGTATTTAAAAAATAAAAAAAAATTCCTCTAACAATTTTTTTTTGCTTGTTAGACAATATTTTTACCATGGCTAAACATAAAAGAAAAGATGTTATGTCCTCATTTTTCTGAACAATACATTTCTATTCGTGCAATGCATGTCATTAATCATATCCCATGGGGGAAAACAAGAAGAAAATCATCAATTCACCACACTTTCTTACTTTTTTTTTTTTTTTTTTTTTTTTTTGTTTTTTTTTTTTTGAAAGTCAATGTAAACAATATATTAACACATGATTAAAGTCAATATCATTAATTCCGTTAAGAGGGTCTTGCAATGCTCTTGTTCTCTAACTTTTCTTGACATGGTAGTCAACAAGTGTGCCTTTCTCTCTCCTTGGTATAATCCAATGTAATTGCTTGAATTAGTCTTTGTTTTTAACCTTTTCCCTCACAAAACACAATTAATTAATCATATAATTAATTTGTTTTACGGTAATTGTGGAATATATATGCATCTTACGATAAAGCAAAAGAGGCGGCCAAGCAGTTGTCTATAGAGCTTTAGCTTGTGTAGATCCATAATCTGATCGAATCTGTATTTGGTAGATTTTTTTATTCTTCGAAGCATGCAAAATTGTCAGAAATTTCAACCCTTTGTTTTATCCTTGTAAGTTGTGATTTAAGTGAGAATAAGTGAAGGGTAAAGAGGCAGAAAAATGTAATAGAAAACTGAAAATATTAAAAAGCTGAAAAGAGCTTTAAGCCATGCCCTGTTAGAGAATTAATCAATGGATCAATCATGCCACTGTAATTGTAGAAAGTTTGGGAAAGGGTCTACTGCCCATGATGTAAAACATACATTTCAAAATCACTCTCTCTCTCTCTCTCTCATATATATATATAGATTTATATATATAAATGTACAAATGATACTGTCTTTTTACATGGTTGCTTTTTATGCTCTCCTTTTTTTATTTTTCCTGCTTACTTTATAAGAGATAGAAGGGAAAGGTTGGAGAGTATAGTAGTGATTAGTTTAAAGGTTTCTTAGGTTCAGAAAAGATATAACTTTGTTAAAAGCTTTTCTTGTGCATACAATAATAAAGAAGTGAGTGAGAGAGAAGGGAGAGAGAGATTTTTCTGGGGTTTGTGGAAGAGAATAGAGGAAAAGACAGAAAGTGCAAACGTCAGTGTTTAGCCGTAGGGTTCCCTTCGGTTGTGGTTTTTGTGAGTTTTGTTTTGGACTGGTTGAGGATTACAGAGGTATATCTCTTATCATCCACATCTCTCTCTCTCTCTCTCTCTAAGTTTTATATAGCCAGTATTTATCTTTTCTTCATATTTGTGTGGCCATAGTTTGGATTTTCTTGGTATTGTCAAGCATATGGCTACTGAACCATATTGAAGGAGAAAAGTAGCTAGCTAGCTAGAGGATCTGGTTTAGCTGCACTCCTCTCTCTCTCTCTCTCTCTCTCCTCTCTCTCTCTCTGTGTTGTTTCTTTTGAGCCTTCAAAAAACAAAAAATTGTCTCTTGGGTTGGAGCCAAACAAATTTAAGTAAGAAACAATCAAGGTGTGTGTGCGCATAGTGGGTGTTATGGGGTTGAAAGACTAAAACTGAGTGACATCCATTTTTGCCTCTTCTTAGGTTTCCTTCCTTCTCTCTCTTCAGCTTTTTTCTTTGTTTTGTTTTGTCTTTAATTATCAGATCCTGAAGTCTTCTCATCACTCAGAGAATCAAGATCCACATATACATGGGCCATAATGATGCAAGCTTAATAGCAATTCAAGAATTTTCATATTTAACAAAAAGATGATGAAGGGTTTGATGTTCCAACAACAACAGCAACAGCAACACTCACAACTGGTGGATGAGAATATGTCTAATCTAACTTCAGCATCAGGTGAAGCTGCCAGTGTCTCTTCTGGCAACAGAAATGAAATTGGCACCAGTTTTTCCCAACAGTTTTTTGCTCCACCTCCATCTCAAACTCAACCAGCTCTGAAAAAGAAGAGAAACCTCCCAGGCAATCCAGGTAACCAAACTTAATCAATATGATCTCTCCTCTCTCTCTCTCTCCTCCTCTCTCTCTCTCTCTCTCTCTCTCTCTCTCTCTCTCTCTCTGTGGATGTTTTGGTTCAAACTTAAATTAAAATTTTGGTTAATTTTGAATCAGACCCAGAAGCAGAAGTAATAGCCTTGTCTCCCAAGACACTCATGGCAACAAACAGATTCATCTGTGAGATCTGCAATAAGGGGTTCCAAAGAGATCAGAATCTTCAGCTTCACAGAAGAGGGCACAATCTGCCATGGAAGCTTAAGCAAAGAACAAGCAAAGAGGTGAGGAAGAAGGTGTATGTGTGCCCAGAAGCCAGCTGTGTGCACCATGACCCTTCAAGAGCTCTTGGTGACCTGACTGGAATCAAGAAGCACTTTTGCAGAAAGCATGGTGAGAAGAAGTGGAAATGTGACAAGTGCTCAAAGCGGTACGCGGTTCAATCGGATTGGAAAGCTCATTCCAAGACCTGTGGCACTAGGGAGTACAGATGTGACTGTGGAACCCTTTTCTCGAGGTAACTAATTAACCTCAAATTCATCATCTTTTCAAGCGTTCACATTCATGAAATTGCAAGACCACTCTCTTAGTAATTTATTCAAACACTAACAAGACATACATCTTCACTTCACCTAAGGATAGTGGGGGGCAATTTTAGCAAAAGCTAATTAATTTCTGAAAACTCAGATTTCAAATCATAGAATTTGTTCAAATAAGTTACTTATTTTGGCCTTGGGTTGTATTTAAGTCACATTCTTTATTTGGTGCTCCTACTTTGACACCTATCTAGAGAAAAGTGGGGATGAAGGGCATTCTTACAACTTACTATGGATGGAAATTTTTAATGCACCACCCTAATTTGGACTTTCTGTCCTTAGCTCTCTGAAATTTTTTTATTAAAAAAAAAAATTAAAACGGAAAGAGATGAGCAAAAGAGAGAGAGGGAAGTCAATACATATCTGCAAATGTGTTTATGTAATAGAGCACTTTATGGTTGCTTTTGTTTTCTTGTGGTTTGTCTGTTTTTGGGATTTTTTTGGGGAAAAATTCCACAACAATGTTATCCCCATTTCACACAAGTTTTTTCTGCTTCAGGAGGGATAGTTTCATCACCCACAGAGCCTTCTGTGATGCTTTAGCAGAGGAGAGTGCAAGAGCCATTACCACAGGAAATAATAACCCTCTCCTCATCTCCCCTCAACAACAGCAATTACAACAGCCTGGATCTTCATCAGCATCTCATCATCATCACATGAACCTTAACCAAGTTCAATTAGCCCACCAATTCCAAGACCTCCATGGATTTTCATTGAAAAAAGAGCAGCAAAGTTTCACAAGCCTGAGGCCAGACCTGCCTCCTTGGCTGGCCTGCCCTGGCCCACCCAACAACACTTCCATTGACCTTTCCTCATCCTCCTCAATCTTCTCCACAAGGCTAGACCAAAATTTCACACAAACCCACCAAAATTTATCTCTCCATGATCACAACAGTACAGCCCCAAACCCAAACCCAAACCCTAACCCTAGCCTGGGCCCCACCCTCCCACCCTTCCAGCCTGCCCCTTCCCCACACATGTCAGCAACTGCATTGCTTCAGAAGGCAGCTCAGATGGGTGCAACAATGAGCAGCAAGAATAGTACAGCCTCTGCAGCAGCAGCAACCTCTGCAGGTTCCTCACCACAACCTATGATGAGGTCCCACCAGAACAACCAGGGTCACGTGCCTGATTTTGGTGGTCACGTGTCCAGTTTTGGGAATAACACAGCTGCAGCAGCAACAACGGGGGCAGGAGGAGCCAGTGCTTCTAGTAATGGCACTGGTCCTCCTGCATCATCCTCAGGTATTCATCAACATCATCATCATCAAAGCCAAAACCAAAACCAAAACCAAAATCAAAATCAACATCAAGCTTCTCTTCTGCGTGACATGATGAATTCTCTGTCCTCTGGAACTGGGTTCGAAGGAGCTTCTTTTGAGCTGGATGCTTTTGGGTCCATGCCAACAGTTTTGAACAATTCAAAGAAAGACACAAACAATTCAAACAATCCATCATCTGCCCATTTCAACAGGTCAAGCGCCAGTGATGAAGGTGGTGGCCATGGCGAAGGTTTGACCAGAGACTTCCTAGGGTTGAGAGCTCTCTCTCACAGTGACATTCTCAACATTGCTGGGCTTGGAAGCTGCGTGACCAGTGCAGCAACAGCTGCTGCTTCTTCTTCCCTTGACCAAACCCACAAACCCTGGCAGGGTTAGCTTTGGCTACTTAGCTAGCTTTAGCTGCCACATACGGATCACCATATAATTGAACATGAACATCCTTTATAATTTTGTTTTTTGTTTTTTCTTAAATATATAATTAATTACTCTTTTTGTCTTAATTACTGTCTGTCAATCTTCTTCCCAAAGGGAAGGCCTCGTGATATGATCAAACTTGATATGCCGGCACTTTAATTAATGACTTACGTATGTGGCTCTTTTTGACAAATTTTTTGCCCCATGGTTTTAATTTTCCAAGTTATAATTCATGGTAATATTATGGTTGTCTATATATAAATATATATTAAGATTAATTTGATACACATATCAATTAGCGTGCATGGAACATATACGTTGTATTAGCAAATACTTATCAAATGGTTCAAGTATTCATGAAATACAAATACTTCGCTCCTTACCAGGTAAGTATGAGCTATGAGCTATGGCGCATAAGATATGTCAACTTAGCAACAAAACAAGAGGTTTCAATGTAAGAAGATGTCCCTAACACCTTACATGAATGTAACATATATATATATATATATAAAGGTAGGTCCCACAATATTAATTTATGAGTGTTGTTACTATACCAAGAAAACAAATCAAACAAAACACAAAAATGTTGAAAAATAGTTAGTATTTTGTCATGTTACCTTACTCATCTAGAGACATGTCAGTTTGACTGCATAGTGCATGGGTCACTCCAAAACCCATTAAATTTTTAAGACATTGCTGAACAGGAACACCATGCAGGATTGACTAGGGCAACAACAAAACTTCCCCTAAGGCTTCCTCTTGTGTTCAATTTCACTCTCTTAATTATATTGAGATTGAGTTGGTACTTCCCATCAAAGGCAAAAAAAGTAAATAAATTATGCTGCCACTACCCCCAAAATCGTGGGCGGTCCAATATGTGGGCCCACTTCAAACATAATTTACAAAAAGTAAAAATAATTTGTCTTAAGCATTCGATAATATACTTAAACTCACACTAATTAATGATTCAAATTTATCTCATGTAGGTTTAGCTCTCTCTCTCTCTCTCTCTCTCATGTAGCAATATATTATTACTATCTAATTTTAAAGCAGGGGACTTTGAATATGCGAATATATGCATGTTAGTAAAAGTGATATAGGGGTGGGATATACGGATTATGGGTACAAAAAAGCATTGGATTCTCCAAGAAAAAAGATTCGTGAAATGTGCTCAAGGCAGAAAGGATGTGTACATGTACACAGTACATGGAACATGTAGGCTGAGCAAAGTTAGCTTTGGTTGTGTTTGGATATTGCTGCTCAATTCAAAACAAAAGAGATAGAAAAATAGAGATGCTGTTTGACACCTAATGTGGGTACAAGTGGGATTCAATCCCGAGGGAAGATCACTCTTTCTCATTGGCTCAAGAAATTTGTACCTCACTTTATGCCACTGTGGCAATATTCCAAACAAATCACGTATTATATCATCATGCGTGATTTGTTTATGTAACAGTGCGTGATTGACGTAAAATATCATCGCAGAGTAGAATCATGTAATTCTTCGCTATTGTAGAGGTAATGCACCATTTAAAAAAAATAATTTGTCCCCATAAAATAGTTAGAATTATATACACATGAGAGAGAGAGAGAGAGAGAGAGAGAGAGAGAGAGAGAGAGAGAGAGAGAGAAGAGAGAGAGAGAGAGAGAGAGAGAGGGGTTCTGTATTTTTATGGATATTTCCACATATATAGTACCTAGAGTGGGAAAATTGGACAAGGTGAGAAATGGGTTTTGAATATTTCCACCAGAAATAAATAAATTAAAAAAAGAAAAAGTTCAGTAGTGGGTCAACATGATTTTGTTCTTTCTCGATATAAATTAAATTATAATAGAAGTGTGGGAATATTTTCTTAAAAAGTGGAAAGAAAAAAGAGAAATTGATGTGACCTGGTTGTAAGAATTAATAATTGTAACCTGATGTTATTACTTCCATGGGTGTTGCTATTGCTTGATATTGTAAATTAAGTTAGATAGCAACTCTTATGATCATCAGTGCGTATATTAATTAAGTAAATCAAGGATTATATATATATTGCCATTAAGATACTAATTTCTAAAGGGCTATTATTTCACTTTCTAGTTTCTGGTATATTTATATAAGATGCATGATTAGTTAGTGCTTCTGCAAGTGCCTTCTCAACAGATCAGCCACCATTAAATAATTGCCTCCTAATTAACTTCCTTAAGGATCCGTTTGGGAGTGATTCTGAATAGGTCACAAAGAGAAGCACATGAGAGATGCTTAAGTTTAGAATCACTTAAAATCATGAAGAAGCACATGAGAAATGGTTCTCTCCATAAGTGATTATGACATATTCAGAATCATTTCCAAATGAGCCCTAAATTCTCAAGCTTCGAGTAGCCAAAAATTATATATATATATATTAATAATGTTTCTTTGTGCGTACGTGTGTGTTCATGTGCGGACGCAAGAGAGAAAGAGCTAGAGGGAGACTTAATCAATTAATTAATTAATTTACATATGTATATAAATTTATATCATATGCGTTGAGCAATCAAATAATTAAGAAATGATTAGCCTATCATCAGATAAAGTGGGTTTATAAAAAAATAAGAGTTATGTAAAGAGATTCTCATCCCTAAAGATATATATATATATATATATATTGTTGCAATGTTAGGTCAATATATGAATATAGATATAGATAGTGTGTAATGCATGTATAGATGTGTCTGGGCTTACTTTGGGAGAGTGGTCTCTAATTGGCACCTGTCCTTTTTATTGGTTTTCAGAAAGTGATTAAACAAGTTTAGATCAACAAAAGATTCCTCTGATTTCCCACTTCTCTCATGCATGATCATCATCTTGTAATGAAATGTTGTATGAGAGAGAGAGAGAGAGAGATTTCTGAAATTACACACATGCCAACAATGCCATTTTGATGTTTGCTTTGAGCATGAAGCATGAGTGATGTAGGAGAGCATGTTTGTCATTTCATAAAATAGGTAAGGAGAGGTGGGCTCAGTCCCTAAGCCCAAGGCATGCCTATACCTTTTCTTCTTTATTTTTTGGTTGGGTTGAAGGCTGGCCCTCCCTGCTCAGGCTCGGCTAGCGTCTATATAAATTGGATGCTTTGGTGGGTGCTTTTTGTCTGGTGGGTTTAGGTAAGCATAGCTATAGAAAAAATAAGAAAGAAAGATATATATAAAAGCTGCAGAAAATTACTAAAGCTGCTGAGCTGACGAGTTGCCAGAATAAAAATGAAATGGCAAATGGGTTTGTTTGTTTGTTGTTTGTTTGTGTATTTTTATGGTTGGCATGGCTAAAAACCAGTTGACTTGTCTTTGTAAAGATGTTTTGCTCTCTTTGTGTTAATAATGTCACCTTTTTTCTTTGACTTACCATCTCTCTCTCTCTCTCTCTCTCATGCATATAGGAATAGGAGAGAGATCTGGATATATCTCTTGTTCTCTTTTCAAAAAGTAATGGCAGGCTAGCCTGCTTGCTGCTCATGAACAATCATTGTGGTATGGCTGGAACTGGTCTGAAATTGTTGCATATGTGATGATGACATTTCTCTCTCTTACTTGTACCAGTGATGATGAGAGGGGTTAATTAATATTGGTGACTTATATGCAGATGTAAAACATGAATTAAGAAGCCATTTGGCAAAGGAATGCTGAATTAAAATCTTAGCTGCAGGTAATGATTATTACATGTTTTAGGGGCTATTTTATTCCTTTCACTACTTTTTGTGTTTTTGAATCATTGCATGCATGGGAATTAGAGCAATTAACCTACATCATCATCATAATCATTTAAAAGAGGAAAAAAAATCGTTTGGTTACTTTAGTCAAAAAGTATATTTTCCACACTGCCATTATTCCTCATTTGTTCTTTGTTGGGAAGCGAAGGCTATCTTCCCCCACTTAATCAATTTGTGGATAAGCTCCTACAAACTCAAGATCACACAATTAACTACAACAAGGACATCAACGGGGTCTAGCTTAGTGGAAAATGATCTTAATTACAAATTAATGATCTTACGTTTGAACTCCTATGGCAAGCACCTTAGCAGTGTGTGTGAGAAAATCCTATTTCCTTTTCCTAATTTTGGCACCCAAAAAACACCCACAACAACGGCAACACAAAATTGAATGCAAGAAATCTCCTCAACGTTTTAACCACTTTTATTTTGTAGACCTCAACATTTTAATGACCATATGTTATGAAAAAGGTCCTTTTTTGGTCGAAAGATGTTATGAAAAAGGTCTGAAACACACAATTCTCATGGGCAATTTCTGAGTATTCTAAGACAATTCTTGGGTGTCCTTAACATCACTCTATAGAATTTCGCCACTCTATAGCAAATGGGTAGTTGGGCCTGCTGCCAGGAGCATGTTTCTAGACCTGGGCCAACTTGAAGATGGGTCAGCTCATTTGGGTTAAAATGAATCAAAGGCCCAACCGCTCACTGTATACATTTTTTTCTTGTCAGAGCTCATTATATTCATCTTATTTTCATATACAGTATTTGCTTATTATACTTTATTTTTCCGTCAAAGTCAGGAGGGGAAAGGAGGTGTTTTCACACACTACGCCAATGAGTCACGGGCATTCGAACTTAAGGAATTATCGTTTTTTTTGGGTTGCTTAATTACTTAAATCTCTATAATTATTTTCTTTGTTTACTACTTAATTCTTTCTTTGATAAATTTATGTATGTTCTTAGTTAATTTTCAATCTTCACTATTATTTTTTAAGTATGGTAAAGTGCCTAATTTTCATGAAAAGCCAAGTTGGTTTAATTATTTTTCAATATTTGATAAATAATAAATATAAGAACGTGTACCATGTCTAATAAATAATGCGAAATAAGGTTACACATGTATCTTACCATGCAATTTATAAAGTGTAAAATATTGTACTAAAAAATGATAAATAAATTACTATGGGGTGTTTAATTCTCTTCATTAATTACTCCATATTTTCTAAG